CGAGTCTTAGCCAAGCAAAAAAGAAGGGGGGAGGCTAAGAAAATAAACCTTAACCTAAACCGAGTCTTACCGCGAAATGGATCTGCGCCAGATCGTGAAGAGGGTCCGTCTTCTCCACCCGCGGGGGAACGGAGAGAATGGGCCCGATCGCCCGAAGCGCATGATTGGCTGACACCAAGTTGCACGCCGCGGCGGTGTGAATCCGCACGTCGCGGACTTGGTGGACGGTGGCGGAAGGAGGTACAGCGCTGACGGGAGGAGTGGTAGCGGATGTCCCGGATGAGCTGCCAGCCCCATCCCCCCCTCGACGAGCGGGCCGGCTCACCGTCGCCTCGGGCTCCGAAAGCGCCAGTGTGAGCTGCTGCGCGGCGGACAATTGTGGCGTCGCGGGCAGTTGCTTCGCCGCTTGGACGGTTGGCTCCGCTATGCGAAGGGTCTTGCGGGGCTTCTCTACAACCTGCGGTTGCGGTTGCTCGACCTCCTTCCGCTTCGAGGGTTTTGGCGCCGCGCCGACCTTCTTCTTCCTTTTCTTGTCGGCACGCGGCGCGACGTCATCCACTGACATCATACTCGCGAGGGAAGAGAAGTCAACACCTGCGCCAATAAATCGTAAGAGAGCGGTTAATAAGATAGAATACAAAAAGGAAGGAAACATAACTAACCATCTCCAAAGAGCTCTTCCAAACAGGCTTCGCGGACTCCCCGCTTGTATAAATTCATGCGGTGAGGCATGCAAGCCTCATACTCATCGTTGAGCCCGTCGTATTTACCGACGTCGGACTCGAAACCGGCTATACTGCCCTTCATCCAGGTGGTGGGCTCCGGCAGCGGCACACTCGCCCATTCCCCGGGAGCGGGCTTAACATAGAAAAACTGACCAAACCAAGTCTTCTTCAACTTGGGCGAGCCGTACACGAAGCCATCGGGGCGGTGGTCGCGTCGCTGGATGGAGAGACAGTCGCTCACCTTTGTCGGCTCCTTGATTTTGTACATCTTGCGGAATAAGCCGTAAGTAGGCACGATGTTAAGCCTCTTGCACGCGAGACGAAGGCAACTCGCGTGCATGATCACTGACGGGGAGAGCCGACCGATGGAGCATTTGAGGCGGTCGTATATGGCGCATAACAGCGGGTCGATGGGGAACTTGAACCCCATAACCCAGTATTCGGCATACACACCGAACCACCCAGGGGGGCAGTTACCCACCATACTGCGCACCGAGGGAGCGGCGTACTCCCAACTGGGGGGCAAACCCAGTCCGCGAACCAAATCCTCCACGTCATCCACGTCATACGTCGAGGAGTGCTCGGGTCCGCGCTTGAGATTGTCAGACGGCGCCGGCTGGTCACCCCACATCTCCGCCCATTCGATCACGCGGTATGTAGAGCCAACACCCTGCGGCCCCAAGCGGGCCATGGCTTCGGTAACGCGCTCGACTGCTCGCGGCGCGAATTGCACATCAAAGTCTCCTTGCTCTGTCTCATCGCCGAAGTCTTCATCGTCGGCGACTTCATCGTCGCCGACCTCACCATCGGCGACTTCCTCGTCGGCGATTTCCTCGTCGGCCGCTTCGTCGCCGGCAACCGGCCCACCACCCTGGTTACTCCGAATAATCAGAGTCCCCCGAGCCGGCCGCGCCACCTCCCCACTACCGGAAGCGGTTATACCCTGATCAGAAGAGCTTCCGGCCCCATCGCCCGACCTAGCATCGAACGTCGGCGTCGCCGGAAATCCACCACCACTACTGCCACCCCCACCGTCGGATCCACCGTTCCAATCCCCAGAACCTCCATTCCCACCACCGGAATGGTCAGAAGAAGTATGCGAGAGAGGAGAGACATTACCTTCTTCGCCTTGTACGACCTCGGCCTCCTGGTTGTTGATGTTGGACATGATATCGACTCGAAATCGATCAACAGCAGAAGAGGATTGGGGTAGTAAAAGGAGGAGAGAAAATCTCGAGGAAAGAGAAGTGAAGGAGGAGGGAAATCTTAGGAAAACAAAAGCGAGGCTATGATCGGAGAAAACAAGTGAGCCCTCCTCCCTTCAACAATCTCATATTTATAATTGATCCGGGGGAAAACGAAGGGCCAAGGCCGTTCGGCGGAATGCGAAAGGTTAAAGCCACATTGGGATCCGTAACAGTCAGATCCCACCAAATCTTTTCGAAATTCAAAAAACCCCCGCCCAAATAGCCTAACCACACAGTGACACGTTGACACCTACGATCATAGGCATTAGTCGGCGACGCCACCAGCGCCGCGCACCGACTGGGGGGCATGGCACACCCGCGAGGAAAAGAAAGACACGCATTGCGTCGCAACAAGAAGACAACCCCATGCGCGCATCGACGGGCATCGCGCGCGAGTATCACGCTCAACGAACAAAGATCAACCGCGAGCGCTTATCGCGAGGATAACGCCTGGAAGAGGAAAACATGCGTCGTGCTGCGAAAAGAAAACAACTCCACGAGCGCATCGCGCGATCAACCCCATGCGCGCATCGACGGGCATCGCGCGCGAGTATCACGCTCAACGAACAAAGATCAACCGCGAGTGCTTATCGCGAGGATAACGCCTGGAAGAGGAAAACATGCGTCGTGCTGCGAAAAGAAAACAACTCCACGAGCGCATCGCGCGGGTATCGCGCTCAGCGAACAAAGACCAACAACGAGCGCATTAGCGCGTACCGCGCACGAAGAAAGCGACCCCGTACGCACAACAGCGCGCGCCAAGCATTGCGCGTGGCGACCGAATGAAGCCCAACAACGAGCGCGATGGCACATGGCGTCAGGGCAAGGCGACGCCAGTTCATAGTATCGCGCACGTCGGCGCCAACCAATAGCTACAAGCGGACCGGCCCGAGTCCGGAGGAAACCTAAACAGGGGGCGTTCACAAAACACCCCCTGCTGGGGGGCAATTGTTGGGCATAGGACTCGGGCCTAACCACGCCAAGGAGCCGGGCGCAACTGGATGAGACCCCAACACGGCAGCGCGAGGACCCCGAGTGTGCCGCCTCATCGTGGCTAACCACGTCCAGGCGCGAAGAGATGACAGGCGCTAGGGGAGGACTAGCGTAGGCTGAACCAGAAGATGAGGGAAGCGCACCTCTTCCAAGCGGGTAGTCACATCAGGGCCATGAGTGGATCTCTGACTCATCCTAGGTAGAGGGATGGCCTAAAAGCCTTAGTATGCTAGTGGTCACATCATTGTATCCCAGTAGTCACATCACTGTATCTCTCCCTATGTCAACCACTCACCCACCACCATGAAGCCTATAAATATGGCATTTACTACGGTGGGTGAGGGGATCGCATTTTTCACCATTCTCTCTCTACAAGAACTACTTCTCTTTCTAATCTCTCTCTTACTCACTCTCTCTGATTCTGATTCCTCCGATCAAACCCGGCTCTCACGTTTCTTCTCGACCCAAACTCTCATTCGAACCTCACTCCTACACTCAGTTAGGTTCAAACAACTTTTGATTGTGTTGTGTGTGTAGTTTCTGTACGCTTCCATCCATTTCCACCACAGCCTGCAAAAGATGAATGCCATTTGTAATTATATTGCTCAATAGAAACATTATTATGCATTAATTTCCATGGGGTTCTCTAATGTATAATATGACTCATATGTTTGGCCTTTTTCCCCTTCGGTGATGGAATATTACTGACCACCGGTACTCCCAATACTTCTTGGCGAGGTCGTGCCAACAAAAAAATAATTTAGTCTTGGTAATAATCGGCCCTTTGATTAACTTAGTGAAAGTTTTAGGGGATTTGTTCTTTCTTCTTATCACAAAGAAATCTCACTAAGCAACAAAGAGGGATATCTTATTGCTAGTTAATTATTGGGCAATGTCTATTTTTTACCCAAACCTTTTTCAAATTCTTTTATTTTAACCAAACTTATAGAAATTCTATTTATTATCCAAACGTATTATAATTTATCAAAGTCTGGGCATTCATTCTGTTACCGTTACTTATTTCGTCCACGTGAGAGGTGGGATTTTGTTTTGTTTTTTGATAATCTTTTTATTAAAAATAATAAATGATGGTATTCTGACCGCCACGTAGGAAGTCAACTCATTATGGTCATACTTAGTCAGCATTACTAACAGAAAAGTTGACGGAGAGTTAACGTTTGGATAATTTTTAGGAATTCAATAGGTTTGGTTAAAATAAAAGAATCTGAAAAAGGTTTGGGTAAAAAATAGACATTGCCCTTAATTATTTGCTAGTTGCTACTCTCTTACTTTGCATACTCCACCATCCCATGTAAGTCCATGTACTTTACCAAAAACATCACTTATTCCAAAGTATTAGTACGTGGAAAAATTTAGAATCTTTCACAAAATAATAATAATAAGAATAAGAATATACTATATATGTTGCAAAATTCCAATTGGTCATCTTTTTTTTTTTTTTTTTTTTGGTAAAGTTAAATGGTCATCTCCTACATTGATGAGTAATATCTAATCGAATTAAGACAAATTGGGATCATAAAATATAGGAGTCCAAAATGTTTGCTGCAAAAAATGTAATTTCAGTTATAACATAATCTGAACTAAAATATGCCTTGTATATATAGGGATGGTTTCAATATATATGAACATAGAACATACTTAAAAGGGTTTCATTTCATATATCCGCAATTACTTGTCCAATTATGGAAGGAATTTAACTCGAATTAATGATTTAACGTAATACACTGACTCAAAAAATAATAATTTAGATAGTCAACTGAATTTTCTTACTTTTTTTTTTTTTGGTAGAAGAATTTTCTTACTATAAGTGCCTAACATATGCTTCATATAACGTATCTCTAAACTTCAAATCCAAACTACAAAAATGACCTAAAAAATGCCTTGTCCCCTTTTCACCCTTAATCGTTTATTCATTTATGAATTATGACACTATAGCAACCTATCTTTCTTTATAGAGGCGAAGCTTTTAAACCCACCCTTTAGGAACCATTTAATCCGCAACCACTCGTCATAAGAGATACAAAGTGGACTATTATTGGACTGTCATACTAGGCCGTAAATTGCATCGGGCCCCCAGCTATTCAATCCCAACTCCAGGCCCAATTTTAACGCTTCAGCCCGCTAATGTAGACGAAAAAATATTGAAGAAAAAGGAGCACAAATTTGGTTTTGCCCCCAAATTTATTGAATCAGTAAAATCATCAGCGCTCGCAATTACAAACTACAGTTTGATCACTGTGAAATCAAACTACTACAATTCAATACTTAAAGTAAAAACCCTTGCCAACTGTCTGTCTCCCCCCAACTCAAAAGCAATCAATCCAAGAAATTGATCAAAATCCCTAACCCCCAAATTTCTCCCGTCGGCAGTTCATTCAAAGTCATCACGGCAGCGAGTTGGCCGCCGGCGCCGGCAGCGGAATCAGAGCGACAGATCCCCTCGACGAGCTGGAATACTTGTGGAACACAGTCTTCAATTTCCCATCCTTAACCTTTCCCATCAAATCCACCAAAACCCTCCCGCAATCACTAACCTCCTTCTCCGAGTACCCAGTATGAAACTCCAGGACATCGGTCCAGCCGGGAGCCTGATTCATCATCCTCCTCGCCGTGTAAACAGCCGCCGCAGCAGCCATCGAAGGCGGAAACATTACAGAGCACTCGTAGTCCATCAGGCCGAGCTCCGACAAGTAATTGGCCATGTGCTCCACATCCCCATCGAGCGCCGGAGCTGTGGGCGTGGTCTTCGCGGTACCAGCCTTGGCGAATCGGGCGAGAAAGACGAACTGGGTCGGGACTGTTAGGGTCCACTCGAGATGGGCGAGGATGGTCTTTTCCATGGCTAGAATCTGTTGACCGCAGTAGGCTCTGTCGGAGATTGTGACCAGTTCGTTGACCTCAGGCGGCCAGATCTCTTCGTACTTGGATGCCAATAGAGTGGCGCTGATGCCGACGAGCTGTAATTCCTTCCTCGGCACGGTTTTCACTGAGAGAAAACGGTCGATTACGCTGATTGTGAGGTAAAGAGTCTCTCTGGAGAGATCGAACTTCTGGTGGACGTCGATAAGCCAGTCGACGAGGATGGATCGCATCCTTGTGTTGATCTCCGGCTGTGAATCCATGTAGCAAATCGGCCGGCTTTCATTCTGCATCAAGAAAACCAGAATTGGGCTTGAATAAGTTGCGATGGATTGGAATTTCGTGAAACCTGAGGGGGAAAAAGATTTTGTCTTTTACCTCAACGAGCTTGTAGAATTTGTAGATGTCCTCGACGTAATCGACGGCGGCAAGATGGTTACCGGCGTCTGAGGCATCGATGTTAAACACTTCCTTCTCTTTTGGCTTGCAAGCTATCTGAAAACAAACATACAGAGAGCGAGTGAGAAACAAACAGAGCAGCAATTTGTGAGAAAGGTGAAAGGAGTGGGGGAAATTAGGGACCTTGCTCGAGGTTGTTAGGATGGAAGTGAGGGTCTGAAGTTTCTTGTTCTTCTTCTTAGACCTTTCTTGACACTTTTTCTTGTTACTCTTGACCTCTGAATCAGGGCTCAGGACGATTACTTCTTCGTTGGTCACTGCCGGCTTCGGCTTCGGTTTGGGTACGGCGGCGGCGGCGGCTGTAGGTCTCTTTGTCGCTACAAGCGCCTTCTTTGTCGGCTTGTGATCGACATTGACACAGATTTGCTTCTGGTATTTTCAAAATCGAAGCAAAACCCAAGATTCAGATTGAGTACGATTCAAAACTAGAAACCGAAGAAACCGTTCCACGAGTCGGAGAGGAAAAATAACGGAACCTGGTTGTTATCCGCTGCGGCGGCGGCTTGGGCGTTGGCCAGAAGTTGAGCGCGGAAGCTCCTGGTGAGAGGGCGAGTGATTTGCTTTCCTGGGATTTCAGGAACGGTCCCTGCGGCCAGATTCCCGATGTCGCCTAGAGCTCGCCGGCTCTTGTTCTCCCCTCCGGCGGCCATGGATTTTTTCTGTGGTTCTGGATGGTGCTGCTTGTTCAAACCCCCTGCCGGGAAAAAAACCCAGAGAACCTCATCAGAAAGAAAAAAGAATAGCGAAATCCGGAGCCCCAAACGAATAGATTTGAAGTCAATCGAACTTAATCAAGCAATCAAGATGAGAAAACCTAGAAACAGAGAGAGGCGATTTGGGGGGGGAAAGGGGGAAACTGGAAAGAGGGGGGAAATTCTACCTCTAACTTGCTGTGGAACAACGGGTCTGGACGCCATTTCTTCGCTCTTCTTCTACTTCTACTTCTACTTCTACTCTCAAGAACTCTGTTTTCTCTCTCTCTCTCTCTGATTCCTCTCTGCCAATCTCAGAGTGTGAGATAAAGGGGACAGACGGAGATTTGGGGAATGGTGGCTTGCTTGCCTTATGAAAGGACTTGATTACAACGGTCGAATTCGCTATAGACTTGCGGCCGTTGGATGACTTTCTCGATCCAACGGCAGAAATTTTATAGCTGTTGGACTTAGAGAGAGTGGGGTGAATGAAACTGAACCCGAAATGGAAAAAGGAATTTAAAAATGTAAAAAAACGGAGCGTGGGAGCGGTGGCTTTTGTAAAATTAATGGGCCGGGTGGAATTGGGTTCAGATGGGCTTTATTTCGTTTACGAGGCTAGCAGGCCTAATTAACTGGAATCAATTGGCCCGGACTTTGACTAGGGCTCGTGCCACTATTGCTGTTGATTCGATTGACTAGGCCCTAGTATGGCCACAACAACAACAACAACAAAAAAAGATTGACTAGGCACATACTTTTCTAGTATCAGCAACCCAACTTCTCTAATGAGTAATCATTAGTCCCATTCTCAACCTATTTCTGTGTAAATTATAAATAATTTTAATCGAATCATTTTGGATTTTATTTTTCAATACTTCAACCATAAAATTATAAATATGTGAAAATCTCAATTTCCCAAATAAGTTAACTATATTTATCATCTTATTGTTTGTTTCTTATTTTGTTAATGAAAAAAATGAATATTTCTATTATTTTCCTTTTAAATTATACGCATCTATGGGTCGATCTATCCCAGCTTACCCTCTATGATAAAAAAAATTCAATCTACCACGAGACAGACATAAATATTGAGATACCCGTCCTAACCTGCCATCCTCACTCCTAATGGTGAACTCGATAAGTACCTAACGGTCTGGTTTCGTTGATTGGGAAAATTAAGTAATTGGTTAACTAGGCCACTACATCTCAAACCGTAGCATGCAACAAAATATATTACAGCAAAGCATAAACATCACTAGAAATATATTGAAGCAAGTCCCATTTTCGGTCAAACAGACTTTCACAAACCCAAACTTTTACAGCCGAATTATCCAAAGATTTTTTTTAAAAAAAAAAAAAGTACATACACAACAACGTGAAGTATACACTTCTATACTTCACCTGATCTCATCACACGACCAACAAAGTAGACTTCTGTTATTATGCATAATAATTAATCAGTACAACATATACTCGAATAATAATCCTTAAAAACACTTGATTTAGACGGCCGGGCACCCCTTTAATTTTAGGAGGGACACTTGAACCCAGGGGGAGGAGTCTTGCCACAGTCAACGAGGACCTCGAGAGCAATGGGGAGGACGATGTTCAAGTTGAGCAGCTTCAACTTGATGGTGGTGCAGAGGCACAACGCAGCGTCGAGGTCCACGAGCCCTTCGAGAACCGGGCAGCAGGTCGACTTGGCACTCTCCCCGATCCCCACGTGGATCAGCCCGCCCAGCAAGTCCACGCACGCCCCCAGCTTGAGAGTGTCGATGGGGCAAGTCTCCGGCTTCGGCGGCGGGTAGGATGGCACTGGCGGCGGCGGCGGAGGGCAAGGCGGCTCCTTGGGTGGCGTTGGTGGCTTGACCGGTGGCTTGGGCGGCTCGACCGGTGGCGGCTTCGGCGTGACCGGGGGAGGGTACACAATTGGTGGTGGGTTGGGAACCACGGGCGGCATGGGGATTGGTGGATGGACAATGGGTGGCGTGGGTTCAACCGGTGGTTTGGGGATCGGTGGTGGGTAGACTATTGGTGGCTTGGGCACGACCGGCGGCTTGGGAATCGGCGGCGGGTGCACCACCGGCGGCATAGGCACAATGGGCGGCTTGGGGACATGGGGTGGCTTCACGACCGGCGGCTTGGGCACATGGGGCGGCTTCACCACCGGTGGCTTGGGCACATGGGGTGGCTTCACGACCGGCGGCTTGGGCACATGGGGCGGCTTTACCACCGGCGGCTTGGGTGGTGGCTTGACGACCGGCGGCTTGGGCACGTAGGGCGGCTTGGGTACGTGAGGTGGCTTGGGAACATGAGGCGGCTTGACGACCGGTGGCTTCGGCGGTGGCTTTGCATGAGGAGGCTTGGGCACGTGCGGTGGCTTGACGGCCGGCGGCTTAGGAGGGTGGTGAGGTGGCAGCGGAGGGCAAGGCGGAGGAGGGTGAGAGCAGGAGGGGCAAGCGAGGGAGGTAGGGAGAAGAAGCAAGGCTTCCAAGTTGAGGAGCAAGAGGAGGGCAGCTAGAGAGAAGAATGGCTTGGCCATTTTTTGGAGTGTGTGCGATTCTTTTAGTTGTGGAGAAGCTTTTGTTATATAGACACACAAGTGAGCTAGTGAAGTGATAGATATTGCGAGGGGTTTTTTCTTCTTCTTTTTTTGGGTTTCAATTAGAGTTGTTGCCTTGTAGTTCATTGCTATAGTTTTGTCATGATTCATGAGAGTACACAAGGTGACAAGTTGGGGGTAATAATAGTGTATCTATATGTGTACATAGGGGCTCATGAATCATGATGATGATGACTTTTGTAGGGCTTGTTCTTTTGTAGTTTGGTCCTATTATCAAATGGAATTTTGGGTTCTTTGGGGATGTGAAATTTGTTCCTGTGTGTGTAGAGGTGGGTTACAGGTGGTGGTACTTGTTCCTTAGAGACAAATCTAGTGTAGTTGTGATACTAAGTGGACCATATAGAACCATAGGTAAGAAAAGATTGTGTATGCTTTATAAAGACCATTATAGTCAGCTTACTATGAATTAGACGCTTGACGTCAATCTTTTAATAATAATAATAAAAGATCATTATAATCGGAAAAATTATTATTACACATAAATTAAAGGAACATGCTGGTTTTAGGGACAACGAAAACTTTAAACGGATAGACACTTCAGTCACAAATACCGAATTAACTAAGTAGTAGTTAAAACACAATAAAGAAGGAGCTAGCTAGAGCCTAGAAGTATATATGCGCACACAACAAAAAAATGTCTCCATTATATTACACCACTTGGACTTCAAATTTGGGCATGATTAGATGTACAAAAGCATCTTCTACAAATGGAAGGCAACGTTACTTCACAACCAAAACAATGGTGAAGAGAGATTCAGTAAGGAAAGTAGCTAGCTTGTCAATTTGCTTCACTCCCCTCTCCAAGACGTTGAATTGGTGAGCTTTGCATATACATGCATGTAAAGTAAACCCAACTTATTAGGGTTTTTGGCTTTGTGGGACAGACGACAAAAAGAGGAAACCCCAGCGCCCAGAAATCGAGCAGCCATGGACGACGTGGAAGAGAGCTACGTCGACACCAGCACGTTGAATGATGAGATGAGAGGTGGGCGAAGCTTTCAAGATCTTAATAGCAAAAAAGGACAGAGAGATTCGAAGGAATGGAAATAGCGATAATAAGACTTCTCCATAATATGGCCAAATTACATATCTTCTTTCACATACCCGTCTCTACCCTTTTACTCCTCGGGCCCGTGACATATTTTTGACTGCTTCTGCCGGCGTCCGACAGCTTTACACTGCATGCATGTGACTTACCCTCCACTAGCTTAGCTACTACTTCCTCCTGCTCGTAATTGAACAATCTTACTAGCTAGAGCCCGAAACCCTAACAACTAATCAACTACGCTAATCCTCGATGGTGAGATCCCTTTATTTAAGCCTCCAATATTATAACATAAGCCAAGTTCGAAGCTATCCCGGTAATGTAACTCGAATTGTTGAGAAAATTTCGACTGTCGATATAGGAGTATCGTCGTTCGAATGATCACGAAACATCTGATCGTCCGTACTTGTGATGGACTATCTTATTTGATGTCGGCCGAACTCGATCGAGAGCACTCTGCCGGCGTCGATCAGTCATATATAAGACCCCGTCATTCAATCACCGTTTACTACTAATAATTACAAACTATCAGTAATCATCGATATCTTTTCACCTAACCCACGAGCACAAAAGTATAAATTAGTTAGGCTATGAAAGGGAGAGTGCCTGCAGGGAGCCCTAGTTGTACTCGTCGGCACAAGAGTACAAAGTGAACATTTATTTGCATGAAATCGACTACCACAAATTCCTGTACATATCAAGTTACAACGTACGTACGTAGCCCTAGGTTTTCTACTTTCCAAGGGCCACTGATAGACAGACTCCTCTGAATAGGAACGACAATGACGCAGGTCAAAGCGGGAATACGGGTATTCATGCTTGTTCATTGACAGGTCTATCGGGTTTAGGTTGAGTATTTTTATCTTGAGGTAGTAGTTGATACGGGTTAATATGAACGAGTACGCATTTTGAAGGAAAATTTGTTTTCTCATTAAAAAAATTTCGAGATAGAAACTATATGTAGCATGATAAATGAAGTTTAATTAATGTGGAAACAAAGGTTTCTCATCGAGTAAAATTATAAACAAAACGAATCGAGAATAGAGCAGGTCAGGATGAGATCAGATCGAAATGAGTATCCGCACCTGTCTCGTCCCGTCTACACCTAAGAAACATGTATTATCTTTACCCAAAAACAAATCATACAAATCTAGTAAGGCGAGACAAGATTGAAATTGTCATCGCCATCCCTAAACAATTCATACACCTAGACCTAGGGACAGGGACCCGTATATATAGTAGTGTCCATGAAATCGTACCGGCGGTTCAACCACGAAATACCAGTATCGGAGACTAAATCAATAGACGGTATTTACTGGTATAACGGTTGAACTACGATTAAACTACGGTTTTACCATAAAATACTCTACCGCCGATAGAATTTCATGCACCATATAATATATACCAAAACATAGAAATGGACCCGCTGCAAACCGTGTTTAGGCCACGAAATTCCGGGCGGCGACGAGGGGATGTGGGCCTGGCAGGCCAGCCCGTGGGGCCCAGTCCTCACGGGCCCGAATAAATCCGATGAGAGTCCCTTTCAGCTTTTTTTTCTTCTTCTTTCACGTCTGCGGCTAATTGCAAACAGCTCGCGCTAAACGACATTACCTTCCACCAAATCCGTACTACCGGACAACTCCATTCCTATCCCTTCAAAGTTCAGAGCCCCTACTTACTGTGACTCTCTAGGGTTGTTGAATGTTCTTCCATTGACCGTAGTCGTAGTCAGAAATCTGAATAAGAAGTAAATTGTTCAAAAATAAATGTTTTGAACGATGATATGAAAAGATCACCGTTAATTTTACTGAATATATAGTTTCATATATCTTTCTATCTAATGGTTTCAAAATATAGTATGTGCAATGAAGTATCGTATTGACCTTAAATTTCATATAATGTCAACGATCCACCGTCCAACAAAGAGTCAGCTGTCACGGCACAACTTTGCATCTCCCTGATACTCTCGATATACTCGGAAAGGTATCACATGCGCCAACCGGATAAGAGTTCAACATCAATGAATGTGAATGCGATAACATTGTTGATCTAGCTAGCTAGAATAGAATTTGGATGCTATATGTGGATAGAAAAATGCCACATTTTTGGCGGTTGGTTTGGCTGGCACAAAATCTATCTTGCATGGGAAAGTTAGGTGGACTTGGCATTGGTAATGGTGGGCCGATCGGAAAGTTAGGTGGGCTTGGCATTTGTGTTATCGGACTAGGTTGGGAATTAGGTGGGCTGGGAGTGGGTGGTGGGTCGTGGGCCGGAATACCCGATAGTGTTGGCGGTGAAAGTTGTTGGCTTGGTGAAGAAGGTAGGGCAAATGGTGGCTCTGCACAAGGAGGAGAAGGAGCAGGAGGAGGTTGTTGTTGCCACTGCAATGGAAGTTGTGAGAATGATCCCATTGGATTTTCCTCATCCGCTAACTCAGTATCCTCGTCCAACGTTTCATCCAGAGGCATATTGTCATTGGCTACTCCTAGAGAGTTCAGTGCTCGTGCATCTATAAAGCAAACCCAATATATGGTCACAACCTTCAATCGTCATATTATTGAGAATGGAGAAATTCACAAGATAGAAAAGATAGAATACCGGTGAGACCGAAGAGCGAAAGGTGTAGAAGCAAATGCAGTGAGGAATGAACATGGTGGCATCTTCATCTTTTATGGTAATAATAATAAGAGGGCTCTTCAGATTGTGATCTCGCATATGGCTATTTATTGATCTTTGGGTAACCTCTTTTAGGGAGCTAACATTAAGATTGTGGGAAGATACAAAAAGGGTAAAGTCCCCATGGAATCATGGTTTCTTTTGGGGGTTTAAGGAATATGTTACTTACTTAAGGGAAGAGGAAGATGTAGACAACTTTTGAAGTTTAGATTTTGTTTCTCTTTTGTCATCCAACTTTTGTTAATGTTGCTTTGCTTGGTTGCTACTCAAGTTGTTAGTATAATACACTGTTCAAGGTGTTGCAAAGATAAACTAGCACTCATATAAGGCTAGAGCTAAACCCCTTCTATTCTGTTTCAAACTTGAGCAGATAAAACCATGACAATTACATCCAAATACAATAAATTGCTCTCTAGCATAATCAAAATGTCAGAGTTCGAATCTCAAAAATGCCCTCCGAATGGATCAGGTAAACTGCAAAAGGGAGATCATGTAATGCTGGTTTCTTGCTAAGATGATTCAAACTGCAGTTCTGGTCATAGTACACCACGGGTATTAACTCAAAGTTTCCCTATTAACCGTGCACTTAACTTGGTGCGAGTTAATACGTCTTTCTCACATTTCATCTGAGGAAAAACTACCCAATCACCAATGTACAAATGGCGATCTAAAGATCGTGTCGCGGCAAAACTGAAGCAAGTGGCTGGCAGCATTAGGTTCTTCGAAAGTTTTTGGGAGCAGAGACTCTGCTCGGCCACGGGCTATGGAGAACCTAAGTTACTGCCACCGGTGTGAAGGAGATCCCCTCCTGATGCTTATTGATCTGCTGTACACTCAGCAAAACTAAATGGTCATGATGTCGTCTTTCGATATGTGCATCTTTGCTTTATCTCGTCTACCATTTACTTGCCCCCGCTCTGGTTGGCCTCTCTGATCAAGACACAGAGCCAGAGTTTTAGTCTTAGGAAGAATATGTAGAGATGTTATAAGAATGGCAGGGAAAATGGTTTACCTTTCTCAAGGCGAATGCAAGGTACAAGTATGCTACTTCCCATTCATCTGGCGATAGGGTGCCTGGACAGCAAAACCAAGGCAGTAAGTAAAAGGAGAGGATGGAAACAGAAACCAAAAAGGCATGGAAAGACAAGAAGCAGGTTACTCTTGTCCCGATCATCCCCCAAAGCACCAAGCCGCCGCATTAGGTCGACGTATTCTGGTTTCTTTAAGTACTCATGGACAAAGTCATGTGCATTCTTCGCAAAAACTAGCTCCAGATCATACTGCATAATAGAACAGGACATTGTGCAGGTTTTCAGCACAGACGGCTACAATAATAACCCATTTAGGTCATCTTCAAAACCAACAGTTTACCTCATCTGCCAACGCTTTAAAGACATCAACAGGCACAATCCATTCTGGACAATCAACGGCATCCTGCAATAACAGACAGCAAATCTCGAAATTTAGGTTGATTCATCAATCGGAAGTATCCCATGAATAATCTATTGATAAGAGGATTAAATACCTCTAGGTGGAACTGGTACTTGATACCGAAAGGAGAAGACGAGCTAAAGCTCTGAATCAAAGAAAGGGTAAGGTGTCATCCTCAAGGGTTGCAGTGTTCAAATCCAAGGAGATACGTATAAAGAACAATAATAATAATTCACCTTTTCTGTGTATTCTTCATCAAAACGAATCCAATACACACTATTGCCAAACGACAGTCCATCAGCTGTACATTGACATAAACCGCATCTTTAATCATGGGTTTTACTTAGGGGGTCTGCAAAGGCCAATTTATATCTCTCTCACAAAAAGTAGTGCAGAATGGGGAAAATATCTCAAGTTTGCTCACAAAATTTGTCAAGGAAAAGCAAAAATGGGTAACTCACATGCTCTGAGTTTTCTTATGATAACGTTAGCATCTGGCATTGTTCCAATAAAAGTACCCCCAGGACGTAGTAAGGCCGAGACATTGGCCAAAGCTCTCCGTGCACGTTTCTCAGTAGACCAAGAATAATGTAGGGCAAACTGCATCAATATGTGTTCGTTCCTAGTCATGGAAAATGTATATGGAAAAACCAGGCAATTCTAATCACATTACACAATGGCAAAGTTTGACTGGGAATTAGCAAAAGCAGAATAACAAATTAAACTCTTAATAAGGATAATCTATAAAACTAGTTGGGCACAGAGTGCCTTCTGCCAAAGTAGCAAGAAATTGTGGAAGTAGAACCAAACTAAATGCATTGTGATATAAAGAAAATAATAAACACTTATTAGCTAAGCAAGCTCGTGGCAAAACCATCCAACAAACATTGAAAATTGAGGCTACATAACTGTCTGTAAAAAGGCTTGTAATTTACCTGACAGCTGCAGACATCAAAAGGAGCATCATCAGCAAGGACCTTGTCCAAGCGAATCTGCAATAACAAATCAGAACATGGGTATATCAGATGATGGCACAATTTTTTCAACGAGGGGTAATGAATCATTGAATCATCATGAAATGATCTTCAAACTAACAAAGAGGAATCATGAAATCTGGCACCATTAAATAGTTCTGTTCAAAGCAATAACTGAGCTGAAATTACCTCATAACAGTCTCCACATATAAGACGAGCTGGAAATGAAAACTTCTTACGATTTTGATGATGATTGGCATCACCATTATAACGGGTTCGACAATCCTCGATCTGTCATGAATAGGGTGTTGCAAAATCAATAAGACTGATTATAAATCAGCTATCTAAGCAGCCCAAGGCGGAAGATTAAGGAGCAATTAAAAACATATTACCGAGCCTTCAGCAATGTCAACACCAACATAATATCCTACTTTTGCTTTATCCCACTTAATAAGATCTCCACCCTGGAAAACCAAAACAAATTTTATTAAATAATTTGCAAAGGTTCCATTAGGCGGATCCAAGGAGCAACTGAACTTACCTTCCCACAAGCTAGATCAAGAACAGCATCCCCTCTACGAGTATACAGTTGGATTAAGACACTTTTTATCTGTCAAATTGATGGTCCAACCAAGTCAATCCACCATTCTATCGAGCTTCAGAAGTCTACCGCAATAAAAGTAATGAAACATACCCAGTTGTTAAGTTTCTTTAAATGAATAATTGGACTCGATTCTCGCTCTGCCAGACTCTGATTTGTCCTTGCACTGTAATGGTTCGCCACTTTCTGAACAACATCCTCAGAATAGTCGGCATCACCTAGAAACACAAGAAAAGCTCAAAACTCTTATTGGTCTGAAAAACAAAGAGCAGAGATGGAAGCTTCTCCAGTTCTCCAGCTTTCTCAATATGCGATCGTGGACAGAATGCACAGTTGCAAGTAAATCAATTGAAACAACTAAAATCCAAGAATCAAATTTCACATTGGAAGTGAGATCAATCACAAGCAGTATTACTCCAACCTAACCAAAAATCAGAAAGTTCCAACCTTTATTACTCCAACCTAACAAAAAATCAAACTAGGAACCCGTAAGAGCTAAAACCCAATGTCGAAAAGACCAACAACCTGCTATCTCAACAAGGAAAACATCATCTTAGCACGAGCAATTCCTACTTCAAAGTTCACCAACCCCTTCTCTAAAAAAAGCCACCAGAATTCGTAAGCAATCCAGCCAACAGAAACCATGTTCAGCAATCAAATAGCTTAAAAACAGAAACGATCCTTACCTTCAGCGGAGTGCTTCAATCTGGATTTAGGAGGACCACCAGAGTTGGACGGAGAACCCGTGTACCCACGTTTCATGGCGTCAAGGAATTGAAATGACCACCAGAGTTCCAAACAATCACAGAAGCGCAACCAGCCCTGAACCCCCCCAGAGAGGAAGAAGCAAACAAGCAGGGGTTCGGGCGTCGGGCGCGACGCAAACTTCTAGGGTTCTAAGAAGGGGCGGAAATGGATCGAATTCGAAAGCGATAATGGAGGGATTCTATATGTTAAACAGGGAAAAGGGCGGCTGCCGCAGAAGCTCGTTCAATTCAAAGGGGTTGGTTGGTTTCTTTCGTTCGTTAACGGTAATCGGTGGCGGTTGAGCTTGGAAAAGGGAGAAAGCAAAGAAGCTGGAGGAAGAAGAATGAGGAGAAGGAGAAAGAAAGAGTGAATGAGACAGTGAAGGATGACGGTGGTCGTACAAACGCACTCCACCGGGATTTTACCAGTTTACGGCTGTCTTTCTTTCTTATTTTTATCTCCTTTTACTTCCTTCTTCGTTTTTTCCTTTTTACCTGAGGAAACGGCGAAAACCCTTTTCTTTTTTCCTGCTTCGACTACAAAGTAATTTACGCCATGGTGCTTTTAAAATAAAATAAAATTTATATAGTATGATCTATGATTCTTGATATCTAATTTACCTATTATAAGATCACAACTTCGGGGTTTTATAACAAAAGTCAGTGTATTTGTTCATTTCTCGGTTAGTAAAATGATAATAAATATAAATTATTTAGTCAATTTACGCTTAAGATTTTGAGTTCAATCTCTTCTATGATACAAGATTTATATGGATTAGATGTGTAATGCAATGCAATTAAGAAAGATAACCATATGATAGAGACACCAAAATCAACCAATGTAGAAGAATGATCACCAAATGGTTGAACTGACTATTATACAACCCAATGGTTTACTTCGGCGTCTATATAACAGCAAAATTCACCCCAATTATCACAAAGATACAAAATTGGAAGAATGATCAGAAGATATTTACATTTAGTTTCACATCATACAACAAATGAATCAAGTTGATGTCAAGTTCTTGTTAAGCTTGAACCACAGCTTCCAATTGGCAGCTTGAGCTAAACTCCAGTCTCCACTACTTCATTCATCCCCACAGCAGTTGGCAACCCAACTAAGCAATCAGACGCATGTCAAAAAGCCTCTCAACATTTTCAATCAACTGCACGAAGAACGGACCGAATCAACTTCCAACCGCTCGGCAACCTGTGCCTCAGCTCGTATTCATGGAAGGGATAGTCCATAACAAAGATCATGAAGCTCAAGAGAACCAATGTCACCATGTATGTATGCTCTTGTAGTAATCTGTAACCGTACTTCAGCAACAGCTACTTTTCACTATTCGCTTTGGTAGGGGATAAACCCATTGTACTAGCCTTCTTACCAGCCTTCTCGGCTTTCTTCCATCCTAGCAAGTGTAGCCGTGCCATAGCGACCCGGAGCCTGTGAAAGAGAGAAACAAGAAAGACCATCAGACTAGCTTTGCTCCAAAAGTAAGATTTCTGAAGTACGGTAAAGTTCAGAGCAAGTACCCAATGCTGAGTGATGATGGTTGTCTTTCGGTTTAAGAAGATTAAGTCATATTGCTCCATTTGTAAGGGAACCAGATTAGCAATAGCAAATTGGAATCAGACTCAGATAGCTGTGATAAGAAAGAAAGGCAACCGAAAGTTGAACTTTTGCAAATTCAGTCTAAACAATCAAGCATGGATGTGGAGTATCACCTGGTCACTGCAGCAGGTATCTTATGAATCATGATATTAAATCAGGGTCCTCGCCAGATTTGTGCGATGATGGCATCTGACTTCCAGACAGAAATAATTTCCTCCAGAAGGAACTCAACTAACTCCTGCAAATTGTATAAGCGGCCACTTTGTTCAGAAAGGAATTGACTAATTAACATCTGTTACTCTAAGGTAGTATGGAGAAAAATTCAAGGGACTTCACTGATATACATAGGCCATACCCAAAGAGAGAGGCACAAAACAAGCTAAAGCATAAAAGCTTGTGCTAAATCCAGCCAGGATCACCCGCTGATGCCAAGTTCTCCATGGAAACAATGGCTTCCTTTCAGCTTCATTCTGCAAATAACCCAATAAGCTTTCAAGAAGTTGAAAAAGAAAACTGGACCCAAATAGATTATAGAACTTGTAACAGTGAGCAAAATCCTCCACCCACACTAGTGTCCTCTCTAATATAATCTACTAAACACTGGCTATCATAAGAAATAGACACAAGAAGTTAACAACTATGTATCTCATGAAAATCAGAGATTTCATAAGATAACTACAATAGAGCTCCTATCAAGATAGATGAATCACGAGAAACAATGTTTTTCTTCATTTCAGTAATAAAGCATACCATCTCTTATAATTAACATGCACGGGCTGCTAGAAAGCACAGGACGAGTTTTTAGGCTGTGAAGGTTACCAATGCACCTAACAAGAATTTAGCCATCACGAGTCTTCTGAAATATCAGAAAGAAATCATTATTTTATCATCTGAAAATAACGAATTGCCTTCCTAAGCTTCCTTGCATCTGCTTCAAAACCAGCACGCTGGAGGCCATTGAGAACAGCTTGCTTAGCTGCGGGGAGTATTCTAATCCCTTCTCTTGCACAAGAGAGCAATAGCTCTTTTGCACAGCCCAGCCTTCCAGCCTTGGAAAGGTTGTAAACCAATGACGAGTACGTAAATGAATCTCTCCCCTCCATCGACTCAGTCATTCTCCAGGCAAGATCAAACTTGCCAGCTTTACCTAAGCCGTCAATAACAGAGTTTGTGGCAGCAGAGGTGGAATCAACACCGCTGATACTCATAGTCATCAAGTGTTGTCGAGCCGCCTCAATGTTGCCAGCCTTACGCAATCCATCCACAATTATGGTATTTGTGTAATTATCAAATTCCAAACCTTTTTTCCCCATTTCATCAATCCAATTATCAGCTTCATCCAACTTTCCTTCTTTACATGAGAGATTCATTAGCGTATTGTATGACACTAAATCAAGCTCAATACCATTCGTTATCATCTCTTCTCTGAATGAAGCTGCTTGTTCAATTCTACCAAGCTTGAGCAGAGCTCCAAGTGCTGTACAATACCCAAACCCGTCATAAGTGTACCCTTTACTTCTCATCTCGTCCAACACCCTAAGTCCTTGATTCAATTTTTTAGACTTAAACCAACATTTCATCATCGTAGTATAAGTTACAGCATTGGCAACTTGTCCAGAAGCCTCGCATTCCCGGAGGGCCCTTCTAGCAGCACCCAATTTCCCAGCTTTACACAACCCATCAATGAGAACATTATAAGTAACCACATCGGGATCAAACCCATGTTCCTTCAAGTACCGGAACAGACCAAGTGCCTTACTAGCATACCCATTCTTGCAGAGACCATTAATCAAAATGTTATAAGTAGCAGGAACGGGTGTCATACCTAGTGAATTGATATTGTTCAACATCTGATAAGCTTCAACCGGCTGCCTCAGCTCAAAGAAACAGTGCATCAAAGTGTTGAAGCTCCAAACATCCGGGGTTACGTTTCTCTCAAGCATCTCGTCGAACAGTTGGAATGCATTGTCGAACAAGCGCCGCCTGGCAGCACACGCAATCAAAGAATTGTAAGACACCACATCGGGTTCCATCCCGGCTTCTTCCATTCTACCCAGAACAGCATAGGCAGCCTCGATGCTAACTAGACGACCGTAGCCATTGATTAAGGTATTGAAAGTAACCACATCCGGGAGAACTCCCAGTCTAATCCCATCGATAATCACCGTCTCCGCTCGCTTCAAATTCCCAGCCTTGCAGAAAGATCTCACGCACTCATTCAGTAGTAAGTTCTCCAAATTCACCCAAACATCTCTCTTCATCCCACTTCTCTGCTTTCTACTAACCACAACCAACTAGCAAAGAAATGGACGAAATTTCGCATACCCAGATGGCGATTTCGTCCTCTCGAAGCAAAAATGACCCCAACGCAAGGAAGTCGAAACCCGGCTTGCAGGCGGTTTTTGGAGCCAAACTGAATTGCAGGAGACAATGGAGAAGAAGAAGCTGTAGCCTGGAAGCGTAATTGACTGGGCCTCGTCGTCAAGAAGTTAAGCAGGCCCAAGTGGATAGTTGGCTGGTAGCCCAACCCAATGTAAGCTCTTGGGCTCAATAATTCGGGCCTGGCCTAACTCGATTTTCCCTCGTCTTTTATTTATTCCCACCAAAAAGAATGGCAATAAATGTCGGGAAAGGATAAACGGATAAAAAGTTAAAAACTATCACGGGACACCCGCCGAAGATTTAAATTTTTAAATGCAACGGTCTCCTTTCCGATGCCATCTCAATTCTACAAAAAGCAGAGCATGGAAAAGAAAAGGGAAACAGAGCAAAGCAACGGTAACAACGAATCCGAATCCAGGACGGAGAGAAAAGGAAAAGGGAGATCAGGATGTCGAATAATAAGAAGAGGAAACAAAGGGGGAAAGAAGAGGTAGGAGAAGAAAGAGAGGGATTTCTGAGCCCAAATTGCAGAGTGGTGGAGTATCTTCAGCCACTGATGTCGAAGGAGCTACTGGTCAAGTTCCCGGACAACTCCGACTTCGATTTTAACTACTCCGAGAGCTCGATATGGTCGCCTCTCGTCCCTCGTATCCACAATTATGGTGGTGGGTTCCCGTCAGATTCGGAAAACAGGGGCGAGAGGCCGAGGAAGAGGATGAAGGTGAAGAAAATGGCGGTGGCAGGGGAGGTTGAAGCAAAAACTGCCACTTCGTGCAACTTCAGTTTCGGATTGACGAAGATGAAGAAGAAGAAGAGGAAGGAAGGAATAATGGTGGACTCTGTTTTCTCTTCAAATCCTGTGGAGGGCTCTGTTTCCTGTGCCCCTCTGGCTACTAAGGTAACGCCAAGTTATCCAAAATTTCTTTCCCTGTGGTTCCTTTTGATTGGATTATGCCTATCAGATTTCTTCGTAGTAACTTCATTTTCTTGGGTGGCGGATCTGTGTAGGGTTGGAATAAGGTGCTGAAAGCTGCCACTAAGCATTTTAAGAGGAGCAAAACGAAGACGACGAAGAGGAGAGATCCACGTGTCAGGCTGTCCAACTATCTGGTGAAATTCCCTGAAGAATTATGATCTTCTTCTTCCCCTGAATTCGCATTTGCCAGTTCTATTTTATGATAACAATATTCTACGTTGTCGAATCTTCATGTATGGAAATGAAAGTGAAACGAAAGATAGGAAGTTCCATCTTTCATCATAAAACAATGCTGCCAGTCCATCTCGTGTTGCTCTGGCCGACTGTCTTTTTCTACGAGGACAAGCGAGTGCTAATCGTCAAATCGCAATAGGAGACTAGAAAGCAAAGAAGGAACTAAATAGTTGTCGCCGGAATGTGATTGACTATTGAATATTGATATGGTCCATGCCTCAACCTATAGTTTGAATTGAATTTCTTGTGTGAGTTTCTTATTAATAGATGGGGGACGATACCAACGAATGATTACAAGTTAGGTTGAGAAAAAGGAGAAGCTTATGTATGGCCTTTATGAAAATTTAGAATCACATAATTTTTGGATTTACGACGTTGTGTTAGGTATTGGCAGATCAAATTCTATGCAGCTTCGAGTTGAACACATTATAAGTTAGTAATTGATTCGGGCTATGGTACAAGGTATAACTTGTAATTGCATTGAATCTATCGTTTTTTCTCTCTCTTCTTCTTGAGCGTAAATAGGATGATACGGACCAACCCATAACGATGACTAAAAAGACGGGGAAGGGGATGCATAAAAAATTCATGAAGACTCCACTTAGATAATTGCGGTGTTGCATCGTTGCTTTAAACTTCTCAGACTAGATTCCATTGCGCTACGAGTTCTGACGAGCTGCAGGTTTGTGACATTTTTGCTTGATTCGGGCTTGTGTGGGTCGTTTTATTGATTGTTGCAAACAAGATTCACGAGAGTTCTAACTGTTTAGATGTGTAAAAGAGTTAGGTTTCTATTTGTTTTGACTCGTACGGATTAGTTACATTATGGATGGATCGAATTTCGAGCCAATGAGGAAGTGAATGCAGCATGCATGTATTCCAAGTCCATCAAATCATGTGTTGGACGAGTTGTGCATCATTGACTTTATGATCCAGTTTGGTCAGATATCGACAACAATAACGAAAATCAAAACTTAAGAAGTGTCATCGGGATGGTCCATTCTTACAATGATCAATCAACAACATGATGAAACGACTGGCTTTGGACTTTTGACTTGAATAGCATCTTCATCATTCGGCTGGAATTTGAAAATCCAGATTTATAACACTAGGACAAACCGCCGACTGGGGGAAACAATTCTTACTATCAACGAAGCTACGTGAGATATTATGCATCTTTGGCGAAACCTTATGTAAGTTTTCCTTGGAGAAAAAAAAAAAAAAAAAAAGAGAGCAAAAACAGAATCCTCTCTGCCGTGCCGGGACCGGCTTTCTAAAGCCGTGAGAATTGAGACTCTTACCGGAAGAAGTCAAATTGCAATTAAAAAGGGACGACCTTGTAATTAGACTTCATTGTGATTTCGTGAAGAACAATGACCTTTGTACTTTGAGTAAACTCACTGACTGAAATGTCAACAAATGTCAAACGTTGTAGTGTTGCTTCTTGCTAGGTGTTTAGGAATTGTTAGGTTGTCATGCAATTTTCTTTTTTTTTATACTAGATGCATATCAAGAAGCAGAAACATACACAACCACATTACAAGTAGGAATGGCAATGGGCAGGTTCGAGGCGGGTATCTCGATATCCATACCCGCTCCGTGGCAGGTCGGGTCCGGGTCGGATAATTTATCATGGGGCGCGGATCGGGGCAGGTCGACCCATTGGGTATATAATTTATGCGAAAAACATTCGAATTATTCATTATTTTAATTAAAAGACCAAGAAAAAAAAACCATAATTTGATAAAATGTAGTTAAATTATTAGAGAAATTGAGTTTTTAACTTATTTACAACTTTATTATACCTAAAATATTATGTAATGAGAGGAAAATTCTAAGTAATTTGACTAAGATTACATGTAACTTAGGCCAGAACGGGTCGAGTATGGGGCGGGTCAGGGCAGGTCGGGTCGATGAGAGGTATCCATTCCCGCCCCGCCCCGCCCGCCCCAAACCAGGTCAAACAGGTCGGGTAAATCGGGTCAGGTCGAAATTGCCATCCCTAATTACAAGACCGACAACAATCACATATATGATATTATGTATGCAACTGATTAGCTAGTGATGTGAAAAGTCTATTACGTCAGTAAATGGGAAGCTCTATTCGATCATCGGGATGCAAAATAACACGAAACAAAAGAAAACGACGAGAAAAGAGAATGAACTTCTTCCTCCATTTAAAGATCGCATCGTGGATTAGGTGGTTAATTGCAGGTACTATCACATCAAATTATCTATGATATGTTGCTTCTTAGATAATATATACACTGATATGATTTTTACACGAAGCAATATAGGTATACCTTTTCTAGAAAAATGAAAGAAATTATATAGTTTTATGAAGTGAAATGATTCGAGAGATTGAACTTCACATTTAGTAACGGACACATCGATAGGAGTATGTCAGAAAAAACACGAATCTACACATTTTGATAAAGTCGATCAAATACAAAGGGTAAGGTCAAGAAATCATGTCGCGAACAAACTAATATGTAACGTTGAGGTTAAACTTGTCATTCACTCATTTGTGCATTACATTTTTCCCTATAAAACCCACCCTCAAAATCACAACTCCAAACCACCACATTCAGCTTCCATAGAAACAAAAAAAAAAAAGGCACTTCCACTTCACTTCTTTTGCACCCTCTCCCACAAACTCCTTTCGCCATAACCATGACAAACCCAGAGCTCATCATGATCCCAATCCCAGCAATCGGCCACCTCCCGCCGATCTTCGAGTTCTCCAAGCGCCTCGTCTCTCGAAACGATCGACTCTCCGTCACCATCGTCCTCATAAGAACACCTTTCACCCCTGAAGTCGACTCCTTCTCCGACTCCTTGGCCGCTTCATGCGACCCGAACCGAATCAAATTCATCAGAATCTCAGGCCAGAGTCTCCCTTCCCCTGAATCCATCCTCTCCATCCACACTTTCTTCCCTCAATTCCTCGATTCCCACAAGGACGCCGTCAGAGAAGCTCTGCTGGCGGATCGCGCGAACAGAGGCTCCCCTGTTTCCACGGTGGTGGGCGTGGTGGCGGATATTCTGACGACCGCCGTGGTCGAAGAGGTCGGGAAAGAGCTCGGAGTGCCCACCTACCTTTTCTATCCTTCCTCTGCAGCGTTTCTGGGCCAGTTGCTCAGATTCCCGGCGGAATTCCGGCCGGAGGTGGCCGCCGGAGATCCCGACGGCGAGATTATGTTCCCGAGCTATGTCAACCCTGTCCCCAACAAGCTACTCCCGTCGATAATGCTCGACGGGGAAGGTTACGCGTCGGTGAATGATCATATAAGGAGGTTCAGAGGAATGAAGGGCATTGTGTTGAATTCGTACTTGGAGCTGGAAGCTCGCGCCGCTATGTCCTTGGAGGGAAAGGACATGGCGGGGAATTCGTTACCTCCGGTTTTCTGCGTCGGCCCTGTGATTGACGCGAAAGGGCAGGGCAAATTGGGGGAAATTACCAACTCCTCGGTTGAAAAGATCATGACTTGGCTCGACGATCAACCTCGAAACTCGGTGGTTCTGCTCTGTTTCGGGAGCGTGGGGAGCTTCAGCGACGCTCAGCTGAAGGAAATTGCGGCAGGGCTCGAGCTAGCTGAAGGCCAGCGGTTTTTGTGGGTGATCCGCGAGGCGCCATCGAAGGAAGCTCTGGGGATGCCCAAGGATTACCTCGACTACTCCGAGTCCGGCGGTCTGGCGGGCAACTTAGGAGAAGGGTTTCTGGAGCGGACGAAGGGGAGAGGAATTGTGTGCGGGTGGGTCCCACAGGCTGCGGTGCTGGCCCACGAGGCGGTCGGAGGGTTCGTGTCGCACTGCGGGTGGAACTCGGTGCTGGAGAGCCTCTGGCACGCGGTGCCCGTGCTGGCGTGGCCGATGTACGCAGAGCAGCAGATGAACGCGTTTTATCTTGTGACGGAGCTGGGGCTGGCGGTGGAGATGAGGGTGGACTACCGGATGGAAGAAGACACGGTGGTGAAAGGCGATGAGATCGCTGAGAAGATCGAGCGAGTGATGGTGGATGGGAGGAGCAGCGAGACGAGAAGGAAAGTTAAGGAGATGAGTGAAGCGGCAAGAAGAGCCGTGGTTGAGGGCGGTTCTTCCTTCGATGCTTTTGGTGGGTTTGTTGATTTGGTTCTGAAGAACAAGGCTATAGATTGATTGGTTGGGTTTGTCATGTTTGGATAGTGAAAGATTTGAAATTGAGCTTTTGCTAGCATTTGGATTTATGAGCTAGGTTTAGAGGGAAGTTGATGGCATTAAGGGGTAATGAGTGGGAGAAGAAGAAGAAGTCTACTTTTGAGTAGGGGTGGTTATACGGTCCGGTACGGTTAAATTGGACCAAATTGATCCAGTTCCAGTCCGGTTTTTTCGGAAATATAAGGACTAAAGACTGGATTGGATACAATCCGGTCTTGACCCGGTCCGGTCCTAATTTTGATCTTGATTCTAAGTGTTGGGGGGTCTCTTATCCGGTATTTATCCGGTTTTTTTACCTCAAATCTAAGCCCGAATATGAGATTGGATTGTTTGCTATCCGGTCCCAGTCCGGTCCCGATCCGGGTTATACGGTCCGGTTTCGAGTAAAAGCAAACAGTCCCGGACCAAATAACCAGCCCTAAGGGGGGAAAAAGTCTCACCTTATTGTGTACTTTTGGTATTCTATTAGGTTTAAGGGATTGTTTGGCAGCTTTATAAATTGTTTTTGGTATTAAAGAAGAAGGAATTTGGAGATAAAAAAAAAATAGAGTATTGTGACATTTCAATGAGAATTCAACAACCTTTTGTCAAGTACTACTTCCCATCTCTTGTGACTTGTTTCTCATTATCTAATAAAGCTTAGTGAGCTATACTTCCCATCTTTGTGACTGTTGCTCGTTATCTCAACTGCTCCACAATTCAAACAAACAATCTAATATGCAAATTAAGAGTTTCATTTGATAAGTAGGCATCTAAATGAGATAGTTAATGATGCATGCCATCTCTGAATATTTGTCTGTCTCAAAGTGAAAAATAATGTATACTTAATAACTTGATGTGAGATTTGAAACCATTTAAAGTGAACAATTTAGAATCTCACTTTTATGTTAAGATTGTGGACCAATTTTTGTTTCCTTTTTGTCCCTATAAACTTTTTGTATACTGTTTACTTTTTATATTAAAAAAACAAGAATAAATATGAGATTTCATTTTAAACGTGACTTCTCTATTTCATTTCTAAAATTACAATCACCATCACCTAACATTGTAATCTAAAATTACACTCATTTTATTAATACAACAATTTTATAAAACGTACAATTATAAATGCAATATGACAGCTACCATTGTTCAAATCGGCAAATCGCCAGAGTTCAAATCGTTCAGAATTCTCACTCGCTCCACACCTAAAGCAAATATCACTACTCACTAATTAGATAGTTGGGTAGCCTCATGGGCTGGTCCATGGCACTTGAACTTGGGCTTCAGCGGCCCAGTATTGATCGGCCCAGGGTCTTGATCATCAAGGCTTCTTCTCCAACTCTTCATAAAAGACCTGGATCAACCTTCCGACGGCGGCAAACGACGACCCACCTTCCACGACAGCTGCTCTGCTCCTTTCACCCATCTCTTTCGCCCTCTTCCTCACCGCACCTTCTTTCTCCGTCACGCCTCTCACGGCCTTTTCGATCTCCTCCGCCGTCACGACTCCTCCGCCGTCCTTAAGCCGGTAGTCCAACCTCAGCTCCACCGCCAACCCCAGCTCCCTCGCCAGCTGGAACGCATTGCACTGCTGCTCCGCGTACAACGGCCACGCCACCAACGGCACCCCGTTCCACACGCTCTCCAGCGTCGAGTTCCACCCGCAGTGCGACACGAACCCTCCCACCGCCCTGTGCGCCAGCACCTGTCACCAGCCACGACACCAACGTGTGTTAAGGTAATCACCAGCCACGGCAATTTCTTCACATCGACAATAGGCATCATCAACACAAATTGACATATACGTTAGAATTATAGCATATCATACGTTCTAATGTCCATGTGCTCACTAACGAGTAAAACATGTACATACTACCGGCTATAGGGGTGTACATGGGTCGGGTGGTCCGGGTTTAGGCATTTTAATCACCCGACCCATGCACTACGTACGGTTTGGGAAATATTAAATCCAAACCCACCAAAAAAAAAATCTAAACCCTACTTTTTGTTTCTAATTGGGCTGGGTTGGGTCTGGTTGGCGATATTTTTAAGTAAAACCCCAACCCAATACAAAATATGTAATTATTCTACATCATAAACATATTTTATAACAAATTAAAAATTCAAACGAATAAACTGAGGTGAAAGGTATCAAAATTCACAAATATTGTTTGAATTTTAATAAAACTTGATTTACTTCAACTTATGTCTAGTTTTTTTTTCACGATATTTGTTGAAATAGGCTAAAAAGGTTACAAATGAACGCATCCATAATATGATATTCTTTTAAAATTGTACACAAGAAAAAAAAATTACGTGAATCATAGCTATATTAAATATATGTCTAAACTTTAAGTCGAAGAATGCATTAGATTAGTGAGACTTTAAGAGAAAAACATGGCGAAATATCCTAATTTTCTCATAAGTATGACTATATACGACATAAATAATTTTTTGGATACGAACTCATACCAATAATTGGAACACGGGTTGGGTAGGGTTCTACGGGTTGTGTAATCCAAAATCCAAACTCAACCCAAAAGAGGCGGGTTGTACAAAAGAAAACCCTCACCCAACCTAAAACCTTCGATTTAGCGATAAATACGGGTGGATTGGATCGGGTTGAATGGGTGTGTCGGTTTGGGGTGTGTTCACCCCTAATAGTCTACATAGCATACTATAAATGCGAAATCATAAATATGACTTAAAACTGCACAGACCTCGACTTGCGGGGCCCACCCGCAGATCATCCCTTTCCCTCTCGTCCTCGCCTCGAACCCTTCCGGCAAGATCTCGCCGTAACTCCCGCCATAATCCGCCGGGAGTGACATTCCTTTCGCCGGAGGAGGTTTCCTGATCGACCAGAGGAACCGGCAGCCGCTCCGCTCCAGCCCGGCGGCAATTTCCCTCAATTGGGCCGCGTCGAAAGCACCCATGCTCCCGAAGCAGAGGAAGACCACGGATTCCTCCGGCTGTAGGTCCAGCCACCTCAGGATCTCGTCGCGCTCCCCGGCCTTGCCGAATTTCACTTGCCCCTGAGCCTTGAGGTCCAGAATCGGCCCGACGGGGTAAACCGGCGGCGAGGAAGAAGAAGAGATTAGGGATTTCAGAGCGTGAGGTTCCAGCTCGGCGAAGGAATTGACGATAATGCCCTTGACTTCCGCGAATCGCCGGCCGTGATTCTTCATCGTCGAGTACCCACCGTGCTTGTCGAGGAAGACGGACGGGAGAAAACGGGAAGGGAACGGGTCGGCGTAGCTCGGGATCGGTACCGGGTCGTCCGTCAGTTCGAACCCGGACCCGACCCGGTTCGGGAGGTAAATCATGAACCCGAGAAACGCAATCGAGGAGGTGAAGAAGAGATAGGAAGGGATCCTGAGCTCGTCAGCGACGTCGATCATCGAGGTGCAGAACAGATCGACGACCAGGCCGGCGACCGAGGGCAGAGCGAGATTCAGAATCGCTTCTTTCACTAGCGGCCGGTGTGCCTCGATTAAGGTGGAGATGAAATGCTCCGCCGACTTGGGACGTTCCGGCGAGGAAGAGGAAGGAGGGGGAGGTAGTTGGGGGAGGGTGAGGAGTTGGATGCGGCGGTCGTCGTCGTCGTCGATGGCGCCGCAGAATGATTTGACGTAGCCGTCGACGTCATCGCCGAATGGCGGCGGGAACTTGACGAGGAGGATGACGACCGAGATGGCGGTGTCCCGGTGGAGCAATCGGCGGGAGAATTCGATTGTGGAGACTAGGTGGCCGATCCCGGGAGCTGGGACGAAGACCAGCTGAGCAGACTGCTTCATTTTTTTTATTTTTTTTTCAGATGCAGAAATCGGATTATCTTTTTTGCTTCATGAAACGGGTGGTGGTTATATACTTATATGGAGCCTGGCGGGATTGGGGAGACCATATCTTTGAGGAGAGAGGTTTAATTACAGAAATGATCACTTAAATTCGACGTAGCTTCAAGTTGGTACCAAAGGTTTTTTTATCATCAAATTGATTGTTTAAACTGGATTAACTAATTTAAAATTTTCTGTGTGGCTAAGTTTGATTTTCTATCTAAGAAATAAACTCACATCGGTATACCTACTCGCTGGAAAAGATTTACTATTTATGTTATCATCGACTTTGTTTACTAAGAAAAGATTGAATAGGTATGATTACTTGCATGTGTATCTCACATGCATTGCATGATCTCAATCGATCCAAGAAATCAACAACGTCCCATTAATATTCCCAATCCATGTATATCTCACATCATCTATGTATACTTTCATGCACTGCATGATCTCAATATAATTATTATATCATCTCAATCATTTAATAATCCATTTAATAATCCATTCTCTTCAATCAATCTTTTCAAAATTAATCTTAAAAACATAAATTAAATTTAGATCAAGATAAAATAACTCATGGTAATCACTTTGAACTCACACTCTAGTTTAAATAAATTTCTCTTAATCACCACTATTCTGAAAATCATAATACGTTCTCTTTAATAATAAAACCACCTAGAAACCGGTTTCATCCATCAAAAAATCCAACAAAGTTCATAAATTTTTGAATTATTCTAACCAGAATGCGCTTCTCATATGCTCATCCCAATTTATTAATTCTCAATTTCATCCTTTTAACGTCATAACATCAATTAATTTCGAAAACTCAATTATTACCAATATAATCATTCACATGGTAAGATCTCATGACTAAAAACAATCTCAAAATTTGTTAAATATTATTTCCTCATTCTGATCTCAGCAGACATTTTAAGCAAACACTTTGTATTTTCCATAAACGCCAACAATTCGAATACGAGATTATTAATAATAATTAACATAATACTCATTTAAATTCATCAAAATTTCATCCAATGCCAAAATGCAGTAGAAATCACAAATTCATCATAATCATCCATCATCAATTCAATCATGCACATTTAACGATAAACACGTAATTTCGGTTCTCTTTTACCGTAAATCCACACACCTTTTACCGTCACCGGCTCTATCGTCGCCATCACCAGCTACGAGCTGCTTCTCCTAGTCACCATAGGATTCCACCGGTTACCGCTCCTTCCTGATTTATGGTGGCTGTCGGTGGCGGAAGAAAGATTGTGCGCTACCATGGTAAGCTCTTGTTTCTCTTTCTCTCTGCTTCTCCTTAAGGTCAGAATGGAGGAGCCCCTTAATGGCTCTACATGCTTTAAATTCAAGAAAATCCCATCTACTGAGTAATAATTCCCCAAACATCTCCCCTACAAAATTGATGGGGTGATAGCTCCCCACCTCCCATAATAATGATGGCAACTTTTCTTTCCATTTCATTTGTCCACCGATGGACAATCAACAACAAGGCTCGATTGGTATATTCTATTGTGGGTTTGTTCCTTCATGAAACCTCTCCTTGTTGATACAATCGTGTGAGCACAATCGACTCGTCGTGAGCGCAATCGGCTCGTCGTTTCGTTTTCAAATGAGGAAGTTGTGTCCAAATTAAAGTCGATGCGTACGTTATTTCCATAACGAAGTGTAGGTTTCAAAATGACATATCTCACTCGTTTAGAATCCAAATTTAGTTCCGTAAAATCCTACATGGTCGTTGAAGGATTTACTAAATTATAGAGGGGAGATTTTTTTTTTATTAAATCTTGAACTATAATTGCAGAATATGCATAATTTCATATACCATTCGGTGTGATCGCAATTTCTTCGAGTATGGTTGAAATTCTTGATTCCTCGTCAAACTGAATTGATTTATAAATAGACCGAGGTTTGGGATGTTAGAGGAGGGACCTTATCTTATCTGAAGGTGAGAGGTTTAATTACAGAAATGATCACTTAACTTTGACTTAGCTTCAAACTGGTCTCAAGGTTTGTTTTCTTTTATCAAATTGATCATTTAAACTGGATTAACTAATTTAAAATATTATGTGAGGCTATGTTTGATTTTCTATATAATGAATTACTGTGAAATTCATGGACCTTAAAATCCTAAACTACTCATGATTTAAATCTTTAAAATCTTATGATTTTCAAGGATTTGAAGGTCTATGTTGAATTCATTGAATTTGAGCCAAACCGATCCGAGATAAAGGGATAGGATGAACTGTTTGGGTAAATAAAGCATTTTTCTTTCTCCTCCATCAACATTATCTAGTTCTCTCTTACTATTAAATCAAAGACCTATTTGGATAAATGCACTTGTCAGCGGAGTTATGAGAAAATCCATGAGTCAAGACAACAAAATAAAATTTCGCATACCATTGTGCAGGTGCTTGCGTTAGACCATACAAGAACTTAAGCAACTTACACACCTTTCTTTCATTTTCAGGCAACACAAACCTTCTGGTTGCTCCATGTACACTTCCTCGTCTAACTTACTATTTAGAAATATCGTCTTAACATCCATTTGGTTTACAAAGACAAGCTCAGCTCTTTCATAGCCTCTTGAACACCATGCAACCTATTTCCGTGACAACAACCTCAGTTGTTTATGCAACGGTAAATTTTCAACAAAAAGTCGAAACTCCATCCACAATGCACCATTAGTTTTCCACGCATGAGTTTTTACTTTTTAACCAATATTTTTCTAGCTATCGATTATACAAGTTTCCCTTTTCGCTAATCGCTAGGACTTACCTTAATTGATCTTTTTTTCTTCCTTCTCACGTATGAATTATTTTCTTTTTAACCTACGTTTTTCCGACTGTCGATTAGGAAAGTTTCCTCTTTCACTAGGACTTATGTTAAAGAGTTTTTTTATTCTCCCACATTTTTCTGCCGTAGATTTGGCAAGTTTATTGGTATATATCAATTCCAATTGCATATCTAGAATATTGAATAATACTAAAAAATCAATCTCAATCACAAACCCAAAAAAATTAACTCAATAATCGATAATACCAAATAATGATAAATTTTGTGTGGTATTTGATGGATCCCAAACAGTTAAACCAAACTTCCACCCATAGCGTGAAACAATATTTTTTATATGACAATCCTTGGGTGTTGGCCACTGACTTTCCAAGTAATGATTAATTACTAATCAACTTAAATCGTTACTCATTAAATAGGAATAAAACTAATGCACATAGACATGGTTACATGGAATAATTAAGTATTTTTTATAGATTTAATATGCTCAGTAATTTTCGATTACCCCTAACCAACCAGTGTCCAAATAAAAAACACTACTAATGAATTAAAGTAGCTAAATTAGTCTGACCACTATTCACACGAACTCACGCAAGAATTTCATGTTATATTTCATTAGTAGGCTTTGTTCTGGCCAAATCAATTATGGTATGTTCGTTGTCCGCTTTTATCGTATCCAAAAATTAACGATAAGAGTGTTGGAGTTCATAATTTTATTAAGAAATTGAATAAGAATTTTCATGTACCATTCATGTCATTTTTGACGTGTTTAGTAAGAAACGATTGGATAGGAACGAGGACTTGTTTGTTAAAATGTTATAATACAAGCTTAAAAGTAACACTTTGCCGGCTTCATAGTCGTTACTACGGCCTGTAAAAATCACAACTTTAGTTATCTTTGCTGGACATGTGTATGGATGGGCTTTACTTCTGCGCTCCGCCCGCCATTGGCAACGCTTCCTTTCCCTCCACACAGAAGTTTCAGCACTGTAACCGTCGCGATTCCGGCCAGGACACCCCGCAGGGACCACCGCCGTCGGTCGCCCTCTTCGCAGCAGCGTCTTACTCTAATGGCTGCTTCGATTTCTTCCGTCGGTTTCCCCGTTCCTCTCACCGTCCATTCCTCCTCTCCAATCGAAGACGGTAAAGCCTCTCTCTTCACAGTATCCCCTCCTCCGAACCCAACTCTCAAAACCCCCACAATCCGGTCTCGCCTCAGTAAATTGTGCCAGGAGGGCAAACCCGAACTTGCCCGCCACCTGTTCGACACAATTCCTCAACCGACGACTGCAATGTGGAACACGATCATCATTGGGTTCATCTGCAACGACATGCCCGTTGAAGCCCTCCGGTTCTACGGCGAGATGAAGAAAGGTGGGTTTCCTACTACCAAGGGCGATTACTACACTTACTCTTCTACGTTGAAAGCCTGCTCCCAGAGTCTGAATCTGGGGGCCGGTAGAGCGATTCACTGTCATTTGATTCGCTGCTTGGAGTATCCGAGTCGGATTGTGTATAATTCGCTGTTGAATATGTACTCCACGTGCTTGAGCCAATTGGGCTCGTCGGGTGGCTCTGAGTTTTCGAAGTACGATGCTGTGCGGAAGGTGTTTGATACGATGGGCAAGAGGGACGTTGTTGCTTGGAACATTTTGGTTTCTTGGTATGTCAAGACGGAGAGACACGTTAGAGCTGTTAGGCAGTTCAGGAGGATGATGAAAATGGAAATCAAGCCGAGTCCAGTGAGCTTTGTCAGTGTAATTCCAGCCATATCAGCTATGCAGGACTTCGACACTGCGAATGTTATGTATGGACTGCTTGTTAAATTGGGAGGTGAGTATACGACTGACTTGTTTGTTGTGAGTTCAGCCATTATTATGTACTCAGAGCTAGGCTGTCTCGATTTGGCCAGGAAGGTTTTCGATTGTTGTTTGGTGAAGAATACAGAGGTATGGAATAGCATGATTGGTGGGTATGTGCAGAATAACCGTCCACGGGAAGCAATCGATCTCTTTCTTCTTGCTACTCAAACGGGACAGACTGATAACATATCTTTCCTTTCAGTTCTGACGGCTGTTTCACAGCTGCAATGCTTGGACTTGGCTCAACAGCTGCATGGATTCGTCATCAAGAACTTGGGTTCCCTGCCCGTGATAATACAGAATGCTATCATAGTCATGTATTCACGATGTAGTACTGTCCACACTTCATTTCATGTGTTCGAGAAGATGCAGGAGAGAGACGTGGTTTCATGGAACACGATGATTTCTGCTTTCGTGCAGAATGGATTTGATGACGAAGGGTTGTCTCTTGTGTACGAGATGCAGAAGCAGAAGTTTGCAATTGATCTGGTGACAGTTACTGCTCTGCTTTCTGCAGCATCTAATCTCAGAAACCTGCAGATTGGGAAACAGACTCATGCCTATCTTCTCAGGCAAGATATAAAATTTGAAGGAATGGACAGTTATCTGGTCGATATGTATGCTAAATGCGGCTCGATTAGAACAGCTGAATATATCTTTTGGAGAAATATCACTAGAAGTAGTAAAGATCAAGCAACATGGAACGCTATGATTGCTGGTTACACACACCATGGGTTAGTCGAAGAAGCTTTGGCCACATTTAACGAAATGCTTCAGCAAGCTGTTTCACCCAATGCCGTGACATTAGCATCGATTCTTCCAGGTTGCACTCAAATGGGAAGCATCAATCTTGGAAAACAACTCCATGCTGTCTCTATTCGCCATTTGTTCGAGAACAACATTTTCCTGAGCTCTGCTCTCATCGACATGTACTCAAAATCAGGATCAATCAACTATGCTGAAAACGTGTTTGCCAGAACCGGTGACAAAAACTCTGTCACATACACGACGATAATCTTGGGTTATGGCCAACACGGCATGGGAAGCAAGGCTCTCTCTTTGTTTCACTCCATGGGAGACTCTGGAGTTAAACCCGATGCAGTTACTCTCGTTGCAGTTCTGTCAGCCTGCAGCCATGCAGGACTGGTCGATGAAGGTCTTCGGATATTTAACTCCATGGAGATGGATTTCAACATCGAGCCTTCAGTTCAGCATTACTGCTGTGTAGCAGATATGTTGGGGAGAGTTGGAAGAGTAGTTGAAGCCTATGAGTTTGTGGAACAGCTGGGTGAAAAGGGCGACGTTCTGCAAATCTGGGGATCGGTTCTTGGGGCCTGCAGGCTTCACGGATGCAGTGAATTGGCAGAAACGGTTGGTGAAAAGATCCGTCAACTAGAGGAAGCAGCATTACATGGTGGTGTGGGAGGTTATCAGGTCCTGATGTCCAATATGTACGCAGGGGAAGGAGACTGGAGAAACGTCGACAGAGTGAGGAAAGAAATGAAGGAAAAGGGTTCGATGAAGTTGGTTGGTCGCAGTTGGATTGATATCGGAGGGCATGTTACTCGCTTCGCATCTAAAGATCAAGACCACCATCAGTTTGATGAGATATATGGAACTTTGGAAGGTCTGGCCTTGGAAATGAAGCATTCCGGTGCCTGAAAATGGCCATTGCTCGATTTGAACAGGTTCAGCTCAACATTGATTGAAACCATCTATGCCTAAATCAACCAAAGGTATAAGGATTGCCATTTGGCTACCTCCTGAAAATGGCCATTGCCATTGCAGTCGTTAACCGAGAGCAGCCCGATTGCAGCAGCGTGTGGTATCAAGCACAAAAGAGTACAGCCTGCCGAGCCGCTTGGAGTTCAAAACCAGATACCCCAAAGCTTGCACAAAGTATACCAGTTGAAGAAGCACTAATGTAACATGAAAAAGACGGTACGCCTCCCAGCTTTCATTAGTGTAAAGTCTACAGTACATAGAAATTAGAATATTGATCTTTAGAACAATATTTACAAAACCATATTCATAAAACCATATTGTATCAGCTTTCAATTTAGTATTTTTAGTGGAAAACAGGGTGTGCTTAAACCAGAGAGATGATCATAAGTCATGGGCACCACCTTTTTATTTCTTCTTTAAAAAAGGAGTGGTGGAAATCACTTGTGAGCTATATCAAAGAACGGGGAAACAAAGTTTTAGGTAATGATCATTAGGAGGAAATTTAATAATGGGTTGGTTTCATCATTAGTTTTTGATCAACTATTCATCCGACATTTACATTATGCTGCAATATTAGATTAGGGTTGGACTAATTTCTTATGATTTAGCCGTTGCAATCAGGTCAGTTTCTCTAAGCGTTAGTATTCAAACAAATCATACGATGATCAATTACGAATAAGACTAACATCCAACTAGCTTCTTTGTGATTTAGCTGTTATGGGAAAGTCAACTCCTTTCAAAAGGACACTCCAATTATCACATCTAAGGTGACAAAGTTTGTAGAAGTAATGTGGAGAAATGAAATGGAATATTTTACCATTTGGAAAGTTAAGAGGACCTTTGGAGAGAATATGAGTGTTATAAAGTTAATTAATAAGTGGTTGTCGAGGTTCAATAAAACGTTCTCGTTGTCTATCAGGACCAAATGGTTTTATGCTATTATTTAAAAAATATATACAAAAATTCTTTTGTCAATATTTGATGTTGAATAACCATTATGATAGCATGTCTGCAAAATAAATGGCTGCACAAAACGCTCTTGATAAGTAACCACTAAGCATGATTAATTATTTAAACTCAAGATTATTTTTTTATACAATAAACAACCTTTTATTCCATCCGAAACCGGGAAAACCGTGGTCACATTACAGGAGTGGAGCAATAATATTGACAATTAACGATCCCGCCCAAGATCATGATTATGCCACTTCAGTGATGATATTGGATTCTCTTGGCAACTTTCTCCAACGACAACTACTCTTTAACAAATCATTGTTCCATGTGAAATAGAATCCTAACGCAAAATGTACAGCTCCATAAACCCCACATATAACACTTTCAATTTCGAAACTAAAATTTCCATATAGAAGAAAATCTCTATAAATACATTCTTTTTTTAGACAATTTTCCAATAAAATTGCCCTCAGCTATCTACTACACTATTCTAGAGGATAACCCTCCTGTCCTTTTCTTTTTTTCATTACAGCTAAGCTCAAGAAAATATATAGAACACAACTTGCACACTCAATACCGACGTGGCAAAAGGCAATTCGTCCAAATCACTGAAATATAATTGGAAATAAAGAAAATCGATATATTTTGTTAGGTATGATTGAAGAAGAAAGACAACCAGAACAAGTGAATATATATTATTAGAAAGGGACTTTATGATTTTTTGAGGAACCAAGTGAGAATTGCACATGTGCATTGTATACAATTACAGCTACAAACTTCTCATCTTTCACAAGTTTTTCAACGGCTAAACATAGTGTCACGATCGTTGTCTTTATTATCGTCAAAAAATAAAAGACGAACTTCACAAGCACTCGATTTTCTTGGTAGTTTCTTCCTATAGCAATGCAACAACTACTAATTTGCAGTCCTATATGTAGTCACATTGATTTTGGGGGCATTACTTATGGCTACAACTAAATGAGACAACGAGGAAAAAAAAAAAACTAGCTCAACCTATTTATCGATGATTCTTAATATTTATACATAATTCTTAAATAAAAAGAAACAAAAGAAAAGCAAGAGATGGATCAATCTTAAATAATCCATCGATCTCGAAGTCCTTAGGAAACAATGGGCGTTGATTCGTCGATTCGTCATTTCAGCGTATGTACATCCAATAGACCAAACATCGACTGATGTCGAGTAGTGTCTAAATCAAAGAGCAATTAGTCTTTGATTTGAGCCAAATCGATGAAAACAGAAATAGGTTGTAGTCTTCTCTCGAAATTGAGACATCTCAACCGAAATAAAAATGCCCAAATTTCCCATTCATTAACTCAAATAATAATAACAACAACGTTCTCCCCTATCTATCTCCAACTGACAAATCAAAACCATCTCCAACTACCACAACCCAGAAGCTTTGCTCCAAACCCCAAATCCTTACCCGATCAGGACTACACCCCTCTCCTAACCAATCTGTCAAGGTTACTCCTTCCTTTTCCAACACAAATTGACAAAAGGGAAGGGAAGAAAAGTAGCAGTATTACCAACAGAAGAAGAATGAACAACAATACAAACACATCCATGATCAAACTCACTCACTCCACCACCCTCCTCCACAACCCAACATGTACAAATCCATGGCTTGTAAAATTATCACCACCATTGATCATCATCACCTCCCATCAGCCGAAGTAAATGAATCAGCAAACCCGTACGGTCTGGTTGGAATGCTGGTCTGAGTGTTGTCCAGGCTCGGTAGGAGCGAAGAAGACGACGACTCCATGTTGCCACGGCCCTCGTAGGCTTGCCATTTCTTCAGTGCCTGTGGCAGCGACATGTCTAGATCGATCCCATAGATGTCCTCGGTGTTTTGATCCGTGGGCTTCCAGAGCTCGACGAGGGAAGACAGGACGTTGACCACATGGCCCATGTCCGGCCTCTGGTATGGCTCTCTGGCGCAGCAGTGGCCTGCCAGCTCAGCTACGGTGTTGATGCTAGCTAGGGTATCTTCATTGAGGTCGAGCGTCAGGTCGATGGCCTTTCGGAATGTGTCCTTGCTGAGGGACATTCTCTTGAACCATGTCACTAGATGCATGCTCTCCTCTGGCTGGGTTTCGTCTAGGGCCTTCCTCCCAGTGATGAGCTCCATTAGTATCACGCCAAAGCTAAAGACATCTACTTTGGTAGTCACTCTTCCTGTAACTGCATTTGCGAGGGGGAAATGTCAGCTTGATTATTCTCTACCAATCATACCGTTATGAACACCATAATTCAGTGGCCACTCAAGCATCTAACCCATTTGATCTCACAAGTCAACTAAAGAATCTAAAATCCAGTCAAATAAGCAAGTAAAGCACAATGAAATGAGGTTACCTGCATATTCTGGGGCCAAGTACCCAAAAGTTCCAGCAATCCTAGTCTCAATGGACCCTTTCCCCTCTGGAGCAAGGCGAACAAGGCCGAAATCAGCCACCTTTGCCCTCATATCATCCCCAAGAAGAATGTTGGAAGGCTTCAAGTCCCTATGTATGAAACTCTGATGCGCCAAGCCATGAAGGTACTCGACACCTCTCGCCACATCCAAAGCAATTGTCAGTCTCCTCGTCCAATCTAACGGGCTAAACCCTTCCTCTGCCCAGTTGAAGATATGCTGACTAAGCGTCCCCTGTGGCATGTACTCATAGACAAGTAGCTTCTCATTTCCATCAAGGCAGTAACCTAGCAATGCCACAAGGTGGCGATGCCTAACTTTGGTCAAGACAGCAATCTCCGATGTGAACTCAGTCAACCCTTTCCCGCTTATTACCCCTGACTCCATCCTCTTCACAGCAATTTTCGTCCCATCGTGGAGCTCGCCTTTGTAGACCACTCCAAATCCACCTTGCCCTAGTATGTTCTTCTCACTGAAGTTGTCAGTCACGTTCCTCAGGACTTGAATGGAAATGACCATGTTCCCTGATTCCATCATTTGAATTTCTCCATGCTCGCTTGTCGGAATGGTGTGTGCTTCACTGACTGCTCCCACGCTGAGACTCGAGCCAGCAACCGTGATCTTGACACTCTCGTTGTCTGAACCCGAGTGGCGAGGATGAACGACCATTGCATTAGGGCTCTGAACCCTGCTGAACCTCTTCTGCTTCTTTCGGTACACACAGAAGACCAGCAATCCAATAAGAAACAGTATAAACACACCACCAAGGACGGAGAACACGATTACCCCTACATTAGAGGACGATTTCTTTCCTCCATTTCGGGAATTTCCATCCGAATTCGGGCCAGATGCTTGACCTCCTGATGAAGAACCACCTGGCGGCACACTACTGATATCCTTCCCAATATCTTTGTTCCCATTGGTGTTTAAATCAATCTTGTTCTTAAAGACTGGAACTTTACCAGAAATCTTATTGTTTGCAACATCAAGCTCTTTCAGCATAGGCAGTGAAGCAAGCTCCTGCGGGATAGTACCAGTCAAGTTGTTATCAGCAAGAACCAACCTCTGCAGCGAGGTAAGCAAGGCGAAATCAGGGGAAATAGTGCCCGAGAGGCCCATTTTCTGGAAGTTGACAACAGTAATGTTGCCACCACTGCAAGAAATCCCAATCCAATCAGCACAAGGATCATTCCCTTTCCAATTCTCAGCAAACCTCTGAGGGTAACCGAGAGGCTTCACGATGGAGAGCAACGCGTCGACCCTCGGATCACACGGTCCAGCCGTCGACAAGCAGAAGCTATTCGAATCCTTCGTCATATCCACAGCAACCGAGCTCTTGAACTCGGGGACCGGCCCTTGGAACAAGTTGTTGGTCAAGTTCACCACTTTGAGTGAATCCAACTTGGTCAAGGATTCAGGGACCGGACCAGAGAACGAATTGTCCCTCAAGCTCAAGCTCTCCAAACTCGTCAGCCCAGAAAAATCAGGCAAAGGACCATCGAACCCATTATCATGAAGCCAAACTTCCTTCAAAGAAGTCATGTTCTGCAACACATCAATTCCCCCAATGAGCTTACTTCCACTCTTCTGCCCATTCACCCAAAATGACTGAATTTGCGAACCAGCAAGCGCCACAGGCAAAGAACCCTCCAGATTATTAAAAGCCAAATGCAGAGTTTCCAAACCAGCGAAAGCATCAGCACCGAAGTAATCAGGAATTGACCCGGAAATGTTGGCCGAGTTAGCAGAGAAGTTCTGCAGAGCGGAAGCATCCTTCACACTCTCCGGAATCTCCCAGCTGGAGAGCGGGTTGTTATCAATTTCAACAGACTGAAGAGAGGAACAGCCTTGGAAGAAATCGCTGGGAATCGAAGTGAACTGGTTGTTACTCAGCATCACAACCCGGAGCGAGCTCAACCCGCTCAAGCTGGGCAAAGGACCCGAAATGCTGTTCCACTGCAGCTCCAGCCGCTCCAACATAGTCAACTTGTGGAGATCTGGTGGGAGCTTACCTTTGAGACCCAACCGGCCGATTTGAATCCGAACGACCCGGTCCTCGGTGCAGCCCACGTGGTCCCATTGGCATGGATCCGGGTCGGACCACCCGATATCCGGAGTGTTGAGGCTCTCCTTGAGAGCTAACATTACTGGAGCGTCCTCAGTTAAGGAGCTCACGAGCGAGAAAATTGAACAGAACCCAGAAATGAAAACCAGGAGAACACTGAAGCTGTAGCCGAAATGAGACCTCTTCTTCCTCGCCATTAGTAACTATCACTTTTTCCCCCCCAAATCAGCACAAGAAGGAAGAAAACAGGGGAAGTTTTTCCAACAAGATGGATTCTTTTCGAAGTGGGGAGAGGGAGAGAGAGCTGATAAGCTCGGTTCAAGCTGGAAGACTGCGAGCCATGAAAGGAGAGGAAAGATTGGAGCTTTTTCTTCTGGGTGGATTTTTAGGGGTTGGAAAGATGGAAAGGGAGAACAGGTGGTGGGAAGGGAAAGGTGCTGTAATTGAGGAGAAAGCACATGGGGTGTGGGGGAGAAGGCAACGCAAGGAAAGGAAAGGATTGGGGAAGAAAGAAGGCAAAGGTGAAGACTGGTGGTGGTGGGCCGACAGAGTCCCAGAATATAAAAGCTGTCATTAACATGGTTTTACGTGGAAAATCTAAATTCTTTTTTCCTTTTTCTTTCCTCATTTGATATTAAATGTATAAAAGTTGATAAATTTGAAGAAAAAAAATTGGATGGATATCTCCTTTCGGATTTCAACTGGAAAGCACCAGAATTCGTATTATTAATGGCTTTTCCGGTTGTCATTTCTTCGAGTTCATGCCAATTTTTATAATATGGTTTCTATCACTATCAGTTTGTTTTTGTATCAGCAGCAGCAGCATCAAGCAACAGTTGTATGGTTGCCAAGGCCTTGACCATAGCCACAGACTGGACCGGTATTGGCACCATGACCACAGTCATCCTAGCCCTGCCCCACATGCCGGTTCTTGTTCGTTACCCGATTAAGAGACTTGTAGTTTGCTTGTTAAACCGGTTATCGTCTGGTTTGTTGCTTGCTGATGTTTCGACTCGTAATTGATAATGTCTAGTTTTTGCTTATAATTGGTGATAACGAATCTCTCTGACAAAAACTCAATACGACTGAATTAGCTCGATATACGAATCAAAGTTTCCCAAAAGACACAAAATGGTTGGTACAAAACCAGTAAAGTCTTTTACTTTTGGTGTCCATCTCTCAAAAATGAAGAGCAAAGCTACACTCTCTCAAAACTAATAGCCCACAATTGTTAGAGACTATCTACTTTACAATAAACCTGAAAGTGAATTCCGAATAAACCCCTATTACATACCCAATAAAATAAACCAATAAGGGGGGAAAAGTGTCAATAGATTAAAGGAGGGAGAGATCATCATCGGTTTCCCTCAACAGTTGTTTTCTTCTCGTCCTTTTCGTTTGTATTGCACTGTAATTCGTCGTCGTAATACTCTTCTTCGCCATCTACATACTCATACTCGTCTTCGTCGTCATCATCATCATCGTAATAATATTCCTCATCATCGTCTTCGTCGTTGCCATCTAGGAGCATCTCCCTAGATTCCTGGCCCATTAACCGTTCTTGAAGTCGATCTCTAATGGCAGTGCCCTGAAAACAATAGAAATGTAGGATTTTTATGATTGTAGACTACCTTCCCAGAGTCCGGATAGAGACTTCCATTTCGATTTCAGTTTGCACAGGGGCTTACGAAGAAGAGAAGAGAGGAGATAACTACTAACCATTTTATGGCAACCTTCCTCAAACATCTCAAGGAAACCAACAACCCAGCGATTAGCATTGTCCACCCATTCGTTCCGATGCATTGCCACTGTTTGAATCTGAAGCATGGAAAACGAATACATATGAGGCGCATTTAACTTACCATTAGAACATAGAAAGAACAAATAACAAGTTCTCTAATGGCAGAGGAACCATAGATTGTTTAAGCAAGCAGCATTAGAAGAAGGAAAGATACGGCCGTGAATCTACCAAGGACAGGTAACGTAAAATGTTTGCAATTTCGACCATTCAGAAACATGAAGAGATCTTGGATACTCAATAGTCATTGCAGACATCAAGCAAACAAAGCCAAGCAAAAGCCTCACTTCTGATAGATAGGGAAGGGACAATTCACAATAGTATCTAACACATAAAGAAAACACACCTTTTCACCAACTCTCTCTTGTTGTTCTTTCACTTTCTCCTGTAGTTTCTTCAATCTCATATTGACCCTCAGTCGCTTTTCCTGGTTACCAAAACCGGGAAAGTTAGGATTGTATTTCTCTCTTTCGAAAGAACAAAAATGGCTAGACAACATAATAATGCAGCACATTGTCCAAACCAGAGACATCCCAACCATACCTTTACATAGCTAACACCGAGTTCCTTTCTCGTATATCCTCTGTCCAAATTGCGCATGACATACTGATTGTAGTCTTTCAGGATCCTCATTATAATATCTGATGTAGAAATCCCATCAGTTCTTTTCGTTTCTTTAAACCTCCCAACTTTTTTCACCTAAAGTAGAGCCACACCGAAACCATAAACCATATGCTGAGAGAAAACAAACACCAATAAGAAAACCAAAACTCCACCACTGGACTTACAAATTCATAAACATCATTCCCAGCTCCACTTGCATCTGCATATCTACACACAAGAGATAGTGTTCAATGTTCATCATCCTCTAAATTTCATAAACATCCGACAAAAGATAGCGTGTATTGTTCATTTTTGGACCCACAGTATCCCTCAGCATGGTTATTAATCAAGAGACCTCAATCGAATCCTGGTATTCCCGGATACTAATAGGCTTTCGTGCAACATGTAAGAGAATAAATAGGGTTCATTCGAGTACCTTTCCCAACATCTAGGATTATTTAGACGAACTAGTTCTTGATACAGATTGCTCTAACGGGATGAAATGAAAACCATTTGTATCGTCCTAGATTCAAACCTTAGTGCATTCACCTATATATAAAAAGAACATATTGCTCTACCTATGCCACCCGAAGTGGTTGATCTAGTGGTAATGGAATGAACGGGTGAACAGTGAACATTCATCCCGCTTAGGTTCAAATCTCACGCAACCATCAATAACAATAACACTAACGAATATGAATCTACTAATGATTCCCAACGATCAATGGGGAAATTCTCATCAACCAAGATGCAAAAGGGAGCTAACTGCTGATCTCGAAATTGAAGTTTGAACTAAGTAAGGAGACAAACATACGGCAGGGCATCGTGAGCCACATAATCAATGTTGTGCTTGTCAAGAAACTCCTGGTTGATCACCCATGGCGCATCAGTAATGACTTCATCCACCCACCTACAAATACACACACACACACAAAGATCCATCCACTCTGTCAGATCGTTCACAAAACCTATCCCCGAAACAGAGAAATCGTCATTGTTTTTTGCTGGTTTCAGCAGCCAATTTACTTGCAATGGCGAAGGGATTCGTAGCGCTCAGCTGCCGTCATCACCGTTTTCCCCTTGAACTTGTGCGTGATCTCGTCGTTGCAGCACCCGACGAGCAGGTACGCGTTCGGAAACCTGGGCGAATCAAATCATTATTTTGTCACAATCAAATCCAGCTGAGAGAGAGGGAGAGAGAGAGAGGAAGGAGCAAAGGAATGGCGTAACGGACGATTTCTTGGCCTGTTCGAGGGAGCGGGCGTGGCCGAAGTGGAAGAGATCGTAGATCCCATCGGCGTAGACGCGGAGGAGCCTGTCCGAGGGGACCGATTGATCGGAATTGCTGACGGCGCCATTGGAAGAGCCGTGATGACTACCGTTGGACTTCTGCGCGGATTCGTCGTCCATTGTTGGGATAAAAACGGAGCTCGTCGCCGGAAGATGGAGAATTGGTGCTACGGCTATTTCGCCGGTTGTCTCCGATCTCCCCTCTCTTTCTTCTGTAGGAGAGAAAAAAAGAATCTCTAATTTTTCATCCTTCTGCCTCTTCTGTGAGACAGCGCGTTCTTTCCGCCCTCTATATCGCCCGGATTAAATTTGGGATTATTTGGTTAGATGGTCATTAAATTCTGACGCCCTTACAAAATGGTCAGTGAACTAAATATTTTAACTAAATAGCGAATGGACGTATTATTTGGGCCTTATGGAATCCTGTTTCGAGGCCTGAGCTTGGGTTTGGGCTTGGGCTTGGGTTTGGAGTTGGACGACGTATATGTCGATCCCGGCGGCCTTCCCTTCTAATTTTTGACGATTACAAGCATTGGAGTGAAAAATTAGTTTCTTCATCCAAATGATTGCTGGTTGAAATTTAGCACATTATTCTCATTATTTAAGTATATTTTGAATCTAATTGCAACAATTTTCAATGAAGTTACGCGTGATTATCATAATTGTCGATCAATCTTATATCACTACATTATAAACAAGAGATATTTCGTTGAAATTTCACGACATAGATTATATATTGATGTATTCATATTATGTGTGGCTAGTATAAAGTAATATTGATGATGACTTGGAAAAGTAGTGAATTCTTAGGAAACAAAGCAAAGGATCGGGAAAAAGTGGGTTGGATTGGATACCGTTTGCCATCCACTATAAAACCTAGCTTGACAAGTCAAGATTAACCCCATATTTTCCACAATATATATATATATACATATAGCAAGAAGAAACATTTTCTTGGTCTTTCCCTATTTTCTTATTCCCATTTATTTCTCGTTTTATGCAAAATCACAATATAATTTGACTTATAAATTGACCCGGCCTTTATGAGTCATTTACAATATTATTTGTTCAATGTATTTACTTTATATATGTCTTATTTGTTTACTCCAAAAAACTAGATCACTACTTATTTACTGGTTGTCGGCCAGTTTAACTAACCTAAAATGTTTGTCTCGATACAAAATTAGATAAATACTCAATTCCATATAACATTTTCTCAATCTTGTATTTTTTTGGAAATCAACCACGTGTTTGACATTATTTTTAATCTACCATACCCCATGATCATATTTTTTTAGTTGTGAAGTTTGAAACTTTATTAGGGCTATGCATGTGTGATTGACTTTTGTGAAGATGATGATGACAATTGCCTTTTGTTATAATCCCTTTTCCTATGCCGACTAGAACCGCATATATGATAAGCCTACATTCACCCCCTCTTCCTAACCCATTTCTCACTCAATTTATGTGTGTTTCCTCGTAGTTTCGATGTGCGTTTTTTAGTGCACGTTTCATGCTCGTCTACGAGTGTGTCTGCTCAGCTGGCAAAGGCTGTAGAGAGTGTGAGTCTGTGAGATTGGTCTCATGACAATCTAACAAATGTTAACTTGCAGTTAGTAGTTTTTGTGACATACTTAATAATTCGTTTCTTATGTCAAGCAATGAAGTGATGGTAGCCGTACCTGTATATATACCGTGCCCTAGCTAGTTAACACCTTAAAAGAGCACGCAAGATTGATTTGAAATCCTCAAAAGATAGATCATTTGTTAGTTACGAGTTCCGACTTGGTGGAAGATATTCCCACCAAAACTAATAATATAGAAAAACCAATTGTTCTACTAATCGTAGAAAGAGATTGTATAGAGATCTTTGGTGAAAGTGCAAAGAGGCCAATTAAGATTTAAGGGTTTCATTAATTATCGATTGTATAGAGATCATTGGCCACTCGACTTTGATTGTATAGAGATCATTAGTTATCGATTGTCAGAGTTCTCATGATTAGAAATGAACAAGTTGAATTGGTAAGAATCAGACTCGAATGATCATGTATAGCTACTCTCTCAAACAATTAATGAGTTGTTTTCTGTCCATTTCCACTCATCCAATCTTCTTAACGAACTTGTACAATCAATATAGCAAAAAATATGTAGGATTGTGGAGACTTAGAATAATGTGGTTCTATCGATATATAAGAAAACATATGCATAGTCTCTCGACTCAATTCATCTTCTCTAACCTCCCAACAAAATCTTGATACGAGAAAAAATCTCTTTCCAAAACAATTATCTACTCTTCCCTCTAAAGCGATGCCCTAATGAATTCGCGGCTATCTATCGTAGTAAAATTTGATTGAAAAATATAGCAGAGAGCAATTTGTATTGAGGTATTAGATCTAATCAATGAAATCTTATCTATAATTTTATGAGAAAATAAAAAAAATAATAATAAGAGAATGTAGCCAACTTCTTTTACTCATCTAGATTCTCAATCAATTCCCATCTGCTTATAAAGTAAATTATCACTACATTCCATCTGCATGATGAATTAATGCTTGCCTCAAAAATATTGTTATTTGTTGTACATTAACATAACATAATAATAAAGCACAAAATCAGCTAAAACCATAACAATAATAACAATTAAAAATTTAAAACCACGCCGCCTACCTTCTAGAAAGTGAAACTAATAATTAAAAAAAGGGCAAAAAATAGCGCCTCTTAATTAATTTCCTGATGGGAAAAAATGAGAAAGTGTAAGTAACACGGCATTTACATTGGTCAATGAAAGATGCTAAAGGACAAAAAGTGTCAGCTTGCCTAACTTTTCTTTTCCCTCCGTCGCTATCTCTCCCTCCGTCGTCAGTACAAGAAACCGCTATTCCTGTTCTCACTAGACCCCGCCGACGGCGGCGCAGCCGCCGTCGCCCCATCTCCTCCGATCCGCGTCCCGGCGGCCGACGTGACACCGCCAATCCCCTCCGTCCCGATCCCTCGCTGAAGCAAACTATTAATACCGTCGATGTTAGTAGGGTCGTCGCTATTGCCAGCATTTCCCAACGAGAACAGAAATGGCGACGGCTGGTGGAACTGTGACTGTTGGTACTGCAAATGATGGAACAACCCTTCTCCTCCTCCTCCGCCGCCGCCGCCGACCGTGGAGGCAGGGTTCGGAATTCGATCGCCGATCAGCTGATGGTGGTGCTGCCCGAGCCCGCCAAGCCCGAAGCTAAAACCGGCTGGTTGGGGTGGAACATTTAGCGACGACCCGCCTCCCGTCACGAAAGGTCCCGCTGGACCGCCGGTGAATTGCTGGACCATGGCGCGGAAATTGCTCGTGTCCGTGTTGAGCAAGGTCGTCGGCGTCCTCCTCGACGCCCTCGACCGCCTCCTCGCCGGCTTGGCCACTCGGCCGCCTTCCGGGCTCAGAGTACTACTACTATTAGCGACGGAATTATGTCCTCCTCCACTTCCTCCCACGCCGCGGCCCGAGCCCATCAGTTGGATCGGAGCTGGCTCGGCTGCGGAGACGGATGAAGTGATGGTAGAGGCAGTGGTGACAGCGGTGACACCGGCGGCGGCGGAGGAAGAAGAGAAGGTGAGTTGGTTGTGGTTGTTGTGGTGGTAGAAGTGAGCCCAATCGTTAGGGTTGGACATGGTCTTGCTCATGGCCGGAAAAGGAGAAATGGGTTCTTTGGTTTTGAAGGAAGGAAGTGGAAATGGGGGGAGGGATTTTAAGCAATGTGGTTGTGGTGAGGTTATATAAGGGTTTTGTGTGTTGGTTTTTGGTTACACCAAAATTGGGTCAAAGTAAGTGGAGGGATAAGGAAGGTTGTTCATCTCTCCTTCTCTTCTTATGTCTCCATCTCCCAAAGATGAAAGACCCCATCAAAGACTCCAAATATGAAAGTTAAGTTGGCACGTGGTGTGTGCCCACCACTCTTTGATGGCGCAAGCAATTTTTTTTTTTTTTTTTTTGTAGATTGAATGAATATCTATGGGAGTTGGTTGCTAATGAATTGGCCACTTGAGTTTGATGGTTAACCAATTTGCAAGCAATCAAGTTCGAAAATGGGTAACATAACGATCACTTCGACGATTTTAATTGAGTAGATCGATCAAATCATTTCATCCTATTTGTTAGGCAATACAAGGGACTAGAGAGGGGACATGGTACTCTTATGGCCATTGGAGGAGTATGTGTGGTTGTTCAATAAGGGCCATATATCAAACCAGAGAGAGGTAATTGGAATCAATTTCCAACATTTTCAAAGTTACAATTAAATGAAGTAGTTATTAAACCATTAACCCATTGAGACAGTAGAAGCTGTGTTTAACTGATTAAGCATCGATCTTTCGCAGAATGATCGGTTAGCTAAGACATTAAATACTATCATTTATCTATATATAATGATTAGTTCGTATATATCACGTATGTCTATTTTATGAATCTTCCTTCAAATGTATATTTATCTGGTCAAGCTACATGAGTCTAAGTTGTTACTTAAACCCTAAAAAGGTTCATTCAAAATCCACAAATTGGGGATGTTTCGTTTTCATGTTTACTTGCCAAACATATCGAACCATGGCAGACTTGGAAAGGAACAAGAGTGTTCCTGTTCCCTTTTCAGCATCAAGGAAATATATAACGCAAAACACGAGTGACTGGCTGAGCTGCCAATTAAAGTTTGTGTTGAATGAGAATATATTTGAACAGTACTGCAGCCCTCGACAATGTTACATCTAGAACTAGAAATTTCTAACCCTAGCTGCCTGCTAGGGACAGGTACAATTAACCTCTGTAATCAGATGTGAGAATAGTAAGGTGTAAATAATGATATAAAAAAAATGTTCATTGTATTATTGTCAATCGTTCGTGGTTAACGATTTACACATGCACAATTTTATTCGAATGAGGCTATGCTCTTTTCAATAACCCACTCATTTTAACGATCCTATATGTAGGAATACACTTACAATCTAACCTTCATGATCCGATCGATCGACCTATCTCACCCCATTATGATGCGGGTATTATCCGTTCCATTAGTAGTGTGAAACACGATCTAACGAGTCTTATTTTTCAAACCGCCTCACCCATTAATTCCGTGCACGTTCTTGGAAAATCTCGTCCTTATTTTAAGAGTGAGTGGGTGACTTTCTTTTTTGATTTACCATGTTACACATGAGGATCAGATGTCACATACATTCCCCCCACTAAGTAGATAACACCAGAATTATACATGGGACATGGGTATTATCCAACCTGATTCACGCTTACCTTATTTGACACACATAAGTATTGTGATCCCCATCTCGATAACAATGGAATCACACGCAAGTATTACCAGACTTGATTCACGCTTAACATAGGCTTTACCACACAAGTAAGTATCGTGATCTTACCCAATAAACAAGGTTAAGTATATAGAGAAGTGATAGAATGAAGTATGGTTTCCTCGAAATACCCGAGAGATAGTAAAAGTTGAATGATCAGGATTAGGGGCAGTGGGCTGCCTTAATGGCCCATTATCAATCTCATCTAGGGATGGCAATCAAACCCATGGCTGTGGGTACTCGACCACCTCTGACCCAGTCAATGCGGGTAATCCCCGCTTTGACCGGGTATGGGGCGGGTATGGGTAAAACCCGCAAAAAGTTTGATGGATATGGGGCGGGTATGATTTTAGCCTCCCCCGCCCCATACCCATATCCATATCCGCCCCACCAAGAGAATTTCTTCACATATACAAAAATATATGGATAAAATTGTAATCTATCAATGGTGATGAGGATACCTCGAGGAAATAAATAGTAGAAATGCAATTGAGTGACCACCTTAATAAAAACCTAATTCATTTCTCTCAATTCTCCTTTCACTCTTTCACTTTCCCCTTTGTCAACAAGATTATGTTAGTTAATTATTACTTAGTAGATGTATCAGACTTAGAACATAATTAATAATTTGAAAAATATTATACTCTATATTATGTATTATTGTATTAATGAATGTTTTTTAGGATCATATTCTTTGAACCGTATTAAGAAAATGATCGCGTTTTGTTGAATTCGTGATATAATAGGTACGTTTAGAGTTGCAGTTAAAACTTTTCATGTAAATTTTAGGATAATAATGTTGGATGTACGGGTATGGGTATTACCCATGGGTACCCGAAACCCACGTGTATGGGGATGGGTTTGCTAAACATTCGCCCTCATGGGTATGGGGCGGGTATGGATTTGGATATTTGAAGATGGGGATGGGGATGGTTTAGCCAAACCCGCCCCAAACCCGCCCATTGCCATCCCTAAATTCTCATCTATCTTAATTCATCATTAATTTTCATTGGCTGGTATCCTATCTTCAAAATAGCCTTTACCATTGCCCACGCCAGCTCTTTGACCTTTAAGTGGGGTTGGTGGCTGGCTATATATTGACAAAATAAATCTAAGGAGAGGCTTGCATTTATTTGTAAGCTTATTATCTCTTTCTTCTAAAATAATGTTTTTAATTACTACTTAAATACAAATAAACAGATTTGTTGCAAGAGGAAACGACCTAGTACTTTCTCATTATATTTGCTGTGGAGTGGAAGTGGACGTTGTTTTCAGTGACCACAAGAAAAGGTCCCGACCCAGCTGGTGGAACGTAACCCAAACCCACGGCCGGTTTCAAGTTGGACTTTGCCACAGCCTGATTTTGGCGGAAGTTTCGAGTCTGGAATCCGGTTCTTTAGTTTCATGTGAAACCCTACTCTTTGATCCATGGACTACGATCCATCATTTGGTGATTGCTCACATAATCTCTCAGTCATGAGGTTTTTTGGTTGATTCAATAATATAATCATGATACATGATGGAGTGTGACTGTTCAAATAATTTTTTCATTGCAAAGTTTTATGTTCATTCGTTACTCGTGTTCTTTATAGGGAGAATTTTGCTATGATCCATTGTTCCTCTTTTTATAAAAGCACAATCTGATAGAGAAATCACTCGCTGATGATTTGTTTTAGAGGATTTTAAAGAAAGTGAAATTATAGTAACCTATTTTGAATTTGAATTTAAGAATCAAAATAATCTATTGTGCACCTCTAGATAGTCGACAAGTTATATAGTGACGAAATATAAACTATACAGTGACGAAATATATAGTGACATGTTAGAAGTTGCAGAACTTCACCAAATCTTTCCTTTCCCAAACATTCCAGATAGAATTCTCGTCGATCTTATATAGATAATAGAGCTAACGTTGTATAATTTTAATGAGATGACAACAAACTGAAGTTCCTTCAAATCTGATATACAAAGGCCAACCTTACATCTCTGGTTCTCTTCTTTTAACTCTGCTCTGAATGAACATAATTGAACAGAGAGACTCTGTTTTTGGAAAACCCAGAAATGGTGGAATCGGAGGCGTTAGTTCGACGGGTAATTGAATAACCCAGTACCCACGATTCATCGCCGGACCAAAAAACAGGATTGTTGGTCGGAATGTCTGATTCGAGACAAGGGATTTGGTTTAGGATCGAATTGGTAATAACTAAGGGACGGACAGCTAATCAGGCCATCGGGGGGTTATAATGACGGGACGGGGAAGAAAAGGGAAGGCTGGGGGAAATCCGGCGACGGTTTAGGAGGTAAAAGAAGATGCTTTAATACTACCACCGTCAGCGCCGCCGTCGCTGGGAATTACCGGCGGGAAAACCTTTGAAAACGCCCGCGAAAACCAGAAACAGGGGAAGTCTGATTTGATTCGAATTGATATAAGGGATTTAGTCTTGGATCGAATTGGTAATCGAGGAATTTATGACGGGACGGAGGAGAAAATAAAAGGCCGGGGGAAATCCGGCGGCAAGAGGACGAGGAAAAAGATGCTTTCACACGGCCACCACTAACCGCACCCGCCGGCGCCGGAGTCAGAGAACGGCTGGGCAAAACATAGAAAAAACCCCGCGTAAGCAGAAACGCGGCATTCGAAACGCAGAAACGCGATACGTTTCGGATCCTCAAAACCAAAATCGAAACGCGATAAATTGACGAGAAAGTGAAATTGACGATATACGATATTTTGTTAAATATCGCGATATTTAAGCGATATATTGGCTCCGGCCGATATTTTGAATCTGAGTGGAAAGTATGACCGCCGTGGATGACTTAAGAGCACTTTTTGCTGGTCAGAATATCATCAGTGATTTCAGTTTTGTCCCGATAAAGAAGAAAAAAACGAAAAGAAGTAACCATGTCTGCCGCTGCAACCGCCATTTCTTCCTTGCAAGTCCCATTTCTGAACTGCAACAATGGCAATTCGCTGCCCAGAAATCCGCCAACTGGGTCGTTTGTTAATTTGTCAAATATTTCCATCACGACGAAAGGGTGTACTTCATCTATCAGGTCGGTACCCCATTTCCCGCTTCACGTTTCGGTTCCCGAAACAGTAAAGGCATGAATTTTCACCTACCAGTTCGAAAAGGAAAAGGCTCTTCGATTGTTTTTTGGAGTAAAAGGTTTAACCTTTACTCGCAGTTCTTGCTCTGGATTATGTTTGTTGATTTGGGTTAGCTGAATTTTTGTCTGTGTGTTCATTGTTGAACCAATTGGAGTTTGTTTGATTTGGTTTTGGTGGTAGATGTCAATCCACAAGCACGGAGAAACCCAAGACGAGGAATTTGGTGGACAATGCGAGCAACTTGCTTACGAATTTCTTGAGTGGGGGGAATTTAGGTTCAATGCCGATAGCTGAAGGGGCAGTGACTGACCTTTTTGATCGTCCCCTCTTCTTCTCTTTATATGATTGGTTCATTGAGGTATGCGCACTTCATCAAATTTCCTTCTACTATCCCCATGTATATGAAAAACTTGTATATATTGTTTGCTCAATTCAAGCTGCGGTAGCTGTGTCAATTCTATTAGTCAGAATATGAAGGAGGAAGAAAAGATCAGAACTGATATGTCACATATTCCCAACTTTCTGCCCTTGTCTTCTCTGAATGTTAGTAGATGTTTAGGGTCTTACATGGGCTGGAATGTGTAAAAGTAGCTACTTTGAACAACCATTTTAGCCCAAGAGCTTGAATTGTTGAGATTGGTGTAGTATTTGAATGATTAGACTGGCAAAAAATTGTTTAAGGGGATATGTATATTTTGGTGAATGCAAGTGAAACCTCTCTCTCTAAGCATTTTCCAGTATTGTTGGACTGGTTTAGAAGCTGCATGCACAGTGATGTCAGTAAATTTAGTTTGCTTTGACTTGGAATGATTTTTTTGCTGGTGTTGTGCTTTGTTGCAGCACGGCTCAGTGTACAAACTTGCCTTTGGGCCAAAAGCATTTGTGGTTGTGTCAGATCCCATTGTTGCCAGACACATTCTGCGTGAAAATGCATTTTCGTACGACAAGGTACGTACTGTCTTTGTTTTTCTACTCTCAACTACCATCCCAACTACCATTCCTGCCTTTTTGAACTTCAACTTTCATGTGTGTAATTTTGACATCAAGACATATCGATGTAGCGGTTATTGTACTCGCAGAGAACTTGTGAATCACTGTTAGAAATGCCAGAATATGCTGTTAGTAGTCTTTAAGATGAGGATCCTAGGCTTCTGAGAAACTGACCCTTTTATACATACTTTTGTGTTGTTATTATTATCTGTTAATTGAATAACCAGTAGCTTTCTTTTCCCACTTTAATGCCCTCAAGTCTAGTTTCCAACTAATTTTCCTTATGGTTGTGGATTGTGAAGCCACAAGGTGTCCGGTAGACTAATTGATTAGTTGAATTGGAAGGTCATTACTCACACAATGACTAGTTTTGGAAGCCACAAGCTGTCCCCTCTGTTTTTGGATTCTTAATCTTAAGGCTGTTCTGTCTAATTGATTAGTTGAATTGAAAGGTCAATACTCACACAATGACTGAACAATGGATCACCTTTTCTTTTGTCTAGGGTGTTCTTGCTGATATTCTCGAACCAATAATGGGCAAAGGACTTATACCTGCTGATCTTGAAACATGGAAACAAAGGAGAAGAGGTGAGCTTGTCTAGGCCATTTTACTCAATACCCTTTCCTTTGAGCATTCCATTGAAGAGAATATTGTGCTAAATTTTGGAGCTCTTTCCCCCTAGTAATTGCACCTGGGTTTCATGCCTCATACTTGGAAGCGATGGTCAAGATATTTACTGACTGCTCTGAAAGATCGATAACGAAATTTGAGGAGCTTCTAGGAGCACAAGCTTTAAATGGTGGCAGGGAACCAATTGAGCTGGATCTTGAAGCTGAGTTTTCAAATTTGGCTCTGGATATCATTGGCCTTGGTGTATTCAACTATGACTTTGGCTCTGTCACAAAAGAATCGCCTGTTATTAAGGTCTGATCCAAATTCTCTAAATATTTGATTCTGTTATTCATTATGGCTGTTGAAATAATGCGGTCTCCATATATGTTATTTTCAGGCTGTTTATGGTACACTTTTTGAAGCTGAGCATAGATCCACTTTTTACATTCCTTACTGGAAGATTCCTCTGGCAAGGTGGATAGTTCCTAGACAACGGAAGTTCCACAGTGACCTTAAAGTTATTAACGACTGCCTTGATGGACTGATAATGAATGCCAAAGATACTCGAGAGGTAAAGATAATGACCAACATGTTTAACTTTAGGAAGTGAAAGTAAAGGCCTTCCAATTCACCATTGTTTATGCTAAATGTGCTGCAATTCTGCCTAAACATTTTAGCAGATATTACTATTACTCAAATGATATACCTGTATATTTCAGGAAGCAGATGTTGAAAAGCTGCAGCAGCGGGACTACTCAAACATCAAAGTAGGTTTTGTATAATTTTTCAGATTAAGAACTACCTATCCATGTGAAGTTAGTTTGATAATACCATCAGGTTGGAAGTTCTTAAAAAAGTTACGAAGTCTGAGATTGTAACTACAAAGTTTGCAGGATGCAAGTCTCTTGAGATTTCTTGTTGACATGCGGGGAGATGATGTGGACAACCGTCAGGTGAATCATCTGCTGGTTTTGACTTCCAAAGAGTCCAATACATAATTTTTTTTTGCTCCACAATTTTCATTGATGGGCTAATGATGCAAAAATCAGCTACTTGATTGAGCCAACTTTTCTTGATGGCTCGGGTACTCATTCCGTTCTTCATGACAGCTACGAGATGACCTGATGACAATGCTTATTGCTGGTCATGAGACCACCGCTGCTGTTCTTACATGGGCGGTTTTCCTTCTTGCACAAGTATGTTCCATCTATCATCTCCAAGCTCTTTTTCCATTGACTAAATCTGGTTTGATATCTCAAGTGTATCCAATATGAAAAATTGCAGAACCCCTCCAAGATGAAGAAAGCCCAGGCAGAGTTAGATGCAGTTCTGGGCCAGGAGAAGCCAACATTTGAATCACTTAAAAAACTCGAGTGGGTTCTTATATCGTTTCTCCTTCATTTGCTTATATTCAATCAATGGGGAAACCATGCCTAGAATTTTCGGGTTGATTTATCTATTCTGGATTTACTCTCAGATATATACGGCTTATTGTGGTCGAATCTCTTCGCTTGTATCCTCAGCCTCCATTGCTAATCAGACGTTCTCTCAAACCAGATGTTTTACCAGGTAGTCTAAATCTTCCTCTCAACTTCCATTACAAACTCATTGAAGTCAAATAAGTGAATAAAAATGTGAAGCAATAGCTTGTGTAACAAGAATGAATGTGCAGGAGGCTACCAGGGATCCCCAGATGGCTATGCAATCCCTGCCGGGACAGATATATTTGTTTCTGTACGTTCGTGACAATTTACAAGATTCTTGCATATATAAATATCAGAGGTTAAAGACATCGGATATGATATAGTTGCTTTCTCACCAATGGCTCCATGGTACTTTGTTTGACCTGCTACATACTCAGGTGTATAATCTCCACAGGTCCCCACATTTCTGGGACCGCCCGAACGACTTTGAACCAGAAAGGTTTCTCGTGACAAAGACGAATGAATCTGTCGAAGGATGGGCTGGTTTTGATCCGTCTAGAAGTCCCGGAGCATTATACCCTAACGAGGTCCTAGAAAATTCTCGAAACTAGCTAGAGTTGTTTTTTTTTACTGCAATCCACTTTGACAGTGACCTTATAAACCAACATGGGGTTGGTATGATTCTATATTTTTCAGGTGGTATCAGATTTTGCATTGCTTCCCTTTGGCGGAGGACCAAGGAAATGTGTGGGGGACCAATTTGCGCTAATGGAATCCACAGTTGCATTGGCCATGTTGCTGCAGAAGTTCGATGTGGAGCTTAGAGGGTCTCCTGAATCAGTTGAGCTGGTCACTGGAGCAACCATACATACAAAGAATGGGTTGTGGTGTAAATTGCAGAAGCGATCCTCATCATCATAAGCCAATCTCCATTCATGCTGTTTCCCTTTGTAAGAAGGAAGCTACTGCAACATGATCACTATGGTAAAAAAAAAGGTCTGTAAATTTCTTCAGAACACGAGCATTCTGATTGCGAGGGGTGAACCTCGTTCATTTTCTTACTTAGCTGCCATATTTCAGACCTTGATGCTAAAGATTTACATGTTCAGGTGAGGGATAGGGTGTATTTGCATCCATTTACCAAAGTAAAAAAAGCACACATTGAGGAAAGGAAATACATCATCACCAAATGCATATAACTATTAGCCGTTGAGAGAATATCACTTGATACCACTCTGACTTTATATTTCAAATTGCATGACAAATGATCAGGCGACCATTGTTTATTTGACCTTTTCATTTAACCAGTGATGCCACAAACTCATCAACATTCCTCTCCGAACTCCCACCATCGGCAACTGCTTCTCTTGCCAATTTCCTCCACTTCTCTGAATTCCTCCTCATCTCCTCGCCACTCTCCCCTTCCATCACTTCCTTGATCCGTCGCCCTATCTCCTCCTTCGTCACCACCCCGCTCTCCACGTCAGCCCTTGCACGCGCCCCCACGCGCCAGACATCTGCCACGAACTTGGCGTTTGTCTGTTGATCCCCCCACACTGGCAACGCCACCATCGACACCCCAAGGCAGAGCGCCTCCATCGTCGAGTTCCACCCGCAGTGGGTCAAGAAGCAGCCGATGGAGCGGTGGGCCAGGACCTCCACCTGGCGGCACCAACTCACAACAAGCTGGTCTGATGAATCCATTGCAAAGAGGAAGTCAGGCGGGAGTTTATCTTCTTCGGATTCACGAACCACCCAGATGAAAGGGCGAGAGCTGAGCTGCAGGGCTAGGGCGAGTTCGGTGGTTTGGGTTTTGGAAATGTCGGATATGCTCCCCATAGATGCATAGATGACCGAACCGGGTGACTTCGAGTCGAGCCACTGGGTGATGGATGTTTGCGAACCATCCGGGTTGAAGAGGTTGAGCCCATATTCCGACCCTGTCTTGGGGAGGTCCAATGGTTCTTTGTTGCTTAGATAAGCTGATGGAATCGTCGGACCAATCGACTTTATCGGGATCAACTTATTCATCATCCAGTCAAGTAGCTACAAATAAGGGGGGAAAAGGATCAAGTAAAATCATTAATTCCGGTTGTTTTTATCTCAGGACTTCTCCTTCCAAATAACTTATCTACAAAGTAACACAATAATTACCTTATCTTCCAAGCTATAGAAAGTGTTGCAAAAAGCCCAATCGGCTTCCCTAACGGTGGAGAACTGTCCCCCCAGCATGTCAATTGCCACCGCATAACTCCCCGGATCCGCAACAAACGACGGGAGATCATCCGTCGCTAATAATACCGTCTCCGAAAGTCCCTCCACCGCAACCAACCCATTCTCGTCCACCGCCGGCGGAGCCTCCAGCCTCCCTTCCACGACGTTCAAGTACACGGCATTAACCGCCATGGGCTGCGTGAAAAACGCCGCCCCGACCATCCCAAGCTCCTTCGCCACGTGGAGGGCCCACGGCATGATCGAGTCGTACACCAGGCAGCACGGACCTGCAGCAGTGCCTGCAGGTCCGCGCAGCCTGGTCACGAAGTCCCGCAGCCCCTGCTCAACGAGGCTGCGGAACTTCTCCAGGAAGTGCTCGTCAAGGGGGAGCCCGCCGTCCGAGATGAGCTCCACGGCGACGGACCCCACCGCCGAGCCCTGCAGGATCAGCTTCTTGTCGGTAAAGACGACGAGGGTGACGGCGAGACCTTTAGCGACGAGCTTTTTCGAGAACTGGAGGGCCGGGTTGATGTGGCCCTGCGCTGGCCACGGCATTACGATGACGTGTGGCCTGTCTGTCGTCGCTAAAGGTTTTTGTGTCATTTTTTCGTCCCCTTTTGTTGTGATTTAGCGACGGGAAGAGGAGTGGTTAATTGTATGATTGAGCTCTGTTTGGCTGGTGAATTCTCATTCTGGAGGAAGGGCTCTATATATAATCAAATCGTAAGAGAGCAATCATAGAGCTGTGATGGTGAAGAGGATCATTGAGCAGAAAGAGTAGTTTTGGTGACCAAGTCTCGCTGAAGGTGATGTAATTGGAAGACGGCGGATTCTTCTTCTTCCTTGCATAATTACCTCACAAAACCGATTAGTCCAAATAATTCAAATTGTTGAAAGAAATTCAATTATAAATCATATACCATATAATACGTAATTAAAATCGTAGAGAAAGTAATATACTCATTCTTGAGTATGACATCTGATCGTACAACTCCACATTCCATGGAAGCTTGCTAGCTATGGCATATTCCAACACCCAAACGACCCATTAAGTTGTATATTCTTAAGACGGCTAGGATCTCGTCAGAACAATAAGCCAAAACAAGCGAAACCACCAATGACAGGTCGATCCTAAAACAAAAGTTGGATAGGTAATGTATAATTAAGTAGAACTAATTTGCTTCCTATAATATACGTTTGAGTCGCTAAAACCAAACTATAGTGACCAAAATGTTTTTTTTTTACCAAGGACCAAAATGTTAGTGGAGTTAAAGATTCAATTTGCATTTTACAGTCGAACAACAGAAAACAAGGTCGTTCTCTAAGTGGTGGCGTGGTAAGGATGAGTGTACGATTTGGAATATACCATACTTGATGTAATCGGGTGGTTGGATGTACTTCGTTGTAATTCGATAAATCAAAATCAAAATCTTTGATTAATTAATATATTTATATATTAAATTGATCTAGGTCTGAGGTTAAGGAATTTAGGCGTGAAATTTATTCATTAGAGATTAGAATATCGTATCAATGTATTTTACAATCTGACCCATATATATATTATGAATTATATCGAATTTCGAATACCAAAATAGAATATTACGATATCCTTTAATCCTTTAATGAATGAACACTAAGCTCCATCATTAAAGTGAAACTATATGTTAAGCACCACTCCAATTAAAGAGGATGGTCTCCGCACGGCTCTAGTATTGATATAGAAGCCATCTCTTTCCCAAGAAAACAATGATGGAAGACTGTAAATAAGGAGCCAAAATCACTCTTGTTCGTTTTGCAGTGTATGTTTTGATGAAGGGCCAACAGAAGTGAGAGTGATGGATTTGAGGTTATATGGAAGGCTGGAGACAAAGCTTTCTTGGATTAGAAGCTTCTCAACACTAGGTAATTGTTTCGGTCTTTTCGATTGTGACGATTCTGAAAACGAGTTTGTTCTTGTCGATTACATCGTTAATGGTATCACAATTCAATTTGGAGAGGACGTTTCAATGACAATTATGGTGCTTCGGTCAATAAGGCGTTGTTGTGGAGGATACCTAATGGAAAATTGTTCAACAATCTATGTTGTGTCGGAGTATCTTGCTCCAATAAGCTTTGACAGGACTAAATTATGTTCTAATTATGATTTTGTAACAAGTTTAAGCCTTTTTGTAATTATTTGAACGCCGAAACAAATATTATATGTATAGTTTTCGATTTGCTGACACATTCTTATTCTCTTTTAGTTGAAAGTTGCAAATTAGTTATGTAACACATATTGTAAGACCATTGTTATATGACAATGTTATATATCAATCAACAAATATATGGGCACGAAGAATATGAAGAAACATATTTTAAATCGACAAAACAAGTATGATTGTCGAAATGCACACATCCTCTTGCATCATTGTCATTCCGAATTCTATCAAGCAACCGCTTATGTCTTGTGTGGACTGGTGGGTTGGAGAGGTTAAAAATTACTCGTGACACTAATCGTTTTGTTTATTCAATATCTAGTATTTATTGATGTATCAAATTCAACAAAACAATAATTGAAATAACCAACGAACATAAAACGTGATAAACCCACTCATTAGAATACTGGTTCTGTTGATACTCAAAGATTTTTTTGTAACTTTTGTGTATTATCTTACATTTAAATAGGAATTAAGAAAAGAACTATAGTGCCAAAGCTTCATATATTTTAGACTTTTTAGTCAAAATAATGAAAAGAAAACACAGATTCCAGGAAAGGAAAAAGGACTTGTATAGCAAACAACAGTAGGTAGTGGAATGGTACTTTATTAGCTTTTTGTTTTTGTCTATTTTTATAAGGGTCAATTACATGAAAGGTCAGCTAAGTTTCATGCCCAACACAAATTAGTCATCAATTAACGTTGTGTCTATTATTAATATACGTGTTAAATGATACAAACTATGTTACTATATCAAAAAGGAATCACATTAACTCTTTAGTAGGTTAGGAATGTAGCGAAATATGATGGTTATGAGTAATGTGGACTCGAAATAGATCTAGTATGTTATAAAACATTTAACTTAGATTAGATTGTTATAAAACTTTATCTACAAATTCGTTGATAATAAAAGTTCAATGATGAATTTGTTAATGGGCTTTAAAGTTTGAAAACCATTTGTGTATGATTTGTATAATTGCAGTCTATCTCGTTCTTTTTGGCTGTCAAAACCTTCTCTTTTGTGCCTTTGTCAGTTTTTGGGCAAATATTCTTGTCTTCAACTTCAACAGCTCCTCCACCATTTTCCTTGCTCAAGGATTTCTTCTCGTTTCTCTCTCTCTGACCCTCTCTGAAGCTTTTCCCCATCTCTGTAGGGGCCATGTAGAGCTTTCGTTTCAGCTTCACCCAGTCTCTCAATTTTGCCTCATGAAAAATTTTCGTTTCTTTTCTCCTTGTCATTTTCTCATTAATGCTGACAAAGCGAGCGACTAAGTAAAACCCACTCCCCCATTTCTCCATCCGTTTTGGGGTTTATTGGTTTCAGACTGCATAGGATAGAAAGTTCAATTCTTTGCTTCTTTTTTATCTCTTAGGACAGCTCCTTTGGTTTTTAGGGTTTTGGAGCTCTTCTAAGCTCTGGTATTGAGCAATTATGGTGAGGAAGCATGGATGGCAATTGCCAGCACACACGTTTCAGGTACTGAATTTTCTTTGCTTCTCTCAACAAGTTACTAACTTTTCTCATTTCTTCTCAGTTTCTGTTGGATTCCTTTTCCTTTCTTCAATGTCGACTTTGCCTTTTCTGCGCTTTGTTAAAATTGTATCCATTTGCTTTTGATCATGGTTAGGCAGGTCAATTCAGTTGACCTCCCGTCCTCCACCCTTTGGTAATAGATTGACTTGGGCTGACTTCTCGATTTAGCAATTAGTCTTCTGGGTATTTGTCGGTTTGTTTGATGGGGCATTACAGGTCTCTTTGAAAGTTGTTGATTATAATGGGGAGACTAGAAAATGTGCAGACAGCATTTTGAGTCTTAAATTGTTGAGTTGAAGAGCTTTGTTTTATCTGAGTACTAGTAGATTTTGCAAGATTAAGTCTTTGATATGCTAATGGTCCTGCAAAATGAGAGAGATTAAGCTTTAGTCATGATGGTCTTGCTTAAGAGTGTACCAGCACTTGGTGATATAGTAAGGGTGGTTTGACTCACTCTGTAATGTTGATCCTCCATGAGACATATGATGGCCTGGCTCTCTCACAAGGTCGTTGAACAGTTTCTGAGCTACGGACGTAATGGCATTTCTCTTTTTGATTTAGCAGACTGCACGTTCCAATTCTGAGTTCTGTCTTATATTTTATATTGAAGTGTAACCCAAGTCTGACTTCTGAACACAATGTGAGAAAGTAACAGATGAGTTTCGTTAGTTCTGTGAAGCTTGACTAGACGACTGCTCAGACTGCCAAAATCTAAGAATACAAGTATTCTGAAACTGGCAGTTGGTGATGCTTCTATCGAGTTGGCTTTCTAACTCCCCTTTCTCTAACTGTTGGCACTATCTTTGATAGGTTGTTGCAATCACGGTGTTTTGCCTGTTGGTGATAGCATTCTATGCTTTCTTTGCTCCTTTCCTCGGAGGCCACTTCTGGGAGTACACTCTGATTGGCATCTACTCTCCAGTGGTAAGTGACCTTCAAACACTTCCACCATTCTTTCATATTTTATAGGTCTCTATCATACAGCTTACCTTGATCGCATATGTGCTAGTAATCATCAGTTTGGTACACCTTTTGTTGCAACATTGCTTATATATATTTTCATTTCCAGGTGCTCCTGGTTTTTATTCTTTATGTGCGGTGTACCGCAATCAACCCAGCAGATCCTGGCATCATGTCTAAATTCAATCCCCATCATATAGCAGCTAACAGGAATGCTAAAGATCTACCCAGACGATTCAATGAAGCTGGGAGTGGAATTCATTCTTCCCCATCTTCTATGTCCAAAAGTTCTATAGCTCCTGCCAACTCTAGCAGGCAAGGGTCAGTTGGAGATATCGGGAGAGTTGATGAGGAACCACAAACCCACCAAAAATCATGCTCTATTGTCGGGGGAATCTTATGTGCTGTGTTTGTTCATGAAGATTGTCGCAAGCAGGAAGGGCTTTCCGAGCAACAAGGCTCTGTTGAAGATGCGTTGTTCTGTACATTGTGCAATGCTGAGGTATTCCTCTGGGTGCAAGTAGTTCTTGATTTTTCCTTGGGAAAAAACAGAAGACTGTAGCTGATCAATATCTTCTGTAGAGGCCGAGCCATAAAAAGTTTATTACCCTATTTTCTCATCAAACTGAAAAGGTTTAGAAATTTGCAGGTACGCAAATTCAGCAAGCACTGCCGCAGTTGTGATAAATGTGTTGATGGCTTTGACCACCATTGTCGGGTAAAGCTTCCCGCCTTTCCATCCTTTCTCATGATAATGTTTCCTGGCTTCTAACTTTCTCCATGTAATGCAGTGGCTTAACAATTGTGTGGGCCATAAAAACTATGTGACTTTCATTTCGCTTATGGCTACAAGTATTGTATGGGTATGTATATTTCGACTCTTATTTATCGTTCTTTCTCTGATGGTTGTAGTGCTAGTGCTTACTTTTCTGCTTTGTGGTTTAGCTTGTTCTTGAAGTTGGAGTCGGGATTGCTGTCATGGTCCGTTGCTTTGCCCACAAGAAAAGCATGGATGCTGAAATAGTTGATACCCTTGGAAACGGATTCTCTCGTGCTCCTTTCGCTACTGTGGTGGTATGCACATCTTAAGCATGAGCTTTAGTAAAAAAAAAAAAAGGTGGCCGTGTCATTTTTCGCATTCATTGGATTGAATATCATTCCTGATTGTCTACCTGCATTTTCTGCAGGCTGTATGTACTGCAGTTTCTATTCTGGCCTGCATACCCTTGGCTGAACTTCTCTTCTTCCACATGATATTAATTCGAAAGGTTAATTACCAAAACTGAGATCTTCAGCATTCTGTCGACTTATTACTACTAAAATTGCATTTTTTTCACTTTATTTATTTATTTATTTATGTACTTTTGCTACTCTTGTCAGGGTATTACGACGTATGAGTATGTTGTGGCAATGAGAGCAATGAGTGAGGGACCTGCGAATATGGAAGAGCAATGGGGCAATCTAGGCAACTCACCAACAGGATCTGCAACAACAGGATTTAGTGGTGGAAGTTCTCTTGGCCTGCAGTACAAGGGAGCATGGTGTACCCCTCCCCGAGTATTCGTTGATTTACAGGTACATTTCACTTCCAAAATCGATCCCCACTGCTTTGTTTACCCCTCCTCGAGTATTTTTTTTGCAAATGGTATGGGAATACAGTATATACAGTTGTCTAAAAGTTCCACTTCTAGCCCTTGGTCGATAACCTGTCAAGTAAATTTTCTTCTGGCCATGCTTGGTAGTCTGAAACTAAGGGGTTGTTTGCATTGATGATTTGTTGAAACGTGTAGATTGTTCTAAATAGATATATCATGGAATGATTGATATTGAACTATTGGAGGACTGTACTGTTGGATGACAATTTTAGCTGGTGGATTTTAGTTTTTCCACTTGAAAACCAAATTTGCCTTAAACATCATCCACTTTATAAAGCTGTATAATATCTTCAAATTTTCCAACCAAGGGTCATAGTGTCAAAACACATGGTGGGTTCTGGAATGCCACGCCCCCTACCCATGGCTTCTGTGATCTCCCCTTCTATATTCTGAAATCCATGCATGGTGCCAAGAATGCACCTCGTTTTCTCAATTTTTCTTGCCAAATGATAGAGTCCAGGAAATCCATCACCACAATTGTCAATCCAAACAACCTGTAAGATGTTTCATCTCGCAAATAGGGCTAGATAGCACTTCTCCCCGTTTCTTATATTCTAACTGCCATGGTTGATAATTGAAGCAAAACCAAGGACTATTGCATAATTTTTTTGGTTGGGCTCTCTTCCTTTTCTACTGCAGGATGAAGTCATACCTCACTTGGATCCAGGAATGGTCCCATCAACGGTCGACCCTGATGCAGCAGGAAATGCAGACCAAGGAGGAAACAGGCAACCCAAAAGGCCCGTCCGAATTAGTGCTTGGAAACTTGCAAAGTTGGACTCAAACGAGGCAATGAAAGCCGCAGCAAAGGCAAGAGCATCTTCTTCCGTTCTGAAACCAGTCGAGAACCCTCCATATCTTGAAGGAGGTAGCTCGAGTGGCAACATGAGCATCAGGAGTAGCCTCAGTACCGAAATGGGTCCAAACAAGGAGTTGACGAGGGCCGAGCTGCGGTTACCCTCACATGGTCATTCAATACCTCCTAGTCAAGGCAGTCGAGATGATTGTGAAACTGGAACCCACAGTGTTAGTAGCTTCAGCAGCCCTAGCCACATCCATGAGTCGGTAACCCTTAGCCCTCTGCCGCAAGGTCATGCTCCTAGTTTCCTTCCTAGTCGGCCTATGGCCTCCAAGGTGGCACCCCCTACATCTGGATTTGATGAGAAGATCGCGCAGAGGGGAAGTGGTAGTACTGCTGATCCTTTGCTTCTTGGAGCACCGACATCATCATCATCTCTTCTCAGAGAGGTGAAGAGGACATCTGTGGTATGGGACCAAGAAGCAGGGAGGTATGTATCTGTTCCCGTTTCTTCGACTGATGCAAGAAGCAGACCGGCCCCACAAATTGGTGTGCCAACTTCATCATCATCCGAGGCAAAACCAGCAGCAGTTCAGCAAGGGGAGAAGCTGATGTACACAGGAGGTGACTCCATTTTCTTCGGCGGTCCACTATTGACTGGTCCAACCATTAGAGGAGAAGGGTTGAGAAATGAAGGTTCAAGAGACACCCACCACCAGCAGAGGCTAGCATTGAACTTCCCACGTGAGTCGAGGTTCAGAAGAGATGCAGTGTCGAATCAGCTTCCTGTTTTCAACCCTGCTGGATCATCTGACCACCACCACCACAATCCTTCATCTTAAGGTTACTCCATTTTCATCTGTATAGTCCAGAGAGCAAACAGCAGAATGCAGGCGAAAGCTGGAGGCATCCTTTCTTTCTAGTGATAGGTCCTGCTGCTCATTCGTAGCAGGAAAGCTCATTTCATGCAAGGTTTAACCGCTTGTTTGGTTTGGAGGATGGAGGAAGAGGACATGATTGGATGCCTAGTATTGTCAATGAATGAGAAAGGTGACTGGAGATCGAATAGCGAGAGAGAACATCGGTCTTGGTCTCGGTCTCTCATCCAATCTTGGCCTGACCAAAAGGGTGTGTTCTTTTGTCGATGAGACCTTGTACATTTTGATTCTCTCACTGCCTTTATATTCTTCCTACTGTTCTCCAGTTCATGTTGTGCGTGTGTATATCTTTTCTCCAATTCTTTTTTGGCTGTCTTTGTTGGTTAGTTGTATTTTGAGACAGACATTTGTGGAAGTTGACAGAGAATGCATGGTGGCACAGATCAATTGAAAGGGAAAGAAATAAATCACCTCAATCCTCATTCTTAGTCTTCTAGATGCCAAGGGTGTGATTGGCATTATCCAATGTAACAATCAGACACAATGTGCTAACACGGAATCAAAAGCCTCATTTCTTCTAGCTTAGCAATTCGACTTGAAGTCAATTTTTCTCAACCCTGCCAAATGGTTTCGTGGTGTAGTTGGTTATCACGTCAGTCTAACACACTGAAGGTCTCCGGTTCGAACCCGGGCGAAGCCATTTTTATTTTCATTAATTTTTTCATCAGATAATAGTTCAATCATGAATTTAATATAGTTGGGAATTTTTGTTATAAATTATGTTGATGCTAAGCAGTGGGAAAGGGTTGGTGTGCAATCATTTTTTGAGTTGCCAAAATTAGAATGAGATTCGTAATTGTCCCCTTAGAAATTATAATACAAAGTTGTAGTAAAAATTTGTTAATCTCACCTAAAATGAAGATGATAATTCATGATTATTGATAATAAAATAAGATGTAATCTCCTCTTGATTCCATTTGAGAAATCAAAGCAATCATTGTAAATATTATTGACATTGAATGATCCTAAGGCTTTCAAAGTTAAACTAATTTATAGTATGAATAATCTTTTATAATCCAATTAGTGTAACATTAATACATTGACCGATTCTAAAATTTCTAGTTAATTCGTATAACCTCTGAATATTTTCTTTGTTGGTAATCTTTTATGGTAAACATGAATGGAAGCTGGAATCACAATTCACATTTGTGAATTGTGATCCTCCAAATAAATAAAAATGATATGGTAACTAATGATCTAAAATAACTAATTGTCTATTATCAATTATGTATGAGGGAATGGGAGATAAAAAAATAAATTTTTAAGAGGAAATCCCCAAAAAAGCCTTTCTCTGAAACAGACTGACTGACGTCTCTCTCCAAGAGCTCCATTATACTTGGTTGTCCGTTTCTCTCTCGGGCCAGCCAGAGCCAGTGGCCTTCACCAAGTTCACCTCCTTAGCTCCCACCCATTTTAGTCATCTTCTCGACTTCCATCTCCTCTCTTTTTCTTTTCCCCTTTGTCCAGTTTGCATGCTCTGCTGTTTGGATTTGCTAGTTCTCTGCTAAGCTATGGTGGTCTTCAACGCACTCATGCGATCCACTCTCAATGCTCGGGTAATCATCATAGATTTCTCACTACCCATCATTCTTTCCCTTCAAATCCCACCTCTTAAGTTGTTTTTTCCGCGTACCATGTATGAGAAAGTTCCGCAATTTTTGGATCATAGCTTGTTTTTCGCTTTCCTGCTCTGTTCCTTCCTCTGTTTTTCTTTCTTTCGCTCTGTGAAATTTGATTTCCCACTTTTATCTTGGTTTCTGGGTTCTCCGTTTGTTGCTCTGCTCATCTTTTCTCGATCGAAATTTCTGTTTGTCTTCTAGCGGGAAAAAATGGGAATTCAATTTTCCCGCTTTTGTTTCAGGAAAGTTTTCAATCTTAAGAGACACTTGTGATTTCTTGTTCATGGATCATTGTTGGGTTTTGTAATTTGTTATGTTGCTTCAAAATCCAAAAAAATTGTGTGGTTTATGGCACAAAAGAAAGCTAGAATCTTTGAGATTACTCAGCTGATCAAAGTAGACAAGTTGAAATCTGGAAGCAAGAAGGTTATGAATCCCCCATTGAAAAAAAGAATTGTAGTGGGGTTGAGTCAGCCTGTGAATGGTGAAAAGCGAAGTTGTGTATGTTTTTTGTGCTGAATTCGAACCTTATGCCCTTGTCCTTACTTTGATCAGCTTGGCTCATATGTGAAGCATGTTGCTGGCAAGGGACCATCACAGACCTACATTCCATCAGTGGCTAGATTGTACAGCAAAGAAGCATATCTGATTAAGGACGATGTTTCAGATGGTAGCAAAAGGTAATGTCTTATTAACAATTTCGTTACCTTGAAGTTGAAGCACATAGGGGCCAGAAATTTCGAAGGCTCTTAGAACTTTTTGTATGTTGCAGTTTCAAGGGGCATGATATGCTGGCTCCTTTCACAGCTGGGTGGCAGACAACTGAAGCAAACCCTTTGGTCATTGACAAGTCCGAGGCATGTTCTTGTTCATTCTAGTTTCCCAATACTATCTCTACTAGGATGCATTGTTCCTCAACTAACTGGGAGCCTGGTAATCGGTTGTTGATACAGGGTTGCTACGTGTATGATGCTGATGGGAAGAAGTACATCGATTCTCTTGCCGGTCTCTGGTGTACTGCTTTAGGTATTATGAGTATATCCATTATTCGTATACATTTTGATATGTTTCTCATGCTGTATGTACATTTGTAGGAAACAAGGTTTCCTACAGAGTGGGAATTGGGGAATTTAGCGAGATCAATTAGGGATTGATCTAACTAGGGATTAGAATTGGGGATTTAGAATAATTGAGAGAGGGAATTAGGGAGCTGCTGCCGCAGCTTTTAGGAAGAAGAAGAAGAAAGGGGTCGGCGCTGGAGAGGGAGAGTTTAGGTTTAGAGATTTGATTAACTATCTGCTTAATGAAAAATAATACCCTAGTACAGAATAAATAGTCTGCCTAATTTCCAACGACTACCCAACCAATTAAACATAACATTCAACTCCCTATTTATTCCCGAATACCCCAAATAATACCCTAAATCATAAAAACCGACGATAATCCGAACTAACAAAATACTGTAAATAATGTGTTTCCCACATCCCCTCTTCCTTCGAAAAACAACCTTGTCCTCAAGGTTGTTCCTCCACTTCTTACGCTTCCTCTTCTTCCAATTACGATCAAACATCCGGACTCGACGCATAGCACAAGTAGCTCCCCCCTTCACCGAATTTTCTTCCACGCCGTAACTCCCGACATCGAAATAATGAGCAGCATGGTCCAAGTCTTTCCTTGTGAACTCCACAAAGTAAAGACCCGCGAAGTGGTCTCGATCATTAACCACGAATCCTAGATCCTCCACTGAAGGCTTCGTAGCAACCATGGTTACCTCTGCTGCACTTGTGGTGATAAATATGAGCCCGAGCTTCCATTGAACACTTCTTCCTGCACCTCGTTCCTCACACAATGAAGGATACAACCGCCCTTCCACTCCACGCATGCAACCTCTTCCATCCTCCCATTTCCACATTCCCTGCATCCATCTTGCCTTCTTAATGTCCGCCCCGTTCGTAGCCTCCTGCCCCACGTCGCCATCTCCGCTACGACCATCCAAAAGCACCTCAAACGTCTCGCTACCAGCCCCCCTTACCAAACTCAACTGCCACGAGCTGAAGTCGAGGCAATTGGGCTCAAAAAGTCCCACAAGTGGTACTCGTGCGAGGCAAGCAGGGTCCCCTTTCCATGTGCATCCAAAGAACAACAATTGCCAACAAGTGATGTTCCCTCCCACCAGTTGCGTGTCCCATGGCACGGAGATGAGCGGTTCAGGTGCAGCTATGCCGAATGACCAATGTAATATTGTTCCGTTCCCCGATATCCGCAAGTCATAGCCTCCCGCTTTATGCTGCTGTTCAAGCCGCTTCTCTATTGCTCTTTTGGAGAACTCTTCTCCTAGCGACATCACTTCTTCATCCCACCTCGTGGCTAGCTTCACAAATTGAGGGTGACACATGCATCCCGAGTAATTCAGGTCCACTAAAACTGAATTAGCCCATACTTGAGTTCGTGGCAAATCCCACCCAATAATCAAATGCCCCTGGTCTCCGTATAACCAATCAAGCAAAGTCTTCACAAGGATTTCCCTTCCTAACTTGTTGCCAAACCCACAAATTAAGGGCGAGAAAGACAATTTTGGTGGCCCATTCCCCCTTGGTTCCAATCGATTCATACCCTCTTCCTCTGTTACTTTATCCCCAAAGTTCCAATTATATATATAAACGAAACAAATTGAGAAGCAATTAAGATACTCCAACCTGCTAGGTACTGCGGGTCCCCTGTGCAACTGGCTAACTCCATCTTTCCATCTCGACATCTTCAGGGTCGTAGTAGTCTTGACGTCGAAACGAATCTCTACAGGACCGTAACCTTGTTCCCGGGCCGGTTTGGAGCACCCGACAGCTTGCTGATCAATCCCGGACTGTACGGACTGTCCTATGATTAATCCCCACGTCATCCTACATTTCCAAGTATCGATTTGACCCGGAAGCACTCGGACTAGAACTGCAGACCGGGTGGTTAATTCATCTTCTCTAACCTTCGGAGTTACTACCAGAAACGATGGCTGCCTCGACTTGGCAGTATGGGCGGGCACGCCGACAGCGGATCGCGGCGCAGCATCTCGCTCAGTCTCTCCATCTACTAGACTCGCCGTCAACTTCTCAGTAGCTTCTTGCTCCGAGGCTGACAGGAATTCGCCCGGTGGAGGCCACGGCGGCGAGGTGACCCGCAGCCTGGGGATGACAGCATCTCCGATCGAGTGCTGATTCGGCCCTCGCTCGGTCTGGTCTTTTGGATCCATGGCGACAATCGATGGAAGGGTGTCATGGAAGTCATTGAGTGATCGCGTTCTTCCGACATCCATGGTCGTCTTCTTGGTGGGTGGAACTGGAATGGTTGTGATGACTTCCGTAGAGGGCGGCGGCTCTTTGGTGAGGGACTTCAAACCAGAGGACGCAATGATGGCGGAATCGTCGCCTGTCCGCGGCCACAGCTTCTGCTCCGCTCCCTTCTTCTGCTCTACGCTGCTGAGCGTCTCTTCTGTGGCTGGCGGCTCGATTACCAAAACCTCTTCCACGTCCGGTTGCTCTGCTCGCCTCTCAAGATCACCGTCTGAGTCAACCTGCACAACCGACGGTTGCTCTTCTGCGGTGGTGGCATTCCCAGTCGGCAGCTCCTCGGAGCTCCATCGACGGCCGATGCGGCGAGCCCGGTCACGCAGCTCTGCCCACGACAGGTTCGAGAGCTTTGAAGAGCTCATCGTCGAACCAGTTGTAGGACTCGTCCCCGGTTGAGAGTTGTGGTGAACTCAATTCTCGAACCGGGCTCTGATACCAGATGTAGGAAACAAGGTTTCCTACAGAGTGGGAATTGGGGAATTTAGCGAGATCAATTAGGGATTGATCTAACTAGGGATTAGAATTGGGGATTTAGAATAATTGAGAGAGGGAATTAGGGAGCTGCTGCCGCAGCTTTTAGGAAGAAGAAGAAGAAAGGGGTCGGCGCTGGAGAGGGAGAGTTTAGGTTTAGAGATTGGATTAACTATCTGCTTAATGAAAAATAATACCCTAGTACAGAATAAATAGTCTGCCTAATTTCCAACGACTACCCAACCAATTAAACATAACATTCAACTCCCTATTTATTCCCGAATACCCCAAATAATACCCTAAATCATAAAAACCGACGATAATCCGAACTAACAAAATACTGTAAATAATGTGTTTCCCACAACATTGCTTGGGAATCCGATAATTGCGTTGACCTCAAATGCTTGCTTCATGCATGTTACATTTAATGGTTCCCAAGGTATTTGTTGGAAGAAAATTTTGAATCCAGATGCTGACCTCTTGTGCAGGTGGCAACGAGCCACGTCTTGTTGAAGCTGCAATGAAGCAACTGAATACCTTGCCATTTTACCATTCGTTTTGGAATCGTACAACAAAGCCTTCTCTGGTACTCACGTCTTTTCCATTATCAAATAACGGTTGAGTTTGTGACCGTTTTTTGTAAACTCCAAAGCCCTCCGCCCCATCTTCGGATCAAAGAAATCTACGGTTGGGAATTTATACTCTGTATAATTTGATGCAACAGGATCTTGCGAAGGATCTTCTCGAAATGTTCACTGCAAATAAAATGGAAAAAGCTTTCTTCACTAATGGTGGATCAGATGCCAATGACACACAGGTTAGCTTGTTTCTTAAAAAGGATTGCTTAGCTGTTTTGTTCTGATTAGAATTCTAAGTCATTCTATGGGCTTAATCAGCTCATGATTAATCTGCCATCTTCCTTTCTGAGCTAGATTTCTTAGTGTTTCAGACGTTGTGTTCTATACATAATTCTGTACTTTGATTCCATCTTTTCTGCAGGTGAAGCTGGTGTGGTATTATTATAATGCTCTTGGCAAACCAGAAAAGAAGAAGTTTATTGCTCGAAATAAATCGTTAGTTTTTGGTCACTCCATCTGTTTTGTGATCTATTCTTTTTGTAAACCATGCTAAAATTGTTGCTTTTTCTCTGTGTTTGTTAGGTATCACGGCTCAACCTTGATTTCAGCCAGTCTTTCTGGGTAAGAATATATAGATTACATTAATTAAATGCAAAGTTCATTGTCATGTCGCGTTTATGTGATATATGAAACTACATTGCAGCCTTCCACCTATGCATAATAATTTTGATCTTCCAGCACCATTTGTGCTGCACACTGACTGTCCACACTACTGGCGTTTTCATCTTGAAGGTTCCTCCCTCCCCGCCTCTTTTACTTTCGAGTTCCATAACTAACAACCAGCAGCTCTTTAAGTACAACTTCTTGGTATGCATATTTCAGGTGAGTCAGAGGAGGATTTCGCAACCAGATTAGCCAAGAATTTAGAGGAGCTTATCCTGAAAGAGGGACCTGAAACGGTAATCAATGCTATAACTTGCTGCAACTATAAGTAACAAAATTTCATAACAATGCTTTTGGTTGCTAACCTGCAATAGGTTCTTCTTTCAGATTGCTGCATTTATTGCTGAGCCAGTCATGGGTGCCGGAGGCGTGATACCCCCTCCTGCAACTTACTTTGAGAAGGTGAACTTCGTAAAGTCTATGCCATAATATAGAAGGCAACATCATAGACTCTACGACATAATAGTTTAATGCTTTTTTGGTCACTTATTCCTTTTCTTACTTCTTTTGTGGCTATGACTAATGGGAGATTCTTTTGAGATGGTTGTTTGCTTTTTAGTCTTATGGGCTCATGAAGTACAGTGGGAAAAATCTCCTCCGTTCTTCTATCTGCACTACACATACCTAATGTTGATGTTTAACCCTGTGCAGATTCAGGCAGTGGTGAAGAAATATGATATTCTATTCATTGCAGATGAGGTAATCTGTGCCTTTGGAAGGCTTGGAACAATGTTCGGGTGTGACAAGTACAACATTAAACCAGACCTTGTAACTTTGGCTAAGGTGAGTTCTGGAGTATTTTCATGGTTTCCAAAATTACTCTGGGTTCAGTAACACATCATTCACCGAACCTTCTTTCAGGCTCTTTCGTCAGCATACATGCCAATCGGAGCAGTTCTTGTGAGCCCTGAAATAAATGAAGTGATTTACTCCCAAAGCAACAAACTTGGTATGTGGCAACAAAGCTTCCATTTCTTGTAGCTGTTGTTGAACAATTTGAACTGAATTCTTCTTATCACCTATCTTACAGGTACATTTTCTCATGGATTTACTTACTCTGGCCATCCTGTTGCATGTGCTGTGGCCATTGAAGCCCTCAAGATATACAAGTGGGTCTTTGTTTCGCCTTTCTATGCTACATTTCCACTAGATCTAGTTCTGAATTGCAGTTTTCTCTCGACTGATACTCTGCATTTCCACTTGTATTTGCATAGGGAAAGAGATATTCCTGGGCATGTGAGCAGCATTGCACCAAGGTTCCAAGATGGCCTTAAAGCCTTCTCTGACAGTCCTATCATAGGAGAGGTAACAACACTCTTAATGTCCAACTTTGCGCTTTGCAATGACACGAGTACTAACCAACTTTTCCCCTTTTGCAGATCCGCGGAACTGGCTTCATTCTTGGCACTGAGTTCACCGACAACAAGTCCCCTAACAGCCCGTTTCCTGCTGATTGGGGCAAGTTCTTATATATTCCTCACAGCCGGGATCATATTCATTTGTAGCAGTTGCAATGCACGATAAACAACATGGTTTGTGCTTTTGTTAACAACAAGGGTTGCTCTCTTTTTTTATGTGAATCGGGAATTTCGTTGCAGGAGTAGGAGCGTACTTTGGAGCAGAATGCCAGAAGCTCGGGATGTTGGTTCGTATAGCAGGAGACACCATCATGATGTCTCCACCTCTGATCATGGGCACTGAACACGTAGACGAGGTATAATCTTACCCCCGTCCCCTTCAAAACTTGCTCTTCTTCAAATCATGTCTTTCTCCCTTCCGCTGAGCAAATGATGCAAATATGTAATCTCCTCATTTGCAGATCATTAGCAAGTACGGGAAGGCGCTGAGAGCCACCGAGGAGAGGGTAAAGGAGCTGAAATCTAAGCACAGCAAGTGATAGATGATGTCGAAAAAATTTGTGTTCAGTTCTCTATCTTCGGAGGTTGTAAAGAGAAGCCTTATTTTCAGCATGGTGCATTGTTAATAGATCACATTGGCAGAATGAATAAAGCACATTAGTAATTAGTGCTTTAATGGGATTAATCAGCTATATTCGGAATCCTAACAGTTTTCGTCTTTTCGACGTAATAGAAACAAACAACAGTTTCTCTGACATCCGGCCAGTGGCAGCAACGGACGGCGGCAGCTGCCCGGAGCTGAAAGATGATTTGTAACCAACCTCGTCATTGTAGTCCGAGTCTTAAAACGATTTCTACGGAAGACATTCAGAGATTACGAACTCCTGTTAAGGGACAACGAAATATAAAAGTACCGACAGGATCTCGGCGAAGCTCACTGCATAGAATGTCATGGCAGTGGCGGCGACGATTCCCAGCACTGGAAACGCTGGCGCAGTGGCGCAGAAGCCAGAAAGGATGAAGAATGAAATATCGTTTTCTTTGGCGCTTGTTTCTGTTAGGTGAATAACATATTTGGTCCCTTTACTTTGGGTTAGTTCATAAACAGGCCCCTAAACTTACTTGCTTACAAAGCACAGCCCTGATCCGCATAGGGATGAATTCCTTTTGTTGTTTGACAAGTTGGGTAACATACTAGTACATGATCAAGTCCCTCTCGTTTGGAACTTGGGAGTAATTCTCTGATCAGAGCGGTCCTTCGTCTAACCTATGATGGGGCATCATGACTCCCGTGGTTCTTGGTTCGATACGTTGATAGTTGTTGTCCGTCTTGGAACCTTGGTGCAATGATGCTCAGATGCCAAGGAATCTCTTTCTCTGCGAGTGGCAATGCGAAGTATCAGTCAAGCGAAAACCAGGACTCAGACCTTGATCTAGTGGAAATGTAGTATAGAACGGCGGAGTAAAGGCCCACCTGTATATCTTGAGGGCTTCAATGGCAACAGCACATGCAACAGGATGGTCGGAGTAGGTAAATCCTTGAGAAAATGTATCCTGCATATTAGGTGGTTAGAAAAGTTCAGTTCGAATCATTAAATAACAGCAACTAGAAACGGAAGCTTCTTTTCTTTTTCACCCCTTTTATAGTCAGTTGCTGCAGCATACCAAGCTTGTTGCTTTGAGAGTAAATCACTTCATTTATTTCAGGACTCACGAGAACTGCACAAATAGGAATAAAAGACAGGAAAAGCATTGAACTTTTATGTCTTATACTCTATGATGTTCCTTGCGAGTATCGGGCATAGATGTCTCACCTTCTCAAAGTAAGTTGCAGAAGGGGGTATCATGCCTCCAGCAACTGGCTCAGCGATAAATGCAGCAATCTGAAAGAACCTATTGCAGGTGAGCTACCAAAAAGCATTGTCATGATAATTTGTTATCTATAATTGCGGCAAGTCATAGCATTGATTACCATCTCAGGTCCCTCTTTCAGAATAAACTCCTCTAATTTCTTGTCTTATCTGGTTCCGAAATCCTCCACTGACTCACCTGAACGATACATACCAAGAAGCTGTAATTAAAGAGCTGTTGGGTTTTACTTATGGAACTCGAAGTAGAAGAGGTGGGGAGAGAGGGACCTTCAAGATGCAATCAGTCCATAAAAAAAAATCTGTGTTTCTAAGGAGTTAGGAATCTCATTTCACCCGCCAACCCATGGAGTGTATGATATATGTTCGCCATTTGAGGATGTGCTGCGGAACCCACCACGAATTCATGGACAATGCCATTGACATTGACCCAACTAGACCCTGGCTGCTTCTTCACTCCTTTCTCCCTCATAAACCACCTTAGGACAGACACATCATCCCATCGCCTATCACCAGCCAAAACATTTGCTAACATCACATAGCATGCAGAACTATCTGGGTCTACTTCAACAAGCCTGTTATAAACATCTTGAGCCAAATCCAATCTGGAATGAAGCAGGCACCCTCCAAGCAATGCCCCCCACACAAAATTGTTAGGCTTAAAAGGCATGGATGCAGCAACACTGGCAGCTTCTTCCAATTGACCGTCACGGGCAAGAATGTCAATATAACAAGCATAATGTTCCATCCTGAGAGGAATTCCAAACACTGAGGTCATATCATTGAATATCTGCCGTCCTTTATTGGATAATCCCGAGTGGCTGCAAGCCCATAGAAGACCAAGGAACGTTCCAGCATTTGGGTAAAGAGAAAAGTCTTGCATCTTCTCAAAAAGATGAATTGCATCCTCTCCTTTACCGTTCACAGCAAGCCCCATTATCATTGCATTGAAAGAGATGGCATCTTTGGTTGTCAACTTGCTGAAAACCTCCTTTGCCTTGTCTAAACTCCCACATTTGCAGTACATGTCTATCAACGCAGTGGCCAGAATTTTGTTCGATTCTACAACACCTCTGCATCCTCTAGTTTTCAAGAAATCATGTACCCATTGCCCAAGCTCGAGGTCACCTATTTGAGAACAAGCAGTGAGCACACTGACCATTGTTACATGGTTGGGTTTACAACCATGATCACCATCTACCATTAAGCGGAAAAGATTCAAAGCCTGCAAAGGTTGTCCATTTTGCACATAAGCATTTATCATAGAATTCCAAGGAAGCACACTTGTTTCCCTATCACTGACAATACAGTCAAACCTTTCCCTGCTCTTGTCTGTCCTTCCGCACTTCCCATACAGATAGACGAGGACACAGTTCATGGAATCATCATCCCCACCACCACCAGTCCTTCCAACCAATTCAGACAAAAGGGAAACCCATTTCTCAATCTGGTCAATTTCAAGTTCAGAACATGCTGACAGAACACTAACTAGCGTATCACTTTCGGGCTTCACATTCTCCTCGACCATGGAACAGAACAGCCCCATAACTTCATCCGGAGAACCCACTTGGACATAACTCGAAATCAAAGAATTCCAACAACAAACCACTCCCTTACCGGGCATATCATCAAACACCTTGCGCGCGGATCCTACATCATCGACCCCCTTCCCATACGCAACAATTAGAGCATTGCCAACAAAAGGGTCGGCCGAGAATCTACTTTTCACGACATGGGTCTGAATCTGCTTCACGGAAAGTGAGCTCTTTGAAACAAAACACGCCTTCAAAATGAAAGAAAAAGTGAGGCCGTTGGGGGAAAGAGAGTGAACCGATTTCAATCTTCGGAACACAAGGAAAGAATCCAAGGAACGACCTTCCTGAGCAAGGACTCTGATTATGGCATTGAAGGGAAACAAGTTTGGATGCTGAAGCTGATCAAGGACTCGAAGAGCCGCGATAGATGGGTAATGGCCGATGAGGCGAGTGGCGATCAAGTTATCCTGATGGGCGTGCAGGCGTAGGACTCTGGCGTGGATTTGAAGGACATGCAAGCGCGGAGAGCGGCCTTGTAGAAGGGCCGAGAGGTTGAAATGGTCAGACGACGAAGAGAAGTGGAGATAATCTACACATACTATAATACACCGAAGTGAAAAACGGGAGCCTCATTTCAAATTTCCTGCAACGAGAGTGAAAGTAGGAAGGACATTTTGGTCTTCACACTTACTTTTTTTTATTCATTAAAAAGATACATACTGGGATTCGAACCATGACCATTTTAAACAAAGGCAAGAATCATAACCAATCACACTAAGTACATTTGTTGTATTCTTTTAAATTAAAAACATATAATATCAGGGTGGAAAAAACTCTTCCCCCATTTCAAATTCCCTACTCCATGAGCGTTTGTAGGAAGGGTAGAATAGGGAGTACCAATTTTTTCTCTTTCTTCTGTGGAACGGGCCAACTTACCGTACACATGCGGATTTAAACGGGTCTAGGAGTGTCAATTTTTTTCTTTATACCCTTTTATTTCTCCGTGGTGATAAAATATATATGAAAAGGCAAAGATAATACTCCTTTTTATTGTTAAAAATAAAAATTTAACAATAAACTAATGCATGGTATGGTATCTAATGGGCTAACCGCTAACCATAAAATAAAAGAGGTGAATGGGCCTGACCTACATGGGATTTGGCCATCAAGTAAAACAAATGAACATCATTGGTTTGCCATTCTAAAACAAGCTATTTTCTCTGGCATAATATATATTATGCTATTATTTTATATCTTAGTGGCTAAAATATAATGTATTTTAAAGTTATTCAATGGTTCAACCTTGACCAACCCAATTATTCCAATTTTTATCATTTCAAATATATATTTTATAATTATTTGACATCATATTGATCAAATTATAGTGTGTTTTATAGGGAATCGTTTGGTATTTGTTAGTAAAAAACTAAACATAAAGATCTATTTGGTTATTTTAAACATTAAAACGATCCTAAACATTTTCAGTTTCTTTTGAATTTCTATGGTTTTATTCCCGAATAAGTGATGTGCAAATGGCGAATTGTAGTCGTCTCTTTTACTTCACTATTTTTTATTTTCAAATAGAAAGTTTAAAAGTAAAAATTAATTAGAATTTGGCATGGGTCGGTCAAACAGGCTGAATTTCAAGTTTTGGCCCGTTTGTTTTATGCATTGCAAATTTATTAGCATGTTGATGGAAATGGCTTGGAAAAAAGACATATAAGTTGTACCTTTGCATAAATGTCCTCAAATGTTTGAATGCTTTGTGAATCAGGTTCTGTGACTTTTGTGATGGTGTATGTGCTTGACGATTGCTCGATGTTGTAACTACTTAATTTGAGAGTAAATCTTTTGATTTTCCCTATGAGTTGTGATACCAGTTCTGGTGGTTGCAGCATGTTGTCGTTGTTGGCCTGTAAAAGTTGTTCCGCCGTTATGCTAAATACCTTTCTTTCTTTTTTAACAAATTGTGTAGTAGTGCTATGAAACAGACCACCCATGAACGCTACGCTTATTATGGTCTGTTCTTACTTCCGGTGGTGAGAAATTGTGAATTGAGAATCATATTCGCCTACCGCACTGTGTCTGGCTGGTGGCTGCTTACTGTGCTCTCTAGAGCTATGAAACAGACTACCCATGAACGTTACCCTTAAGAGTCCATAACTTTGCGAAAAACCAAATTTAGGCAATCAAAGTTGGTGGATGTGTGATTATTTTTTATGGCTTAATTGTTTGTGAATTGGATATCTGATCTTTGTATGATTAGAGGGAATGTTTGCTTAATAGAATAATCCATTTTAATTCATGTTTATTTTTAACATGAACTTTAGTAACTCAAAACCTTCGAGACACATATCACCTACTGCATTGTATCATTTTGCTTGGGTGCTTGCTGTGTTGTCAAACTCCTTTGCTGTTGCTGCTGCATTTACACCAATAGGGGAGTTAAGAACCCATGAATGCTTCCTTTTGACACAAACAAGAGGACTTACTTTTAAATCGTGCATTAAAGATGATTGGAGGAAACATCTTTGCTGCAGTTGATATACTGGAGACCATAACAAAAGCAACGTATAACATCAAAACCAACCATCTGAACTATTAGCATTGTTGCTTTACTCTTTTTTTCGTGGTTGAGTCTCCTTCAAACAATTTAGTTTGATTTTAGAAAATTTTGCTTCTGCAGTCCTGTCTTGCCACCAACGCGTTCAGTAGATGGAGATGGCAGAGGCGAAGGCTATTTTTGTGTTGTTGTTGCTGGTTTAGGGATCGGTTTGTGAAGAAGAGGGAGAAGAGAGGGGGAAAGGGAAATGCAGGAGAGGGGGATAACTCTTTTCTCCGACAAAAATGGAGTGAAGAAAGGAATTATGATCAGTAAGGATATGGTTATCTTACCTAACGGTCTCTATTTTGTTTGAATTGAGCTTGGGAGGCAGTGATAAGGACGAGCTGCAACCAATTCATAGTGATAAGAGTGCTATGAACTGTGATCATGTCTTATTTCAAGTTAGAAGGTAGTTTCAGTATAAGGATTATTTAATTTGACAAGTTGTTTCGTCCATGATTCTTGGTAGTTTCAGTGCCATTCTAGCCATTGTTTAGTCTGTAATTTTTGAGAATTGATGTGCGAGTAATGACTTTCACTTAGCTTCAACTATTATGTGTGTATTTATTGGCATGTGATAGAATTCTCTTTTCCTTTTCTTTGAATTCAGTTTCATACTCTAATTGTATCATTTGTACATAGGCAAATCATGCTCGAGATGACAACTCGCTGATATGGCTGGTGCAAGGAATGAAGCCATCATTAGAATTCAGACCGACAACGGGGAGGGATGCCCAGGACTAATTCAATGATGATTGATGATGGTATAATAAAAACTGCAATCTTCATCAGCACCAATTTCTAGGCCTAAGTAAAGTTATTCAACCCAGAACTCTGCTTAGCGCTAAAAATTGCCCTCACCCAACCTTGATCCTGTTTGACCCACTTCTGAAGAGTCAAGATATATGACTAATCCTCTCCGTTCGTATTTTCTTATTAACTCTTTCTGACCCTTTAAGTTGGGGCGGGTCGGGAAGAATCGGATTAGTGGGTCGGTCCTAATCAAGTGGAATCTCAATCCCTTCATTCTCACTTGCTTTCTCTCTCATTCCACAAGTGGGTAACATACACTAATCCGGCCAACGGGCCGGGTAATAAGCTAGTGGATTGAGATCGAGCAACGGGTTCTGTAGGCGGCGGGAAAGTGTTTGAGAGGAAATGGGACCATGGCTGCCGTCCTCGCCCGGGCTCCCGCGCTCTGTTTGATCGAGAAATGCAGTCACACAAAAGAACTCTGTTTAGTGGGCTTTTTTACCAATAAAAGTGAGTGGGCTTTCGTTGGATTAAACTGGCCCATATGAGCTCACTTACTAGGTTCAGTTTTGGAATCTGCTTGACTTGATCAGCCCGAATTAGTGTTAACGCACATATATAAGCCCACTCGTTTGATCTTTCTTACCGAAATTATAAGAGTGATATATAGACCACAAAATCGTTCTTTCCTCTACCAATTCACTAATTATGTTATATTATTTCGTTTATGTTATGTTAATTATGTCATCACTTTTTATCATCTTCTTTGTTCATCACTACTCTCTACTTTTCCATCTTCCTCCTCTCTTCTAAATCGCTTCCTCATTTGCAAACAGTGGGTGTTAGAATCGTTTTTAGTATTTAAGATGTTGTCAAAAATATCTTGAAGGATTTGAGAAATTTTTTAATTTGATTATATTTTTCGTTCCTGTGACTTCAAATTTTGAGCATACTTGTCAATTCAAAAAGAATTGAATCATTTGCATTTGAGTCAAAAAAATGTAATGTACAAAGAGAAGCTCCTTGATTATTTTAGAAAGAAAAGTCCATACTTCCTACAAACACTGACGACTAAACGAAGGAAATTCGTTATGGCTGCATTTCATTGTTTATTCAACAAGTTGTCATTCGGAGAAGAAGAAAGGATTTGTGAGTTGACCCCGCGTATTGATGAACCTATTTCACAAGTTGGTTATCATACTAGTACCACCATCATGTCCATTTCGGCTAGTCAAGTTATGATTGTACACATAGACTAAAACATAAGAAAACATCGCCATTCGTTTATCAGCGATTAAACGAGGACAACCACCATCAACTCCCGTCAAAGTAAGAAAAAGTTATTCCCTTGTTATAGATTAAGAAAAAGTTATTCTAAGTATGTTTGAGTAAACAGCAAATAATACAATATCAAGGGGCCATCACGTAATTTGCACCAGCAGGCAAAATGCGCCCAACCGAACCAGTCTCCGGTTTCATTGGCCATGGCTGGCTGGCTAATAGGGTCGGTCAGTGGCCCAACGACTCTCCCCTTCTCCCCATTTTCCCTTTCCTTTATATACCTAGAAAAGATTCTCTCTCTCAACGGAACACGAGAAATTGAAACCAAGCAACAAAAGCACACACTCGTCTTTCGATTTCCGCCCCCCGGCTTCAACCTCCTCCCTCGTCGCCGCCGTCGTTTTCGCACCGGAAAAACAACTCCTCAAAGTTCGCCGGAAAGATCTGTTCCCTGCTTCCTTCCCTCTCACTCTCTGCAAAGTCAAGTAAGCGCCGTCCAAAGTCTGTTTCCATTTCTAGACTCTTTCTGTTTCCCTTTTCCCCCACGGTTAGGTTGTGGAAGTGATCGATCCTCTGATGGAAATGAATCGATTCTCTCTCTTTCGTTTCTTGCTTTGATTTCTGCTGGTTCTGTTATCGGTCTCAGCTTTGTTTCCCTCCTTGTTATAGTTTGACCTGGTGCTTTTCATTTTTCAAAAATTGGATTAGCTGCTGGGAATAAGATTCCGGCAGAAGGATTAGGGATGATCTGTGGATCCGTTTCTTCTTACTTAAAGCTCGTTTATTTGGGGTTCATTTCTAGATTTGGTGGAGCTCAATTGAGCTGATCGGGGGCTTCCGAACCCCGATTCTGATTAGCTTAATCAAACATTCTGCTGATTTCAATCAATAATTGGATGAAATGATTATAAATTATTATCGTAATTACTACCAAATCCGACGTTATCTAATTTAAAAAAATTTCCCTTCTGGAACTTAATAACAATTAAGTGCAGTACTTAACTTTCGATCTGGCTAGTAGCAAGCGTAGAAGCAAAATAGTGGTTGCTTCCACTTCTAGTATAGTCCTCCCTGCCCCTTCTGGTTTGCCAGTTGGAGGAGAAGGGAAGGAACTAATGAGTGGAAAACGACGTCGTACGGCTAGAAGAACCAGTCAAGAGGAATAGTCGAATTAGAGGATTTGGCCTTTTTTGCTTTTTTCCCCCCTTCATTCGTGCACGCGTTTCAAAGTTAATCTTGATGATGATGAGATTGGTGGAGAAAAGGAAAGGCAATTTGATGGCTGGACTGGAATTGGGGACGGTGGAGGATTAGATGTGGAATGGGCAGCTGAGCTGGCTGCCCCCGCTTTGATGGCGACCTGCCCACCTCCATCTTCTGCCCTAATTGGCCTTCTGCCGTTTTCTCATTACAAGATGTAAATTTATCCCATCTTGTAATATATGTTGGGGTAAACATTGGATGGTTGATGAAGCAAGAAGCATAACTAGGATACTTACGTTTAACGTTTTCAACAAAATGATCAAATATATACATGGTGTGACAAGGGAGATGAATCGAATCGAATGACTAGTCAATAAACTGTGGAGTATATTAAAGGTTGTGGCTTTTTCCCGTGTAACGTGCTAGGCAGTTGTGCGAGCTAACTTTGCTGAAATCGGCAAGATGATCGATCAGGAAAAGGGAGGGGGAAATAATATATTTGTCTTGAAATTATTTTTGAACCTATTTAATGGCAGCATGTGCGTTCTAGGAATTTGGTTGTTTTTTTTTCTAGCAATGGACGGTGCTGATGCTAGATCAGACATCAGAGATCAGTGTTCTTTCTTGGAATTTCTTCGGCAGGACCAAGAAATGTTAAAACGAAATAAAAAAATATATCTCCCCCCCCACCTACCAAAGTTTGTAACTTTTAATTTTTCTTTTGACTGTTTATCATTAATACTTACTTTGATTGGATGAAATTTTGCAATATGAAAGGTTTTTGTTTATTAGCTGAAGAGCTTCTACTGAAAACAGAAGAAGGTAGAGTTAAAGTTAATTTCTTTTGTGATTTAGAGTTGAAAAACTGTAAAACTGAAATAGTTAAAAGAGATTGCATAATTGATGGCTAAGATAGTTCATAGTGGTAAGAATCATGGCCTTTTGTTTCTTTGACCCAACATTGTTGTTGCTTTCTGACTTTGTGGATATGTGTAGTGTATCCCTTGAACCCAATAAAAATAATGATACCAAATTGTAATCATACCTTTGTTCCAACATTAGGAATAACTTAGTTGAATACTAGAATGAGATGGCGATGTTGTTATGTATTAAATGGATGGAGCTTCCCCTGGCCATGGGTCAGGACCCTTGATGTTGAAGTATATGGTCCACTGTTTTCCCCCTCATCAATTGTATTTCTTTAGCCCTTATGAGGTGTCTATGTTGAGTGCAGATTCGATTTTCACTATTGATAGGGCCACCTAACTTTTCTCTCGTGGTTTGATGATGTATCTGCACCTTATCTTCCTTTAATTGGTCATCTTTTAGCTGAAAGCACATAGCTTATTTCCTATATCGGTGACATCAGTATTTGATAAGAGCGATCCTACTGTGATATCTGAGCCTGACGTTTAAGGCGAGTATGTTTTGATTAATCTGAACGAAAGCCTTTCATATGTTTGGTATGGCACGGGCCCAGATAGGAAGTGATGGAAAAACCTCAGCTTGATCATTTGTTTATGTATGGTTGAGGCTTTGGTCTAGTGGGTTTTAGTGGACTATGTACAATCTCTAGTAGGACTGACGAAACCTCAAAACTTCAATTGCAATTTGCAGATAAGATATCTGGTTAGTTGAATATGGAAGACGAGACGCAAGTCACATCAGAAGTCCCCATGGTTAAGGTGCCGCCGGCTGATCTTATTGAGGTAAAATGGTCTGCTCAGAAGATCAATACAAGAACTATGCATGCTTAATTACCATTTAACTATAACTGACGTTGGAAATGTAAACTTTGTTCTGGTTGGTGTTGATACAGGTTGCAAATGGAGTCTTGCCGCAAGCAGAAAAGAAAGAGGAGGACGAAACAGATGGAGAGTTCATCAAAGTCGAGAAAGAATCATTGGACGTGAAAGACGGAGCTCATGCACACGCGGCAGCTTCCTCCGAGGATGATAAGCCATCCATTACCGAGCAAAGCGCAAGCACCTTGACCCGGGAATCGCTAGAAGCCGAGGAGAAGATCAAGGAGCTCAAATTGGAACTCGAGAGATTAGGCAAGGCACTGAAGAAGTCTGAGTCCGAAAATTCGACGGTCAAGGACGAAGTGTTGGTGGCAACAAAGAAGCTCGAGGGGTCCGAAACCCAGTACAAGGAGCTTGAGCTCGATCACAAGAAGTTGCAGGAGCAGGTCAGTGAAGCTGAGGAGCGATACGCTTCACAGCTGAAAAGTCTGCAGGAGGCACTCGAAGCACAGGAATTGAAACACAAGGAATTGGTCGAGGTTAAAGAATCATTCGATGCTCTTACCTTGGACATTGACAGCTCGAGGAAGAGAATCGAGGAGTTGGAGAGCGGGCTCCAGCAATCTATTGATGATGCAAAGAAGTTCGAGGAGCTGCATAAGCAGAGTGGCTCTGATGCTGAGTCTCATGCACAGAGAGCTTCCGAATTCGAGAAGCTTCTCGATGCGGCAAAGCTCAGTGCTAAAGAAATGGAAGATCAGATGAGTTTGCTTAAGGAGGAGGTGACGGGTTTATATGCAAAGATTGCAGAGAACCAGAAAGTGGAAGAAGCTCTTCAGAATACTGCAACCGAGCTCTCCAAAGTTCATGAAGAGTTTGCTCTTTCGAAATCTCAAGTGGTTGACCTGGAACAGAGTCTTGCCTCGAAGGAAGCCGTTCTTAGCAAACTGACTGAAGATTTGGAGTCGGCAAAGGTTTCAGAGTCGAAGCTGAAGGAAGATTTCGCAGCTCTCGAGAATGTTGTCGCCGTTACTAAAGAAGATCTTCAGGCAAAGGCTTCCGAGCTAGAAGAACTAGCGAAAATTTTGAAGGAAAAGGAAGCTCTTGAAGCAACTGTGACAGAACTCGCCAACGATGCAGCACATGCAAAGCAGCTTTGCAGTGATCTTGAAGAAAAGTTGAAGCTTTCTGACGAGAATTTCTCCAAAACTGATTCTCTTCTGTCGCAAGCACTGTCGAATAATGCAGAGCTCGAAGAGAAGCTGAAATCACTGGAAGAGCATCACACTCAAGCTGGAGCTGCTGCAGAGACTGCTACTCAAAAGAATGTAGAGCTCGAGGACTTGATTAAAGCTTCGAGTCAAGCAGCATCTGAGGCCCAGACCCAACTCAGAGAGCTCGAGACGCGGTTCATTGCAGCTGAGCAGAAGAATGTAGAGCTCGATCAACAGCTAAATTTGATCGAACTCAAGAACCGCGATTCTGAGAGGGAAATCGGAGAGCTTTCGGAGAAAGTGACTGAACTCAGTGGATGTCTCAAAGATGCAGAGGAACAAAAGAAAAGCTTGGCAAGTCAGATTGAGGAATCTCAAGGAAAGATCACCAGTCTGGATACGAGCTTAAGCGAGTCATCATCTCGAAACCTAGGGCTCGAAGATGAATTGAAGAAAGCCATGGCGATAGCTGAGGATGCTGGGAAGAAGGTCAGTGAGCTGGAGTTAATGCTCGAAGCAGAGAAGTACAGGATTCAGGAACTTGAAGAGCAGATCAGCACAGTAGAGAAGAAATGCGTTGAGGCAGAAGGCGATTCAGGTAAGCACGAGCTGAAGATTTCTGAACTCACATCTGAACTCGAGTCATTCCAAGCGAAATCATCCAGCCTTGATATGGCACTTCAAATGGCCTCCGATAAAGAGAAGGAATTGACGGAAAGCATGAATCTGGCAGCAGAGGAAAAGAAAAGGCTGGAAGATGCATCGATCAGTGCGAGTGAGAAGCTTAGTGAAGCCGAGAATCTTGTCGAAGTCTTACGTAAAGAGGTAAATGTTACGCAAGAAAAGTTGCAAAGCATTGAGAATGATCTAAACGCAGCTGGGTTGAAGGAAAGCAACATAATGACTAAGCTCAAAGATGCTGAGGAGCAACTGGCAGAACAAGGGAAGCTGTTGGATGAAACGTCAGCGAAAAAATCGGAGCTTGAATCATTAACTGAAACATTGACTATGAATTCAGAATTGAAGCTTCAAGAAGCTATTGCAAACTTCAGCAGCAAGGATTCTGAGGTCAAATCCATGTTTGAGAAGCTGCAGAAGCTTGAAGAGCAAGTTAAGACATATGAGACCCAGTTGGCTGAAGCAACTGAAAGATCTGCTTCTTTGAAGGAAGAATTTGATTCATGTTTCCTGAAGGTGGCCTCAACAGAAACTGCCAATGAAGAACTCAAGAGTAAGATCATGGAAGCAGAAGCACAAGCTTCAAATGCTATCTCAGAGAACAACGAGCTGCAGGTCAAGGTTGAGGAACTGAAGAAACAGCTGGATGCCGCTCTATCAGAGAAGGATACCACAACCCAACAACTTGCTTCTCATATGACTGCAGTAACTGAGATAACTGACAAGCATTCGAGAGCCATAGAGCTCCATTCCGCTACTGAGTCTCGGATGCTGCTAGCAGAGACAAATTTGCAGGAGGCCACTAAGAAGCTGGCTGAGAAGGATTTAGAAATGAAAGATTTGAATGAGAAGCTCATTGCTCTTGAAGCTCAGGCGAAGTTCCACGAAGAACAGGCTGCTGAAACGCATGGAAGCTCACAAGCAACGAAGATTGAACTAGAGGAAAGTCGAGAGAAGCTGAAGCATCTAGAGGCAGTCTTTGAGGAGCTGCAAGCCAAGTCGGGTCATTTTGAGAAGGAGAGTGGTGGGCTAGCTGAGGCAAATTTGAAGCTAGCGGAAGAGTTGGCTTCATATGAGTCCAAATTAAGTGATTTGCAGTCGAAGCTCTCTGCAGCATTGTCTGAGAAGGATGGAACTGCGGGAGAGCTTCAGTCTTGTAGGAAAACCATTGATGATCTGTCGCAGCAGCTCTCTGCAGAAGGAGAGAAGTTACAGTCTCAGGTGTGTGTAATCTCTGTTCATCTTTCTTGCGAAGATAAACTCTCGTTTTATCTTATTCTTAGTTAATATTCTCTTCCTTGCTGCAGATATCAAAGGTTATGGAAGAGAATAGCCAGCTTAACGAAGTCCACCATAGCGCAAAGAACGAGCTCCAATTGATCATTGACCAGCTCACAGAGCAACTGAAAGAGCAGAAGCAGAAGGAAGAATCCACAAAGTTAGAGATGGAAGCTCTCAATGCAGGCATTAACGAGAAGTCGACATTACAGGTCCGTCTCAAGGAGGTTGAGGAACAACTGATGACAGCTGAAGCTCAACTGAAGGAACAGGTATTTAATCTACCTCTTGAAAAAAAGGCACTAACCCAAGTTCTTCGAAAAAATCCTTCTGCGAGCATATGTAACTAACAACCTCTTTTCCCCTTCACCTCCAATCTTCCAGAGAGGCGCCCTTGAAGGTCTAGACGCCAAGAACAAACAAGTCTCGGTTCTGGAGCAGCAAGTGAAAGATCTTGAACAGAAACTGCAGCTCGCCGTGGCCAAATCAGTTGAGAAGGACGGAGTGGAGATCAAATCGAGAGACATTGGTGGAGCCAGCCCTTCAACTCCATCAAAAAGGAAGACCAAGAAGAAGCTACAAGGTCAGTCCTCCTCAGCATCTGCAGAGACCCTTACCACCACAACGGCAGCAGAAGGTTCAGGAGCCATGAATATCAAGTTGATCCTGGGAGTTGCCCTCATATCCATCATCATTGGTATAGTTCTTGGCAAGAAATACTAGAAAGTACCATTCTTTTTTATAGGTGTGCCCCCTCATTACAAAGTTTCTATTTGTATGCTTTCTTTTCCCTTTTGGGGGGTTTATGTTTCTTGTTTTATTTTTCAAATTTATGCTGGGTTGGTAGCTTCATTTTAGTTACAAGCCAGGAGGAAGAAGGTTTCTTTTGTATGTATTGGTGTTCTTTTTGGTTTAAATTTGGGCAGGGTTTTGTTTTGTTTTGTTTCCCTTCTAAAGGTTGTTATCCCTTGTCCGAATTCCAGAAAAAGCCTAGATGAAAAAAGTGTTGAGGCTTTGATTTGTTTTTGTGTCACATAGTCATAACATAAGGTTGGATTGTGTATTGATCTAAACCTTTAGGTGGTACGAATCATGCCAATCATATATGATATCATCGTTTATGTTGACAACGTATACGAATATTATGAAAAATACAATCTTGCACCGTTAAATCGATAGTTTCTAATAGACTTCGTTCGAACAAGGGAAGAACATTGCTAGCTACGAGACTTTTAGTCAATCATCGAGCATGTCAGCTAAAATCAAACACCAAATCGAAAGTAAAAATTGACGATAAGCTCTACTTGCATTGTGACTAAAATTACGAACAACTATCGAATTTCTCGAAAAAAATACAACGTGCATCCTCGATCGTCGTCGTCAGTGATTTGAGCAACCAATTTGTCAACCACAACAAAGGGAAAACTACTCCTACATATTAAAATGGGCCTTTTTCACAAAGGGAGGCCCAAATAACTAGTCGTTTCGTTGAACAAAGAACCAACAACGAATATCACCAAATGAGCATCGTTTATTATCTTCTACGACTATCTGATAGAAATTACAGTACTCAGTACAGGAAGACAATGAATCAATGAATTACAAAGAAGAAATAGAAGCATGTCTGCAGAAAAAACTATGAACCCGAACGAGCAAATGAACGGCCGATGATCAACAAGGGATCTGATCGATGAACCATCGGAGTACTCTGACCGGCAGCTTGATTAGCCCGACGGCGAAATTGGCCAACCCAGCACAGCAAATACAGCACGGGCACAGGCAACTCAGTACCGACCTGCAGCAAAAATAACCCACCCAAAAAAAGATCAGAAAACTATACCCAGAGATCATCCCCCAGAATGCAACATCCAAATGCAGAACGAAAGGACGAAACCCAAATTCAAATTCAAACTGCATCTAAAAACTCACCCGATGATCCAAATGACGGCGCCAACAAGCGACAGAACCAGCGCTACCAACGCGAACGGGAGTCCCAGCAAGAAACCCAGTGGTCTGCAGTCCGCCATTGATGTAGATCTCTGCTTTCTCCCGATCTGGAAAAAAAAATGTTGATTGCCGTAAAGCAGAGAGAAATTGGAAGTCAAGGGGGGAAGTTAATTGCGGGAGAAGGGATTGGGGGCGGTATTTAGATTGGGGACGGAGACGCGGAACCACCACCTTCCCACGATCTAGTGTTCCTCCATTCCGTAATTACTTCATCGCCCTCGCGGAAGGGAAGCTTCGAGTTGCCGGTGGTTGAAAAAAATGGGGTTATTTTGGGGAAGACGTGTCATGGAGAACCTTCCTGTTCACTTCTTCTTCTTCGTCTTCCCTTCTTGTAGTTGGATTTAGGTTGGTGAAGGGAAGAAGAAGCAATTGGTCAGATTTAGGCTGCGGAAAAGTACACAATGATTTTTTTGGTTCTTTCCGTTGACTGCCATATCTCATTCGTTATAATTCTATAAAAAAACGTTAATGGAGAATTACTACACAATTGACATTTATCTTTGAATAAATTGAGAATCTTTTTCTTGTGTCATTTTTACTTTTCATATAACATGTTTTTCATGTCGATTCGTTTTATTATCAGGGGTGGCCATGAGAGTGTGTTCCGTATAGAGCTTCCGAATATTAGGGGGCCTCCATTTGGATCTATTGGTTAATTTGATCTTATAGTACTATAGGTTGTAGGTAGACATGGTTAATTGATTATAAATTAGATAATGACTTTAATTACATTAATTCACATTAGTGCTAGTTATTCATGAATATTCTCACGTACATTTACACAAGACACATAAAAAAAAATTATTTGTTTTAATCATGATAAAAACAAGTCCTGATAAATTAATTATGGCAACAACAGAAAAAGAATCCGAATCCGAATCCTGCTAGGACACGGAATGCGTAAGAGGTTAGATGGGCTCGATAACTTAGGCCCAATCCGCATGATATATTAGGCTGGGAGGACACGGAATGTACAAGAGGCTATATGGGATCCATAACTTGGGCCCGTCTCTGACTGCCAATTGCCAATTCTAATTTGTTACATCAAACAACAACCAATTGTCTGTAATATCTTCCTCGTTCCCCCATAAGACCATCAACCTGCGAGCTAGCAGTTAGTTCAGTAGAGAGACGCCAATGCTTTTGACTTTGATGCTCTTGACTTTGTCGACATCTTCTTCCTCGTCTGGTTGAAGGGAAAATATGAAGGAAACAGTGAGGCCAGCATATCTCTCATACCAAGCTTCTGCTTCATCTCGTATTCCCTTTTTGGTCTCACCTAGCAGGTTCTTGTCATACCATATGTATACGTTATCTGATTGGGAAGCCCGACCCAGACCAAAACTGGGAGAACTCCAAGATGCAGCAGCGACAGTGCTGGTGCCGATGCTGCAATCACAAGTGATAGATATCCCGACACGACCAACATCTGAAGAACACACAACGCCGAATGCAATCCCCTTGATTAGCTTTTTGGTGGTGCAGTTTGGAAGAGTCAGTTGCACCATGGTACATGAATCACTTGCGTAATTCATGCTTTTGTGAGCAACCCACCCAGGAATTTTACTCCCCGAATGTTGAAGAACACCCTAAAATGACAGAGAGAGAGAGGCTCTTAAAAAAAAGGGATTTCCAAGAATTACTGTCACTATGATATAACATAATTATGGTAATGTAATGTTTCGATACCTGAGAATGTAGATTTGATGATGCATGATTACAGAAATTCAGCACTAGTTCTTGAGGAAGATGCGTGTCCAATTGCGGGCAATCTTCAAAGTACAGTCTCTTCCATCCCAGCCGGTGTATGTTGATTGGTAAGGCTTGTAACGATGTGCAACCACTTACAGCCAAAGTTAGAAGATTGGGCGGGAGTTCTGGCAAAAATTTAATCCTCGAACAGCCTGCCAAGGACAAGTAGGATAACCTGACAAGCTTATGGATGTTGCTCGGGACAAACTCCAAGCGTTTGTTCGAATGTAAAAACAATTCAGAGAGCTGGTCAAGTTCCACAATAGCCGGAGGCAGGGACTCAATATCTGTTTCGAAGAAACGAAGGATCTGCAAAGATTTCAGATTGTTGATGCTAGTTGGAAAGCTCTTCAGGTTCCGACATCCTTTTATATAAATCTGAGTTAAGCCAGTCACAGGCTGTGAGATCTCTGGCAGACTTTGAATCGACGGGCAATCCTCAAGATGAAAAGTTCCAGAGAACATGTTCCAGATATGCCTTGACAAGCTCTTGAGTTTGGGGTTGCCAACCAACTCCAATAGAAAAAATCTCGGCAAAGAACTCAGCTGATGATCATCATAACAATCCATCTCTGCTATTAAGGTATGGCACAACCGAAACCGTTTCAAGCTCGCTGAAATTGCAGGGAAGCAGGTGATGTGTTTGCCGCAGAGAAGTAACCAACCATCCTGTTTCACATTGTAAATTGCAGTTGGCAAGGCTATGATAGGTGTATCCCTTAAATCCAACCACATCAACTCTTGTGAATTAATTTCAGGACAAAGAGTGACCTTGGGACAGTTGGACAAATAAACCTTCTTGAGAAACTTTGAGTTGAGTTTGGCTGGAAAGATTCTCATATTTGTACAATCATCAAGGTCCAGTACTACCAGCTTGTGCAGATCTTGAACGTGAGATGATAGCTCAATCAGTCTTTTGCATCCCTCGAGAAGGAGGCGCTCCAGTTTCGGAGACCCGGACAGGTTCGGGATTGCTACTAAATTTATGCAGCCAGAGAGGTCAAGCCACACTAGATTCACAAGTTGTTGCTGCAAAACAACAACAAGACTAAAACTATTCAGTATACGAAGAAGGGGGGGGGGAACAGATAATGCATTACTGGAAGAAACCCACTCCAAAAATTAAATATCAATCATTTGTTAAGAGTTCGGATATGTAAGCATTACGAACTCACCTACATGTTTACAAAGTAATACGAGTTTACATCTAGATACACAAAGCTATAGCCCAGTCAAGCTTAAATTAACAGGGGGGAAAAGACAGACAAAAGAAAAAGAAAATTCAATTCCATTAAGAGATTTAATTTGCAAGATCATCTCTTTTTCCTCCACATTTCATATTACCACCTTACCAGCCATGCATCCCAGTCCTTAATAACACGGTGAGAAATCTACTGATTCAACAAATTGAACTCATCCCCATAAGTTGCTTTTAACATACCTCAGCTTCCCAGCATCTTTTCAGTATTAGGCTACCACTTAGACAAAGTGTAACAAGGTTTTCTGGAGAAAATCTTGATGGTAGAGACTTTGAAGGGAATTTCTGCCACTCCAACCATCTCAAACTATTAGGAAGCGTGATAAGGCCACCGTGTGGTAGATGAACTTTAGAAGCTCCATACTTATTTTCTAGATAGGAGAACTCGAGATATCTAAGAGAAGTCATCCCTTCAAAAGCATTGGCTTCCATATGTACATCTGTGTCTTTAGAAAGGTTCAATAGAATGCCTTCAGTGGCACTACCTTTCTCAAAGGCACTCCTATGCTTCTCTTTAGGTTTCAAAATGTTCAAATAACTAAATCTTCTCGATGTTTTCACCTTTTCAACTGCCAATAACTTGTGAACATCATCAAATTTATTGAATCTACTGCGATGTTCTTCCTCGCTAACTATGTCCCAAGCCATTTCTCTTAGCAGCTCATGAACCTCAATCCTCTTGTCCTCTTTGTCGAATGCACATGTAAGCAAGGACTTATCAATTAAATCCTCTACGTATCTAGTGGAAAAATAATTAATCACTAGAGAATTCAGAATTCTTGGAAGAAAACAAGCAATATCCAAAAACACTCTTTTCTCCGGAACTTCAAGCCTATCATAGCTTCTCCGAAGAACATCTCGAATTTCCAGCTTTGGATTTTCTCCCAATTCAGACAAGAAACTCTCCCAATAACTTTTCTCCCTATCAAGCAATGCACGTCCCAAGACCTTTATAGCTAGAGGACTTCCCTTGCAGTATGATACGGCAACATTAGATAGGTCCACAAAATCATTCGGTGGAAGGCATTGTCTAAACGCATGTATCCCAAACAGTTGGAGAGATTCATGAGAATGCAAACACTTCACCTCATATATTTGAGCCCCTGCATTCACAAGTACTCTTCTGTCTCTAGTTGTCAAAATAATTCTGCTTCCTGGGCCAAACAGATTTGTGGAATCCAAAATATTACCTAGCAACAATTGTTCCAATTGCGATATCGTTTCCACACTATCAAGAACAAGAAACACCCTCAGACGAGAAAGACGTTCCCTTCTATGACAAATATCCATGTAGTTTAAGTTAGCCTCTGACAGTAATATCGAATAGAGTTCATACACCATCCCTTCAATTCCCGATTGCTTTTCAAGCTTTTCACTAATGTTCTGAACAAAGTGATGCTTGATTTCTTTACCAGAGGAGACAAATGATTGGTAGCAAGCTGTAGCCAGAGTTGTCTTCCCCACACCACCCATCCCCCAAAGACCAATAATGCGAAAATCATCTACATCCATAGCTAATAGCTGTTCAACCTCACAAACCCGAGCATCCATGCCAATCAAATGATCAAACTTCACTCTCCGTGAAATCTCTGCGAGTCTTTTCAGAACATCAATAACTATCGCCTCAACTAGTTCAGAATCAATCCTATTAAGCAATAACCCCAATGGGGGGAAAATGGAATCCATATGAGAAAGGGTTTCGAGAGAGGCAATTGCTATTAGTAAGAAGGTTGGGTAATTAAGACTTACTTGATTGCCTGTGAAGTATGGCCAGCACGTTCAGCGACAGCTTTCAGAGCATCCATCCATCTCTTCTTATCCCCTGGAGATTTGCTTCCATGTTTCTGCTCAATGGCAGCAGCGTAACTTCCAGAATCATCTGATACAGCGGATGGTTCCAGTTTGTAGAAAACTGGAAGCACCCGGTGCCCGAATTTGACCATTCTTTGAGAGATAGTGGCCACTTCATCCAAGCACCAGCTTGAATCCGCGAAATTCTTCGAGAAGATCACAATTGAGAGTGCGGATTTTGATAGGACGGAGATTAGCTCGTGGATGCTCTCGGTTTTGCTGAGCATGTCGTCAATGAAGACTTTGATTTGCCTGTCGGAGAGAGCAGCCATGAGATGGCTGGTAAAACCATGGCGGGTGTCGGCGCCTCTGAAACACAAGAAGACGTCGTATTCCCATTTCCCAGAGTAGGAGGAAGTGGAATCGGCGTGATGAGATGATGAAGAAGAAGAAGAAGAAGACGACATCGATTTTTCTGTCAGTGTGTTGCTGTCTAGGGGAAGTTTGGATTTTCTTTCTTAGCAAAGGTAGAACTACTGAAGCTGGGGGGGAGAAGGACGGTTCTCAATGGTCTCAGCTGGTCAAGAGATCCAGAGGAAAGAGGAAGGAAATTGCCAGGAAAGCTTTGGTGGAGGAGGAAGCCATTTTTTAAAAAACTGATAATTGAAGTTTCTGAGCGATTGTTACGTGGATGGCTTTTTCCTCTTAATTGGGTCATTGTTTATTTATTTTTGTTTTCTCACCTAATCCAATCTTTGTCTTCATCGATGTGTATAAACGAAACACATCATCTCCCCATTTTAAATTCCAATTATTATTATTATTATATTATCATGCCTAATATATATATAGAAATGGCAGGTTAAAATTACAGCTACTTCTAACCAAAAAACACAAATCAATTACTACTTAAAAAAATACTAGAGGTTGTGTTAAATATATCTGGATTTCTTTAACAAGTATTATATACTACTTAAAATATGTTAGGAACTTTTTGCGTGACAATCGAAATGAATGATATTCACTACTAGACTATTAGAATACCTAAGTTTTATTTAAATTACTCCTATTAACTAATCCTAGTTGCACTCAGATTTCTCCGGTGAATGAAATTTCAGTAACGTATTTGGAAAGTAGTGTTCAAAGTCTTCAAGATACAAAAACAGTAAAAACCTGGAAAAACTACACACACACAAGAAAAAAAAAAACGGTAATTTAAAATGCCACTTGGCTGTGCTTGATTCGTTCAACTTGGTTTCACCTAACAGTAGTTTCCAGTCTCCACGATCTCTTTTGACCTTTTCACATGAAGTTGATGAATGAAACTTCCATAATAACGAGCTGCTGCTGGGAACTCTAAATCGTAATCATCTTTTTCCTCTGGTATCATCGGTGGCCTTCTCCTTCGTTTTATTCATATCTGCTGCCTGAACCTTAGGCCTCTCCGGCGACCGCTTCGGCCGGGAGTGGATCATCTCGCTGTCGCCGTAGTAGGTGTAATACTCCGGCTGTCCCGGCGGGGTTTGGATCCTCTCGCCTTTGTAATCGTAATACTCCGGCTGTCCCGACCCGTCGCCATTACCCATCACTGTAATTCGCCTTCTCGTCGTACACTTGAAAATGATCTGTTGTTCGTCACCAAAGAAAAAATGCGGGAATCTTAATTAATTAAGAACAGATCAAACCATTAGCAACGAGGAAAAGCCATTAGCAACGAGGAAAATGGGAGAGTCAAAGAGGGATTTTCTTTTCTTACACACCTTTTCTTCTCCTGATCCCCACGGTTGCGAAAGAAGGGAGAGACGGAGGAGTTATAAGGAGGCACTTGAAATGGCGCGATGAGTTGAGGTTTGTTGGGGGGTCGCATTTATTTAGTATATAAAAATTAAATTACTTGGGTGTTACATTGGTGTCAAATGCAAGTGGCTAAACTTTATTTATTTGGTTTGTTTTCTTTCACTCACATTTTTTGTTCTCTCTAAAGTTTTACTATTTTTTAGAAGAATTTTCTTTGAGACTTTCTATAGTAATTTGGGTATAATTTTCAAGTTAGGTAACCGATAGTGCATGTATGTCATCACTTACTGACATTTTACAGTTGTTACGTAAAATACACATCCATTTACGTAAAGGTTACGAAACGATAGTTGTTTCTTATGTAACAGTTAAATTAGAAGCATTACGTAAGGTTGTCCGTACGTAATGGCTTAGCACTGCACGTAACGCGAGATAAATATTAACAGCTTGTGCGATTGGTGCATGTCCACCGACGCAAGTCAGCCTGGTGGGGAGCCTATCGAAGCACTGATACCTCTGGATTGAGGATGAGTTGTACATATTTCTTCGGCATGAGGAATTAGGGATGGTGAGGAGGAGGTTATCCGTGCTTTGATTCTGATGGTAAGGTTTGGAGAGACCACGATTTTCCATCTGCATTCATCACACCAACATCACTCAACCTTTCCATATTTTTCCTCTCTCATAGACACATGTGCTCATATTCCCTCAAAACTTCTTTGTTCAAAAATATTATTTCTTTATGGTAGTTATAAAAATTTAGTCTATGTTAAGAATTGTACATCGCTCCTGCACATTCAATACTGCAATTCGATACGCAATATTTGAACCAATGACATTTGGGTTGCAATTTTAACATTATTTTCCTTTTATAAGATAAACATAAAGTAAATGATTTATCAAACTCGAAATAGAATAATCAAATACAAAAAAAAAATGTACGAGAGAGTTAGTGGCTAACTAACCATGGTGGAAAAGTCCTGCGATTTTTTATTTATTTTAGCTTTATGTATGATTTTAATTTAAGAACATTAATCAAATTTATTTAGTGTAACTGGTTATGTTTTTTTGTCTTTGTTCGAAGAGACCACGTTTCAAATCTCATTATTAGTTGATATTTTTTTTCTATACATAATAAAATAATAAATGACTGTGAAGACAAAGGTACACTTCCTACTTCGTTCTAGATGTAGATATGTTAAAAATGAAGGAATAACTTTTCCCGTTTCACTATTATATTAAGTAGGGCTGGCTATTTGGACCGGGACCGGATGAAAAACCGGAAACCGGACCGCATAACCCGGACCGAGACCGGACCGGGACCGGATAGTAAACAATCCAATCCAATCTTTGGGCTTAGATTTGAGGTAAAAAACCGGATAAAGACCGAATAAGAGAGCTCAACACCCAAAACTTAAGGGTAATTTGCATAAACGGTCACAAACCTTTGCACTTAGTACAAAACTTAACCAACTCCTCACCCTTTTAGGCCTTAGGCCACTCAAATTCTCACAATCTCAATATAAAATCAAGACCGAATTGGGACCTGACCGGGTCAAGACCGGACCGGATCAAGACCGGACTGTATCCAATCCAATCTTTGGTCCTTATATTTTCAAAAAACCCGGACTGGACCGGATCAATTTGGGCCAATTTAACCGGACCGGACCGTATAGCCACCCCTAATATTAAGTGTAGATAACGATGATATCAATTCGTTACCCATCCATCATTTTCCAACCAAACAAGTTGTATTGACGTAGAAAGATATAAAAATGTTGTAATCTCTTGTCTGTTACGGTAATGAATAGACTTTATTTATAAGAAAAAACCCTTTTATTTTATATAGTACACTGCATATTATAGTACTTCTTTAAAAAAAAAGACCTTGGACTCTCTGGAAGTCTCAATAGACTATTTTTAAGATAAGCAACCAACCCGTCTTGGGTTATTAGTCTTTGTTTACTTTTAAGTTTTAAGCTTATTTGATGTAAGGTCTAGCTAAGATGAGGTGGAAGCCACCTCATGTTCATGTATATTACCAGATGGGTTTCCTTTTGACATCTTTGTAAATCTCAATGATCAAATTAAGGAATCTATAATAATTTTTTTTATATATAAATTTGACAACCAAAGCAAATTGGAATCTGTTTGAGATAGTTTGGAATATGGGGACTGAATTCATCATTATAAATCCCTCAAAATGGATCTAAAACTATATTCCTCAAATTAGAGTTAGAGCCCAACAACAATCAATTATTAGGGCACCCACAAGATTGCTAAGTGGATGACTTTTTCTTCTTAATTGGGTCATTGTTTATTTTTGTTTTCTTGCCTAATCCAATCTTTTGTCGTCATGTTCTCAGCTCGGTTTAGTCTATTGATTCGGTTGAGTGAGTGAGTTGAGAATTAGAGATCTGACCAGTTTTATCAAATTTAGGTCCAATATATGAAAAAATCACAATAATGTTTATACATTTATAAAATATATAAAATATCATCTAAAATACAAGTAATAACACGTAACATTATATCAAAACAAGGTATATACTTACATTCCGTGAAAATTAAAACACACTTACATGACTTTAATATTCGAATGTTTCTTAAAATTCCAAAAATAAGACTAGACGAAGAGGAAAATCGAAAAGATGTTAGTCTCTCGTTTAGCCTTTACATGACGATGCAACCCGATGGATTGTCGTCGCTAAAGCACTCCCCTCTGCTGACGTAATACCCTCCCCTGTACCCGCCGCCCCAACTGTCGTACACCGGCCGTCCGTACCCTTCGTAGCACGGATGCCCCTGCATGCCGTAGCACGGCGGCGGCGGCGCGACGCCGCGCCCTTCGTAGAACTCCCGGTGGCAGTAGCACATCGGAAAAGCTGGTGACGACATCACCGCCTTGGCGGTTTCTCGATGCTTCGGCTGCTCTTTTGGTTTCCCCATATCTGCTGAGATCTCCTTCGGCCTCGGCGGCTCGTCTGGCTTCTTCGGCTCCTCCTTCGGCTTCGGCGGCGGGGGTTTGACGATCTCGATTCCCTTCACCGATTCGCCGCCTTTGCAACAAATCTTCTCCATCACTTTCTCCGGGCTGCAGCACAGCACCGTGATGATCACCAAGTTGGCTTTTTGGTCGTACACTCGATTCCCAATCTCTGTTCGTCGCCAAAGAAAATTTCCGGGAATATAATTAGTGACGAACATATTACTCGTTGCTAAAAAAACTCCCAAATTATTTTCAAATCGAAATTCGAAACAATCAATGCAAGCTTACGAGGGATCCTGCAGAGGACTTTCTTGATCTTGTTGCGGCACTTGTAGCAGTCCAGATCGACCTTGATCACCATTGTCGTCAGCTGCAGAAGCAACAAAGAAAAAAACACCATTAGCCAAAAAAACAGGGGAGAAAAACAGAGTATGGTAGAGAGGCAACGAGCTAGGGTTTTTCTTTACACACACCTTCTGTTCTCCTCCCATGGCTGCCGGCTGGGGAAAATGGAGTTGGGATTGAAGAGATAGGAACAAGGGACAGATGAGGGAGTTGAAAATGAAGCTCAATTCTATAAAAATCAGCAAATAAATGAATGGCAGAGGATTTTAATGAAGATAAGTAAGTCGAATTCATGTATGTATAGAATTGGATTGGAACCACAAGAATGTGTCGGTTCCAAGTTCCAACTGTCCTTTTAAATGATGCAGAAAAAATCAAAGTCTGTCTTTGGAGAATTCAAGCTGCTTGTTGCAGTTATGTTTTGTATATGCTAATTAATCCTGAACGAGTGTCATGTAACAAAGAAGGAAAATACAAAGAAGCAATACACAAAAAAAAAACTCCTTTGTTTCTCTCTACCGCCAATACCAAATAAAAAGCCAATTTTCCTAACTCCAAAAAAAATTGCCTCCACTACTTTCTTATCCCTTTTGATTGGCTTGGATTAGGAGTGAACAAAACCAATTGAAAATAAATTCACTTGTGCCATTTGGTCGAATTCATTGAAAAATTGTTATATAATTTTGAGAGTGAATGAGGGTGGTATTTTGTATGAGTTACTGTGGTTTGACAAACTACAACAGCCAACAAAGTGTTTTTTTTATTTCATTTAACATCTAGTTTCGGAATAAAACTAGAATCTCCTCATTCGATTCATACATACTTTTATGTACTTACGTATATGCCTATTCAATCACAACCTCTAAAATGGCTTCCTAACAATAATGCTTCAAAAGTACACATGTTTGTCTTCCAACTACAACAAGTAGTATATATATAGAAGAATCAAAAGGTGGATAACGTGACCATACCATAAGATCTATATATAGCTAAATTTGTTTCACAAACATAATCCCTTTCAAGGTAGAACAAACTTTTCTTCCTCGAGCCTTCATTCAATCAACGTAATGTTTCCAACAGTAGAACAACAGGAGCGAAGAGATAAAAATACACATGCTTGTCTTTCCACATATTGACTCATCTCGTATCCAAAATGTTGGTTCAAACGGAAGATCTGGTCTCAAGGAAGACGAGAATGAGATGTAGTAGTTTAGGAGATAGAGTCGTATCTCTCCAAGTATCAACAGTCTTTTCTTCAACATATGGAGAGAGCCTTCTACTACTTATTACTTGTTATAGGTATCGAAACTTCAGCGTCTCTAGTCCGATAATGCGAGAGAGTTCATCCTCTATTAGTGGTTTCATTTGGGAAATTGGAGAGCCTTGTTGATATGGAAACTGATGAAAGGGAATAACAACCACGCTGTGTAAAAAGGGCATGGATTAGTATTGCTACACATATAGCTTATCAAGAGATCATCAACATGTATATTATTGGGTGCAGGTAAAAAAAAGGTGTAGAGTATGTACCTCATCTTTGAAACATAGGTCGAGAGATTTTGCATTGCACAAGCCACACAACAACATCACGAACGCACTTTTCACTGTCTCCATATAACCACGGCCAAGCAACTTATAATCCTTGTTGTCGTCTACACTCTCGAGCCGGACGACAGCACGAGCAAGACAAGGAAGACTCACCTCGCAGACGCCCCAAATCGACCTCGTGGGAGCCGAAAGACGGAAAGACTCGAGCTTCGGAGCACGCACTACAAATGTACCTGAAAAGATTAAACTAGACATAGCTCCAAAATTTATATCTAATTTTTTTTCGTAAAGTACACGACCCCTTTTGACTTAGAGAACATACTGTTCACAAGAAGAATGATCCAATGCAACCGGTTCCACTGTTATTTTATTTGTTTACAATCAATATTTAACAACCAGTTCCATACTTCTATTCTATACATGTCCACGGTTAAGTTTTTTTAACAATAAAATTTTTAACCGCTTAAGTTAACTATTTATTACATAAAATTTGATGGCAACTCATATTCCTTTTAGTTAACTTGGAAAGATTTTGTAAGGTAAATTAATTTTTACATAATTTAATTAAATGCGATTCTTTTCTGTAACTTGATTTTATTATTAGATCACACATTATGTAAGATTTACATAACAACGTTCTATAGCATTTACCTAAAATAGAAATACATTACATATAGTTGATGAAAGAATAGTTATTTCTTATGTATCCACTAAACAAATGCATTACATAAGTATTCATTAATTACTAAGAGACACTAGAAAACTTATGTAAGTATCTTACTCGCGAACTATTTTTTGAATTTTTTTTATTTTACTAAATCGTTAAATCACTTTATAAAATTTACAATATTCATCATATTATTAATTTCATTAAACAAAGGTTTAGTCAAATAATTTTCTAAATAAAGGTTTAGTCAAGTATGACACTTTCGACAACTTAATTTTATAATTAGGACACCCATTACAAAAAAATTTATGTTGTAGCGTTCCATAGGGAATGTCAACTTAAAACTTACATAGTTCAATAAATTTTAATCAAATGTGATACTTTTCATAACTTGATTTATTATTTTCGTAGCACCGTTTCATAGCGCAAGTTAACTTTTATATAGTAGTTTAATAAAATATGATACTTTTATAACTTATTTATTATTAAACCACACATTATGGAAGATTTACATAATACCATTCTAAAGCAATTAAGTAAATTACAAATACATTGCGTAAAACTTATGGAGGGATAGTTGTTTCGTATCTTTCAATTAAACAAAAAACTGTGTGAATGTCTTCCGCAATTATTAAGAAACAAACATATTGCGCAAGTCTTCCATGATATAAGTTTGAACAAAATTTCATTTATTATTAACTAAATTGTTGATAATATTAACAAAATCACCTTCTGCACCTTCTCTATTTCCATCAGCTTGTGAAACATTTTCAGCATCAGATTCTTGGCTTCCTCGCTTTCCGAGCTCAACATCCACTCGTTGAATTGCTTGACCAATTCAGCAGCATTCTTCCTAGACGGGTCCTCAACAAATCCAGTCATTCCATCACGAAGGCGTTCGCGGAGAGAAGGTAAGTTCCTCGTCCACTTGAATATGTTCTCGAAGAAGGCAGTGTACGGAACCACGTTCCCAGCCACCCCAAGCATGAAACCAAAAGAAGAATGATCAAATGCAACCGGTTAAGTACATGGTAAGTTTTCTCACCGCCCATTAACAATTAATTTGGAATACTGTTCACAAGAAGAATGATCTAATGCAACCGGTTCCACTGTTATTTTATTTGTTTACAAGCAATATTAAAAACTAGTTTCATACTTCTATACATGTCCACGGTTAAGTTTTTTTAACAATAAAAATTTTAACCGCTTAAGTTAACTATTTATCACATAAAATTTGATGGCAACTCAGATTCCTTTTAGTTAACTTGGAAAGATTTTGTAAGGTAAATTAATTTTTACATAATTTAATTAAATGTGATTCTTTTCTGTAACTTGATTTTATTATTAGATCACACATTATGTAAGATTTACATAACAACGTTCTATAGCATTTACCTAAAATAGAAATACATTACATAAAGTTGATGAAAGAATAGTTATTTCTTATGTATCCACTAAACAAATGCATTACATAAGTATTCATTATTTACTAAGAGACACTAGAAAACTTATGTAAGTATCTTACTCGCGAACTATTTTTTGAATTTTTTATTTTACTAAATCGTTAAATCACTTTATAAAATTTACAATATTCATCATATTATTAATTTTCATTAAACAAAGGTTTAGTCAAATAATTTTCTAAATAAAGGTTTAGTCAAGTATGACACTTTCGACAACTTAATTTTATAATTAGGACACCCATTAGAAAAAATTTATGTTGTAGCGTTCCATAGGGAATGTCAACTTAAAACTTACATAGTTCAATAAATTTTAATCAAATGTGATACTTTTCATAACTTGATTTATTAATTTCGTAGCACCGTTTCATAGCGCAAGTTAACTTTTATATAGTAGTTTAATAAAATATGATACTTTTATAACTTGATTTATTATTAAACCACACATTATGGAAGATTTACATAATACCATTCTAAAGCAATTAAGTAAATTACAAATACATTGCGTAAAACTTATGGAGGGATAGTTGTTTCGTATCTTTCAATTAAACAAAAAACAGTGTGAATGTCTTCCGCAATTATTAAGAAACAAACATATTGCGCAAGTCTTCCATGATATAATTTTGAACAAAATTTCATTTATTATTAACTAAATTGTTGATAATATTAACAAAATCACCTTCTGCACCTTCTCTATTTCCATCAGCTTGTGAAACATTTTCAGTATCAGATTCTTGGCTTCCTCGATTTCCGAGCTCAACATCCACTCGTTGACTTGCTTGACCAATTCAGCAGCATTCTTCCTAGACGGGTCCTCAACAAATCCAGTCATTCCATCACGAAGGCGTTCGCGGAGAGAAGGTAAGTTCCTCGTCCACTTGAATATGTTCTCGAAGAAGGTAGTGTACGGAACCACGTTCCCAGCCACCCCAAGCATGAAACCAAAAGAAGAATGATCAAATGCAACCGGTTAAGTACATGGTAAGTTTTCTCACCGCCCATTAACAATTAATTTGGAATACTGTTCACAAGAAGAATGATCTAATGCAACCGGTTCCACTGTTATTTTATTTGTTTACAATCAATATTAAAAACTAGTTTCATACTTCTATACATGTCCACAGTTAAGTTTTTTTAACAATAAAATTTTTAACCGCTTAAGTTAACTATTTATCACATAAAATTTGATGGCAACTCAGATTCCTTTTAGTTAACTTGGAAAGATTTTGTAAGGTAAATTAATTTTTACATAATTTAATTAAATGTGATTCTTTTCTGTAACTTGATTTTATTATTAGATCACACATTATGTAAGATTTACATAACAACGTTCTATAGCATTTACCTAAAATAGAAATACATTACATAAAGTTGATGAAAAAATAGTTATTTCTTATGTATCCACTAAACAAATGCATTACATAAGTATTCATTAATTACTAAGAGACACTAGAAAACTTATGTAAGTATCTTACTCGCGAACTATTTTTTGAATTTTTTTATTTTACTAAATCGTTAAATCACTTTATAAAATTTACAATATTCATCATATTATTAATTTTCATTACACAAAGGTTTAGTCAAATAAGTTTCTAAATAAAGGTTTAGTCAAGTATGACACTTTCGACAACTTAATTTTATAATTAGGACACCCATTACAAAAGTTTTATGTCGTACCATTCCATAGGGAATGTCAACTTAAAACTTACATAGTTCAATAAATTTTAATCAAATGTGATACTTTTCATAACTTGATTTATTATTTCCGTAGCACCGTTTCATAGTGCAAGTTAACTTTTATATAGTAGTTTAATCAAATGTGATACTTTTATAACTTAATTTATTATTAGACCACACATTATGGAAGATTTACGTAATACCATTCTAAAGCAGTTAAGTAAATTACAAATACATTGCGTAAAACTTATGGAGGGATAGTTGTTTCGTATCTTTCAATTAAACAAAAAACAGTGTGTAACTGTGTATGTCTTCCGCAATTATTAAGAAACAAACATATTGCGTAAGTCTTCCATGATATAAGTTTGAACAAAATTTCATTTATTATTAACTAAATTGTTGATCATCTTATCGATTTGTATGACACAGGTGGAGAGAAATCGAAAGAGGAGGGATCAGAATCACGGTGGCGTAGATGGCGGAGGTAAGTTTTATTTTTATATTTTAATAGTTGTAAAATGAGGTGAAATTGTAAATATTTAAATTTATTATTTTATTATTTTTTAATGGCCACGTCACTCATTTAACGGTCAACTATAATAATTGACTGCCACATCAGCAAAAACTAACAGAGACTAACGGAGAGTGACCAAACTTGAACTATTGAACTAATCTTGGTGACCATGAATGGAATTAAATATTTTCAGTGACCAAACATGAACGATTTTAGTAAACCCAGTGTTCATCCTTGCAATTAACCCGATTAATTTGTATGAGAAAATTGATGTTAAACTTTTATTTTGAAAGAAACTTGTTATTGTAAATTTTTACCACAAAAACCCACGGGTACCCATGAACCCGCGGATACCCAGCGGGTTGGGTTTGTGTTTTTCAAACCCAACGGGTATTACCCCGGGTTTTTTTGGCAGATAAATCCATGGGTTTGGGTTTGACAAAACCCGCCCCAACCCGACCCATTGACATCCCTAGTTTTAACAAAATGAATTGAAAAAGAAGCCAGACAGACAGTTCTTTGCTTTAAAAGAATGGGGGGATGTCGATCGAACCAGAGACCTGAACATCTATCGCATTTGGAAGTTTATAAAAATGAAGAGCTCGACTAGGCCAAAACAATTTCATTGATAGCTACCTACTCAACTGCTATATAATCACTAAATTCTCAAAACTTTAGGGGCTCCTCCTTAACGTTGGCTCCATCCCTGTTGTAAATTATCAAAGACCTTATTGTCAATATATATCTTACCATATGATTCATGATTTTCCTAATCATTTCATTTCGTGGAGAGTTATTTTAAAGTCACTCTAGTGATTATGGATAGCCGAAGAACGTCGATTGGAATAGTAGAGGCAAATGACTTAGCAACCACATTCGAGAGGATAGTTAGATATTGGAACCTCAATAAATTGGCATAGTGGTATTATGGGAGGATAAGAGTCGCCACATGTTAAGAGTGAACCATTATCTATAATATTAGAGATTTAAAAGACTGAGTTAATTACATATGATTTCGTTTTTTTTTTTTTTTTTTTTGACAAAAGATAATCATATATTGATAACAAAGAATAGATCATTACATCATATGCCTCAACCAGGCAGTAAAATCAAAAGAACGACTCGCTATCGGGTACAAAGAAAGGGCCTTTCGAGCCACCAAGTGGGCTACCCTATTAATACGCCGACCAACAAACCGAACACTAAACCCCGCACTCTCAGCCAGGTACAGCAAAACCTCACGAAGAATAACCCCTGAAGTACTATCCCGCCCCTGGGCCAAGTGAAGCCTGTCCACAATCACCTTCGCATCCCCCTCAAATTGAACATTCTCAAACCCATTAGCCCGGCACCAAATTTCGTTGAAGATAATTTAAATGTACATTATTAATTGTAGTTTGACGGTAGCAATGCTAAGTACAAGGAATAAGGTTCAATGTTCAAGGTTCATTGCAATCAAACTATTATACCTATTTTTAATCTTTGTTCGCCCAATCAAAGGGTGTGCAGGCCCTTACACACTATTAGGGATTTTAAACAAAATTGACGAGTTGATGACTGAGGTTGATGAGTCTCGCACTCAAAATCAGAGATTTTTTGTTGTTGACAATTGGTAGATTTCATTCCATAACGATTGAGGTACAAACTCGGCTTATTATAATAGAGAGGAGATCAAGTCCATAATCTGAATTCACTCCGAAGGGAGAGATCCAATTCAAGATTCTTTACGTTGTGTTTGGCAAATAGGGGGTGCAAATTCAAGGGGGTCCAAGTTGAGGGGTAAATTGCTAGAGGTGCAAGTTGAGGGGTAAATTGTTGTTTGGATGAAAAAGTAGTGGGTGCAAATTAGTGAAAAGTAAGTAAATGATATTATTATAAAATAGACATATCAAATTTATAAAAGATTATCACAAAATATTTACACATAAATCAATATGAAAAAAAACATACTAATAAATATAAAAAAATAATTTAATAAAATAATAATGCTCAAGTAGTGATTGTTATAAATATTCATAAATAATAGTATTGGGTCCATAAAAATCATAATTGGTCGAGCAACCTCGAATGAGTATGCTCTAAGCCCAATCCATGGCCAAGACATATAACTAGCTCATCTCTCCCACCCGGAAGTCGAGTTCTCGAAATGATGGTTAAATCGGAGTGAAATAGACATTACCAAATCGCTTTTAACCATAAATGACCATCCTACAAGATTGATGTGCCTAGTTTAACTTTAAATTGGATATGGTCAAACTTAGTCAAACATGTTCGAACATGTAAATTTTAACTATTTGATGAGGTAATCCGAGCCAACCAACATATCTCGATTCGACTTGATGAATCTTGACCCACTTGTTTGATCGAGTCAACAGTTGAAGCCAATTTGACAAAATTTCTCATCGTAAATCAAATGATGTCTCCCGGAATCAATGCAAAATTAATAATTATTATTATTTAATCATTATAATAATTATTATTATTTAATCATTATAATAATTATTCTTACTATCATAATAATAATAAGTATTATTGTAGCATAATATTACATGACATTTTTAGTTATAACAATCATAGAACAAAATCATACATATAAAACATAACAAATTATATATTAATTTTATTTTTTATCCATCCTTCCACTCTTTCTCTTTCCATTTGCACTCCAATTTTGGGGCTGATGAGAAGAGTGGATTTGCCCCCTAATTGCAGCCCCCTACGCTATTCATTATTATCAAAATGGGGGTAAATACATTGGAAAATGCACTTACCCCCAAACTTGCTCCCCCCTTTCCATTTACCCCCTTTCCCAAATATAGTGTTAGTAACCCAATTAAAACACTTGTTGTTCCTACGATGAGTAAAAGCCACACTAATGTGGTCATTATGCGCGATGATTTGTTTCATACAATGAATTCATGTCATCGCTTGCCAAGGCCAGGATCTGCTTCGTCCTAGCAAGATATTGATGATGATCTCAAGTTATAGGCCCCTTTTTTGGGGCTTGTTCTTCTTAACGCCTACTTTGACTTGGACTTCTGTAATCTTCAGCAGGAACTGAAGGAGCTTAGAGCAAAGCTCATTAGCTCAATGCGTAGAGACTTAAGGTTTCAGGGTGGCTGCTGGCCGCTGGGAGCTAATGATCGATCAGTCTTTTCCTTTAGGTCTTCTGGGTCATTTTGTTGGGGAGATTGGCCAATGGAACATCCAAGCCTAGGTTAACTATGGGAAACTTTCTGGCTCTTAACACTGTCTACTTTACATTGCTAAGAACTTGACTACAGCAGTCAATGTCAATCTTTGTTCTTAAAATCCACTTCACTGCTGTTCAGCTTCTGAACACACAAGAGCGAGATTCACATTGCCAAAGGGATTACAACGAGAAAAAGACCGAATTGTGACTAACTACTGCCTGAAATGGCGTTCGAGACTCTATCTAAGAGCGCGACACAAAGACAATTCAACCCGAATTGTGACTAACTACTGCCTGAAATGGTGTTCGAGACCCTAAGAGTGCGACACAGAGACAATTCAACTTCCCGCACTTCTAATCACAACTTTGCATTGTACTGAATACTGTCTAAGAACTAAGAACTATCTGTATGGTGTAGAGTAGTTCGCAAGGCTACCTTTTGAACCAACAGACCACGAGACATAGGCATATAAGGTGAGAAGGAAATAAGGATGCAGTAATAAACAGAAAAACCAAAGTCGGATACAGCATGAAATTACTCAAAGTATCAACTAAATGATTGTAGCATCCAACATCCAAACAAACTCCAGGTATTCACTAACAACTGACATAAAAAAAACCTTTCGACTTAAAGGACCAGTAGGAAAATTATCAAGGCATTTCCCGGCGACACAAGCAAACATACACAAATCTCTTAACGATTGGCTTTGGCAACTCTCTCGATCTCATCCTTCTTTTTGATAGCATAGCTGGAAAGCAAACAGGGAAGGGATAATCAGCAAACCGAGCATCCAAGAACAGTCGACACAAACCAATAGACAAGCAAACAAACCTGTTCGAGGATCCCTTTGCAGCATTGATGAGCTCATCAGCCAAGCATTCAGCAATAGTCTTGATGTTACGGAAAGCAGACTCCCTTGCACCGGTGGTCAAGAGGTACAAGGCCTGATTGACACGCCTGAGCGGAGAAATATCCACAGCCTGACGCCTCACCACACCAGCTGAACCGATTCTGGTTGCATCTTCACGAGGACCACTGGAAATGACAAAATACCATGAGAAACAAACTCTAGAAGAAACCACTACGATTCGCTCTAAGTTATAAGCTCACTGACCTGTTGATGACAGCATCAACGATGACTTGGATTGGGTTCAGATCAGTTAGGAGATGGATGATCTCCATGGCATGCTTCACAATCCTGACGGCCATCAGCTTCTTACCATTGTTTCTCCCGTGCATCATGAGAGAATTGGTCAGCCTCTCAATGATGGGACATTGGGCCTTCCTGAAACGCTTGGCCGAGTACCTCCCAGCTGTGTGTGGGATGAAAGTTGCGTGCTTGGCCGCTTGGACGCCGATATAGTCCGACAAGGAAATGTCATTGCTCTACAACAATACGAATCACAAAACAAAAGTGCAAACCCTAATTAGACAACGAACAGAATCAGAGTTTCCAAGCAAATCCATAGCCCACTCCCTAAACTACTCGATGCAGAGGTTCAAATGGAAGAAAAAGTGCTAAATCCTAGCAGCTTTACGAGCTCAGTCGCGTTAACACATCTCAGCAGCGGAGATTGTAGACATGAAAAGCAACGGTGTGATTCCAACTAGACTCGAGGAAAGGCGAGAACGAAGGGGAAAACGATTCGAACATGGACATCATCGAAGCTCCAGCGGTTAAACAACTTGACTTCCACCGGACCAGTCACTGGCGCTGGAGCAGGAACTGGAGCCTCCACTTCCATGGTTGCACTTGCCGAGAAGAGAGAGCGCGGCGGAGGAATGGAAGTACGTGATTAGGGGAACTCGGAAGCTGGAACAGCTGCTCGCGCGGTAGATGATGCAATGGCAAAACCCTATTCCGTATTTATTTAGGGAAGCAAAAAATGGGCCAAAATTTTGAAATAGGCCTGTTTATTTTTTTATATGAATGGCCTGTTTATTTGTTAAGGCTAGAATCAAGATATTGGGCTATATCAGGGCGACAGGGCCCATGAGCAATCAATTGCTGGTTAAAATGTATGCGTAAATGACTAAATGACAAATTTATCCCTTGATTTATCAAACTGTTTCACGTTTGTTATTAGAAATTTGAGTGAAAATTGTGAAACAACTTGATAAACTGAGTGTCAAACATGTCATTTAGCTAATCTCTTATACGTACATTGAAATGTTCCACATGAAAGCGGAGGAACCAGATTACATCTCATCCTAATCTCTTACACATATGCTTCGACTGCAACAACACTGCTGGAAGAGAAGCTGGATCAAGCTCCCAGCAGTCTTTCGGAAGCTCGGGGATCTCATCACTAGAGACCTTCCTCGCAGGAATTTGATGAGAAAACATCAGGAGATCATCTTTGACGACACATTTCACACCGCGAAACCCGAACTCCCTTCTCTTGAACACAGTTTTGAACCCATCAACCTTATCGAGGTACGCAAAACTCAGCCCATGAATCTCACTGTAATTACTCAGAACCACAACAAAGTCGTAGCACGGTTCATCCTTCTGTGGAACATGTCTTTGTCCTTCTCTGTAAACTCCCCATACAGAACCCTTGTTAGGGTAAATCCTATAAACTTGTCTGGCAGCCCTCTCGCACTGCATAGCATGTGAGAAGATATTCACGGAATCAACAGTCACATTTCTATCGACCTTAAAGCTCCCACAAGATCCAGTTTTTAACCAGCTGATCAACCTATCGTCTCCATTATTGACAAGATCCAGCCAACTCAACTTCACCTCGAAAGGATTCACCGAGACCACCTCATCAATCAAACCATACTGTCTCGGCATTCCATCAGTATCGTCGTATATAGCCCACACCTGCCCCTTCTTGAAACTCTTCTCTGTTCTGTCACTGTCAAAGTCATAGAAGTCCGAGTCCTCAACCTCCATCATCTCCGGACCACCATTCTCCACAAACCCGACATCCATAGCACTCTTAGACTTCCTCGATACAAAGTGCTTCTCTGCCTCATGAATCACAATCTTCTTCGATGTCTGACCTCTTTCATTTTCACCAACTGAAATCCCATTTTTTCCACTCTGTGATTCTCTGCTCTTCTTTGCAACGTCTTCTTTCTCCGGTCCCTCCTTCTCCTTCTGCTTAACCTTCAATTTTTCCTTCCCTTTGCTAGCCTTACGCCTTGCTTCCAACTGCATTTCAGCCAGTGTCATCATTTCTTCATCTAATCTCACCTTCTTAGACTTCAAGTTCTGCAAAACCACGTCTTCATCATTCGGTTTCCTCCTCAAGACCTCATTTCGACTTCCTTGATTCCCCGAATTAAAGTTCCCCAACCGATCTCCACTAAAAACTTTCCTTCTCAACCTCGAACTCCTAACTCCAACTTTCTCAACATTACCAACCTCTTCTTTATCCTGATTATCCTCAACCTCCACAGCTTTAAAGCTCTTCTTACAATTAGGGCAAACCAAATTGTGCCCCAAATACTTCCTCTCAAACTGATGCAGAAGGCTACACCTAGAACAAGCCGTCCAGAAAGTCTCCGCTACAGAGTCCTGAACATCACCTCTCTCCTCCAGCAACCTGATTCTCAAAGCTACATCATACTCTTTCCTACTAGCTCTATCAGACAAAACCCTAAACCCTTCCCCCAGCAGCTTGAACGCCTCTTCACAACCGACGAATTCGTTCTTATCAGGGTGCAAAACTAGTGCCAGATTCTTGTACTGTTTTTTTATAGTGTTGATGTGAGAGAAAGGCTCTACCTGAAGAATGCCGTACCAATCGACGAACTCGGAGTCGGATTTGGCGGCGAATCGGAGGGTTTTCAGGGCGGTGAGCATGGCAGAGAGACCGTCGAGGTCGGGGCACAGCCGGTGGGCTTTTTTAGCATGTTTGAGTGCCGATTTCAGGTTGGAGGCTGAATATTCCTCCTCGGCCTTGGATTTCAGTCGGGTGGCTTCTTCCTCCGGGTGCTGCTCCGGCGGCGCCATGGATTTGGGGCGGGAAAAGATTGCAACTTGGGAGCTGGGAAAATGTGAAGTGAGAGAAGATATTGAAGCTTTAGCTCGCTTACATAAAACTGTGGGCTGATTACATAAGTGGTCCTTAAACTTTCGGGTGACTAGCAAATTCATCATTCAGCTTTAACTTCTGAATAATTTTTTATACTAAAATTCGGAATAACTAGTATAACAGTAATTTCATAGAATTGGTCGATTTTTCAACCACATCTATCATATTAACATGTTAACCTTCTAAGTTTTGTAATAAAAAGATTGTATGTGTATTTAGTAACCAACATTCATCAATCATTTATATTATCCAACTCATTCAGCCAAGAGGTTGTCAGTCGCTGGCAAGCAAGCAGGAATATCAGCCTTTTTTCCACACATCTAAACCCTCCCTTAAACCCGATCCATCCATTCAAAACAAGCTATCCTATAAGCTATCATTGTCTTCTAAACCAACAAAACTCCTGCAACTGCAACTTGAAGAATAAAATGGAACTATGCCTTCTGGTTTGATTTACATGGTGATTGTTGTGACGATGAATGTATCAAAAAGCCCTGAAACCCCATCAATCACACTGCTTTGTATTGGCATCAACACTGAAGCATGATACTTCATTATTCATGAATGTTCCGAAGATAAATAAATGTTTCATAGAGTAAATGAAGATGACTACTTGAGCCATTAACAACAAAAGGTATTCCATTCCTTCCGTCACATTATACTACAGTTTTGCTGGGAATCCAGCATCTCAGGTGTTCTGCAATGGCCAAAGAGAAACAGAAAACCAGAAAGCCATTAGCCATCTCACCATCATAAAGGACAACGGAATGACTAACAATCAGGGCACCCAAATACCATATGAAGCACTCACATTTGACCGAGAGTAGCCAAATCGAGATCAGGTGCAAGTTCCCGGATGATTTCATCAGGTGGCTGTCCACATTCTTGCATCTTTTGCATGAGCTCTGTGATTCTGGTGTAGTTATTGGGGTCATTCTCATAGACCTCGTTGAGAACCTTTATAAGTCCAAATTGATTTGAATAACGTTCAAAGTCCTCTTTACCCAAACTTGATTCGTGGTCTTTCAACCATGTCGGATACCTCCCTTCGATTTCCTTCATTGGTTCATGAAGAATCTCCTTCGAAAGCAGCTGCTGCATCATGGTCTCTACAAGAGATGCCATGTCCTGATAGACCCAAAAAAAGAAAGGAAAATATGAAGCTCATGAACTAGAACGATAGAAACAAACAGGGGGAATGCTCTAAATTACCTTAAAACACAGAATGGGAGATATAAATACTTAGAGCACAATGAAGAAGAAATGCTGAATAGAGGGAAGAAAGGCTGAATATAAGGGTAAAAGATTCACTATTATCGCCACCGAAGGTCTAAATCTCTAGATAACTAACTTGGTCCTTAGAGCCACAAACTCACATTATGGAATGCTTGGGGTAAGAGTGAACACAGATACAGAAACACATTCTTGAGAGAACTACATTCAAATCTCACAGGGAATCAAGATTCCAACTATTTCACAATTTTGGAAATGTAACTCCTAGTATCCTTGCAGCAGCAAAAGCAAAGCACCTGACTCCAAAGTGACTGATACAGTTTGCTTCCTAAACATAAGAGACCAGTCAATCAAGTCTCGAGGAACTCACGTCTCTTTACTCAATTCGGGCCTCATAACTTCTGCACCTAAAGGAAAGAGTTCCATGTATGGAGAGATAGAGATAGCAAGAGCTTCACTTTACCTGGCCAGAAGCAAGCTCCTCGAACTGCTTAACCCAATCCTCCACCATAGCATCCTTATTATCAGCACCAGCCTTTGAGCCAGTGACGGACTCCAATCCCATTACAGCTTCTTTAGTCTGCTCCATAAGCTTATCAAGCGCCTCAGCCACATGGGTATCCTTAGAAGATGCCGCCGCCATTTGTTTCCCTTTCTTCTTGCTCTTCAATTCCGGCAATCCCATACCTAAACCCTGAACCCCAGCCGGCAAAGCAACATCTGAATCCTCCACCTTGCTCTTCTCCTTATCGCCACCATCCCTTCCCCCGCCGCCAGCAATTCTGCATTCCCAATTTACACCTTCTTTTTCAACTCAACATGGTGACAGAGAAACGAGAAGCAGAAATTGGAGTAAATACCTTTGTGAAGACGGAGGCGCAAGGTTGAGACTTTGGAAATCATCGAGAGCACCTACAGAGAGCAAAAACAAAAAGGTTCGAAATTGAGGTGAGAATCACTACGAGAATAAGAATAGGGTTTTGTTCAGGAGTTGGATTCTGGTAATGGGTAGTTACTGTCGAGGAGCTGGTCTAAGTCATCCGCATGAGAGACCGCCATACTACTCTGGTGCTGCTTCTTAGCTCGTGGAAGCTTGACTATTTTTCCAGACGAAATCGACTTGATTCAGGAAGGAAGGAATTCGCTATATGTAGGAGAGAAAGGCAAAGGAAAATTCACCGAGGAATTGGAAGTAAAATCGTTTCCCTTGCGTCCAAGGATTACGGAGAGATGAAGAAATTCTACTGCTAGTTGATCAGTTTTGTTTTCGCCGATCGAGAAACTCTCCATACAGGCCGTTTGTTAACCAGAACTCGGGCTGGATCAGGTTCGTGATAATTTCAAGCCCATGCCTAAGTAAGTCCTCGTTTTAACCCTATGGGCCGATGATGACTTCGGCCCATCTGTGATTATGGATTACAGCGTGCCTTTGCCTTGGCGTCGAGAATTGCTTTTAAAGTGATTATCAAAGTAAGTTCTTGTTTTAACCCTATGGCCCGATGATGACTTCGGCCCATCTGTGATTGTTGATTACACCGGGCCCTTGCCTTGGCGTGGAGAATTGCTTTCAATGTGATCTCGCTTTCAAAGCAATTCTCGGCGTCAGAAACGACAACATTTGAAAATCCAGTAAACTAGCACCATGCTAGTAAGTAGTAACACGTCGAAAACGGTGGATAGGCTTTACCGCTTTAGACGCTGATCCTCGCAAGTTCATGATCAGTATCCTTCGCTACTCGAATTTGGTTTGGTTATGCTTCACAGGCCACGAAACAATAAGTAAAGAGATCGAGTTGTACGTAATGTAATGTATTGCTTTGTCTAATAAGTTACGAATTTACGGATCTCAATATTGTATATAAGGGCTCGTTTGCTTGTTGGATTTGAAAATGAAGGTTTTGAGTTTTAAAAACCTTTGGATTTATGATGGATTTGTTGCATCATGGATTTGGAAGAGTACATTGTTTGTTTAGTTGATTTTTTATCATGGATTTGTGATGGATTTGTCTCACATTTTTTCCTTCTATTGTCAAATTCCAAATGAAATGTGGGATTTACAAATCCGTGGGGTCCACAGATTTGGATCTAAAAAAGGGGTCAAAATCCGTGGACCCCACGGATTTGTGTCCCTCAACAAACAAAGGATTTGTGTCAACTCCATGATGCTTGGGATTTGGGTTCCAAATCCATCACCCAAATCCCACAAGCAAACGACCCCTAAGTCAACTTCTTGCAATCAGGTTCCAATGTGCTAAAACAACTTTGATGGTTCCAATGGGCAAAAATTTATGGACCTCAAAAGTCAAATTTACTGGCCAGCCCTCCACATGCCTAGGCAGCGGAAACACTGGAAACTGGCACAGAGAAGGGATTCTTTCGCCATAGCTAAGCATAAACAAATATTGTCTGACCCCTAAACCTTAAATCAACCTAAACAGTAAACACAACCTAGTACATCAATTGAATTAATAGGATCATCATCATTATCGCTTCATTAGCTGTCCACCTAATTAATAAGATTAGATGTGTTTAGTTAATGGATCAATTTATTATACTACCAAGAAAATCTCCACATGTAAACAATTGATTCTTCACCAATCACCATATGTCATTGATAGCTTGATCAAATTAAAATAGTGAGCTTAATGATGAACAAGACAAAAGGTTGAGCCTAACACCTCTGTAGTGAGTATTTGTGTTCTGGGTTCATGTAAAGTCTATGCATGTCGTGAGAGATCCTGCGTTTGAGGCATCTGAATACCGTTTTTTTCTTCTCCTTTTTGTGTAATTTTGGTTAATTCATGTATTTGTATGGTGCGGTTTGTTGTGGTATGAACTATGGAGTTGCACTGCATAGAGTAATGCGAGAAGAAGCATGTATACAGTAAAAAAAATAAAAACATGAAGATACACTATGTGGATGGCAATCAAGTGATGCAAACAAGAAATATAAAAAAATTCTCATAAAATAAATCAGAAAAATCATAGAACACATTTAACTATTTTCCTTCTTAATTAACAATTACCGACACCTCATTAAAGACTTTATTACAATATATATATATAATTGTTGTATACGTGTTGTATAATTGAGTGTTGATGTGAAGATTGAACCACCAAATAATGGTCATGGTTTTAGTGCCTTTCTCAAAGGTCATTGTCCTCCTTTAATTTCTCATATCATTCCATTGAAATTGTGACCAAGGGTAGCTGCCTTCTGTCCATTCTTAAATAATTTTCATTTTAAACACTTTGATAATACTATTTTCAAAACTACTTAGAGCATTATATGGTGTGCATATTATTATTGTGCATACGATAATACTATTTTCAATACAATTGTGATATCATATTTTAACGCTATTTTATGATCATAAGATGCATATATGATAACATGATGACAACATCGAGCCACATTAACATCCACTTATCTCATTCATCATAAGAACAGGGGGAAAAAAATGTCCACTACTATAAGCATGTCTCATCTGTTCTTTCAATGTGAATTATCTGCTGGAGTGTTAAGCAAAATTATGCAACTAGTGAAGCAATTGTAAACATTTGTGAGTTCCTCTCAATATTGGACCATGTTTCGGCATCAATTGTCGGCTTAGACATCACGTAATCAAAATGGCTGGGTCAAGAAACCCATGACGACACAACGACATAGACAAATAAAAAAAACATATCTTAGGACAATCAAGTGAGAGAAATAAACAATAAGATAATTAATTAACTAATCCTGACAACAACAATTTGATTAATTAGTGCTTGCTTCGAACGTCATACTCTGCGTAATTTGCTCCCTTTTGCTGTTGAATCTAGACCATAAAAAATATTTTTAAAAAAGATTAATAATTAGCACTAATCAAAATTATTCTTTTTGGTGGGTTCCATTCCATCTATATTCAACTATATGTTGCCTTCAGCATTCTACGCGTTAGAATCTCGAACGGCAAGCTCCATTCAATGCTGAATTAAGACTATCATTTTTTTTTTACCGCAACCGTGTGTGTAAAACCTTGTTATTATATATAGGGAGAGGCTTTAGAGATCTATAAGCACTCATAAGGTTCATAATTAGCAAGCAAGAGTAAGAAGCATAGTTAAGAGAGAAAGAAGGGTGATCATGGTGGGAAGTGGAGGAGACAAGTACAGATCCTTCTTGGCCGACAAGGAGGGCCACGAGACTCAATGGAGACACGGCGGCCCTCCTCAGTACGACCTCGTCAACAAGCTCTTTGAACAGGAGCGAACTAAGGTGATGTCAGAAGCTGGTTCCGTCGCGAGATTTGGTCTTGTTTGGAAGTTTTCATTTCGTTTGGAATCGTGTCATATATATATACACAGCGGGCTAAACTTTAAGGAACTTCGTGTCAAATTCAGGTGTGGGGAGAAGGATCCCTCGAGGAAGTAGTGCAGAACGCGGTGAAGTCGTGGGAGATGGAGTTCTCGCATAAGACCCGTCTGGGAGACTTCAAGACCATCGATCCTCAGAAATTTAAGCTCCTTGTTAACGGTAATTAACTAGCGTGAAGTTTGAGCTGCTGGCTCTAACGTATCAAAAATCATTTGAGCGTTAAAAGTAATTAAGAACTCCCCGAATAACGTCTTTGCTCATTCTCTTTCAAACGAAAGTCAATCTCTCTAACGGACTAGTACGAAGTTGGGGGGCAGACACAACAACATGCCCTCTAGCTCCCCTTCTCTCCTGTTTGTACTCATATCTTATTATATATTTTCATTTATATGCTCTCATGTTCGTCGTGAAATGTGTGAAGGCAAGAAGGGGATCTCAGCAGAAGAAACGCTGAAGATAGGGAGCTACAATGCTCTGCTCAAGAACAGCAACCTGGGGAAGGAACTCCAACTCTACAGAGCAGAGGAAGAGAGCTTCGAGTCGTCCCACGAGGCCTTTGCGTCGGCTTTCCCTCGAGGTTTTGCGTGGGAGGTGATCTCTGTCTTCTCTGGACCTCCTGTGATCGTCTTCAAGTTCAGGCACTGGGGCCATTTCGAAGGAACATTCAAGGGCCACTCTCCCACTGGAGAGGCCGTCGAGTTGTTCGGGTTGGGAGTTCTCAAGGTAAAAGCATCGATACCCAATTCGAATATATTTCAATTCGGTTTCGATCATATGAATTATCTTAAATACAAAGGAAAATTAAGTGCAGGTGGACGAGAATTTGAAGGTGGAAGAAGTGGAGGTTTACTATGATCCAGCTGACTTAATTGGAGGTCTATTCAAAGGGGAAAGCTTGTCCTCAGATGCTCAAACTTCACAAGTTTCGGGACCATCTCAGGGATCGTGTCCTTTTTCTATGTGATTTTACAAAGTTTGCATATGGTTGGTTTGTAACTTGGACACAAAAGTGCCGGTTTGATGATTGTACTTTCCGTGTTTAGTCAATTGGGTCACAAACTGTTTTAAGTGGAATAATTGTAAGTCCTCCAACCTCTACAAATATGATGAAGGATGCGCATTAAGTGTGTAGATTTCACACAATTTGGCCGATGGAGTTGTTCACTGTTTATGTGATCCTTATATCGAGTTCTTGAATTTATGAATGCAGCTAAATAGTGATGGAAATTTCTGATCTAATTCGCAAGACCTGGTCTGTCCCGACTTGTTTAGGGTGGGTATTAACCGACCCACATTAGCGTAAGATGGGGCATGATGAGTATTGCTTTCGAACGGTTCCGTCCCGTCCCGTCCCGTTGTCAACCCGCTTTTATCATGATTTGCATCACTATATAAATGTGTTGACATTTCTAAAATTATATTTTCATCTCAGAGAAATTTCAAGATTATCTTTCAACTAATTAGACTCAATTATTCTTTCATTCGTATATGAAGTATTTTCCCAATCTCTTATTATAAAAGAGTTATATATTGACCTTCTTGTTTCAAATAATATATAAAAATGGGTCGACGACCTATCACACCTCATACCCACACGAATATTAGCCAACCTGATCCATACTTAATATGAGATAAGTATGAGTATTAAGATAACTACCGGTCTCATTTCCATCACTTACCGGTAAATCAAGGAGTGTTGTATGAATGACTCAAGTGACAGTGACATTGTTCTGTGGTTGGTCCATTTGGGAAATTTAAGGATTATCAAAAAATAATTTTAAAGGATTTAGTTGGCTCTCTCTATAAGTTGACGGACTTAATCGTAATAATATCTATCTGTATGGATTTTATGGTAATTTAATGCACATCAGTATGTCACTAAGAAAGATTGGGCCGAGTTTAATTAATTAACAAAACCCAATGATAGCCGATGTCGTACATTAACAGCCCAATAATAATCCTGTTCGGCTCAACGGAACTCATTTCAGGGCCCATCGCAAGACCAAAGCGGCCCAAAGGTAGTTAGGGTTTCGTTCTAGAGCAGATATAAATTCACATTTTCTCCTCCCTAGGGTTCTAGCGAGCGAGGATTGGAGCAGAATCAGCAGAGTCTCTTTGAGAGCGGCGAGAGCGAGACGCAACCGGCGGCGATTTCGTCAAAATGGTGAAGTTTCTCAAGCCGAACAAGGCCGTGATCGTCCTCCAGGGCAGGTACGCCGGCAGGAAGGCGGTGATCGTGAAGTCGTTCGACGACGGCACCCGCGACCGCGCCTACGGCCACTGTCTGGTCGCAGGGATCAAGAAGTACCCGGCCAAGGTGGTCAGAAAGGATTCGGCCAAGAAGACGGCGAAGAAGTCCCGCGTCAAGTGCTTCGTCAAGCTCGTCAACTACAGGCATCTGATGCCCACTCGCTACACGCTGGACGTCGATTTGAAGGACACTGTCACCCTCGACGCGTTGCAGACCAGGGACAAGAAGATCGCCGCCGCCAAGGAGACCAAGGCGAAGTTCGAGGAGAGGTTCAAGTCCGGCAAGAACAGGTGGTTCTTTACCAAGCTCAGGTTCTAGGGTTTTGCTATCATTTCAGCTGGAAATGATATATTTACTCTTTTTTTCCTTACTCTTATTGGAAAATTTTGAGCGAACAGAGCGTTTGTGTGTTGGGTTTCTGTCAAGACTGAGTCTTTTTGTTAAGTAGTGAGTTTTAAATGTTATGAATGAATGAACTTGTTATAAGCAGATCTGGGTTATGTCTTTCATGAATTGGTTTGGATTTGGTATTGGCAGCAAATGTTGTTCATGGGTTTGATTGAATCTGCTAGTGGCTCCAGTCTTTCCTTTGTAAGATAGGACAGCCATTTGTGGGTGAATGTGATAGCTTTAGATATGATTTCGCATTTGTTTGTTTCAACTGAAGTCTTGATTTTACTGAGTTTGCTATCCATTAGTCTTGATCCCCTTGGGTTTTCTTTGAGAAATCACGAGCCACAGCAAACTGATTGTACTACTATAGGCATTGTAATGGAATTCATGCTAGTCGATGAGGCTTTAGCTTCTGAGTTCATATTCTGCATTTTTTCAAGAGTCTCTGATTTATAGGCAGGCGATTCAGCGTACAAAGTTTCCTAGGCCGAACACAGCAGTTTTTCCCTGTCTTTGTAACCTCATCATTCTTCCATTGATAAGGAATTTGCTATTCTTGGTGAATTCCAACTAGCAAGGGTTAGTAATGCTGGATTGCAATTGGTAATTTTGAGGCTTGTTCTAGTCGATTTTGTCTAGATATTTGGATTAGTTTTTTGTTAGTGCCTGACTGCCTGTTGCTGTTTCCGTGTTGATTATGGTAACAAATGGCATAAGAAACACTATAGCAAAGCACAGAGAGAGCCGGCGGCGTAGTCAGGATTTAGTCGTCAAGATTTAGTCGAGCGTGGGTCCATTAGAAAATAAAAATACATACAATAAAACAGATTTGTTAGCTTTTTAAATTGTTCATGATATAATTTTGTATTTATAAAAATTTGATAAATAAAGTATATGTCCAAACTATAAAGAGTATCACCCTATATGTATCAAATATTTACCGGCTGGTGTTTTCTATGCAAATCCCAAGAGGAGTCCATCTCACATCTCTTATTCTCATGCTCCTTTTCGGCGGCAATTTGAGCAAAATTTACAATGATGGTTCAGTTTCACGATCAATTTAAGCTAATATTAGTTGTTTTCTTCTGACTTGGCGAGGATTGTGGCGTGATCCAAAACTCAAGGATTGTGTCAAGGTCTTACCACATGCAATGTTTTGGTCCATTTGGAACGAGCGAAACAACAGAGTTTTTTGCGATTTGGAAGCTACACAGTCTGAGGTCTGTAGTAAGATTGTTCAGATGGTTGGCAGGTGGTTGTGAGCTTTTCGACTTATTTCTGATGATTATTTTCAGCAACGGTTGAGGATTCTGGCAGAGTGAGTAAAGTCGACTCATCGTTGTATCAATTTTCTTCTTCTTCTTTTTCCTCTTTCATTTTTAGTGCTCTTTTATTGAGTTTTCTCCTAATTTTTCTTTTAATAAATAAATTTTTTTATAAATACCATTTTATCCATATTACACGTAAATAAAATAATAATTTATTTTACTTTAATTTAAACGAAAATCTATACAATTAATGCATGAAATTTTGTTTCTAATTTATGAAGACATTTTGGCCGTGAGGCGTGAGGATGGACTAGCAAGAATGTAATACTTAATGTGGGGTAAACAAGAAGAAAAAATATATATAAAAAAGTAGAAGATGGAAAAAGCCAAAAGGCTACAAAAATGGAGATATGAAACTAACCATTAAAAAGTTTCATTTAGCGGTAATTAACGGCTAAATGAAACTAACCATAAAAAAATGACGAATCACTATGTGCCATCTGTCAAGCAATTACTCCTAATTATTCTGTAACGTAGGAAATTAACTTTTTCATAATTCACCGGACCCATCATAAAATTCCAATAGGCAATAATTTATGCTCGAAAAAATAGATTTGGTTGATGACCTCAAAATTCCAATTTCCTCTTTGTTACCAAAGCTTCCCCTTCTTCGTGCAATCACATTCGCCCACCGGCTCCTCAAATCACTCACCCCACTCTCTCTCTCTCTCTCTCTCTCTCTGGCGTTTCTGGGTTCATAGCATCAAACGAATCTAGTCCTACTTTGTTCCGGATTTCTAATTGACTCTTCTTCAGCTGGGTTTGAATCCTCCTCCGTTCCTTCCCACTATAAAAGGGCTTCCTTCTCTACGCTGCGCTAATTCCCGGAGGAGAGAGAGATAGTCATAGTAGAGAATTTCTCACTCTCTCTCCAAGCTTAGTAGTGCTAGCTTCCGTCATTACCCTTTTTCTTCCTTTCCCGCCCCTTCTTTTACTTTCAACGATCGTCCTCTTCTTCGAGCATAAGGAAGAGATCCTATATTCGCAAATTTCAGCTGGGTCGAGCTTGGTTTCAGCTGGATTGACTTGGAGAGGAAGAGAGACGGAAAATGGGGATGGGTTCCCAAGATGCAATTGATCAGCTGAGAGTTTTGATGGATCAAGGTTCGTCCTTCTTCCTACCTTCCTCGTACCAGAATTTACTTTATTTTTCTTGTTGCTTAATTTATTCAGTTTGTCCTTTTGTAAGAAATTGACTGTTTCCCCCCCATTTTCTGAAACTTGGGTCCAAATGCGACGACAGTTGACGAGCCATTGAAGCGGACTTACCAGGTAACTAAATATGGCTTTTACCTAACTTTTGTTCCTTCTGAAAGTTCTCGACTTTCTGATCTGCTACTTCAAATTTGCTGGTATTAGTGAATTGGGTTAAGTTTTCTTCCAAAGGGTCTATGCGATGGTGAAGCATTTTAACGAAGATTTGGAATCATAGCATGGAAAGTTGTGTTTTTAGAGATTCTGTTTCGATGCTCTTGGTGAAGCAGTTGCAAGCTTTTTTTTGCTTGTTGGGAAGCTCTGATCATGGAAAGATCAGCTCATAAGTTTAGTTTAGCTGGAGCTTTGACTTGGAATGGAGAGTGGATGATGGATCTGTTATTTACTACTAGTTCATTTTTGAAGTAGATTTCTGGAGTTCCTTGATTGTTGGAGAGGAAGGAATCAAGTTTTCTGTTTTGAACTATGGTTGGATGATAGTGCTGGTTGATTGTATAGAATGACAACTGCTAGTATGGCTGTGAGGTTTGCCACTGTGGCGAGAACTGCGGTGGTAATGTTATGAATTACGAGCAGAGTTAACACCTCAGTTGGATTAACAATGGAATAATATTTGTCCACATGAGCAGTTAACATACCATAAGAGGAAATGATTGACTTTCAGTAAAGATGATTGATTTGCTCTTCTGTTTGATTCTTTTGGCTTGGATGGACCTCAAAATGCTTTTGGTCCTTTATTGCAGAATGTCCATCAAGGATATGAAGTGGAAACTCTAGCGCGGTTCCTAAGAGCTCGAGATTGGAATGTTGCCAAAACTCATAAAATGGTGAATAGCTCGTTACCCTGCCTGAAAGTTCGATTCTTTTTTTAGATCTAATGAAAACTCATCTACGCTCAAAGTTTCCTGACCTGGTGGTGCTTGTCATTTTGTTACTCAGCTAGTTGACTGTCTGAACTGGAGAGTCCACAATGAGATCGACAACATATTAGCGGTAATTTTCTTTCCTGAGGGAATTTGTTTCAGTGTTTCATGTCCCCATGCATGCATTAGTGAAGTTTAGCATGGCGAAGAACAGTGTTTCGGCCTGCTCTGCTTTATGGCTTGGATATTGCTACCACGCCAGTCTTTGGGATAGTGAATTCTTTTGGTGCCTTAGTTGGGTGTTATTACTCTCTACAGAAACCCATTGTTCCAGCAGATCACTACAGAGGAGTGCGTGATTCGCAGCTTATTGGAATGTCTGGTTACTCGAGAGAGGTGGTTATTCTCCATTTAGTATTCTCCATTATCTATATCTTTGCTTAAAATATGCATTGGATCCACTTAACATTCCAAATTTTTGGTTCCTCTGCAGGGACTACCTGTATATGCTATTGGTGCGGGACTCAGCACATTTGACAAAGCATCTGTAAGTTTAAAATAAACTTGTGAGGAACTATTCTTCGAAAACTTTAAGCACACCTAGCTCTGCGAAACTTGGATTCAAAATTAAACAACTATGTACTGAACATCTGACTCTTCTAAATGCAGGTTCACTACTATGTTCAGTCACACATTCAGATGAATGAGTATCGGGATCATGTAATCTTGGTTAGTGCACACCTCTCTGTTATAAATGCATACCTGATTCCTGGTTTTCCTAGCTATCCAAAATTGATACATATTGTCTTTGTGTTTTTCAATAGCCAACTGCATCGAAGAAGCATGGTCGACCCATAACCACTTGTATAAAGGTCTTGGATATGACTGGTTTGAAGCTTTCTGCACTGAACCAAATAAAGGTAAATTCTTTCTGCTGAAATGGACGATCTACCTGCCATTTCCCGCAGCTTTCATTGACCATATCCAGCTGTTTTTACTCTATTCCCTGATAGCTGTCATTGACCACAGGCAGCTGTTTTTACTGCAGTTATTGACTGTCATTTCGACAGTGGATGACTTGAACTACCCTGAGAAGACGAACACCTATTATATCGTAAATGCCCCTTACATATTTTCAGCTTGTTGGAAGGTAGTTAAGCCATTTGTGCCGGATAATAGAAAAAAGAGAAGCACATGATGTCTTTTTCCTTATGAGTACTGACTTTCAAGGCTCTTTCCCAGGTCGTGAAACCTTTGCTGCAAGAAAGAACAAGGAAAAAAGTGCAGGTGTTGAATGGTAATGGGCGAGATGAACTCTTAAAGGTAAGCAGACCTGGATTATATTTATTGCCTCGATTACTCCTGCTCAATGGGTTCTCAATCCACTAACCCCGGAGAGGCAATCGATCAAAACCTGTAGATAATGGACATCTCCTCCCTTCCACATTTCTGCAAAAGGGAAGGCTCTGGATCATCTAAGAACAACTCGGAGAAAAGCTCCGAGAGCTGCTATTCGTTGGATCATCCGTTCCATCAACAGCTCTACAACTACACCAAAGAGCAAGCGGCGAATAATGCACCAACAGGACCGATAAAGCAAGGATCTTTCCATGTCCGTGTTCCCGAGCCAGAGGCCGAAGTGAAAACCATCGAGTCTGCGCTCCAGAAGTTCGAGAAGGGCATCCCGAGAGGACTCTCTGGGTGTCTGGATGACCTCAAAATCAACAACTCGGAGTAGACAGGGAAAGGGTACATCTAGGAAGAATGCTTATATAGAAATGGATGTATCATTTGTCACGCTGGCAGTTTTTTAAATTACCATATGTAATTACTGCCATCTGATATAGTAGAAATGCTTCAGAACATTTGTAAGCCTTTAGAATCAATCAGTAGCATTAATCAGTAAGCACCTTTCTTATGATGCTTTTTACCATTGTAATGAACTCAAATGAGTTTTTCCAGCCTTGAGAAGAAGCAATTTGGTCAAAGCTGAAACGGATTTCTGGTCCTTGTACTATCTTATTTTGATGAATTCGTTTACATATCATAAATTCTACAAATGCGTCTTTGTACTATGTTATTTGTCGATTTCTCGGTCTTTATCTAAATTTTTTGTCAATCAAATGGGAGTTTTATTTTGTTCCTGTTCCTACTAATACAGGTTTGAGAAATTTACATGAACACAGGTTTACACTACATTTACAGAGGAGAATGACAATGTATATAAGAAAAACAACAAATCCTGATGGCTTCTTCTTCAACCTTTCCAGAAGCTTGGTAAGCAAGGTCAGTTGTAGTTCTTCTTGTTCTTCTTCCTTAAGCTCATGCAGAAGTCCGCTGTTCTCGCAACTTCTTCAGTTCAGCCTCCACAGCAAGTTTTGCAGCCCCGGCCTCCTCAGCAGACCGCAGAGCAATGTCCGTAGCTTCCTTAATCTCCTCAATTGCCTTCCGGTTCGCCTCCAGCTTCCTCGCCTGTTCTCCCGATTTCGCATTCAGAGATTCCAGCTGGCTCATTGTCTCTGCCACAGTTTTTTCTGCCATCGCAGAGCTCTCCGCCAGCTTCTTCTGCAGCGCCTGATACTCGGTCATCGAAATCCGCATCTTCTTGTTGCTGTTGTCGTTGGAGGAAATCTCGTCGTTGGTTTTCGACTCGGACATCTTTTTCATCTCGGTGTGAGCTCTCAATGCAGCAGCTTTCGCCACCTCAATCTCTGCACTGCAGACCAGAAGCTTCTCCTCGGCTTGCTTCGCCATGGCTCTAGCGTAATCGGCTTGCTCCTTCTGCTCCCATGCGGTTCTCTGGAGCTCCTCGGCTTCTCTTCTTGCTGCTTCGGCTTCTGACATCAGCTTCTTCACGGCTATCTTCTCCTCTGCTTCCAGCTCCTCCCTTTCTGCTTCTTTCTCCATCAGTCGAGTCTTCTCCGCCTTCACATTCTCGAGCTCCATTCTTATATTGTTCACTCTCACGCGCAGATTGCTCTCTTCCTCCGCAATCTCCTGCACATTCAAATGAAGATCAACCATGAACAAACCAAATAAAACCAACCAAATCAACACAGAAAAATTCGATTCGTACCTGCAACGTCCTCGTGGCCTGATTGAGCTCCGTAGTAATCCCCTTCACAGAATCCATCTCCGAAGCATGAGCCTTCTTCATCCTCCCCTGAAGATCCTCAATCTCGGCTGTCGTCTCTCGAAGCCTCTCATCCAGAACAAGAACAAGCTCCGGATCGAACTCCTTCTTCAACTGCTCAACATGCACCTCAACTTCCTCCTTGGCAGCTTTGTAAGCTTCCACATGCCGACTCTTCTCCGCCAGACATTGCTGTTGCCTCTCCTGAGCTTCCACCGCGGCAACCTTCAAATGCTGCCCTGACTCCCGCATCGCCTGAATCTCCTTGGACAGCTCGGCGGCTCGCTCCGCGTTCATGTTGGCCGACCGCTGGGCCTCGGCGGCCTGCTGGAATGCAGCCCATTTGGCCTCTAACGTGGCGTCGAAGTCTTGTCTGATCTTGTTCAGCTGCTGCTTGGCGGAATTGAGCTGTTCGGAAGTGGCGGCGTATCTCTCTCTGGCTTCTAGAAGGTCCTGCATCCTCTGTGATTGCCCCATGTCCTTCTGCGATTTCGCGACCTCGAGGGTTTTGGCGCGCTGCTTGACGGCCTCGGCGGCTTCCAAGGTGGAGACTTTCGATTGGTTGATGGAGTTGAGCTTGGTGCGGAGGTCTTCGAGGGTTCGCTTGGCGCGATCGAGCTCGGCATTGGTTCGAGCTTTGGCGGTCTCGGCGGATTCGAGCTTGTGGCGGTACTTCTCGAATTCTCGTCGGCAGAGGAGGAGCTGGGTCTCCTTGTCGAGCACATTCTGCAAACAAATGCGAGATTGGGTTTGAATCGAATTTTCGAATGGGGATTTTGGGAAATGGAGATAATTTAGAAATTACCTCGGAAGAGGAAGAAGAAAGCCTGGAGTTGGTTTTTTTGAAGGAAGGTCTGGCTTTGACGGCGACCTCGCCGAAGAGGCTGACGGCGGCCTTGACGGATTGGAAAGGAGCCCTTGTGTCGATTTCGCCGATCTCTCCTCCTCCTTCCTTTTTCCCTTCAGGTTTCACTACCCGTATATTCACCATTTTCCCCTGGTTCTAGTTCTTCTGTTACCTGAAAATACAAACGCAAAAAAGGGTATGGAGATTCCAAATATGGATCGGACAAGAAGAAACGGCTTCAGATTCAGGAATTCTGGGTTACCTGAGAGATCGCAGGATCAGAAACATTCAAGCGGAAATGGAAAAGCTTTGAAATTTGTAAAAATGGCAGAGCTACGCAATGACTGGTTCTTGATTCTCTCGTTTTCCCTTCTTTCCTTGTTTGATGTGAAGATCGGATGAGGAAGCGGAAAAGGAAAAGGAAGGAGTTCTGTTTGTTTGGTCTCTGAGAATCGGAAACAGAGGTGGAGAAAGTTGAGGTGAATATTGGCAAAGAGAGAGAGAGAGAGAGAGAGAGAGAGAGAGAGAGAAAGAGAAAGCTGTGGATTCTATTTTGGAGGGAGGAGAGGAAGGGCGAGTTTTGCGCGGGAATTATCAACCGACTGCACCCGTTTCCTATCGAGTAAAGTGACACAAATGGCCTCCTCTAGGAGAGGGGCAATTTCAAGCTCAAGGTGTAAAGACTGATGCTACCAAGGTGCAAAGAAGTCGAATAAACTCCTCGTTGGATTGTGTAATCCGAGAGCATTAGTTCGTGATGACGCCTACTCCGATCAGCTTGATCGCAATTAATGAAGGGATGAAGGAACAAGCAACTTGAGAATATAAAACAGAGATGCCATTCTCACATTGTTCTGATGATCCATTGCATGTCAACAGTTCATAATATTGAACTTTGTCAGGAAAAACAAAACAGCAGCTCTAATGGAAACTTTAAAGATTCGAAATAACCCTGCTCCTCTATATATGATAGATCATAGATCATAGAGAGGAACAATCTGCAGTGAAAGCAGTCTTCTAGATATGGCCAAGGTTCTTTACTGAGTGGACCAGAGCAGGCAACAGACCTTCGTGACTCGTGATCAGATGGCGAAATGAATAAAGCTGCCAGCTGATGAACACAGCTTAAGGAAGCCACATACATATGTCAATTCATCAATGGAGGTTCTTGCTGTGTACACACATAAAGAACAGACTTGTAAGGTCCAATGCCTTGGTTCATTCCATGCCTATGAAGCAGCATTGCTATCAACAGGGGGAACAACGTTCCTTCTAACAGGGCGGCGAGTTGCTTTCTTTGCATAGGACGAGTTCCATTCACCACCGTCCTGTGCATAGTAGTCCATCGGGTAATCTCCTCCGAACTCATCATCGGCTTGACTAACTGCATTACCAGAACAACAAGAAGCTCCATCATCCCTCTTCCCACATCCCAAACCATGGCCGCACCCTGAATTCGTTACCAAAGTAGTCTTCTTCTCCCACCAGCCCTTGACATCCCCAAGTGCAATTTCTGCCTCGAAAGGTGTCAAAATCGGCTTACGGAATGCATCTCCCCAGTCAATAGATAGCCTAGGACATGCAATCTGGATCCAAGCATCGACACAATCCTCAAACAGTTCGATTCTAGTAGGACTAATCTCGGACATCAAGACAACCATGTAAGTAAATCCTCTGTCTCTCAACTTCTTCTCCAGCCTATCCAAAATCCTAGGATTCCCTTGCCTCCCCAATGTCCCAAGTACAAGCCCGAAACTCCTAGCAGTTTTCGCCTTCTCGATCGCTTTCTTCCTATTCTCTTTCATTCCCACATGATCGTACTCTTCCAAAAACAGCTTGCCCAAGTAAGGATCGTACCTGAACGCCTTGATTGCAGGATTGGCGATCATGAAAGCTTCCAGATGAAACCTGCCGTCGGCCACAAACACCACAACGGCGTCTTTCAAATTACAGCTCCCCAAAGCAGTGGGAGTAACTTTCGGCGCCGTGCATCCCAAAACTTCGCCGGAGGAGAGCGGTTTAGCCTGAGGAACCAGAACCTGAAGCCCGTGGCTTTCCAACTCGGGCTTCGTTTCCCTTATTGCTCCAGCGAATTGAATCGTCCCGGCGAGGATGATGCCTTTGTCGGTGAAGTTGAGCTTGATTGTGTCAATCAAGCGGTTCACGTCGATTTTGATCTCGACGAAGACGTAGAGGCAAGGGATTTTGGTGTTGTCGATTGGGACCAAGCAGCTGTGGCCGTAGTGGATGAGCAAATCGGCGCCGAGGGACACGGCGGAGAAGTCGTCGACGCAGCAGGCGCCGTAGGTGACGTCGCCGAGGACGAAGCAATGGTCGACGTCGGAGAAGGCGGTGAAGATGTCGGCGAGGATTAGGGAGTACATGAGGAGTCCCTCGGGGAGCTGGAGAGCGAGGCGGCGGGGCTTGACGGAGCGGAGTCGCCAGACGCACTTGTGGATCTCGAAGTTGTAGTTGGATGGGAGCAGAGATATGGCGGCGTTCAGGGATGCGTCGTTGAGGATTGAGTCCGGTATCTGGTTCTTCACGAAGCGCTTAGGGATTGGTTTTGGCCGGTCGCCTGCGCCGGCAAGGGAAATCGCCTGGATCTCCATTGATTGTATTCGATCGCGCAAAGCCAATCAACTGAAGCAAATGTAATGAGGAGAAGGAGAACGGGTTTTGGCGGGTTAGGGTTTCGGCGCCCTTTTTAATTCTCCGGTGTGTTGGATAATATTCAATTTGATCCCTCTATCATTTAGACAAAACAAATCAGTCTATGTACTTGGTTTGTTTTGACAAATACACCCTTATACTTACGCAGGCCAGTCCAGAAAAGTAAAAGCAGAAGTAGGTCAATTCAGAATATGTCGCAAATTGCGACGAATGTTCATCTTCTTCACTGCGCTCTCTTCTGCACGCCATCAATAGCTTGCTTCCCCGACGGGCAAACCGTTCTCCGGCGCCGTTAAGCAATCAGCTGCTATCTCCGGAACCGGTTGCTGACCGCCTTCTGTTTATCCCTCGCTCTCCACTGATTTCTCAACGACGGCGGCGGCGGCGGCGGGAACTTTGCGGATACTTCTCATTTCGGGAGTGAGTGGGATAATGAGCAATTCCCAAGCCATTTTTCGGCAGAAGGGCCCTTTTTGTACTCCTTCGATTAACAAACCGCAAGTAAGCCATTTTCATTCCCAACCGTGGTAGAACGTAATCTGGGTTTGATTCTAGTCTTAAAGTCGTTGCCAAGTCTAGCAAAGTTTCCTTCTTTTTTTGTACCAAGTACAAACATCTGCATCTGCTGGCACTATTTTTCTGTCCTGTTAGTTTCGCTTTGGAGTTGTCATAATTTGAAGCTTAGTTGGTTGGAGAAAGTTACTTCCTTTTGGTGAAATTTAGGAAATCGCTGATGTAAGTTAACATGGCTGACTCATCAGTTCTTCTAATGATCTTGTCAATATGCAATCCAATCACTTGATCCATGTCATATGATGTTGCCGAAGCTTCGTAATGCAGTTCTGACATTTCCTTTGGTACCGGTGTAGGTTTGTCTTTTCAGAAGCAATTATCGACTGCTCTTAGTCAGAAAGGAGCACAATTTACAACTAAGGAGTTCTAAATTATCGGGAAGACTTCGAGTGCATTGTGTGATGAAGAAAGAAACTGACCTGAGTACTTCAGCATTGGTTGACGCAGCGACAGAGTCATTGCAGGGTCTGTTGGGTTCTTCAAGTTCATTCTACTGGAGTTTTGTATCAAATGTCCAAGTAGTGTCTCAATCGCCAATGTGATTCATATTTTGCAGAAGCTGATGTCAGGGAACCCAGTGTGTCTACCATCTTGATGAACTTTGAGAACAAGTTTGATCCTTATGATGCAATGAGTGTGCCCCTTTACCAGACGGCTACATTTAAGCAGGTAATTATCCTCGCATGGGATCTAAGCCATGCCCCCTTGTTCTCTCTTCTCAACTATCCAAACGACTAGTTAGTTCCTTCCTTGGTTTCTCTCTTCTGATGTGTTGCTTTACAGCCATCAGCAACAGAAAATGGTCCTTATGACTACACTAGAAGTGGGAATCCTACTCGGGACGTTTTAGAAAGGTGTATTTCTTCAATCTTATACTGGTTATATGTAAGTGCTTTTGTCTTTGTTTCATGGGTTAAGATTAACTGTGTTTCATCATGGTTTATTAGCTTGTTGGCAAAGCTAGATAAAGGGGATCGAGCACTTTGCTTTACGAGTGGAATGGCTGCCTTGGCTGCCGTCAGCCATCTTTTTGGAACTGGTTTGTCTTTAGTTGTAGAAGCCCTTAAGTTATATTTTAATCTATACTTACCAGAATCAGTTAGAAGTTATGGTGGAACTACTTTGAGTAAATGGTTTTGCATGCCTTGCCAGGGGATGAAATTGTGGCCGGGGATGACATTTATGGTGGATCTGATCGATTGTTGTCACAAGTGATTCCAAGAAGTGGAATTGTGGTGAAGTTAGTATGGAGTCTCTTTCCCTATTTGTTGTCAAGATAATAAATTCCAATCTGAATTACTTTACACCTGTTGGAATGTAGACGAGTGAATACGAGTAGCCTGGAAGAGGTTGCTTCTTCAATGGGGCCTCAGACAAAGCTTGTGTGGCTGGAGAGCCCAACAAATCCACGCCAACAAATTTCTGATATCCGCGTAAGATAATTCCGACCTGTATTACTCACTAATTTTAAAGTGCATATAGTGTACGATTTTCTAGTCTGATCATGCATAGTTAACCATTTTGGGATATCACCTGTATACCGGACGTCTTGTCGGCTTTATCTGCATTCCATAGTAATTTGGTAGAATGAGTTGACAAAAATTATCATTTTGTAACTATTTTACTTCTTTTTTGGTTGCTAGGGGAACCTATAGTTGTGATGTTTGGTTTATCATTGGGGATAATCTTTTTATAACTCACTGTGGTCTCTTCAGAAAATTGCAGAGATAGCTCATGCAAATGGTGCTCTTCTTTTGGTCGATAATAGCATTATGTCTCCTGTTTTGTCACGGCCATTAGAGCTTGGGGCAGATATTGTAATGCACTCAGCAACTAAGTTCATAGCTGGGCATAGTGATCTTATGGCGGGGGTACTTGTTGTCAAAGGAGAAAGGTGGGAGACTTCTAATTTCTCAACTTTGTTATCTGCTTGCACTTGGTAAATTAGTGATTCAAGTAACAGGGAAACATTTACGGTTTACCTGAAAAGATCAAGTTTATTGACTCCCTTGTAGGGCACCTTAGATTTATTGTGTAGATTACTGAAGTACTTCAAGGGTCTGGTCTTGTCCCTTAGTCTGGAATGAAAATCATTGCCTAATATAGCTTATGTTTATGTGAATACAATTAGAACTATGGAACATCTGCTGTCTGTTATTCTGCTATTGATTGGGTAGACTGAAATTCTGCCCCAACAAGGGTCTTCTCCCACAGAGATTGCTAACATGCATCATACATACTGGCACATTCATGTCCGATGTTAATGTTATTTTACTTATAGTACAATACATAATATAGCTCAGAAATTTTCTTCCTATGAGTTGCTTTCCTCAAATCTGTGATTCATCTGTTTTGCGGATTCTCGTACTTTCAGCTTGGGGCGGAGTTTGTATTTCTTGCAAAATGCAGAGGGCTCAGGTCTTGCCCCGAATGATTGCTGGCTGTGTTTGCGAGGTATTAAGACGATGGTTTTGCGTGTTGAGAAACAACAGGTGCCAATTTTAAGTCCCAAAGCATCCTCTTCTTTCCTTGTTCTTTAAGCTTGTTTATAGTTTTTTTGTTGTTGTTGTTGTTCAAATTGACTATCCACCGCCCTTGTTTGATTGGAACTAACCAAGGCAACTTGTTTTGGTTTGTTCCAATCTTAGCTTTGAAACCCGCTTGTGTTGGGAATTCTAATCTCCCCGTGTCTATTATGTTTGATGTGTTCCAGGAGAATGCACAGAAGATAGCTGAGTTTCTTGCTTCCCATCCACAAGTTAAAAGAGTTAACTATGCGGGGCTTCCTGATCATCCTGGTCGCGAGCTGCACTACTCACAGGTAGATGCAATTTCTTGTGGAGCTTCTACACCAAACTCCGACCTCTCAAGACTCTTTGTACAATACCAACGTGATTGTTTCAACGATTTCTTGCAGGCACAGGGTGCAGGATCAGTGCTCAGCTTCCTGACAGGATCACTCGCGCTCTCAAAGCATATCGTCGAGACCACCAAGTATTTCAGCATCACAGTCAGTTTCGGTAAAAACTAAATTCTTTCTTCCCCCACTCTTAGCTTCCTCATAGCTATCCAATATGCCATTAACTTGAATTGTGAATCGGAACCAACTTCTTCCAACATTACCATTGTCTGTCGATGGCGGAAAGCTTCTCCCTATGATCTTACATTTGTGTTTTTATGTGCTTTGTAGGGAGCGTGAAGTCGCTCATAAGCATGCCATGTTTCATGTCGCATGCAAGCATCCCTGCCGCGGTCAGAGAAGCCAGAGGCCTGACCGAGGATCTCATACGAATCTCTGTCGGGATCGAGGATGTGGATGATCTCATTGCTGATTTGGACTTCGCCCTGAAAACTGGACCCGCTGCATAGCCGGCTCCCTGAAGAAGTAACCACGAACTCTTCCTTGCCTCTTTGAGTTTTTAGTAGTAGTATGTTTGCCAATTGATGTGATCTAATTTTTGGTCAAGAGTGGAAGAATTGTCTTCACATAATTGAAGCTTCACCTCCTTTCAATTGGGATCACGAGTGTATGTTATTGACTTTCAGAACTGGAAAATTGAAATACTCTTGGTAAATCAATAAGAAGGTTGGCATTTCTTCGTTGTACATTGATTGTGATGAAGAATATGGCTCTTGCCTAGTGGGCAATGATTTAGTCCGCAGTCAAAGAATTAAGACCAAATCGATATTTTGGACCCTATACTTAACTAGATCGAGTTAATATTTAATCTCAAACAATCAATCACTTGATTATGAGTTGTAAGGTCATCTGATCGACTAATCATATGATTACGAGCTCACGCGCTATGGTCTTGCTTATAGAAATGAAGCTCGTTTTATTGTCAGATTATGTATGATATTCTATAACATACGAACTCATAATACTTGAGATAAAAATACAAACACATAATTAATACTTCATAAATCGCCAAAAAAAATTGTATTTCTGTGAAGGAATATACACAAAAAGCAAAGCTCCACCAACAAGATGGTGGCAAACTTAAACAACATCGTTTATTTTACGAAAATCATTAAAAAAAACCACGTCACGCAATGTTATAACAAAAGTTTAACACCAAAACAATAAAATATTGACGATCAGGTCCATGACGATGACGACGAGGAAGAATACTAGCCAGCAAGAGTTACTTCTTCCGTCACGGCTCCTCAGAAACACGCGTCCAGCACACAGCAGCAGCACAATGCAGCACAGCTACAAATTCCCACAACAACAACAAGACAAAAAAAAAAGAGTAAGTACTGTACTGGTCAAACAGCAAAAATTAGGGGATGAAATTGTTAAAAAAGGAAAGGAGAGAATTAAATTAACTAAACTTACCAGCCCTTCCAGAAGCCGTCGCCCCTGGACTTGGTCTCGACCGGAACGGCACCGTCGCCGTGGGCGGCGGAGTCACGGGTCGGGTACCCGATCGGCGGCGGGGCTCCGACGGCGTACGACCCGCTTGATTGTGGCAGTTGAGGGTATGATGATGCTGTTATTTGATTAATGCAAGTTGGTTAGTTAATGCCAACCACTCCATTATAGCTCCATTCCATGAGTAACATGGGGTTTGGTTTAATAATGTAGAAGATAAAGTCAACAAAACTATTAATCAAACCTACCACAAATTGGGCAATTACTATACTTGCATTTACATGATTAATGATAACTACATCCACTTAACCTTAGAATTGTGGTTGAACCAAATCAAATCATCAAAACTACAACATAGCTATCCTATCAAATTAGTGGAAAAGGTTGCATTAATAAGGGAGTAACTTTATACATCTTCCCTCCCGTTCTTCAATCGCTATATAACTTTATATCTCGCTGGAATCGGACTATTAATTCAGACAGATGAACACAACTCGCTGCATCTTTAACAAATTGGACAACTGAAAAGGCACAGACCCAGTGCTTACTTCGAATTTCAGAAAGAAGAATGACACGTGACAGTCTGACAGATAGGAAGAGAGTGATACATACGATTTATAATTAATTTTTTTCCCCTAACAACTCGAGTCATTGAGATCAGTTGGTTTGTGATATGATATTAAAGTTGATTTGGCCAAGTGATTTATGAATCTCCATGATCTCTAATATTAACCATTGATTAAAGAACAAATTATAGTCAGCATGCGAGGGGTTGACGGAGTTGGATCGCCGCCGGCAAGATATCCCACGACCCACGGCCGAGGGCGATCCAGCGGCGTTTATTGAATTCACAGCCAGATAGAGACGGGGAAGGCAAAGAGAAGTAACTCACCGGAGGTGGCTGGGGCAGCTGAGTGGTGATCGTTCTGAGTCATCTTGGCGCCGGAGGAGTTGAATTATATCTCAACGGAGACAAAGAGAAACCGCCGGCTGGGAAATCTAGTTGAGCTGGGAAATGGAGGAGGAGGGGAGGCAAAGAAGAAGAAGGTAGGTTTCTGACGTTTGTGGTTTGTGGGTTCCGTTTATCAACTCTTTCCCCTCTTGGTACGGCTATTTATAAAGAAAACGGATTCGGGTTTGGGTTTGGGTGCCCTGCCCCGACCGACTCTCTACGACTACGACTCTTCTTGACCCGGGGCGGCTCCGACGCGTGAGATTTTTTTTTTTTCTTCTTCCGGATAAAGTTATGTTCCATAAGGAAAGGAAGCCATCCAAGAAACACCTTCAACAAATGGAAATACACGAGTGCATTCCATGAGATGAGATCATCACACGTTTTAGTCAGTAAATATATTTTACAATCAATTTTCGGGGGGTCGGTCGCGAGGTCGTATGAGGTAAGGTAATGGACTAATGGTTACGATTTATTAACGAGACTCTCGTATTATACAGTTATGTTAAAGTCATTTGATCTGGAGAGGTCTCGTACGACTTTCAGTCTTTATGATTTACAATATTGCGAGCGGATTAAGATTCAAGAGTGGATCTCTCTTCCTACAATGTCATATGATCGAAAATAGTAAGTTTGTCGATAGCAGAGATTTTCAAGGAAACTCTCAACCAAAAGGGTAATAGATAGACTGGTAGTTGATAATTATTAGTTAGACGAGCTTATGTCATTTTAATCATTTCATGGTAAAAAAAAGAGGAAGAATTATCAATGAGATTTTTAAGTATACGACTCAGGATCGACAAGGAGGGCGGATGCGTTTACATTTGTTATCGTATTATTGCTTTGTCTTGAACAACATTGTTTCGGATCGCTACGTTTTAGGGTTCGGATTCGATAGTATTCGGTTGTTTCTTGATAGTTAAAAAAAGGAAAACGAAATATAATTTTTTTTTCCTTCCTTATGTGAAAAATGAAGAGAGAATGAGATTAATTTATGTAAGCTTTAAAACGTTACAGAAAGCAAGGTTTTGCAAAGTTTAGCCGGCTGAAGATACCCCCATGAGCCGTGAGAATCTAACAGTTGGCGAGCCTCGTGGGAGAAGAATATATTCGTCGGTCTTTATCGCTAGCAAGGAAGCATCCCGGTCTCTCGAGAGCCGCCAAATGAAAAAGAAGAAAAAACGGCCGGCCGGCGAGGAGAGACCCGTTCACAGTATTGTTTACGGTCCCACGAACAAAGACGTTGCTCCAAGAAAGATGGGTATCGCCGGCAGGCAGCCGCGTGAACGGGGCTTGGAATTAGTCGTCAGGGACTCGAGGTTAATTAATCCTTGGTAATATCAAATCCAGATGCCGATTCGTCTAATGTCGATCGATGATATGATAGTAAATAAAATGTAACGGAATGAGATAATAGTAATGTTAGCTAGGAGTCTAAACCGAACTTTCCATTCGAAAGTTCTTCAAATAAAATTGAATTTCAAGTTTAGAGTTCTAATCTTATTCGAGATAAGAATGATGCATGATTCGCAATTTGATTCGCTCGCTTGATACATTGCCTAAAAGAAAACAGAATTCAATCCATTGGCACGTCTATCAGTCTCTCTTTAATCTCGCTCGATCCTCCTTGACTTGTCAGATGCATTTTTTTTGGGAGCGTACACTACTTTCTCACTATATGTTATATTTAACCGACTAACCGTACATAGTTCTTCATGTTTCACTTCTTGAAAGTCGTTATTTTCGATCTTAACCAAGGGCCATGTAGCTAAGCACGAGTCTAACTTCACATGTTGAAATGATCAACTTCTCTAACTCACATCTTGGATTTATTTACCGTGATTGCCTGATTGGTATAAGCAAATATGTCGATTGAAAATCGAATTACTCTGTCCACTCCACACAGCTATTAGTTCTACTTTACATCCGATACTGACATCTCAAGAAGTTAATCTAGTGATAATTTAAGAGCAAATACTAGCAACAAGGAAACCTATTAATTGGAAGGTAAGAAATACATTTGTATTGCACGTAATGTGAATATAGGTTAGCTATGTGCGCTTAACTTCGGACGTGTCGTATGGTTCCCCTCCATGTGTTTTCTCTAAGGCAGCGTTTGGTTTGCTTACGAAGGAAGAAGCCCCCTGTTGGCCAGACCAAAGCAAAAGAAGTCGTTATCGCCAAACCTACCTCACAATTCACGACACCGCGTGTTCTTCTCTTACAAGAATTTGGGAACCTTAGTTTTTCCAACGCAACAAATACTTAAAGTCCAAACCAATGGTTTCCTACGTGGGAATTTCATATATCGAGCACAAACAAACAGAACGAGCACAAACAAACAGAACGACCCACAACCACAAGGCCACAACTCCAACCTGATTGTCAATCACCTGCTTCCACACAACGATCTCTGGCCCTCTACTACTGTGACTAGTCGATCCTTCGAAGGGTATTCACGTAAGTGTAGCTGGAGAACGACACGAAGAGCTTGCGAAACCTGTTTTGGGGGTCACAGAGAGACGCGAGAGAATGAGGGAGAAGCGGTTAGGGAAGTGGATGCATCAGAACTGGAAGAAGCGCATAAGTGGCAATCAAGCAAACATACCAGACCCATTGGCTCGAATGTGCCGCCATTGCACTGTAGGTCTTCAATGGTTGCTCATTCAACAAACAGTACGCCACCCTACTATCGGATTTCGTGGCGAGCAACATGGACAGCCAGATATCAACTGGTCCGATATACTTGCGCAATATGTTGTTACTGACCTGACCATTGAACATTATGAACCAATTAACTGACATGACAGAATGATTTGGATGCTGAAAGCTTGCAGTTCAACGTAGGAAGCATTAAATGCTGGTAAGGATATATATGCCAAAGATCAGCCTACACGATATGCTAAAATATATGCTGCTAAAGATCAGTCTACATGTTACGCTAAAAGGATTTGAGTCGGGATGAAAGTTATTCAGTAGCAAATAAAATGAAGGGCAGATGATAAGAGTTAACATGATAAGAGAATTTAGACTGAACATGCCATGAAGAAAAAACACGAAGGACAAGAAAATCGTACAAGTTCCCAGGCCTCTATACGTCTTTCTGGGGTATCTTCCAACAGCTTGCTGCTTATACAACAAAAAAACAGCAAGAAAGAGTAGGTCATGACTTCAATCACCTATGCCTGAAGACCAGTAATTCTATGCACAAGAGACTAACTAGATACATATGGATATGGGTAGAGATACTAACTCCAATAAGAAACCAAGCATTCAGCAGACAACTACAAGAGCAGATAAGCAGAACAAGCAGAAGGCAAACATCAATTGCTTTGACCAAACTCCATGGTTGGTCTAGTGGTACTGGGATTGTAAAACATCCAATCCAGCCTAATTGAAACTTTGAGGGCAACATCACCTTCTGGAAAAACATCATTGATTTGACAGAAAACATTTCTATCAAGCTTAAGGAGCCAATCTTTCCTTTGGCTGAATACACAGGGTGCACAATTTGGTGGCAATGGGACAGAATACAAGGTGAAAGGTGGACTCCTTACACATAAACATACCTCGAGAAGGTTTAACAACTTTGAATATCCTTTAGTCCTCGGCAATGACAGACCAACAAGATAATCTAATGTTGAAAATGACATATTAATGTGGAGTTTGGATGGACATCTATGATCAAAGTGGTAAATTTTGGAAAAGAAAATGATTTGGAACAAGCTAACAGGGCTGAAGAGCTCCTAGCTCAGACGTCCTCAATCTTCAAACGAGAATGCAACTATTACTATATGACATATATATTTCGCGTACACCTTGCGCAACTTAGCCGATGAAAGAACTTACCGTACACCATAATGCACGTCGCGGTGATTACAGTGGCCAGATACCCCATAATTGTCAAAGGTAAGGACCTATACACAGCCCCGTAAAAGAGAGGATTAATAAGACAAGAAAAATATGTAGCTTAAAACACCAAATACCAAAAAAACAGACCCTGGCCAGCTGATGGACCAATTTTGGGCCAAACAAGCTGATAAGTTGGCTAACAAGTACACAGGACCTTACCGTGTCAATATGGCGACTAACCACCTCCTCCTTGATGGTTTTTGACAATAAGCCACGGTCCCAGACCAGTCCAAAACCATCCTACGTTGTGAGGGCGTGACACATTAGATTAGATTCACAACAAATAAAATATTGACCATGAATGACCAGCTTTTCCAGGACAAAGGAGGCAAAACCTGCAAATCTGGATGGTCCAATATCTTCACTTGCTGAGGTTGTACCTGAATGTGCAAATTCACAGGCAGTCTAACCATTACACTGTGCTTGGAAGTTTCTTCCAAAAAAGAAAAACTAAATGTTCAAACAAAGACACTTCTTTATTCTGCCTTCTGAAAACAACTATTTACTCTATCCATTGATATTGAATACAAGAACCAAATAAAGCACTAAGCAGCAATCAGTCAATTGCACAATGAAGTTGCCGAACCACACTTATGCTTGTGTGTGTAGCATAATACTGTCAAGGATTTTATTGATCAATAAAAGTTGAATCCCATGTTAGAGACAGTAGGTATAACTTACAATGCCTCATAGGTAATTACCTTGAGGACTAAACAAGCTTGGTAAAGTTCATCCTTTCTAGTGCTCCCCATCCCATCTGCATTGCCTGTTGGTGTGTGCAACCAAAAGATTTATAACGCATATATGGAAGATAAAGATATGATGGTATATATGCTACCTAATTGATCCCCTTCATAAAATATCACAAGACAGGGTTGATTAAACTAAGAACAGGCAGGATGTGACTTTCATCATAGAAGCACCTAACAGAAGGGGCATATAAAAAGTTTCCAGCCCCCCTAGCTGCGAGCATAATTGGAGCTCTAGGGTGTACATCAATGTACACTTTCAAAACTGTTGCGGTTACTACCATCGTATGTTTCTTAACTCACAAGTATTATCACAAAATAATGAATTGAAAGAAACACATCACCTATTGACAAGCACAACAAGTGAACATTGTGACCCCTTGAAATCAGATAGTTTATCGTCGGAGAAAAGAACCTGAGATATTGAGACACGAAGTCAATACAACATGGGAAAGCAAGCTAAGTATGGGTCAAATGTCCGCATCAACATTTACCAATGACATGAAAGCAGCCATGAATGACTATTAAGAGTATTGATGCCAGTTAATTAATGTTTGACAACAACTACATTGTCAAAGGATTTTCAGTATATGCCTGAGAGCTTACATGGACTCATCATCAGGGTGAGCAACAACAAGCAGAACATTTCGCCTGTGAGGTGCACCACCCGATACTGTAAACAGCTAAAAGAAGAGTGCATCAATTAACTGGATATGTTCACAGAGAAGCTTTACAAGAATGATAGAGGAAGTACCTTCACTCAGAAAAGTGTTCTTCGAGTACGAACTTGCAGTGAGGAGAATCTTGCACAATGAAGCTATCCACGCTACAATTAGTGAAACAACAATCACCAGAAACGCCATTTGCAACACCTGCACAAATAAAAGCAGTTTTTCCTTTTCTCGCTTTAACACCCTCCACTCTAAAACGTGGGCCCAAGCAAGAGAAGGGAACAGGAACAAGAAGAATTTTCAGGATTACACAAGCAAAACTAATCCAATTTATTCTGCATTTCCAATACACCAAACGTGTAGCCAACATGGAAGAATATATCTACAGTTCAAATAATATTTCACAAGAGAGAGATCATCAATGGTGGAACCATCACATTTAGATAAGTCCAATCAATTAGAAGCAATACTGGACAGGATTAGGCATCTCCACAAGCAACACAAAAAGAAAGATTGATAAAATCTGTAACTGAGAGAGTGCTATGGAGAATGACTTGCAGCACTAAATCAGAATCAACTAACACTAGACGAGATACTTAGAATTCAAAAAATTTCCATATTTTGTCAGTTGAAAGCAGCAACACATTTGCAGCTAGGAAGCAAGTCGACACGCTGTTATGGAAACTTAAATTCGTTGCCAAAGCACCAACCGACGAGCTTTAGATATGAGCCATTTCCTCAACCAGAGTTGCCGGCTCATGATCTTCACTTTCAAACTCAAGAAGCCAACAAATCTTTAACCTCATCCTGCTGCAATAAGTAGTTCCTCACAATGGAGAAGTAACAAAATTCAAACTATAGAGGCGAGACATGAGATATACCCAAATCTTTTTTGCTGTTATTTATTCAGAACTGCATCACTCTAAACATTAGACAATAGACTCCCATAACCAGCTTACTGCCAGAAACAGTTAATCTCACAGTCTCAGTAATAACTAAAACAAGAGAAAACGTTCCTTCCCTTCCATTTTCATACTCACCCACAAACTTGAGAAAGTAAAATTAAACAAAGAAACGACCCACTAAGCACGACCCTACGAGATTACAGCAAAACCCATAAGTTTGCCAAACTCCTTTAAGCATCTTGCTTTTTCTTCAGGTCTTCAAACTTGTCTATAGCCACCTGAAGTTCATCCGTCCCTCCAACAGCTCTCATGGTGTAGAAATACACCCCAAAAACAAACGCCGACAACCCGCCAGCAACTACCACATTCTTGGTCTTGGGAGCAAGGCTTCCGAATCCTAAGAGTCCAGCCATCTTTGCTGAGGGATGTCACTGTTGATATATATTTCGTGTTATTACACGCCGGCCCAAAATTTGCAAACCAGCCAACAAAACCAATCAATTATTATCCACTGCCGACGCTCATGTCAACTAAGGCGCACGAACTATTATCAAGGTAAATTTCGCAAACATTGAAACCCAGCAATCATTTCAGCCAACACAGAATTTTCGCACATTTAAGTAGATATTGTATAGTTGACAGAAGAAGAATAGGCCAGCGATGCAATTCAGTTCGCAAAGAATTCAGCCAACAGTGTTTAGATTCAGTATTCTATTCATTCAAGAGGAAATACGCAAGTAGGGATCAAGAGAGAGAAGAAGCACCTTGAACAAGAGGAAAACAGGCGAGATAGCACGAAACGGCCGATGAGCAAGAGCCGGTGAAGGATGGACAAACACGACCGACGGCGAGCGAGAGCGACTAAAGTGTACAGACTACAGAGAGAAATCGAATGGAGATTGGGGGAGCAAAGGTAAAGAGTGGGAAATAAAATTATACCCGCTAATTAATACGACGCCGTTTTATCTGATGCGTAGCCCTAAATCCTAATTCCCAAACACACACGATGCTCCCCACTATCCGCCTTCGAAATTTCCTCCCTTTCTCGACGTTACTGGACCAGCGTGGTTGCTGTCACCGGCGACCGGCGAGCAAGCTGTCTGGCCTCATCATCACCTGACCAGCGCGGAAAAGAATTGGTCTTTACAAAGTAATTGCAGTCGGAATAGCCTACTCTGAAGTTCACGGCTTAGTTCTTACCCAAGGAACAAATGGTAGGATGTACAACGATGGGGAAAAGAAATGGTCTTTACAATGTAATTGCAGCTCGATTCTACTCCAGAATCGCTCCTCCACCACCCGCATACGCCCAACCAGTCATTAGAGTCACCAACAATGTAGCTCATCTGGGTTCCCCAAAAGAGGGTCCGAAGCCCCGGCAGCTTCTTTCCTTGCCTCCGTTTCCCGGTCTGCCTCTCCCCGGGAAGAACTTGCTTGGTGATCCTCGGCGTCTCACTGCCATCAGCTGGGTCAAGTATTACTTCAATGACATGTCTGGTGAAAATATCGAATCCCATTTCAAGAAGGGCCTTGTAAGTTGTTCAAAACTTTTGCTGGAGCTCTTATTGGGATAATCCCGTTTGCGTTTTCCCTTCAATTTCACTGCAAATATTTGTTAGTGGTTGCTTTTGCCTAGCAGCTTGTTTTAACACTCTCTTATAGTTGTGGGGTTATGGATGAATTGTGTCAGGTTTACGTGGAATGCCAAAGTTCTTGTGATTCCTTTGAAATTAAAGGATTGGGGAAGTTGGTGAGAAAGGTATGGTTGCACGAAGAGCTAACTATTGAATTGTTTGGGAACCAGTAGCTGATCCCTTACCTGTAGCAAGATTGTGTGATGAAGCTAATGTTCATCTCTAGCTTGCCTAACACTCTCCCTGTTTGTTTTGGGGTGTTTACTTTGTGGCGGTTTAATATTCTACAAGACAGTGTGTCTGCAGATTAAGCCTCATGATGCAATGGAAGAGGGAGCTAGAATTCATGTTCCAGTATCAATTGCCGAGTCTAGGATCTCGAAGAGATTTGACACCATCCCAAGTGGTACTTTATATCCAAATGCAGATGAGATCGACTACTTGCAAAGGCTTGTGAAGTTCAAGGTTCATGATTTTTCTACTCTTGTTGTTTACGGTTTTCATGTGATTAATCATTTTCTACACTATCCGACCTTTTGCATACTTTTACTTTCTGATAGGTCTGTTCCAATTGTAGGATGCAGCTCTGATTGTTCTAAATAAGCCTCCAAAGTTGCCAGTACAGGTAATATTTTTCTTCCTGCTCAACGTTGTCTTTACTGTTGAATCAACACTTAGTCAGTTTCTTTTGGTTTGTTGCCTTCAGGGCAATATGCCTGTTCATAACAGTATGGATGCATTGGCTGCTGCTGCTTTGTCTTACGATTATGACGAGGGACCCAAGTTGGTGAGCTTCATTATGTAATTTTCGATAGGTGCCTCTTTATGTCACTATTAAGAGTTCGAATTCATGCCAGTGTAATGAGTTAATATTGTCCAGTCTTTTCAGTTCGTTTGTGTGAGCTTATTTGCCCTGCCATTTCAGATATTGATGCTTGAAAGCCAAACTCTTGTCAGGTTCACCGGCTAGATAGGGAAAGCAGTGGTCTCATCTTACTAGGACGAACCGAAGAAAGTGTATCTCATCTTCAGTGGCTATTCAGCAACCTCAATAAAGCAAAATCCCGATGTAAGGTACTTTCATCACTGATCATCTCGTATGACTTAAAACACAGTTAAGGCTGATGGAAAATGATAGGAGGGCAACCATTGTCCAATGCTTTGTTTTTCTTACCTTTGTGGAATCACTATGATTTTCTAGGCCTGGAATGATGCCTGTGAAGCTACATACCAACGATACTGGGCCTTAGTTATAGGCTCCCCGAAGGAAAAGGAAGGCTTGATTTGTGCTCCTCTTTCAAAGGTTTTCTCGCTTACTTTAGATCTTGGAAATGATGAATTCTCTGATATGAAACTCCCAGATTGACCTCTAGCTGTTAATATTTCCAGGTCCTTCTTGATGATGGTAAGACAGAGCGAATTATCTTGTCTGGTGGGTCTGTTTTCGAACCTTCGCAAGAGGCTATAACAGAATATCGAGTCTTAGGTCCTATGATCAACGGATGCTCGTGGCTCGAACTTCGCCCATTAACTAGCTGGAAGCATCAGGTACATATCTACCAGCTGGGGTGCCAGGGGTCATAGTATATCATCTTAGTTTTACATCGTTTCTTCCCCGGTCTTGCTACAGCTTCGTGTCCACTGTGCTGAAGCGCTGGGTACTCCAATCGTGGGGGACTACAAATACGGCTGGTTCGTGCACAAGAGATGGAGGCAAATGCCTCGAGTTGACATCGAGCCGACTTCAGGGAAGCCATACAAATTGCGCAGGCCAGACGGTATAGATGTTCAGAAAGGAAGTGTGATGTCGAAAGTCCCATTGCTGCATCTCCATTGCCGGGAGCTCGTCCTTCCCAACATCGCGAAGTTCATGAACGTCTTGAATCAGAGATCGGAATCTCATCACCGGCCTACTACGACGAGTGAACCATCCGATCTTCTCCGGTTTGTGGGCGCAATGCCAAACCATATGAAAATTAGCTGGAACCTCATGTCATCTTGTTTGGTGTGAAAGACAATTCGCAATAGTATTTGGTTCTTTGACTACTATTATGAACACGATCAACAAACCGAATCCTAAACGAGCATCAAAACTGGTCGGGTCGTGCATTCATCGTTGTTGCACCACCACAAAACACCGATGGAAAGAGTAATATATAATCAAATATGACTTAAGTCGTATCCGATGCAATTAATCTAATTCGGATTATACCGTAGTTATGTCTCTTTAGTAAAGTCAAAATTACATCAAACCTGCCTTTAAAACACGCGCTTGTCAAGTTGTAGCAGGGCCGTTACCATCAGTTTGTCTTCCCCGTTGCAATCCTTTTCCTTTCTTCTCCAACGCAACACCTACCTCACCCGAACGGTTTATCTAATCTACCTATCTATCTGGATTCTGGTCCGCTGCCGCTGTTATTCCCCTCCATTTCTGTATTTTATCATTTTCTCCCAAAAGCTTCGTATTCCCTTCTTGTAGATATTTTGACTTTTTTTATTATAAAATTTTCATTTCTCCAGTCGCCTCCTTCCTTCTTCCTCTCCTCCGCTTCCCTGAATCTCTCCTCCCCGATTCCCTCTCAGTCTGCTGCTGCTCTGAATCGATCAGCTTCTAAGCTCCAGCTACAGCTCTTTCTACCGCCTTTGGAGTTCCCGTCTGCTCATTTGCTTCAATCCTTTTCCTTTACGGTAATGTAGATTTTTTTTTTGTTGAGAATTTCAATTTGGACGGATGTTGTTCCGCTGTTTTGAGCTGTCCTTTTCTGAATTTTCCTTCGGTTTACTACATCGTCATTCCATTGGAATTATGTTGCTCTTTCTATGAAGTAATCCTGCTCCGACTAAGTCAAGACTGTGTCTTTCTTTTAGCTTTAAAGAATTCATGGTTGATTGTTGACTGTTACGCTGCAGGTTTTAGTTGAGCAGTATCGTTGGAGCTTTTCTGTTGCTACGGCGATTCTCCCTGCTTTTGCGCGCCTGGTGTGGTGGCCGAAAGGAGGTGATTTGATTTCGTTAGTTTGTTGTTAGATCAATTCTCTCGGATTCAGGTTTCATAGCTGTTGAATTTCCTTAGCGTGGAGAGCTTTGGTTCGGTTGATCTGTTTTTCCAGTCGAGTCGAGAAAGTCAATGTCTTTGTTGATTATGCTGGGAATTGATCACATTTACTCGGTTAAGGCATAAATTGGATCATAATCTTTTTAAGTTTTTGGTATCATAGAGCACAAAATCTGTTGGTCTTATTGAGAGTGGAAAATGTGGGGGAGTTTGGCTAGTAGTAGTTGCTAATCTATGTATTTTGGAAATCTTTTTGTAGGTTGCTTTTATGGTAGTTGTTTGTTGGTGGTAGTGGAGCATGACTGAAAGCTATAGCAATGCAAGTGCAAGCTCGACTTCAAGTTATAATAGCAGCGTCCCGGATACAGAGGATGATCAGGTGATAGCGAGCCTCTTAGCTGAAGAAGAAAATGCTAATGCTGGCAGACAGCTTGGAAAGAGGCTTTCTCATTTGGATTCTATACCTGTACGTTCGACCCTCGCTCTCTTTTTCTTCATTTCGGTGAATACGTGATTCGAGATTGTATATGAGACTGCAAAGTCAGGTGTTAGTGTCCCTTTTGATTCTTTAGTTGATTGAAAAGCAAGGATGATTATGGAGGAACTCATTTAGTTGAGCTTTCAAAGGGTATTGCTACCTGTTTGTTGTACACCATTGCCTGATTGGTGGTCCGGGATTAAAATCGCGGTGGTTAATTGGTTATTATTTTGGCATTTTCTGTACTGCTGAAAAGATGTCGCAGATAACCGCTTTTTTGTTTTTATCAAATTTCTATTTTTATTACTTCCTTTTGGACTTGTATGTAACTTGCAATGGCCAATTGCAGCACACTCCTCGGGTTAATGGTCAGATTCCAGACGTGAATGATGCAACCTTAGATCATGTTCGGCTGTCTGGAAGGTGTTTGATTCATCATCCATACTATGAAGTTATTTGCTTGGCCAATTTGCTGGAATACTGTACTCAATGCATTTTGCCCTCGGTCAAGCGTAGTCATTCAGCATGTGTCCCTTCTTCCTTTCGCTGAAGTTGACCTCTTACAGGAATTTTACAAACTAATGTAGCACATATTTTTGCATGAATTTCTTTGGAATTCTACATTAGTTGCATTTGCAATTATGTTATGAGAGGGCCATGTTGAATCGTGCGTTATCGGAGTCTCAGATTACTAACTTTTCATAGATGTTGATGCTATTGCTTATTTGTCTTTTTATCATTTGATCCAGGTTGAATACATATGGTTTGGCAGAACTGCAGATGGAGGGTGATGGGAATTGTCAGGTGTGCTATAGTTTTTAATTCTTATGTTCATCGAGTAAATTTTATGATGACACCTCCATCTGTGAACTACCGGACAAAACATTTATTCAAATATGGATCGGAAAAGTCTGGTTAACTACTGGATTCACTTTCATACAGTTTCGGGCATTAGCAGACCAGCTATTTCGCAGTCCGGATTATCATAAGCATGTTAGGAAGCAAGTTGTTAAGCAGGTAAGACTGTTGATTCTCTACTGGTAGATATTATTTATTCATGCATGTGAGTTCCCTTTATTCATGGAACAGTCTCCCAAGTCTTATACTTATGAACTGTTTGTACTCCGTTTGTTTTATTTTCCAGCTAAAGCACTTCAGAAAAATGTATGAAAGCCATGTCCCGATGAGGTACAGAAGCTATGTAAACAAGATGAAAAAGTAAGACCTTTAGCATGGGACAATTTTTTGTATGTTTGTGCCAGAAGACAGTTTTTACAACTGAGCAAATGTCGATTCATTTCAAATTTTAATGTTCTTGCTAGATCAGGGGAGTGGGGTGATCACGTTACTCTACAAGCTGCTGCAGATAGAGTAAGTTGACCTCATGCATTCTGAATTTTCGTATCTATGCTCCATAATTGGCTCAGCTGGAACAGACTTGTACCTGGATTCAGTTTAATCAATACAGCACGTTCCATGTTTTGACCTTGAACATTGCGACTCTGAAAGCTCAAAGTATACGTGGTTGTTGAGAAATTGTCTAGTAAATTACACGAAGAGGAGAAACTAATTTGGCCCCTTTGAGTATTTTGGACTGTCAAACTGGCTTTTCTTGATTGTTTAGTCTCTTTACTTAGTGTCCCTGTGCTTCTAGTGCATCGGAAGTCAAAGATCCATAATGCATATGGTCAACTTGTAGGAAACATTATGGTAATAGTCAGCGTGTCAGAATCCATAGTAGAAGTCTGAACCCCGACCACTGTGTCTTGATATTATGAGCAAGGTTGTTGCTAATTTCATGCTGTTTCTAATGTTTCCCATATACACTCCATTCTTCCGTGCTATGTTTCTGATCTCTTTCGCTGCACTTTTCAGTTTGAAGCCAAGATCTGCTTAGTTACATCTTTCCGTGACACTTGCTATATCGAGATCAGGCCCAAAGACAAGCCTCCTGGCAGAGGTTTGTGTCGCTAGTGTTATGCCACAGCGCCCTTCTTTTGTCCGGTTTCGAGATGTGCTGCTTTTGAGCTGTGTCAAACTTACACCCCCTTTTTGTGGTTCCAGAGATCTGGCTAAGCTTTTGGAGTGAAGTCCACTACAACTCACTGTACGCGATCGGTGGTAATCAACGTGTCTAAACAATGAAACAATATTCTGATACACCAGAGTTTTATTTAGCTTGTGTTTATGAGCTTTCAGAACCTATGTCGTCATATGGTATTCATTTTTCGAACCATGTCTTCATGCAGATGTCCCCAGCAGAGCACCAAGGAAAAGGCATTGGCTCTTCTGATATGTTTTTCCTTCCTGAAACTATACTATCCTGTCATCCATGCTTCATTTCATCGTCTACCCTCTGCACATTTTGCAACCTCAGCAATCGGATTGTAAGTTAACCGCCGAAACACAAGACATGCAGCAGTGCCCTCTTTTGGTTCTTTCCCCTATACAAACACATTCCACTGTACTTTTCATGGCCGGAGAAATCGACTGTACAAACTTCTTTACACAGTAATAACTTATATGAATATCTGTACACAGAAACAGATAGTGATCAATTTGTTTCGTTCGAAACCACGAAGCTCTATATTCAAATAGGTTGCACCATCTTTTACATGGCTCTATGGCACTTCCTGCTTACAGGCACTGGGTTTTACATTTCGATACTAGAAATTAGCTCTGTATTATGCACTTATATCGCGCGAAAGAAAAAAAACCGCGAAACAAACAGGTGATGGGCTGAAAGGGCCGAAGCCTGACTCACTGGCCTAGCCCATATTGGCCCACAAACTTTGTATGACTAGCCTACTTTTAGTTTGGGCCCAGAGAGATCCGGTGATTCCGAAATCGGTTGACTACGGAAGTGAAAAGCACTCTGATGACCTATGAACAACACAGATCGACTTCTAAAACATAGCCACGTGTATCGATTATCCGCCTGTCAGATCCCCATTGGTTGTCTTTTTCGCCCCTCACGCTTAAAAAGCGCGCCACGTCGGCCTTTATATACAAAAATAAAACTAAATAAATAAAATGAAGACGTTCCTTCGGGGGAAAATAACGGCTTTCAACCTTCTCTTTCTTTCCTCTCCATTTGCGCCTTTCGTGCTCAGTTTCTCAGCAGCCACAAGCAGAGAAATCTCACCTCCCATCTCCTTCTCTTCCGGGGAGAATGCGCGATTCGCGAACCTGATTCTGGTTATATTCCATTCTCCTCTTTATACTTACGATTAGCTGAGTAGTTTTTTTTTTTGTTGGAGTTTGGTTTTTGACGCTCAATTACTGATCTGTTAATGGCGGACTTGCAGGGAAGGAGAGAAGAGGACTGAAGAGAGACTGTAGTGTCGGATTAAGATTAAAGCTCACAATGAGGTCGACGATTATGATCAAATTGGGGCTGCTTCTATGTTTTGTTTCCGCCAATTTTGTAATCCCTTCACAATCCGCCGTCTCGAGCGTAGATCTAGGTTCAGAATGGATGAAAGTAGCGGTAGTGAACTTGAAACCAGGTCAGAGTCCGATCGCCGTCGCTATCAACGAGATGTCCAAGCGGAAATCGCCGGCCTTAGTGTCGTTCAACTCGGGTACTCGTCTACTCGCTGAGGAAGCCGCCGGAATCACCGCTCGTTACCCTAACAAAGTGTTCTCGCAGCTGCGGGACATGATCGGGAAATCGTACAACGATGTGAAGGGCGTTTTGGACTCAATGTACCTGCCGTTCGATGCAGTGGAGGATTCCAGGGGAGCCGTTGCGTTCAAGGTGGACGAAGGTCAAGTTTACTCCGTTGAGGAATTGTTGGCCATGATTTTGGGCTACGCGTCGAATTTGGCAGAGGTCCATGCTAAGTTACCTGTGAAAGATGCCGTCATTAGTGTGCCGCCGTATTTTGGGCAGGCGGAGAGGAGAGGGCTGATTCAGGCAGCTCAGTTGGCTGGGATGAACGTTCTTACTCTGATAAATGAACACTCTGGTGCGGCATTGCAGTATGGGATTGATAAGGATTTCTCGAATGGGTCGAGATATGTGATATTCTATGATATGGGTTCAAGTAGTACTTATGCAGCACTTGTGTATTATTCGGCGTACAATGCCAAGGAGTTTGGGAAGACTGTGTCCATTAACCAGTTTCAGGTGAATTTTTGCACTTTGTCATCACATATTGTTTGGAATTTTCTGGTTCACAGTTCGAAGGGAGCACTGCTAATGCTTTGAGTGATTGTCCAGGTTAAGGATGTTAGATGGAATTCAGAGCTTGGAGGTCAGAACATGGAAATGCGGTTGGTGGAGTTTTTCGCTGATGAATTCAATAAGCAGGTTGGAAATGGAGTTGATGTGCGCAAGTCTCCCAAGGCAATGGCTAAACTGAAGAAGCAGGTTAAGCGGACAAAGGAAATTTTGAGTGCAAATATAGCAGCTCCGATTTCGGTTGAGTCTCTCTACGACGATCGCGATTTCAGGTAGGTTGAAGAAACAATCTTTAGTTGGTCTAATTCACTTTCAATGGCATGGTTAAGTTGTCAAGTTCTGTAGCGTTGGAGTTGATCCCTACGAGCCTGGTGTCTCCTTGTGGAATCGGTTGTGATCATATTCAACGTGCGGTTCTATATGCATTATCTATTTTCACTTATATAATTTTCCTATCTTTATAGGAGCTCCATTACACGGGAGAAGTTTGAAGAGTTATGCGGTGATTTATGGGATAAATCCCTAGTCCCCATCAAAGAAGTAATAAAGCATTCAGGTTTGAAGGTGGATGAGATATCCGCCGTGGAACTTATTGGAGGTGCTACAAGAGTGCCAAAGTTACAGGTTAGTAAGTGGTAGCAATTCGTTTGCTTATTGCCCCAGATAGATGATAAGGCTTCATATCTCATCTGTGGAGTAACTTTTTAAGAGTATTTGTTCAAAACTAGCTACAATAGTTATATAATGTCTTTAATCGTGAATAAGCTTATCATTTTAACTTCATTGTTACAATCCTGACGAAGCACTGGGCCTAGAATGTCTGCTGTTTTCAGCATAAGATTTTAGTCCACCATAACCAGCTTGTTCTCTGAGGCTTCTCCCCTCAACTTTTAGTTGTTAGCACGCTAATAGAATGTCTTTTCTCACTTTATTAAAAAAAATAAAGTATGCCATATCTCTTCACTACTTGAGACCCCTTTCTGATATTTTGTCCTGTAGAACCACCAGTGTAATCTATTGTATAAGATTTTTCTATAGTTCTAGGAAAAACTTGCCTGAGATCTGAGTATCACCATACTGTTGAAATTGAATATGACAGATTTTTCTTTTCCTTTCGTCTTAACAGGCTAAGATTCAGGAACTTCTTGGAAGAAATGAGCTGGACAAGCATCTGGATGCAGATGAAGCTATAGTTCTTGGAGCAGCATTGCATGCTGCAAATCTAAGCGATGGTATCAAATTGAATCGTAAGCTAGGAATGATTGATGGTTCTTCATATGGATTGGCTGTTGTACTGGATGGCCCAGATTTCAAAGATAGGCAGTCACTGGTGCCTAGGATGAAAAAGGTCCCCAGTAAGGTAAAAGTTGTTTTACAAAGGAATTTTATGAAGCAGTAGCATACCATCAATCTAGGTTCTTGGACTTACTATTTTGCTCTGTACTGGTTTCTTTACAGACGTTCAGATCCATTGTCCTTAACAAAGATTTTGAAGTTTCACTTGAATACGAGTCTAATGAACTCTTACCGCCCAGCATCAGTTCTCCAGTGTTTGCACAATATTCCGTGTCTGGTCTCACGGAGGCGAGTGAGAAGTAAGGAATCTGGCTCGCTTTAATATTTCGGAGCTAACTTTCCTGCTTTGGAGCATTAACTAATCGATGTGTCTTGTTGTGTGTCTAGGTATTCATCACGAAATCTTTCCTCCCCAATAAAGGCAAATCTGCATTTTTCACTCAGCAGGAGTGGGGTTCTCTCTTTGGACCGAGCAGACGCTCTCGTGGAGATATCAGAATGGGTGGAAGTCCCAATAAAAAAGAACCTCACTGCTGAAACTATCACAAACTCTTCAAGCAGTACTCCAGAGACTGGTACTGATAAGGGGGCTGCTGAGAATACCACAACGAGTTCTGCTACTGAGAATTCTTCAGAAGGAAGTAATGAAACGGCAGGCAGTGAATCTAACTCAGATGTCAAAGAACCAATCACCACCAAAGTGGCTACTGAGAAGAAGCTCAAAAAACGAACATTCAGGGTTCCACTGAAGGTGCAAGCAGGCTTTTTGGCCCTTGTTAGCCTTTTGTTTGCAACACTTTGCTTTTTTGCTGATCATTTTGTTGGTTACCATGTGTAGATCACTGAGAAGACAGCAGGTCCAGGAAAGCCTCTTTCAGAAGAATCTCTGGCTGAAGCTAAAAGAAAGCTGGAAGAATTGAACAAGAAAGATGCAGAGCGGCGAAGAACTGCAGAATCGAAAAATAACTTGGAAGGATATATTTACTCAACAAAAGAAAAGGTATGGTTCTGTGGCTTTTCTGATGACCATTGCCTAATAGATATTTACCGACCTCGTTTCATCTGTTAAAACAGCTTGAAACAGACGAGGAGTTTGAGAAGATATCGACAAGTGAAGAACGCCAATCTTTCGTTGAAAAGCTTGACGAGGTTATTTTCTCATCTATGTTTCTATCTGCATCTGTCCCTCACCTTTTTGCTTCGTCATCTATAGATGCTATTTGTAATAATATATGGAAAACATCAGCTTACGGGTACCATCACTTGTTTCAGGTTCAAGACTGGCTATATACTGATGGTGAAGATGCAACTGCCAGTGAGTTTGAGAAACGAATGGATTCTTTGAAAACCACTGGCGACCCAATATTTTTCCGGTGAGAACTATTCTTACTTTTGATGGGGATGAATGCATACTTCCCTGATAAATAATCATATAAAGTAGCCAGCGAATGAATTTGTTTATATGCACAGATATAAGGAGCTATCAGATCGGCCAGGTGCAACTAAACTTGCTAGGAAGTACCTCACTGAGCTGAAACAGGTAATTCAACTTGAATCATGATCTGCCTAATACTACAAGAAGTTACCCTTGCAAAATAACCTTTGATGTTGATTCTATGCTAACTGATGCAAATCTGAGCTCCAACGGAATTTCATGTTATTACATCCGACAGCAACTGTCTTTAAGATGTTTCTATTCTCTGGTTTTCATTCCTTCATCAATTAGTGTCTCCAGATTTTATTTTTTTCCCCTATTATTTTCTGCAGATTGTAGAAGGTTGGGAGGCAAACAAACCTTGGCTCCCTAAGGACAGAATAACTGAGGTATGATTATAAACCATGGTTGCCAATTATCCAAGTCAGTTCCTTCCCAAAGCTGCTTAACTATGTCTAACATTGGATCTGTATGATAATGTTCATTTTCCAACATTTGGTTCTAGGTTCTGAATGATGGCGAAAAGTTGAAGAGTTGGCTTGATGAGAAGGAGGCAGAGCAGAAGCAGTAAGTTCTCATATTCATTGATTGGCTTGGAATGGAAAATCACTGAATTTGTCCTTCTTATCCCTTTCAGGACTTCTGCTTCTAGCAAACCGGCCTTCACATCTGAAGAAGTGTACACCAAAGTATTTAAGTTGCAAGACAAGGTATCCCCGTTGACTTCCTCGCATTCTTGTTTTCTCCCTCGCGCCCACACGGCTCCTTAAAATACCTTATCATCAACTTCCCATTTTTGTTCCTGATTGCTGCTTCCACAGGTTACCAGCATTAACAAAATTCCAAAGCCGAAACCTAAAGTGGAGAAGACCAAGAAGAACGAAACAGAGGAGCCTAAGAAAGCCGAGACAGAAGAAGATCCCAAGAAGACCGAGGCAACTGAAGAGCCTAAGACGGCTGCAGAGGAAGCCACTAGCGAGAAGGATACTGCAGATACCCAGGCACACGACGAGTTGTGATTCGATCAGAAACCAGTAACCACTGCTGCGCGTATTAGGAACAATGCCGGTCATCGGCTGGTCTCCAGAGCCAAACTCAAATCAACAGTAAGAGAAGATAGAGAAGGTAACGATGCATTTGCTGGATTATATGAATGGGAGAGCTTGAAAAGCTTTCTCATCCTGAGGATTCGTCTCGCACCGTTCTATTCCCTTTTTCTGCTAGTTTTCCACACAATAGCTGCAAGGTGTAGAGGGCCATAGTGGAACAGTAGGTTTGTCTCTGGACTCTGGGAATTTTGGTAAGCTTTAACAGTCTCATTTTTGCTCTCCATTGTAGGAAGAGACTAATACATGTAAACAAAGCACAATGATGACAATCTCTTTTTGGTAGTGTAGCACTAGCTAAGAGTTACGAAGCAGTCATTTTGGAAGCTTAGGTTATCTAGCCTTCATTGGGCCTAAATGTTGAGCCCGATTTCAGCCCAGTCTGTCGATTTCTCTTTTGAGCCCGTTTCCAGCCCTAGACGAGTACTTCAACAGGTCATTCCTTTTTCCGTTCGGACTTAGGACTAGGTTTTCCCCTGTATGCCTCCTCGTCGTTCTATATAACAGTAGGGTTCCGGCGGTCGGATTTTACTGTTAATCCTTACTTTACTCCACATCATGGACAGGCTAAGCAACCTTTCCGACGACATTCTACGCCACATCCTCTCCTTCCTCGTCGACATAGAATCCGCCGCTCGAACCAGCACTCTGTCCGGGAGATGGAGACCCTTGTGGAAGGACGTCCCCGTCCTCCACCTCTACTCGAGCACTTTCCCCTCCACCGGCAACTTCAAGCACAAGTTGGCCCCCCTCCGATCCCACCGCGGGACCTGCGCCCACATCAGCTTCATCAGCTCCGGCAAGGAAGAAGAGTATGCTATCATAGTAGGAAGAAAGAAGCCCGACCGTCATGCTAGTATTGGGGAGGGTGTCGTTGACGTGTTCGACAAGGCACTGGAACGCTGTGGTTCCCTCCGGGCTATGTCATTCCGCAAATGGTTTCTATGTGGTGACTTGGGTCGCATGGCGTCCTCCATCGCCCGTCACCATCACAGCGAACCTCTCGAGGCTCTCGAGCTCGTGGACTGCTTCTTACTCAGCGGCGATCTCGAAGCTGCAGCCACCTGCGATCCATCGTTCGCGATGGTGACCACTTTGGAGCTTCGTGACTGCCACTACATTAGCTACTACGGCCGCCACGACGGCGATCCTTTCGCCAGCCTCCCTCGTTTGAGTTGCTTGAAGCTGGTCGGCTGCGACAGGATGTTCATGCGGGATTCCATCGAGATTTCGGGGCTCGAGCTGCGGAGCCTCGAAATTCGGTGCACGGACGTGCGCATTAGCCAGCTGGCGGCACCGAAGCTCGAGTCGTTGTGTTACTCAGGCGAGATTAGGCACCTCGAGGCATTCCGAGAGGCGAACCTTCCTTCTCTGTGTCGCGCTAGTGTGAGCATGGAGTTCAGGAAGTCGACGGAATTGGACGGTCAGGGATTCAAGAGCTTGTTGCATGGTTTGCGTTATGCAAAGTCTCTCGACTTGTGTATTAAAAAAAAGGTGCGTATTATTATTATTTTTTTTGCTTGGTCGTAATTCTTTTGACTAATATACTAATGTATGGTTTGACGAGATACTATATATATATGATCAGTTTATGAGCTTATTCCATGGTTTGCCACGTACGAAGTCTCTGCTCTTATATCTCAAAACAGAGGTACGCAATATTTAATCAACTTCTTTTGCAATGCTTAATTATTATCGAGGTTAATTTGTATACCACTTGGTCATGCAGGCTACCTCGATAGATGAATGGCACTAGCAAGATCCTAGCCATTTGCATTTTTTTGTCCTTTTTATTTTTTTACCGTGATCGTTTGTCGGACTGAATGATTGGGTTTTCTTTTTATCAGTATCGAGAATCGCAAGAGTACTCCGATATTTTCAAATTGAAGTCATTCATCGATGATGAAATATCTCGCTTTACCAGATTGAAGACCTTCAACGTTCAATATCCAGAAAAGTTTGTCATCTCTCTCCCTACCGATGAAAATGATGTTACCGAAAATCCCGAAGCATGCAACGAAGCTGTGATATATACACAGATAACTGAAGGAGGCCCTTCTGTTACGTGTGTACCATTCGAAAAGGTGAACATCGATCCCTAGCTAGGTCATGCTCGTTTTAAACATGTGACTCGAAAATATGGCAAAATTCTAACGATAGTTCATCGCTCGGGAGGTTAAGGGCTTGTTCCATGGTTTGCGTTATGCAAAGTTTGTAGACTTATGTTTTGAACTCGAGGCACATATCTTTTTTTTTTTTTTAACTTTTTCCTATAATGCCTAGATTTGGAGCTTTGCATATGGGTTATCCTCATTATACCTTTATTCTTTGGTCCTAGGCTACTATAATGAATGTTTACCGCGAGTTAACACCTAAACCATTTCATTTAGAGTGTGTCTTAGCTTGTGATGGTTATTTTCCTTTTTCCACGATAACTAGTCAAAATATATGATTAATTATCTTACGGATTGTGTTTTCTCTCTTGATAATCTCAGAAGTATCATGATCTTATCATATTGAGATCGATAAAGCTCTCGCCCAGGTTTCAATATTCACACCAAACATTTCTCTCCAAACCAGTGAAAAGACGATAGTGGATATCATATCCTTAAACGCTTGCCTCGATGCATGAACATGGGCATAGTATAGTCAACAACAAATCCTAGTCCCTAAGTTGGGTTTGCTGAAATTGGGCCTGTGGTGCTTTAATAACCAGCCCTTGCCCCAGTTGGGCCCTAAGTAATTGAGCCCGTTTCCCGCCGTACTAATCCGAGTCCGCCAAAAAATAGGTTATTTATTTATGGTCTCTTTTTCATATAAGAGCGGGATTTATTAGAATCTTCATCGGCTGAACTTCCCGGCAGTATGGAGACTGGAGAGGACAAGCAGCAGCAGCCGCCGCCGCGTACACTACAAAGAATCTCGGGAAGGAATAATCGACAGATTCAGCGATCTTCCCGACCAAGTTCTGCACCAAATCCTCTCTTTCGTCGACGACACAAAAACCACCGTCCAAACCGGCATCCTGTCCAAGCGGTTCCGAAACCTGTGGAAAGACGCCCGCGTCCTCCGCCTCCGTGAAGAATCCCTTCCGGGGGGAGAGTTTCGAAACGTTCGAACGCCGTACTAATTGTTGAAATGTATTTGAAGTTGATAAGTAATACACAAGCCATGTATTTGAAATATCACCCTCACGAGTTTTTACAGAAATCCAAATACCAAATGTGATTGATATCCAAACACATGATTTGATATTTGGAAAACCAAATCACAAATACCGTCAATCCAAATCATTCTATCCAAACACTCCCTTAGTAAATATGTATACGAGCCAACGATTTATGGGTCACTTTTGCCACGAGAATTGGTGTTGACCATGGTATCTTCGCAGCAAGGCTACACGATATATGTAAAATCAGGTGTATTATATTATTCAAGAAATTATCAAAGTGGTACAAGCCAATAGAAATACCGAGAAAAAAAAAACATATTACAATAGGGAATGAGAGAGCCCATTCCATTCCGTCCAAACAAATGCAACCAAACAAAAAAAAAAAGCCTAAGAGAGAGAACACACGCAAGATCTCAAACCCTAGCCCAATCAGCCATCCTAGCTTTTTACACCGGTGCCGCCGCTGGACAACACCAAGCATCGAACGGCAACAACCGCAGGAGTCAGATATGGCGACGAAAAGAAGCCGTGTCCACTGCGAAGAAGAACGGAAAGGAACCACCAGCGGCAGACGATTCACCGATCTTCCCGACGAAGTCCTTCATCACATCCTCTCATTCCTCGACGACACAAAGGGCACGGTTCAAACCTGCATCCTCTCCAAGAAGTGGAGACACTTGTGGACAGAAGTCCGAGCCCTCCACATCCGCAAAGACTCCTCCAATGAGAGTTTCGGGACACCATCATTCCTCCAATGAGAGTTTCGGTCCAAAGCTAGGATATGGCTGATTGGGCTAGGGTTTGAGATCAATAGGAGGAAGTGATCGATAATCATCACGACTTTGAGACACCAATGCTGGTAGCTGCAATGGAGAATATCAGCCTTTTTCATTTTTTTGAAGTTTATTATTATTTTCATCATTTTCCCGATTCTATCTCGAATGCTGTTGTCATTTAGAAGGCTTAATAACTGCAAACATTTTGTTATTAACATGTGTCTACTTAAATTTTAATTATCATGAATCTCATTTGGCTAAAAAATTTGACTGAGTTTAAAAATATGTTATGACATGCCATAATCAACTTCCGATCATTGACAGGTAAATTAGCCGTTAGATAGGTCATAGGAGTTTATGTATGGAAACGATTGAGAAAATAATTTGTGCTCCAGTTCGACCCAATAGAAAGTTCGTGTACCGAAACAATCAAATTTGAAAAGTTTGAGGGTTAAATTGTGCTCTTTAATAAAGTGGAGCGAAAAGCCGAAACACACATATATCCGCACTTCCCGCGAATTCAGAGTCACAGAGGCGGCAACTCCCCACGTTCCCGGCTTCCCGCACTCGCCTAAACTTAGCTCGGTTCTTCGCGATTCCTATTGACGCCATTGGTGAAGGTACTTCAAATGTTCATCTTCTAATTAACTCTATTCTAGTTCCCTGAAAATGAAGTTGCTATCGTTTCCGCCTCGAAAGCCGACCGTTTCTGTTCGGGTAGTAAAGAAAGCAGAGCCGTGATGATTTCTCAGTTGGGTCCTCTTCGCCTTAGGTGAATTTCACTGGGTTCTTTTCTTAATTCGATTTCAAACACTCGTGGTGCTGGGATTCTTGGCCGGGTGCTTACTGATTATAAAGTTTTTCACTTTAGGGCTCAGATTGTGTAACCCTAGAATTGCAGGCTTGTTTAGATGCACACAAATAGGGGTGTAATGTATGTCTGTGAATGGAAACAACATGGGCAGGGCTTCGTTCCTATTTTCATATTATGCTTGCCACCATGCATGTTACTAATTGCCTATCTGATCATGCCAAATTACTGGGGAATGTAGACAATTTGTTTCTCTGAGGTTACTTGTCTTTGATTCTGTTTTGTAAGATTCGTTTTCGGTTTATATCTCAGTAATTTTGAGTGCAGCATGCTATCAAGTCTCTTGATTTCTACCATATATTTGGAGCCTGCCAGGAGAGAGTAGCCATTCTCTGATTAAACTAAGTGTACACTTGAATCTCTATGGCATTGCCCCTGTCTATGATTCTTATAGTTTCAACTGTTGTGATGAAAGGTAGGAAAATATGGATGGGAATTCAAGGAAGCCCAAGAGCCCCGAGCCGAGCCATGCTGTTAAAGAAGTTGCTGTACTGAGCGATTTTCCTGATGAAATTCTCCATCACATCCTGTCCTACCTCGACACCAAATCTGCAGTTCGAACCAGCCTTCTGGCGAGGAGATGGAGATGTTTGTGGAAAGATGTTGAGGTGCTCAACTTCCTCCCGAAATCCTTCTGTAGATTGGCGAGTTTCAGAAAACACGTTTACAGGCTCTTGTCTTTCCACTCCCATCGTACTCCTGTTCGCAATGTTACCTTCGACCTAAGTGGCTATACATCACAAGAAACACGGGGGCATGTTACGAAAACAATTGAACAGGTCATGAAATATGCTGCATCTCATGGTGGTGGTGGTCTTGACCATTTGTCCATCCTCGGTGAGGACGAGAATTTGGACTTGAGTCACTTTGCTAAGAACATCACCGCTGGTAATCATGATGCATCTCTCAAGACTTTGAATTTGGAGGACTGCACTCTCTGTTGTGTCCAACTTGATGACGCGGGCTTCAAATCCTGTACAACTCTGGGCTTCAAATTGCTTACAACTCTGGAACTACGTGAATGTGCTCTGTTACCTTATTGTCCAGAGTCGCCCTTTGATTTGATTGGTGATCTTCCTTGTTTGAAGTACCTGAAGCTACTCCACTGCTATGTGTCGCATCCTGACTGTTGGTTACTGATAGCAGGACCTCAACTGCTTGATCTTGAAATTGAGTTTACAAATCACTACCGCTTTTATGAACTGATTGCTCCAAAGCTCAAATCTTTACGTCTGTGGGGGGAATACATTGATGAATATCTACCCAAGTTGAATCTCCCTTGCCTGGATCATGCAAATATCCGCCTCAAGTGGGAACCACATTGTTGGGATGATGATGCTTTAGCTTTGGAAGAGCAGAGTTCTGCATTTGTGAATTACTTGTGCGGTCTGAGTAATGTGGAATCTCTCAAGCTATGTTTGGACAAGGTACCAATTCTATGTTCTGTTAAAGCCATACTTATTTGTACTTTTGATAATGCAAATGCCCACCGATTGGGATTTTTTTTTAATGGTGGCTTTATTGCAAGTCGAAAGACTGAAGTAGTCAGTTCCGAGAGTTATGGTTTTGATACATTATTACTGTGCTTCCATGTCAGGAACAGAGAAGTCATGAGGATGGGAAAGAGCACCACTTTCCTCTTAACAGAATTAAGGCGTTAATCGAGCATGAAGCCCCTCCCTTTACTAGATTGAAGACCTTGAGGATACAATGTGCAAACCAACGACGCCCGCCAAATGTACCGTATGAAGTAATTCGGTATTTTCTCGAAGGCTCTCCTAATACGGAAGAAAAGTTTGTTAAGTTCGAGATGCTTGCTGATCAGAAAGCGCAATAGTGGTTGTATACTGTCAAATGGTGTACCCTAGTTGCATATACGGTGCTTTCCAAAGTAGTTTTCTGATGAACTAAATACCAATGATGATTTAGCAGCAGTGCCCAAAGTAGTAGTTTCCTCCTTTTGCCGTGGCGAAGAAGATGCATAGCTTACTTTGAGCTGTCTAGTCTGGTTTATTATTTCTACTTGCTAGTCTCTTTTGCCGTTCCTTTGCAGATGTATGTATGAACTACCATCTTTTGTTTGAACGACGTGAAGGGTTATCTTGAAAATCGTAGGCATGAAAATAGCAGTTTAAGGTATAATGGAGGTATGCTAACAAGACTGCAAAATTAGTAGATATAAACACACAAAAACCGTGATGAAACATTCATCAGTTTATTGTCTATTCATTACAATCTGGTATCACAAACAATGATAAACACACACAAACCGTTTGTGGTGGTCACAATTGCAGGCTCACAAGCAATGTAAGGTGGTTTAAAGTTGGATGACTATTTTGTTTAAGAATTAAGAGTAAACAATTTTAGCACCCAAAAGTTAAGTGACCATTTCTGCAATTTACCCCAGAATTTAAATACTACCTTCACATTAGCAAGTGGCAGAAAGAACTCTTCACACTCTTTCACTGTCACTCTCCCATCCCAACTGTGCTTGTGGCTTCTGCATGGTTTGGTGCCCGGAAACAATTCGTGATTCCCACTTCCCCCTCCATTGTTAAAGAGTTCCATGGTATGTATAGTTTGCTCATCTTCTAATTAACGCCATTTAGCTCCCAGAAAATGAATCTGTTATTGTTTCCATCCAAGTCCGCATGCTATAGTATACTGTGCTGTGCTGTGAGCCCTAAGTGCTCTGATTTGTTCTTCACCTGTATTTCTTCCTTCTGAACTTCTATACCATGCCATTTCTTATTTCGATTCATGAGAATATGCGGTTACTGAGCAATCCACGTTTGTAGATTGTTGCATGCTATCTCTTTGTTATTTCACCACATATATGATTGAATAATGCTATTCCCCTGTTGTGATTATTATCTATTTCTGAAAAAGGGAGGAAGATGATGGCCGGGAGTTCACAAGAGTCCAAGAAACTCAAGAGGATCCATGCAGTTGACAGACTGAGGGGCCTTCCTGACAGCATCCTTCATCACATTATCTCGTTCCTCGACTCGAAATCTGCAGTTCGAACCAGCCTTCTGGCGAGGAGGTGGAGATGTTTGTGGAAACATGTTCCTGTCCTCAATTTTATCCAGAAATCCTTCCCTAACTTGTCGAGTTTCACAAAGCACATACACAGGATCTTGTCTCTCCGCTTCCATCAGATCCCTGTCAGCAGCATTACCTTCAAAATATGTGGAGATAAGTGGGGAGGTGCTATGAAAGCATTTGGAAAGATCATGAGATATGCTGACTCTCACGGTGGCGGCGGTCTTCACCGATTGTCCTTTATCGATGACAAAGTGCAATTCAACATCAGAGAGGTGACGGATGCCATCGCTGCTTATCATCATAATGAATCTCTCAAGATACTCATGCTGAGGAGATGCACTCTCGAGAGGGAATTCGATTCGCACTTCAAATTGCTTACGACTCTTGAGCTGCATAGATGCGACCTGAAACCTTATCCTGCTGGGAAGTTGTTTGATCCATTTGCTAATTTACCTTGTCTGAGCCACCTAAAGTTAGTTGGATGCCTTGTCTCTCATCATGACACTAGGTTTATGATATCGGGACTTCAGCTGCTTGTCCTTGAAATTCATTTTTCAGGTTCCATCAGTGAAGTGTGTGCTCCAAAGCTGAAATCTTTATATTGGTGGGGTAGTAGATCGCGATATCTCCCCAAATTGAATCTTCCTGCTCTTGATCATGCAAATATCCATGTTGTACTTACATTTAACGTGTCTCACTCCCCGTTCCAACGCGTGCGATTCTGTATCTCGGTTGGAGATAAAAAAGAGGTGCAATTAAGGTTCACTTGTAACTAAGCAATGAGCGTTACAAAGTCCCAAGAATAAAAGTGCCGATTGATTTCTCCAACGCTAATGAATATTTTCGCTCGGGCAGAACATGCATGCATGGGGCACTATACTGCTCTATATCTTGGTGAAGCAAACACTACAATTGGAGAGAAAGAAAATGGATGCAGAAACGCTCGTGGAAACCAAAAGAAGCCGTGCATGCAGTAATTGTGATGAAACCGACGACTGGGTGAGCGATCTTCCCAATCCCATTCTGCACCACATCCTCTCCTTCCTCGACACCAAATACACCGTCCAAACCTGCCTCCTCTCGAGGAGGTGGAGATGCTTGTGGAAAGACGTCCCCGTCCTCAAATTCAGCGGATTCTCGTTCCACCACGACGAAGATTCGGGTTTCGTCAATCACGTGACCAAGTTTCTTGCACTACGTTTCGACTCCGCCGCGGTTTCCAGCGTGGACATTGATTTCGGATTCGGCATGCGGGACAAAAATACCGCTTTCCAACTCATCGACAGCGTCCTGAAACATGCTGGTGCGGCATCCCGTGGTAGCAATAACCTTCACCACCTGTCCATTGCCCGTTTTGGTACGGACGATTCGTACGACGTCGTCGGCCGCATCATCGCCTACGGTCATCACGAGTCTCTCGAGACTCTCAAGTTGGCGGGATCCGAGATAAAGGTCGGGTCGTTGGACCGCTTCAGATTGCTTACATCACTCGAACTCAGCGATTGTTGTTTTTGCTCCACCGAGGAGGAGTCGTCGTCGCTCGAGCTCGATCCTTTCTCGAATCTCCCTCGTTTGAGTTATCTCAAGGTGATTGATTGTCGTACGTCGTCGAAAAATTGGTCGTTCGTGGTGTCGTCGGGCACCCAGCTGCTGGACCTCGAAGTTCGTGTGGCTCGTGATCACATGAAGGATTTTGACCTGGTCGATCGAGGTTTCTGCGCCGAAACTTGAATCGTTTCGTTTCGAGGTTTCGAATGTAGATTTGAAGAAGCGTCTCGACTTTGACCTTCCTTCTCTTGATCGCGCAAACATCCGCCTCTTGTGGTCGAATATCGACTTGCTCTTCGACCCTTGCCCGTTAGAGACGATGAGGGAGCAGATTCGTTCTAATTATATGAACCTGTTGCGTGGTCTGCGTAATGCAAAGTCTCTCGTCCTAGGTTTTGTTCAGGTGAGTAGAATATTCTATCTTTTATCGAGTTTACACAGTACATTTCACGAAGAAACAGATTATTCATCGCCCATTAATTGTTGTGTTTCCGTAATGGTGGAATTCCAGCCTCACTGGGAGGACGACCACGTTCCCCTCACGAACATGAAGTCTGTGATGGAGTCAGAAGCCTCTCCTTTCAACAGGCTAGAGATGTTGAAGGTACAGTATAATCGCCGGCCAGACACGAGCATACCTTGTCACATGATTCGCTATTTCTTGGGAGGCTCCCCGAATTTAAAAGAAAATTTCGTTCGACTTGAGATGATTACGGATTGTATGCTAGTGTGGAGTGGTTGCTAATAAGGGGTTGTTTCGAACATGTAATTTTTCAAATCGATGAATTGAGTTAATTAGTGTATTATCATTTGTTGCATTAGATAAATATCTTGTTTAGAGATTTAGATTGTGTTTTTCTTTTTTATACTGGTGATATAGGGTTTTTTATTATTATTATTAAGGTATTATTTTAGTTATTCGAACCTCAGACCTTCATATTCTAGACTAGTGGTATTACCACTAGGTTAAACCCTTATTCGTTTAGATTGTGTTTTTGTTGTAATCCCACAAAAGTTAATTTTGAGTGATTGTTAACCATTTCTACTTTTTGTTGAGATTGATAATCCCTCAAATTTGATTGATTGCGCTAGGTCCCCCCTAAAAATTAATGCATGCATTCTAGTTCAATATAAGCCAAAAAAAGGACTGAATCTCACAAATACATAATTAGCTCAATACACCATCTAACAATAGTCTTTTTTCTAGTTGAAGATCCTCGATCTCATAGCTACCGTGAGCATATTGTAAACTCTTTCAAACTTTTGTTTTGATGGATTATCATGGATACTTAATTATCTGTTTCGGCATTTTTTTTCATAATGAACGCATCGGTTTTGATTTTCAATCGTTAAATAAGTAGAGGAGTGGATAGAATGTTAACCCTATATATATAGAAAAAATACATAAATAATTAGATTTGAAACCAATGCAAGCTATCATATTATCGTAGAAATACTTACAATGGAAGCAAATTGTAAATGATTGTAATTGTTAGGAATCAGAAGAAGAAAAGGTAGAATTTTCCACCCAAAATAAAGAAAGTAAAACGACCGGAGCTGACAGGATCAAAAGGCAAAAAACGACAACCAATTATTTTCCTAGTACTAATGGGGAAAGGAAAAACTCCCCTTAAAAGATCCATCACAGAATCGCGTCCGTATGTATAAATACAAATCCCACCGTTGGCCTTCAACAGCTGTCGAGAGTTCTTCCACAAACCCTATATTGTAAGCTTTACACAAACCCTAATTAACGAAGATAACGGAATGGCGACGGCCGCCGAGTACTCGAAGCAACTCAATCGGAGCGACCATCGTGGTCTTCAGGAGGAAATCATCACCGGCAGCAGCAGGTTCGACGATCTTCCCGACCACATTCTGCACGACATCCTCAGCTCTCTCGACATCAAGTTCGCCGTTCGAACCAGCTCGCTGTCGAGGAGATGGAGGAACACGTGGAAACACATCTCCGTCCTCAACCTCTCCACGGGGGAGTACACGTGGCGGAGTTTCGGGCCATCTATTCGCAAGACTCTCCAATCTCTCTCGTTCACTGCCGCCAGCATCACCCGGCCCGCGCCGCCGACAACGGGCTCGGGCTCGATTTCATCGTGGGCCGCATTGGGCTGCTGGATCAGTCTCTCAAGACTCTCAGGCTGGAGGCGTTCCCCCTCAACGGTGTTGACGTCATCGCTGAAACTGGCTTCCACCTGCTGACCACGTTGGAACTGCGCCGCTGCAAGTTCTACGGCGTCGAGTTGCCTTCGTTGGAGAATCTGCCCGGCCTGAAATGCTTGAAGCTGGTCGATTGCAAGTCGTACTATCCCGTGACGGTGTCGGTCCCCCGCCGGCTGCTGGAACTGGAGATCCGGCTTTGTTATTACGACGGCTTGAACCTCGTCCGCGTGATTGCTCCGAAGCTCGAAACGTTTCGGTTCTCGGGCTACCTGACCCAGTTGGAGCGGCTCGATCGGTTCGACCTCCGTTCCCTCGACCGTGCCAGCATCGGGCTCGTCTGGATCGAGGCGCTCGCCCTGTACGGGCGCTCGCCTACGAGGATGATGGAAGAAATGAATCGTGTTTTTGGGAACCATCGCGAGACGACGGGGGAGCTGAATCGCGGGTTTGAGAACTTCCTACTTGGTCTGCGTAATGCAAAGTCTCTCGACCTGAATTTTTTCAAGGTATGTATGTGTTTTTAAGGTTTGGTGAATATGTTAGGGTTAAGATATACACATGTGTAAATTGGGCATGCACTTTTTTTTTTGTGTGTGTGTGTGGAACTTTTAGGGTTTAGCCTAGTCAAATTGGATCTCTAATTCATGCCCAAATGTACGCTTTTGATTCTGTTTTTGTCTCGACAGTTAGAAAGTACGAGCCGGTGTAACCTGCTCAAATGCCCTCATGCCGTAGCAAAATTGTTAATGGTGGACAAAGTTTCTCCGTTCACAAAGTTGGAGATTCTGAGGGTTCAATATTCACATGAATCGCCGATTATGGATGATAAAGTGTTCCGATATCAATTTAAAACCCCTCGTGTTGCTGAAGAAAATATATGCTCAGAGTACGTAATTGAGAAGGTTTGTGACGTTGAAGGCTCTCCGTCGTGATGCAAACATGGAAAGGATGGCAGTATGGGTCCTCTTTTTCTGGAATTTAACCTAAAATTGTGTTCCCGTGATGGAATTTCAAATTTCAATCATCATGTATTTGTTTTAATTTGTAGATAATTTTTTATGGCAAAAAATCTGTAACCGTGGGTATCCGTTCGAATCCGACCTAATCGGGTAGTGTAATATCCAAACTCGAAGGACTTTTAGTGGGTACGGATAAGACCCGAACCCGAATATTGCGGGTAATGGGTGCCCATGATTTTCTCACTATCCAACACGAACTCGCCGGATTGTAACATGCATATGTATTTTGTCTAGAAATAATCATTAATTTCTCCAACATACTTTATATTTAGCATATAAATATAATATTTTCATGAAATTGTATTGTTTTCATTCTAGTGAATTATTGTCGTACTTTCACGTTATGTAATGTGTGAATATGTGTGAATGGCAATATATTGGTTGTAGTTTTAAAGAGAATTCTCATCCATAAATAACTATTGATACTCGAAATCCGAACGGGTATGAGCATAGTTTTGATTATCCACCTGTTTCTTATGTGAATATGGGTATGGGGAATTCTGGAGCTAGTCGCGTCCGTACGTATAATACAAATCCCGCCGTTGGCCTTCAACAGTTGTTCCAGAGTTTTATATTGTACAAGCTTTACAATAAACCCTAACGAAAAGATAACGGAATGGCGGCGGCGGCGGCGGCCGAGTACCCGAAGCAACTCAATCGGAGCGACCATCGTGGTTTTCAGGAGGAAATCATCATCGCCGGCGGCAGCAGGTTCGACGACCTTCCCGACCACATCCTGCACCACATCCTCGGCTTCCTCGACATCAAGTTCGCCGTTGGAACCAGCTCGCTGTCGAGGAGATGGAGGAGCACGTGGAAAGAACTGAGTCGTGTTTTTTTCGCGAAGCATGGCGAGAGGATAGGAAGACAGAATCGCGCGTTTGAGAGCTTCCTGCTTGGTTTGCGTAATGCAAAATCTCTCGATCTGAATTTTGTCAAGGTATGTACGTACAATGTACATGCATTTTTTTTGTTATGAACTTTTAGCCTACCCAAATTGGGTTAGTATCTAATTCATGACTCTTGACATGATATCATAGCTTTTTATGATCGAGAGGTCTTCCGTTCGAATTTCGTCGACCCTCGTTTGTTAAGCACATGGTATACGAACATGTGCAAACTTCAAATCCACCTCAAAGTCATACATCAACAACACTTAAGTAAACAAACTTATTATGCAACCCACGCAACAGCTTTTCATATTTCCTCGTTCTTTTGAATTCGCATTCGTACTGCAGTGTTGCGACCCCACTGATCACCCCAACTCACTCGAATCATCGCGCAGTCCAGCGAAGGAAGGTCCAAGTTCTCGAGTTCCACCGTCGAATAGTCGTAGTAAAGGAAAAACTTCAGCTTCGGAGCAACCACATCGATTCCTTCAGGCGAGTGTACATTCAAAATCTCCAGGCGAGTGTACATTCAAATAAATTCAAGCATGTTACTCCATGAAACCCACATCACCAGGAAACCATTCTTAATCTTTTCCTTCCCTGTACAATAACTATTTAGTGGGTCGACGTGACCTTCTTTGTTACTACTTTGATCGGTCGATACACTGGTTACCGGTCAACTTCAATCATCTATAGCATTTTTCACACCCTGTATCACGGCTGTTTTTTACGGGTCGGGAAATAAGAGGGATCGACAAGCAAGAAAAACTGAAAAGCACGAACACACACGATTTACGTAGTTCATTAACACAATGTGTGTTAGCTAGTCCACGAGCAGGAGAGAACCAGTTTCACTATACTTAAAGAGATACAAAAAGTATGAGAATGATTTATAGTACTTCTTCAAGGTCTAACCCTAATCCAATCTGGTAAAGAAAAAACAGTTACAGACTAAACCCCTGTGACTTCCAGTCTGATAGAAACCTATTTAGTAGGGTTCAGTTATTAATTATGGTATGATATTATTATTAGGGTTAGTAGTCTTTTAGTCGTATTAGGGTTACTATTAGGTTTTTCTATCTTTCCCTATAAATATGTACTTGGGTATTCAGTTATAATCAATCAAGAAAGTTAATACGAAATCATCCCAACCCTAGTCTATCTTTGTCCCTCAACCTCGTGTCTCTCTATCTCTCTCCAAAGCTTCGGCTGTTCTTCCTCAATCCCTAAAATTCTACTCTTTTTCCCCAAATTCTATTCTTAATCCCTAAATCCCAAACTCACGACCAGACCCGATAGAACCCTAATTCCAGGTTCTATCATTTGGTATCAGAGCCAACATGAGTCCTTCGAAACTCACTGATCCAGCATGGGCTCGTACGAGACAGTTGATCGAGTTCACGCTCTCTGAACTCAAGCGAGAGGCGCAGGACCACGGGTGGACAGCAGCAGCGGCGGAAGAGGCGGCCGATCCGTCCGCGGTGATCGCCGATCCGTCGGGCCCGACGCGGCGCACGAGTGGGGCGGTGCTCGAGCTGGCGGCGGAAGCGGGCGGCGGGCGCGCGAAGAAGGAGGGAGGCGCGCGGCTGCCTCGAGAGGATGATGGTTACGCGACCACTACAGTGGCTACTGTAGCTGTGGTAATCCAAGAGCTGCCGAGTTCTACAAGATCAGCCACCATACCTCCTCCAGCTGCTGTCGAAGAAGAAGGTAGGGCTGCAGCGATCCCAGGCGAACAGAAGCTGTCTCCGGCGACGTCTACAACACTTGCTTGCCTCATCGCACCTGCACCACCGATCACCATTGTTGGGGCTTCAAAGATCCCAGTCTCCTTGGTCGAGACGAAAGAGTCGTGCGGGAAGATGACTGAATCGGATCTGGAATGGGACGAGACATTAAAGGTGAACTTCATAGAGTCCCAACCTTTACTTAGTGATTTTATGAGGAAGAATGTAGGAATCAATTGGAAGTCTCGCAAGAAGAAGCACGGGACCAACAAAGAGGAATTGAAGACCGCCATATCTCCTATGACCTCGATCGTGAGATCGTTGGCCACGCCAACGATCGCATATCAAGCAGGAGCAACCTCCGTCGGGTCCCAAGCCATCATCACCACCGAGCAACCCGTCGGCATCGCCGCCGGGTCCAGCAAGGCAGAGTCGACCCCGCCTGCCCCTACAAATGCAGAAATGCGGGCAACTAGGAGCCCTGAGGTTCACTCATCGTGGACCGAGCTCCGCCTCGACGGAGAGCGACGACGCAAGATGGGGACGACGAACCGCCAAAAGGAATCACCCTGGTCAGGAATCCGGCGAGGAGTGCGACGGCAACTTGGTCGTCGGGTTGATTGCTTGCCGCCGGAAAGAGAAGAAGCGACGGGCCGAAAGACAAAGTTGGAGACGAGAAAGGAATCGTGTTCCTTGCCGATGGAGGAGAGTACGCTGGAGCTAAGATATACGGTCACTCCGTTCGTGATGACCCTGGACTGGAGGCCGCAAGCTGCGCTACGGGCGACATCGAAGGGGAGAACCGAGTCGGCGACGTGCATGGCTATGCCAGGCTTGGCTTCCGATCGGCTGTGGGTTCACCTTTGGTCGGTGGAGGAAATGAGGACGAGGAGCGGCGGCGGGTGCCATCCTCTCGCAAACCTAGTGCGCTCAATCCAGGAGCACTCGGTAGTGGGTCGAGTTGCTTGGGCCAATTGGGCCCATCTAAAGCTTGGATTGAAGTTGGGACGTTCGGGGCCGGGTGTTGAAGCGTATAGGTGGAGATTATTGCACGCTTGGGTGGTGGATATTGATCCACTATTATTGTTGTGCGAGGCCAGGCTTAAGGAAGGTTCAGGTGGGCAAGTCGTGCAGGAGAAGGAACCGAGGGAGCAGGGAAGTGGGAAATGGATGCTTGGGTATGTTTCGGGTAGTTGTAAAGGACCACAAGAAGTGAAAGCATGGGTCCAAGAGATGCTCAATAAGTGGATACCAGCCTACGACGCATATTACAGTAAGGAAATGTGGAAGTGTCATTCCATGCAAAAGGGTGGGATTGTTTTGGATCTTGCACATTCTTATTATGTGGAATTTGAAAGGGCAGATGCCGGCTTGGGTGATCATGGGTATCATGGGAAGAGTCACGAGGGTGGAAAAGAATCGATGGAGGCCATAAATGCTTGTGCTAGAAGTCTTGTGAGAGTACACGAGCGTGATTGGAAGAAAAGGAAGCGCAAGAGATGGTAGAGCCAAGGTGCGGTTTGCACGGACGCCGTGAAGAAGTGGATCAAGTTGGTCAACCTTGAGGGCAAGGTTGGTCTCAAGGGGGAGGGGATGATAGAAACCTATTTAGTAGGGTTCAGTTATTAATTATGGTATGATATTATTATTAGGGTTAGTAGTCTTTTAGTCGTATTAGGGTTACTATTAGGTTTTTCTATCTTTCCCTATAAATATGTACTTGGGTATTCAGTTATAATCAATCAAGAAAGTTAATACGAAATCATCCCAACCCTAGTCTATCTTTGTCCCTCAACCTCGTGTCTCTCTATCTCTCTCCAAAGCTTCGGCTGTTCTTCCTCAATCCCTAAAATTCTACTCTTTTTCCCCAAATTCTATTCTTAATCCCTAAATCCCAAACTCACGACCAGACCCGATAGAACCCTAATTCCAGGTTCTATCACAGTCGTAGAGGCTGATAGTCCAGTTCATGTCACATCAACACCTTGCAAGATATTCAGTCTGAGAAATGGAGATGCTTCCTGCCCCAGCTGTTGGCGTGAAACACCATTGTTGCTGTTATGCAACCCACAAAAAATGACTCGACATATGCCTCATTCAACCTCTAGTTCATCGTCTCGAAGCTGTGGAAAAAGGAAAGGTTTCTCAGCTCTGGAGCAACAAGTTTAACAACGTACGGTGCATTATTCAAGACGTTTTTACCTTTCTCAAACTTAACGATCTTCTCTTCTGCATTAGACGAGCGTTCGAAGAAATAACGGATCACGTGATCATGTAGCGCGATTGGTTGTGGGTCTTGTGGGTACTCCACCCTCAAGATCTTCAGCCTAGTAAACGGAGACGCTTCCGACTCCATCGCCGACTTCATGTTGTTAAACGGGAATTCGTGTTCTTTCCACTTCCAGTAATATATCTGATAACGAGAAAAATAGAGATATGAGAAAGATTCATCTATATAGGTAGGAGAAATCAGTTTTACTATATATACTCGAGGATGATACGAGTTATACAGAGAAGTTGACAAGGTACGATAATCCGATTTCAAGTCATATAACAACATTAACGAGTCGTTTTTCTCCAATAAATCCGTAAGTAAACAAAACTGATCATTCAGTCATTTACCTTATCAAAACGCAGTGCGAGAGATTTTGCATTACGCAACCCACGCAACTGCTTCATATATTCCTCGTTCTTCTGAATCAGCGCCGCCGTGTCAGGACCCCGTCGATGATCACCCCAGCAGACTCGAACAACCGCGCGGTCCAGCGAAGGAAGCTCCAAGTTCTCGAGACACTCCGCCGAATAGCCGTGGAAAACGAAAGATTTCAGCTTCGGAGCAACCACGTCGATTCCTCTAACCGAGTACACTCCTGAGATCTCGAGGCTCAGGAGCTCGAGCCCCGAGATCTTCAAGCTGCACCGTGACAACGAGCACGAATCAAGCTTCAGGCGGTTCAGCCTAGGGATACCGACAAAAGGGTCACAACACGACGAAAACGTGCAGCCACGGAGTTCGAGATTCGTCAGGCTGATGAACCCCACGGAACCAAAAGCGTCGCCGTCCTGGAGACTGCAGCGGGCCAACTCGAGAGCCTCGAGAGACTCGTGATGGCCGTGAGCCGTCAGCGACGCAGCGAGCTTTTCGAAGTCGGCGTACAAAAATGTCGCCAGATTGCTACCGTGCACTCCCAGTCGGCGAAGATTAGTACGAGCATACTTCATGACCGTATCGAAAAGGTCCGTCTCCAGTTCCCAAACGGTATTGGTCACGTCGATGGTGACGCTGGAGACGGCTGCGGAGGAGTCGTCGGGTCCGCCGCGGCGAGACAGAAACTGGACCACGTGTTCTCTGAACTTGGCTTGGCGTATGTGGCGGTGGTGGGGCGCGTGGAAATTGAGAGCGTGGACGTTTCCCCACTGGGATCTCCACCTCCTGGACAGGACGCTGGTTTGTACGATGTGGTTCGTGTTGAGGAACGACAGGATGTGGTGCAGAATGTTGTCGGGAAGATCGCTCAACCTGTCGCCGTTTTCTTCGGACTGGCGGGTTGACCCGTCCGAGTTCCCTGCAGCTGCCATGTTCGCCATCGCCGCTCTTTTCTTTTTCCAAGAAAAAAAGTTGAGCTACCCCGGCCCGTGAAGAACAGTCGACCGATTAGGGCATAGACAAGATGACGACGATTAATGCCTTACGGTAAATTTGGGGTTAATTACATGAACGGTCCCTCAAGTTTACACTTTGGAACAACAGGTCTCTTAACTTTGATTTCTGAAACTTTAATGACAAGTTTTTTTTCCTTCGTATTACAGTAAATTAGTAAAAGTAGGTCATATTCATATTGTTAGAATTAACGGATGGAGCCGGCTCTATTTTAACCATACTTATGGAAATCGCACCTTGTTACACCATCAAACTTAAATTAGTTAAAACTTCGTTAACCAAAGTTATTCTGGATAGCTAAACCTCGCCCTAGTTTTACTATTATCGCCCTAATTTAAAACATACTACTACTAAATTGTTCTTCGTTAACTAAACGAAAATCAACAAAACAAACAGCCCCTAAAATCCCTAATTCTCCTCCATCTCCGTCAAACTAGAGCGGCTAAACAATCCTGCGCCGGCACAACCCATGGGCTCCAAACGACCACCGCTGCCGACCGTTAATGATCCAACCATCCTTCCTCAAGCGGCAAGCCATCCCTTTTCTAAATCAGTCAGTATTCACTATTCAGAGGAGATATAATCATCCATCCATCCTCTTAGCTTGACTATCCCATCCCCGACAACTCTGTATAAAAAATTGTAAATGGCTTTGTGAAAAACAAATTCTCTTCCCCGGTAAATGCACGTTTTAGTTTCATTACCAATCCATGTACAGAAATCAGGATTCTACGTCCTTCTATCTTAGGAGTATGCTTCGACGGGAATGGTACTTTTGACGCCTTTTTAATGGCGGCCGGAGGTGGATAGTGTTGGTGGCAACAGGTAATATGGTGGCGGCGGGGCCAGGTAGTGACTGATGGCAGTTAACGTGAATTAGTTTTTTTTGGGTAAAATCAAATGTATGTGTTAGCATAAAGTATTTTTTTAATAATAAAAAAGGAGGGACAAAGAGGTAAAATCTTAATTTTAAGTTAGGGCGATTAGGGCTATAATTAGCAATCCCCAAGTTATTGGGACAAGTTGGTTTATGATATATGGTATCAGAACCTGATTTATTTTTGAAGTCACGTGTTCAAGTTCTCATAACCTCCGATATTAACCGTTGTTAAAGCAGCGAATGATTCAAAAGACGCTCTTTCTAAAGGACAATAATAGTATAATGTCAGGGTGATGATGGAGCACATGAAAAGCAATATAGGTGCATTTCACCAAAAGGAATTGGCAATACGGATAGCCTGCCTGCACCGATCCAAAGCGTGCCACACAGCCTCCTCCAAACTCTCCCCTGCAATCCCAATCCCATCTTTCGGGATGGCAGCCAAAGCCACCTCCATCTGCTCCAAAGCTCTGAGCAGCTCACTGACCGTCCTCTCTTCCGCGAACCCTCGTTCCTTGAGCAGAAAGGCTTCCTTCCTGGCCCCCTCTGCTGCTTGCTTCCCGAGCTTTACCATCCTCTCAATGTTATAGTTCTCCATCATCGACCTCTCGAGTCGCTCCAGGAGATCAATCATCACATGCCCTATGCGTTGCTGCGAGTCTGGTTTGGCGGCGCCATTGCTGTTGCTGCAGCTGATGATGGTCCGTCTGACGATTGCTGGTGGTGGGTTGTTTCGACGACTCTTCTGTGTGAACCTCGGTGGGAAGGCAGGGGAGGGTTGAATTGCCGCAGTGTTTGGGCTGCTGCAGAAACGGTTGGACTGAGGAAGATCAGGGCTTGGTATTTGGAGGGACGATGGAATGTGTGTGGAAGCCATTAGAGTAGGCACCAAAATGGCGAAGGAAAGATGGAGAATGGAAGAAGAATGAGCAGACAAGGCTGAGCTATATAACTTTTCTGGCCGTTTGAACCAGTGAAGATAGTTTGGCAGGATATTAAAAGCTCAGCTGCCAAACCAAACTTGCAGGCTGCAGCTACCAACCACCAACAGCATTAATACCACAGTACATTCTCTTCATACTTTTCAATGAACATATTTCAACCAGAAAATGACTCCACAAGTATCACTTGTTGTGGTAAGAATCGTTAAGTTCAGGGCCAATATATCCAAATTTCTCGCGGGGACTGCACCCGCAGGATCTTCAGTCTCATAAGACGAGATGCTTCCAGCTGCATCTACAAATTCAGATACATTACAACATACAGTAATAGGACAATCGATCACTACGTAATTCAGATAGCTGGAACCTGCAGAAGATTGCAGAAATTATCTGAAGCAGAGAACTGCTGCTGCAGGAGCCATCCGCTATCCGATCGACTGTGATCAAATGAATCCTTGAGGGGTACTTAGAGCCAACTCCCTGTGCTCGAGCAGTTTTTTTTTTTTTTGTAAGTCTTCACTCTTGTCTTTCTTCAACTTGTCCCGTGCTCTCTTTCTTGGCGATTTCCTCCAAAAATGTTAATTTGAACTTTTGCTGGCTGCAAATAATACCGATGCAGAGAAAGTGAACTTCTCATCTTTCATTCTAGGTGCGAATGGGGAGACCAGAAAGGGAATGCCTCTAACACAGAACTGCTGCTACAGTTGCCAGCTGATATCCAACTGACTGCAATCAAACGCGTCCTTAACTCTACCGAGGGCCAACTCCCTGTGCTCCATCAATTTCTTCAAGCCATCGGCCGTCTCATTGTTCACGCCATCAGATGCTCTCTTTCGAGGCAATTTCCTTGAAAATCCTTTCCATTTTGATTCAAACTCGCAGGCTGCATACGAGACAGGTATAGAGAAAAGTGAGAGTCTGTGGGTGGATGAGGATAGCCAGAGAGGAAGGGGGATGCATTTTGACCCGGGGATATGGGTACTTTCTCCACAACCAATCAATCAAAGATGAAACATTGTGGCTTGGTTGAATGATTATAGAGTAAAAATGTATAAGAGATGGTGTCAAATTTGCAGTAATTCACCTTTACTCCGGTTGCAGAAGCCTTGTATTAAGCAAGCACAGAACCAGGGCCTCCCTGAGCGTGATGCTCTCGCTCCACCTTTGAGCTCCCCATTGTGCTGTCTCAACCTGTAGAATGTAGAAAGCCAACGCCAAAACAGAAAAAAATCTTCTTCAATCCTACGCAATGTAAGCTATGGGAATGCATCAAAGCTTCTGCAAGAAATGGGGTTACCAACATCTCATAATGGCAATATCAGTACACGCATCAAATTGTTATCATTGTTGTCCCTAACTGTACAAGACGTGGGTGAAAAAAAGTTGGTCACTTTCTGATGAAACCGGTAACATATGGGAGATTAGATTCTACTGCCATGCTATAAGGCGTTTATGCACCTCAATTCAAGCTCTAATCTAGGACTAGGGGAACCAAACAGTAAAAAGGTATGAAGACTCTCTGAAGACTGTATTTTTGCAGCAATAAGCACATTTCCGATCAACATCCCCGTTCCTAGAGCTCCATGGAAACAATATCATACACTCTACAAATTCATCTGGAATTCGATCATTCAACTATACCAAGACAAGCAAACAAAGATCTGCCCCCGATTCCAATCGATACCCGAAAGCAACCGAGTGCGACCCAGATGAGCATACACGTCGAATTCTATGAAATCGGAGAAGAAGTACCAACTCACCGGCGGGAGAAATTAGTAGTGACGCCGACGTAGGTTTTGATTGGGGGATTGGTGGAAGCGATGAGGTAAACACACCAAGACCCTGATTTCGAGCTGGACTCCGCTTGCGCTGAAATGGATTGCGGTGTTCGTTGCGGCAGCGTCGTCGAAGATGGTAACTTTGGCGATTTGAGGTTCGGAGACTTGACGGACCGGAATGTCTCGGACAACGGCCGCGCTGTCATCTCTGGTTTCCGGGGAAATTCGAAAGTTCTCTGGTCTCCCTCCCCTTTTTTATCGAAGCGGTGAAATGAAATATTGGCGAAGGAGGAAGGAAGGATGGCCAAATTACATAACAGCTGCCGAAGTTAAGAGTTATTATCTTCCTAGTCACTAAACTTTTACTTGGGAGAAATTTCTAGCAGGACTAGAAAACTTTATAGTAAAAGGAATAATAGGTAAAAAATTTCTTCCAAGCATCCATGAAATGGATGAAATATATAACACGAAGAACAAAAGAGTAACTGTATTAGATCCTTCAATGAATGGATGGAAGCAGGGGAAGAGATTTTGAATGAATGGAAATGCTAAAAACGCTGTCAGTTAACAGCTCTCATGAGTTTACTTGCATAAACATTCTACTGTGCAAGGCAAAGAGTATCTCAGCTGAAGGAAAGATGGTAAATTTGCTGAAATATCAAAATCTGCTGCAAAACTGTGTGGGGAAGCTTGTTGGGCTCTCTCCCCCTGGCATCTAATATCTTATGAACTTCCGTTCATTACTACTATCGCTTGATCGTCCGTAAGGGTTGCTAGCGCTGAACCTACCTTTCTTCCTGTTGCTGTTGGTCTTTCTGAACTTGGAGGCACTGCTGTCGATGTTCAGGTTCACCTTTGGTGGCCCAGAGAAGCCAAATGAAGCTGCTACCTTCTGTAGATTGAGGCGGTGGACGTTGAAGATATCTTTCATGGAGTGTGAGTTGTATGCCAATATGTAAGACCGGTAAGCTTCTTTCGCCGAGTTCCTCAATTCATAATTGGACACCATCAGTTTCTCCTGCAACAACCCGCAAGCAGAGTCCAGCTGAATTCTTCCCCGAAGTGAGCTTCTTTTCAGCAAGTTCAGGCAAAATTAGTAGAAAGGATGAAAGTCAGTTACCAGGAACGTCTGAATATTTGCTATCTTATCCTCATTCGTATCCTTATCTTTAACACATTCGTACTCATTCACGGGGACTTTTGCTTCCTGAAAGGAACAGTCACTACAGCTTACAGCAAGAGCGAAGCTCAGGCCGTAAAAGTTCCAACCAAATCTGTCATACCTTCAAATATCGCAGAAATTTAAGCTCCTCTGGAAGTAGGAACAATAAGGCATTTCCTTTTGCACCTTCTCCACGTGCTGTTCGCCCAACCCTATGTATGTACTCCTTGGGGTCATCAGGAGGATCATACTGCAGAATCCAATCCTGCACAGCAAACAGAACAAAGAAAACCAGTTATGTGAGCTAGCCAAAAGGATAGATCAGTTATCAGCTGTACCCTTAAGAAGACGAGGGAAAAAGGCCCATACCACAGCGGGTATATCAAGTCCACGAGCAGCAACATTAGTGCATAGCAAGATCCCTTTCTCATCTTTACAGAATTTAAAGAAGGTCGTGGTTCGCTTCTCTTGCTTTTGTTTTCCATGGATATCATCACATTCTATTTTGATGTAATTAAGAAGTGCTGAATGGAACTTGACAGAATTGCATGACGAGAAGAAAACCATCACTTTCTTCGAAGTGTTCCTCATCAAGAAAGTGTAAAGACAAAGAAACCTCTTTTCGCTCGGTACTATGATGTAGCCCTGCTGAAGACCTTCATTGGTAACCTACAATATTCACGCGGTTTGATAAGGTCGGGAACCATGCTACATATATCTTCTGCTTTCTCAAGGAATCAAACCACTGCGCATCATACCTTGTGTCTCCCATCATCAACATCAATATAAACAGGAGTCTTCTGAAACGACAATCGAGCAAGGTCCTCCACCTGTAAGCCAATTCAGCACAAATTAACAGAAACTGAATGCTTCCCCTTGCCCAGAGAATTCATGCAAAAAAAGGACAAGCTCTGGCAAAGGAACACTTGTAAAGAAAATGGAAGTAAAAATCATTCTAAGGAAGCATCTGCAAGAAACTGGCCTTTCTAGTTTGTGTAGCTGAAAACAATGCAGTCTGCCTGGTCTGCAGATCAAAGAGCAATTTGTCAGTGAACAAGATTACAACATTGAAGGTGCAAAATGAAAAAAAGGGGATAGAATGATAGCAGAGGATACCTTCGGTAAAAGCTTGATAATTTTTTCCATTTCTTCCTCAAAGTTGGCCTCCAGTATCCGGTCTGCCTCGTCAATCATCAAGCACTACAAATTTCCCTCAAGAATCAGCAAAAGCCCTCCCATCCCCTAGGATTCTTGAGGGATGCTACCCAAACTAATGCTTCCAGAAGTTCGAACAACAACACATACAAACAAATTGAAAGAAAGAATCTAGAGAAGTTACTTTCAAGTTCTTATAAACAAATCCTGTGGTAATTTGAAGATGATCAAGAAGCCGACCAGGAGTAGCAACCAACAAGTTGAACCCTTTAACAATTTGCTCGGCTTCTTGTTTCCTTGATGCACCACCAATAACCAGCCCAAGAGTCTGAGAATGGTACTTGAGAAGGCCTTCTGCCACTTTATGCGTCTGAACAACGTTGCACCACATCGATATGATGCGATAAAAATATCAAAATTTTCCGTAAACATCTACAACACTACCAGCAGGGTCATTTACCTGAATGGCAAGCTCTCTAGTAGGACAAATCACCACCACCCCGGTACCATTACGAGGAGCAAACCGAGTCCACAGCCGGTATCAGAAAGGCAAGGGTTTTCCCTGAACCTGTCCTTGCTGCACCTAAAACATCATTGCCCATTAGCAGAAGCGGAATCGCCCTGGATTGAATCTGTTTCGTCACGAAAGATTCCAAATTGTCACAAACATGTCTCAGTATAGTCAATATCAAAACAGATGCAGATCAATTCCCCATACGGCGTGCTACTCTTGTCAAGAAAACTCTGAATGCAGGCATCAAGTTAGTTCCTTTAGCATTACACCACACTGCAGTAAGTTCCATTTCTTTGCCAACTTCAAACCATTCGAGAATATAATAGCCTAGATTTAACCAATGTAGCACCATACTGTGCAAAAAACACTTATATACAAAATGGATTATTTGACTCTCTCAATTGAATATATGAAAAACAGAGCAATTGTTCTGGTGGGTACTGAAAAAAAAAAGCACAAAAAAGGGAAATCGAAATCGCAAGAGTCTGTACCTGAGTCAAATACTGGAATCCCATCTCCCGAATCGCCTTCCTCGTAGGCTCGGATAACTCCAGAGAATCAAACGAGTCACTGCTCATAATTCCGCCGCCGCCCCTCACTTTCTTCTCCTTTGACTTGCTCTCTGCTTCACCACCCTGATCTTCTCCCTGTCTCATTTCCTCCAACTTCCCCCCATCACCCTCGAATTCCTTCCTCACCACTATCTTCGTCTTCTTTCCTCTCTTCGTGTCTTTCATAACTTCCATCTCTTCCTCATCTCGACTCCCCTCTGCATTCTGGTTCCCCTCTGGAGCTTTATCAGTCTGATTTGCCGGAGTTTTCTTTCCCCTACTACGCTTTCGTTTCCTCTTCCCCTGCAGCTCGCCTTCCGGCTGCCTGTTCTCTGCTAGCACGGCCATGGCGCCAACTGCGATTGAAGTTTCCGGGAAAGAAGATTATTATATTAGGGTTTCTGCTATTTTGCAATTCGGTTCTTTTAGTCTAAAACCCGGCCACCGTCCAAGTCAAGTGATATTATATAGTTACTGAAAACACCCGCTACTAAAGTTTTATCAAGTTCCCTAAATTACCCTCTATCTAATTATACTCAACCTAAATAAACCCTAAGCCAACTGTAATTATCAAGTTCCCTAAATTACCCTCAAGGTAAAGATTCAACCTAATTTCTTTAGGTATTGGCTTCATTAAATCGGTTATCATGTATGTATGTAGTAGTCTCTGAAAGTGAAAATTGGAGATTATATTATAGCATTCATTAAAAAAGGACTATCATCGTCGCGATTTCACGGAAAATAGGGATGTTTTTGCGACGGCCGTCGAATTTCGTCTCAAACGATCTTCAGGAGGTGCTGTAAGAAAATTACATATGCGGTTTCAGGTTTCATATTGTGAAATTATTCTATAATTATATGAATCGGCCTAACTATCAAGATTTCACGCTTAATGTATCTCACCAAATAACTATTCACAATGTCAGTTTACTAGATTTGACGATTGACATTGAAATATAGCATTTAAATATCATTATTAACTTACTAACAGTACTACTAATAGTTTGACAATTTCTCCAAATTTAAGCTGGTGTCATGGAACCCCCTTAATAAACTCTAGCTACACCATATTGATAATCCAATTCGTGCTCCTCCATCTCCTCGACAGCGAGCTGGTTCCAACGGCGAACTTGATGTCTAGGAAGCTGAGGATGTGGTGCAGGATGTGGTCGGGAAGGTCGTCGAACCTGCTGCCGCCGCCGCCGATGATTTCCTCCTGAAGACCACGATGGTCGCTCCGATTGAGTTGCTTCGGGTACTCGGCCGCCGCCGCCGCCGCCGCCATTCCGTTATCTTTTCGTTAGGGTTTTTTAATGAAGTCTTTTCGTTAGGGTTTATTGTAAAGCTTTAACGATATAGAAGTCTGGACAACTGTTGAAGGCCAACGGCGGGATTTGTATTATACGTACGGATGCGACTAGTTCCAGTATTCCCGTACCCAAAACAGGTGGATAATCAAAACCATGTTTATACCCGTTCGGGTTTCGGGTATCAATGGTTATTCATGAATAAGAATTCACTAGAATGAAAACAATACAATTTCATAAAAATTATATTTATATGCTAAATATAAAGTATGTTAGAGAAATTAATGATTATTTCTAGACAAAATACATATGCATGTTACAATCGGGCGAGTTCGTGTTGGATAGTGAGAAAATCATGGGCTGGTACCCGCAATATTCGGGTCCGGGTCTTACCTGTACCCACTAAAAGTCCTTCGAGTTCGGATATTACACTACCCAATTAGGTCGGATTCGAATGGATACCCACAGTTACATATTTTTTCCCCATAGGTTATGCAAAAATTATCTACAAATTAAAACAAATACATGAGGATTGAAATTTGAAATTCCAGAAAAGAGGACACGTACTGCCATCCTTTCCATGTTTGCATCACGACGGAGAGCCTGCAGTATCAACAAATCTTCTCAATTACGTACTCTGAGCATATATTTTCTTCAGCAACACGTGGGGTTTTAAACTGATATAGGAACACTTTATCATCCATAATCGGCGATTCATGTGAATATCGAACCCTCAGAGTCTCCAACTTTGTGAACGGAGAAACTTTGTCCACCATTAACAAGTTTGCTACGACATGAGGGCATTTGAGCAGGTTACACCGGATCGTACTTTCCAACTGTCGAGACAAAAACAAAATCAAAAGCGTACAGACGGGCATGCCCAATGTACACATGTGTATATCTTAACCCTAACATATTCACCAAACCTTAAAAACACAATACATACCTTGAAAAAATTCAGGTCGAGAGACTTTGCATTACGCAGACCGAGTAGGAAGTTCTCAAACCCACGATTCAGCTCCCCCGTCGTCTCGCGATGGTTCCCATAAACACGATTCAGATCTTCCATCATCCTCGTAGGCGAGCGCCCGCCGTACAGGGCGAGCGCCTCGATCCAGACGAGCCTGATGCTAGCACGGTCGAGGGAACGGAGGTCGAACCGATCGAGCCGCTCCAATTGGGTCAGGTAGCCCGAGAACCGAAACGTTTCGAGCTTCGGAGCAATCACGCCGACGAGGTTCAAGCCGTCGTAATAACAAAGCCGGATCTCCAGTTCCAGCAGCCGGCGGGGGACCGACACCGTCACAGCTGGATTGTACGATTTGCAATCGACCAGCTTCAAGCATTTCAGGCCGGGAAGATTCTCGAACGAAGGCAACTCAACGCTGTAGAACTTGCAGCGGCGCAGTTCCAACGTGGTCAGCAGGTGGAAGCCAGTTTCAACAATGAAATCAACGAGGGGAAATGCCTCCAGCCTGAGAGTCTCGAGAGACTGATCCAGCCCGTGCGCGACAATGCGGCCCACGATTTGGCCGAGCCCAAGCCCGCTATCGGCGGCCCGTGCGATGGACAGATCCGGAACAGGGCGGCCGGTGGCGGCAGCGAATTTCATGACGGAGTCGAAGAGGTCGAGCTCCGACCGCACTCTGTCGCTGCGGTAACTACTTTCTATCTTGAAGTTGATGACGGTCGGAGCGGACGAGAGAGACTGCAGAGCCTTGGCAATAATGCACGGCCTGAAACTCCGCCACGTGTACTCCGCCGTGGAGAGGTTGAGGACGGAGATGTCTTTCCACGTGTTCCTCCATCTCCTCGACAGCGAGCTGGTTCGAACGGCGAACTTGATGTCGAGGGAGCTGAGGATGTCGTGCAGAATGTGGTCGGGAAGATCGTCGAACCTGCTGCCGCCGCCGCCGATGATTTCCTCCTGAAGACCGCGATGGTCGCTCCGATTGGGTTGCTTCGAGTACTCGGCGGCCGTCGCCATTCCGTTATCTTCGCTAGGGTTTATTGTAAGGCTTTAGAATGTAGGGTTTGTTGAAGAACTCTGGACAACTATTGAAGGCCAACAGAGTAGGGATGGCAATTTTGCCCTTACCTATGTGTATTTTACTATCCAACCCAATTGGGTTGGGTATGAAATCCAAATATATGGATATGGGTAAAGTTTGATGGGTTTGTACCCATACTCATTTACTTTAGGTTGGGTTGGGTTTATAACAAATGAATTTGGGTTTGTACCCATGTCCAAATACAAATTACAGTTTGGTACCTAAACTTAATAGATATGCATATTTAGTACCTTTTTTTTTTGCATATAAGTCCTCAAAATATTGATGGAAAATTACGTTTTGGTACCTAAATTTTTTTGGTCTTACATTTTGGTACCTAAATTTTTCAAGTTTTACAAATAAGTCCAATTTTTGCATGTGTAGTTAAAACACCCTCAAGTAAATGGATATCCATATTCAACCCATACCCATTTAGATAATATCCATATCTAACCCAAGCCCATATACAAACCCCAAACCCATACACACATCACCCAAACCCTACCCAAAATAAATGGGTCTACTTGGGTTTGGGCAAAATTACCTATGGGTGGGTAAATTGTCATCCCTACAACGGAGGGATCGCGATTCTGTGATGTTATTATGAAACCACAAAGGGGTTTATATAGATTACAAGACTTGGACAATAAGTAAGAGAATCATAATACTAAAAGGATATGATAATACTAAGAACTATACTATAAGGACAAGGAAATATAAAATTATTCCTAATCTATCTCTAACAGCTAGGGAAGTTTTTCCTTCCCATTGGTACTAGGAAAATAATTTGTTGTCGTTTTCCCCCTGCTCCCACCACTCCTAGTAAGTAATTACGGAAATACCAAACAAACACAATATTAATGGGTAGCAAACACAATAGTAAGTAGCAAAAGTTATGTACGTATAATTAAGCTGCGATTATCATATACTGCAAACCAAGGAAAATTCTGAAGGTACTAAAAGTGTGTATTTTGGAATTTTTTTTGAGTAGTACTATGATCCTATCTGCGATTATCATATCCTGTAAAAAATTTCCTACATGTTGCTGACAATACACCTTGAGGATAGTAGCACTCATACTTGGAGTCAGAGAACATGCATGACTTAAAATCCACGGGATTTATATATACTGACGGGATATTCTTTACCATTTCTTTCGCCGTGACAATTGATCAACAAAATCGAAGATAGATGCCTTGTACAAAAAATGGAAGTGGGTCGATTTTTTTTTTTTTTTTTGGCGTTAATTTGATAATCATACATAGCTTTATGACTCTCAAATCTCAATTAATTTCAGTCACAATGACAGGATCAATATCACTACTTCTCATGCATCATATCATCTCAAACTTCACCGACTTTTCCTTCTCATCGGGAGAGCCTTCGAAAAAATAGCAAATCGCTTCATAAGGTATACTCGGTACGAGTGGACGATTATACTGCACTCTTAACGTCTCCAGTCTTGTAAAAGGAGAGGCTTCCGACTCCATAATAGACTTCATGCCTGAAAGAGGAAGATGGTATTCCTCCCAAATTTGCTTCCACCATTCCTAGTAAGAAAACATAAAGTCATCTTGGTCATGAAACTCTTAATTTTTTTTTTTGTTCAACATAAATATTCATGGTCTAAATGTCAAGTATAACAAGAGAAGATAAACAGGAAGAAAAAAAAACACACATAACTTAGAACTATATATAGCTCGTTCTTTGTCGTAACTTTAGCTATACGCACCTGAGAAAAACATAGAACTTCATGGTTCGTGAAGCAGTGGCGGACCCAGAAATTTTTCATAGGGGTGTCTTCTTTTAAAAAATAAATTAAATAAAAATAAAAATAATTAATAAAAATAAAATTGTAAATATGAAAATACCTTACTCGTACATGTTAAAAAAGTTCATGATGTGTTTTCATATTCGAAAATAATTGTAGAATACACTTGGTGTCTATTGTGTTAAAAAAATTGTCTCTATATACACTAATAGACAATCATTCACGAACTTATCGCATATTCGATTTGTAAACTTGTTCTTGATGTAACCCAAAGCTGAAAGACTCTTTCAACGCTTGTCGTACAATCATAAAATCAATACAAATTAAGGGTAGTTTGAAATTAGTTTAATTGTTAGGTTTTTAGAATAATTAGAGATAGGGAATGCCATTTTACTATTACACATTTTTCATTACTGATTCTGGTAAATTAACACGTTAATGTGGGTGATTCAAAAATTAACCGAGGTGGTTATTATTTCAGTTATTTCAAATTTAATAACAAATTTTTAAAATTCTGAAGTTAAGTGAAACTTGTTGATTTACCAACACCCATGATAAATTTGAAATTCCACTGTTAAAACCCTGCAATCACATCGTGGCTCGTGCCCATAATTAAGTGTTGGAGACATGCATGCACGTACGTAGCTTTACGGGGGGAAAGCCAAACCCAGCCCAGCCCAATGCTCATAACAAATCAGACGTGGGCCGGGCCAACTAACAAATCAGATCTCCTTTACTTACATTCTGGCCCATACCCAGCGTTGCTTTCCACCTCTCGGACCAACGGTAAAGAACCAACAGTCGGGATCCGCCAAACGCGTGGCAAAAAAAAAAAGAAAAAAAGGAAGTGGTTCAGTTCAGCACGTAACAGCAGTCAGCAGGCACGTGAGGAAGCATATGCATGGATCCAAAAAAAAAAGGCGCCAACTCCCAGGGACACGTCACCATTTTGCAGATAGTTCTCCTGCATCCCTAAACGTTAAGCCAAAGCTAAAAAACGAAATCAATCTGATCCGCCGCTTGATCTCCACGTAACCCTGCCCTTTTTCGGCATTTTCCCCACTAATTATCTGATCATAGCTTCGTCTATAATGTAACGAAATCATAATGTCGCTAAATTGCAGATAGTAATACTTAGAGGATGTCGATCAGTAATAAACAAAGCAAAGAGTGAAGATAATTTCAATTTGTCACTTATAATTGCAATGACTAATGAACAAAAGGAAAGAAGTGATAGGTTGTTGACCTTCCACACTCTAAGCAAATCAAATTTTTTTCTTTTTTTTTTGCATTTAGAAAATGAATTGCTTTAATCAAAACATTTTCTCCACATTCATGCGTTTCATAAGTATCCAAATCCATCCTCCGCCACCCAACACAAATCCTTCCAGGTCCTACGGTCCTTTCCTCACGCCCACACTATAAACGCAATTCCACTGTTTTTCAATCCAATTTCTCGCGCCTTCTCTCCTTCCCACCGAATTAGCTTCGACCAGGAGAAAGGGAAGAAGAAATGGCGTCGGAGAATCAGGATAAGGAGAGAGACCGCCGCCCGTCGGCGGCGGAGTACTTCCTCGATGAAGATGATGAGGGAGATTTGAGCAGAACGGAAGCCGGCAACGACAGAAGCGGCGTCGGAACCGACACCAACTCCAGCTCCAGTAGCAGCAGCAGCAGCTCCGACGAGGAGAAGGATGCGGACGACGACGGCGAAGGTGGCGAGACTTTCACGTCTCGGCAGTGGCCGCAGAGTTATCAGTACGCTTTTTTTTTCCTTCCGTTTCTTACGATTGATTTCCGTTTGGTTGACTGGAATTCTCTGTTTTCCTCTCTGTTCACCATCGATTGTGACTGTGATGCGTGCCTCGAATTTGTGATTCTGTACTAGTAGCTTACTGAAATCTCGATGAATTTCTGTTTCTGGAAGTTTCAATTGGCGAGCTACAGAACAGTTCTGAGTGAATGATTGCGAATTTTGGGGGGTTTCTTTGTCCGTGATTTGGATTTTGTGCTGTTTGTTTGTTTGCTGGTGGCAGAGAAACGATGAATTCATACTCGATTGCAATGTCGCCGAGCCTTGGATTTATGGCTCCTGTGCAACAGCTGGCGCCTTACTTAGGTCTTGAAAGCTTCATAAGTAACGCGGACCAGGAATCAAAGGCTCCCTTGATTCCCGAGCGAGAGGGGAGCTACAGGAGGGTAGAATCGGATAGGTTCTCGCTAGCGCAATCGTCTTTCTCGAAGGCTTCGTTCGCGAATACGGAGTTGCCGATTCCTCATGGGTGTAGCGTCACTCAGACTGTCTTCAACTGTAAGCTTCACTCACAACTGACAGTGCTACAAGTTGTTTTGCGATCTACGGTATTATATGATGGCTTTGATCGCTGACATTGTGCAATTGTGGAACAACAGCGGTGAATGTAATGGTGGGAATCGGGCTACTCTCGACACCTTACACTATAAGGGAGGGAGGGTGGTTCAGTTTGTTTATAGTGGCCTTTTTCGGGTGCGTCTGTTGTTACACTGCTTATCTGATGAAGCAATGCTTTGAGAGCCGAGATGGCATAACATCATATCCGGACATGGGAGAAGCTGCATTCGGGAAGTATGGGCGCCTAGCAATATCTGTAAGTTGTTCTGGCTGAAAATTTAATCAGTGTGTTGATTCTTTCTGCATCATTTGTTGTTTACATGTTCTGATACTTTATCCAACTGGATTTTGGTGCAGATCGTTTTGTACACCGAGTTGTATGTAAGTGACTGTTGTTCTGCCACTAAGTTTCACATTCTAATATACGGTTGAATATCCTGTAAATTAATGAAATCTCTTTTCCATCTGTGTAGTCTTATTGTGTGGAATTTATTACCTTGGAAGGGGATAACCTGACCAGGCTATTTCCTGGGGCATCCTTTGATTTGGCTGGGATACATCTCGATTCCTCGCATCTCTTTGGGATACTGACTGCTTTCATTGTACTACCAACTGTTTGGTTAAGGGACCTCCGTATCATCTCCTTTCTTTCAGGTTTGGTGCATATTCCCTCTATTCAATGTATTGAAGTAGTGGATGATTTAGCACTTACTTTTCTGCTTCCTCGCTCTCGTATCTATTTTGCAGCTGGTGGAGTTTTAGCTACAATTTTGATTGTTCTTTCCCTGCTTTTCCTGGGTACCACGGAAGGAGTTGGGTTCCATCAGAGTGGTCCGCTCGTGAAATGGAATGGAGTTCCATTTGTTATTGGTGTGTATGGATTCTGTTATTCAGGACACTCAGTTTTCCCCAACATATACCAGTCAATGGCCAATAAAGCAGAATTTACAAAGGCTGCAATAGCATGGTAAAAATGTTGTTGATTTTGGTTTTGTGCCAATTTCTTGCTGTGTTATTCAGTGTCTTAGGCGTCTTTTTCTTGATGTTCCTGCAGCTTTTTCTTGTGCTTTCTCTTGTATGGAGGAGTTGCAATAATGGGATTTCTCATGTTTGGCGGAGCTACGCTGTCTCAAGTGACATTGAACATGCCTCAGGACACCATTACATCAAAAGTTGCAATCTGGACTGTTGTATGTGATCATCCATCCTTGAGTTTTCTGGAATTATGTAGTAAACAAATATATGCTGTGTGACATTGCATTTTCTGTCTCCTTTTTCAGGTGATAAACCCGCTGACCAAATATCCTTTTTGTGATTGTTTATAACATTCTAATGCATATAAGGTCTAAAGTTGAACTCGTTCTCTAGTACTTTGAAGCAATATAAATGGTCCAAATACTTCTGTGAACTCTTCGCCATCATTTGGTTTCATGAAGTGATGTGGGGAAAAAAGTGTGGAAAGGCTGCATCTATTTTCGTTGGACCAGATCCGCAGGTTTTCTTTCTGTAGTTCCTTAACCAGGAACACATATGCATTGTTGATGAACCCGTTGGCTCGAAGCATAGAGGAGCTTTTGCCAGTTAACATCGCCACTAGCTATTGGTGCTTTCTTCTTCTAAGAACAGTACTTGTTTTCTCTACTGTTGTTGCTGCATTTCTTCTCCCATTTTTTGGTAAGTCCTGGAATTTGACTTTAAGCCTTACTGTTACTTATTTTTATTATTGAGGATCTTTGGGATTTGTTTAGGCCGGGATTCGGCTTTGTGCATCATTTGTAGAAATTGGTAATGTCGTGATGTTAATTCTCAGTCATTAACTAGTGAGGGCTATATGATGGGCAGTGCACATTAAAACCAATTTCTATGTAATCAGATTAGGACTTGTGTATCATTCATCCTCTTTCTGGCCACACAGCATTTCTTTTAATATGCGTAAGTACAAATGCTTATTTAGTTGATGGTTGTATCATTCATCCTCTTTCTGGCCACACAGCATTTCTTTTAATATGCGTAAGTACAAATGCTTATTTAGTTGATGGTATAAACGAAATTACTTTCTGGCCAATTTGTGTTATCTTTATGTGAAATTAGACATTAGACAAAATCCAATTTTTTTACCTTCGGCTTGGAGAGTATTAATCTTGGGATTAATCTCGTAGATGATTGATCGCAACGGGAGAAGTGGTGCCATTCTTAATTTATTGTCTATTTTTTATAAGGGTGAACAAATTATATTAATGAGCACATTCTTAATTTATTGTCATGAGCATCTTCTGCGTAGTAACTAGAACTGCTGCACGCTATTAAGGGGTGCTAAAACTCCAACGGTTCTGCTGATTGCAGGTCTTGTGATGGCTTTGATGGGTTCAGTCCTCTGTTTACTTATGGTGAGTGCCTCAAATGCTCTTTTAATCGTACCCTCCTAGCTTGGCTGAAAGTCACTTATGAGAATGCAGCTATTAGTTCTTCTATCAATTCCCTCTATGATCTAGTTATAGACCATAAGGATATATCCTTTTGCCATGTAGAACATTTTGGCAGCATTTCAGCGTGATCTACCTTATCCTCTGCTTAGTAGAAACCCCATAGATTACCCATATTTTGACTAGTATTTAAGTCTGGATCGCAAAGAATCAGAATGTCTTGTTATATCATTTTAAGCGTCTTAGTTCCTTTTTGGATAGAAAAGTCTGTTCTTTGATCTGGCATATTTGTACATGAGGAAACTAAGCTAATATCCCTCTGCATCTTTCTGAATCAGGCTGTCATAATGCCATCTCTATGCTTCTTGAGAATCATGGGGAGGAAAGCTACGAGAACACAGGTAAATTGCTCAAGAAAAACGCTCTCTCATACTTCCCAGACCTTGAATGTGGTGTGCAACAATCTGGTCTAACCTTCATTGTGCTCATAGTTGATGATACTTCCTGTTCCTGTGCAAAACCAGATTGTTCTTAGCTCCACGATTGCTGTGGTGGGCGTTGTTTGCGCGATCGTCGGTACCTACTCTTCGGTGGAGAAGATTGTGAAGAACCTCTGAAATCGTATCTGTATGCCTCTTGTAATAGCTTTCTTTAGTATAACCTGCTACTTGTACTGTCTGGGACTTTTTGGTACAAGTTTAGTAGGGGTCATCATCTTGTTCATACGAAACAGAGTTTTGCTGTAGAAAGTAATAAAAGTTATTCATGGCCTTAGTTTGATCTTGAAGCTTTTTTTTTTTTTTTTTTTGGCTCCAACGCGAAACCTTTGTCACTTTGATGGTTGGCACAAATTGCTCCATGTTCGTCGTCAGTCGTCACCTTATCTAATAAGGAGATAGCACATATCCACTTGGACTTACAAGTATGATAATATTTTCGTCGTGTCTCTGTGACACAATTAAACCATAAGCAGAAGAGCCGTACCGATAAATTGAACCCACATCTTGATCTTGTATTTGTATGCTTGTTTTAGATTGATTGTACAACAGGGCACACTTACTGGTTAACTGTGTAAAGTAAGTATGGAAGGCGACGAATAAATATATACTTTAGGGACTTAATTGTAGTTAATGGAAAATATTAGTAGGACGAGCGGAAGAGTTCAAATTTTCTTTATTTCGCACAAACTCGGGATTCCCGCTTCTTTCACCTTTTCGCTGCCCGTTTGAAATTTCAGTGCAGCACCGGATCCGTTCTCTTCCAAAAGCTCTCCTGTCTCTCTCTCTCTATTCCTCGCTCTCAGTCTAGCAATGGCGCCTCGATTCCTCTTTCCGCAAACTCTGCGGTCTCTGGAAGATGAACACGCAGACGACGACGGCGACCGTCTTTGTGCTCGGAACTCTATCGACGTCGCCTCTCTTTCTCGGCCCCAACTCGAAGAGCTCGTCAAAGGTCATTTTCCTCTCACTTCTCTAATCTTCCGCTCGGTCGAGTTCTGATGTGAGATTCTGTAATTTCCAATTTGCGGAATAGGAATTAGCGGCTTATCACTGTGTTTCCAAGCGCAGTATGAAAAGAGTCGCTCGTCTAATTGAGCTGCAGACTTGGCTTCTTAGGAACTGTTAGCGATTCAGAATTGAGTAAGTTGATTGTTGTTCGGTGTTCATATGAACAGTCGTTAGTGCCCTTCCATCGTTTTTTCTAGGGTTTTAGCTCGTCGAATGTCATTTCTCTCTCACTTCTCTAGTTTCTCGCTCGGTTGAACTCCTGATGAGAGATTTCCTCTTCTCGTTTTACTGGGATGGAAGTTCTCCGTTTGTCACTTCCTGAATTTGAACTGCTTTTCCAAATTGCGGTTCATTTCCTTGTTCCGTCACCTTACTGAGCTTGTTCAACCCTAGGACAAATTTATACGGTGTTGCTAGCACAATATTATACGATTTGGTCGTCCAATTGAGCCGAACGTGCTTAAAATTCTTAGCAGTTGTTTGAAAACTAGAATTATGGACTTTGATTTTCGTTCGGTGTTCATGTGAACGGATTGTAGTGCCGATTCCTTCTTGTTCTTCCTAGGGTTTCAGACTGTTCATGTATGTTGTTCCGTTCTGACAGGTGTTGCATTTGACCTGTCTGATAAGGAGGTATTCTGCATTGAAGAGCAAGATATATTTGATCGCGTGTACTCGTTGGTTCTTAATTTCTCTAGTCTGGCTCCTTCTTATAAGCTCAATATGGTGGAGACTCTGCGCTCGAACCTTACCGTGCTTCTCCCAAGTGTCGATTTGCTTTCCCGAGCTGGGGATGATGATCCAACCGTGTTTGACAAAATTGCGTCACTACGAAATGCTTTTAAAATCTATACATTTTTCCTAGTTTCTATAGTTCTGCTGGAGGAGGCTAGTATCAGCAGTTCTAATAACAATTCAAAGGTAATTCATCGGATTCTGAAATTTGAGCTCCAATCCCATAATTGAGCATGCTTTGGTTCAGTTCATAAATTTATCCAGTTTACAAACTTGTGATTGACCTGCCTACTTACAATTGTTGTATATGGCGGTGATTTGATAATTCATTCAGGTGCCTGCAACTAGCAGGAAGAGACAGGCTGTGCATTCATGGAACTGGGATCCACAAAGGGGTCGGATCCTCAATTTGATTGCTAATTCATTAGAAATCAACCTCTCATTGCTCTTTGGATCAACAGATCCAGATGAAAATTACCTTGCTTTCATGGTCAAGTAAGATGAATCACTTATTGTCTTGTTTGATTAGCCCTTCCATGTGACAGCATGCTTAGCAAAGCTTCTTGTTTGTTTTGTTATAGAAATGCTCTAAGCATGTTTGAGAATTCAACACTGCTGAAGGACTCTGAGACGAGAGATCCATTGTGCCGTATACTAGGTACTTGTGCTACGAAATACCACTACACAGCGCAGGCATCTGCTTCCATCATGCACTTAATCCACAAGCACGATTTTGTTGTCACCTCCATGGCTGATACTGCTGCGTGGGCTGAAAAGAAATACGCGGATGGCACCCTCGCTTATTCTCTTATTAGAGAAATTGGGAGGACCAATCCAAAGAGTTATGTGAAGGACAGTGCTGGTGCTGAAAATGTTGGACGTTTTCTAGTGGAACTTGCTGAACGGTTGCCAAATTTAATGTCAACCAATGTTGGGCTCGTGATCCCACATTTTGGAGGGGATTCGTACAAGATAAGGAATGCTCTGGTAAGTGTTTTGGGAAAATTAGTTGTGAAGGCATTTAAGGATATGGAAGGTGAAGTGAGTTCAAAGTCAATACGTCTACGGACCAAGCAAGCCATGTTGGAAATCTTACTTGAGCGGTGCCGAGATGTTTCTGCTTATACAAGGGGCCGAACCCTTCATGTCTGGGGTGAGCTATGTGAAGAGCATGCTATTTCTATCGGTTTTTGGAATGAGGTTGCAACTGTTGCTGCTGGCCGATTAGAGGATAAATCTTCCATTGTCAGAAAAGCTGCACTAAGTTTGCTTATAATGATGTTGCAGCATAACCCATTTGGACCACAACTTCAAGTAGGTTTATTCAAAGCAACTTTAGAGCAATACAAGAAAAGGCTGAACGAGCTTGAGCCAGATGAAGCCGAGAGTGTGGTAGATGATTTACCATCTGACAGTAGCAGCAGCGGAAGACCAGCTGAAGGCGAGCATGGAGGTGATGAAGCGGTGTCCACGGAGCAGCAAGAAAGCTTGTCAGACAGTCAGCTGCAGGTTGAAGAAGCAAAATGTATTGTCCAGAAGGACGGTAGGTTGCCAGATGTCGGGAACCTTGAGCAGACTAGGGCATTGGTTGCATCTCTTGAAGCAGGTCTGACATTCTCCAAGAGCATTGCTGCAACTATGCCTACTCTTATACAATTGATGGCTTCGTCTTCTGTGACTGATGTTGAGAATACGATTCTCCTGTTAATGAGGTGCAAGCAATTCCAAATAGAAGGTGCAGAAGCCTGCCTTAGGAAGATGTTACCACTGGTAAGTTATACGGGTAGAAACCACTGACAATTTATTGTGCTTCTATAATGTTGAGATTTATATCATGCTTATGTTTATGACTTGTAGGTCTTCTCTCAAGATAAATCTATCTATGATGCTGTGGAGAATGCATTTATCACAATTTACATCAAGGCTAACCCAATAGAAACTGCGAAGAATCTTTTGAATCTTGCTATTGATTCAAATATAGGGGATCTTGCGGCTTTGGAATTGATTGTCAGTGCCTTGGTGTCCAAAGGTGATCTATCAAACAATACGGTGCGTCTATTTCCAACTTTGAATAACCTTTCCCTAAAATTTGCAGCTCGGCTATCTTTTTTCGTTTCTTCATTGATGGCACCAGTCTATCATGAGATTGTCGTACCCCTGTTGGCAATTCAGCAAGGTGCTAAACAGAAAATGGTGGAATAGGGGTGTAATGCCAGTCCTTCTGCAGGATTGAGCTGAGTCTTGTGGTTCTAGGACTTTGAAAGTCACCATGTTCAATGTGTTTCAGTGAGTTTTACTAGGTCTAGTGATTCTAGGACTTCGAAAGTCACCATGTTCAATGCTTTGTAGGTTCCTGAGTCGAAATTTCTTAAATTTAGAAATGGTCCTGCCTCTTATCAAATGTTTGCTTACAGATATCAGCCTTATGGGACTTCTTCTGCTTCAATATAAGTGGAACCACTGCAGAGCAAAGTCGAGGAGCTCTTTCAGTCCTTTGCATGGCTGCAATTTCATGCAATGGAATTCTGGGATCTCATTTGCAAGATATTATTGATATTGGCTTTGGTCGCTGGGCCAAAATTGATCCTCTGCTTGCCAGAACTGCATGCATTGCCATTCACAGACTTTCTGAAGAGGACAGGAAAAAGATGTTGGCCAATAGTGGTAACCGTGTATTTGGTTTGTTGGGAAGTTTGGTTACTGGTTCCTGGCTTCCCGATAGCACGTGGTATGCTGCTGCCGATAAAGCTATCAGTGCTGTGTATACTATTCATCCAGCTCCAGAAGCCTTTGCTGCAGATATGGTGAAGAAATCACTTATTACTGTTTTTCATGCAAGTGGAGAAGATGACTTGCAAAATGAAATCGAGGATGGTGCTACCACTGCTCTTACAGAAGTCCAAGTAGCAAAACTTAGTAGGTTCTTGTTTATTGTAAGTCATGTTGCCATGAATCAGTTGCTGTATATAGAATCTTGTATTCGCAAGGTCCAGAAGCAGAAGACTTCCAAGGATAAGGCATTGGAGAGTCAGAAAAATGACACTAATGGGGCACATAAGGTGGGTTCAACATATTATTAATTTTTTTTTTTTTTGGCAACTTGTTCGTGTGGCCCTGAATGCTTCCTTTCATTACTTATTGTAGGATGATGATATCAATGCTGAGCTTGGTGTTTCTGCCTCTGAAGATGCAATAATTGATTCTCTATCAGAAAGAGCAGAGAAAGAAATTGTCTCTGGTGGATCCAGTGACAAATATTTGATAGGACTTTGTGCTCCTTTCTTATCAAACCTTTGTAGAAATTTCAACCTGATGCAAAAGGTAATTCCTCAGTCCTTGCAACTTTCCTGCAGCTTTTAGGTACATATGCTTCTTTAATCATCATGAGCACTTCTGGGTCGTGGAATACGACCAATTCTATATGCAATCGGTAATTGACAATATCAATGCCTTATTTGTTTCTTCAGTATCCGGAGCTACAGGCATCAGGAATGCTTGCTCTTGCTCGATTCATGGTCATTGATGCTGGTTTTTGGTGAGTTTTCCTCCATCTGCATAGTTGATCTGCTTGTCTCTCTTCCTAGTTTATGTGTGATAAGCATACAACACGGACTGACTGAGTGAACTTACAGCGAGGCAAATCTCCAGCTTCTTTTCACAGTGGTCGAAAAAGCGCCATCTGAAACAGTTCGTTCGACTTGCACTATTTGTCTTGGAGATTTGGCTGTCCGGTTTCCTAATTTGTTAGAGCCATGGACTGAAAACATGTATTCCCGTTTACGAGATCCTTCAGTTTCAGTCAGAAAAAACGCAGTGCTGGTCCTCTCTCACCTCATATTAAATGACATGATGAAGGTTTGACTCGTAAACAAATTCCTTTTCATGCGTTCCTTTAATCCTTGTTCATAACCTGATTGTGGATATTACTCTAATAGGTAAAAGGTCATATAAACGAGATGGCAATATGTTTAGAAGATGAAGAGGAGAGGATTTCAAGTCTGGCTAAACTTTTTTTCCATGAATTATCCAAGAAAGGTATATTCTAATTTTAACTCCGAGCTTGCTGGATGTTGTAATGTCATCCGGTCATATATCACCTTGTAAAATTTTTAGAATAAGTTTTCTTCACATGGATGTCTGATGTGAGTTTTCATCCTCTTCAGGAGCCAATCCGATATACAATTTACTTCCGGACATACTTGGAAAGCTATGTAATCAAAATCTCAAAAAGGAGGCCTTCTGCAACATAATGCAGTTTTTAATTGGGTCTATAAAGAAGGTACAACCAAGCTCGTTCAACTAGTTTCTGCTTGGCTGGCAACTGTAAACGTTTTCTGTAACTTTCTGCAGGACAAACAAATGGAGGCTCTTGTTGAAAAGCTCTGCAACAGGTTCTGTGGAGTTACTGGTATGTCTCCCTTCACTTTAATATTGTTGTAATGGCATTCGTCTGTGATTACAGCGCTTTTGATGAAGTAATCAACCTCAAAATATTAGGTCATATGATATGTTAAGGAACCCTTGCTGTTCATTTTGCTATTAGGGGGAATGTTTCTTTCTACTCTTCATCGTGGAGGGTATTTTCAAGTATATATTTTCCTTACTGTAATGAATCTCATTTGTTTTCAGAATTTTTATTAAAAAATCAACAAAGTAGAGAAAAAGAAGTTGAATACATTTGTAATTTGTCTGACAAAACTCATGTACTGTGGCAGATGTTAAGCAGTGGGAGTACATTGCTTACTGTCTTGCTCAGCTCACATTCACTGAGAAGGGGATGAAAAAGCTCATCGAGTCATTTAAGACATATGAGCATGTGCTATCTGAGGATTCTGTTATTGAGCACTTCAAAACCATAATCACTAAGGTATTTCTTAATTCTGTTACTGAGTCTTCCATTATGGGAAAGCACCCGATAGTAGATACAACCTAACTCGTATAAAATCTTACACAGGCAAAGAAGTTTGCGAAACCAGAAATCAAAGTTTGCATTGAGGAGTTTGAGGAAAAGCTCAACAAGTTCCATATTGAGAAGAAGGAGCAAGATGCCACTGCGAGAAATGCCCAAGTACATCAGGAGAAAGTTGTTGAAAGAGCTGGTCTGGTTGCAGCAACTAACAAAAATTATGAAAGTGAGGAGTCTGATATTTCAGAAGGTCAGTAGACCCCCTAGTTTGTTAAAGCTACTTTCTTTACTTTTTGTTACATCGAGTTAGCCTTAGACCTATTAGTTGTTTTCTATGCTATTCTGTCATTTTTTTTTTATAGTTATCTCATGAATGAATGATTGCATTGCCACTTTAATTCTTTGATATTACTCAATGACAGAGGGTGATACAGCTGAGCCATCCATGGAAGCAACTTCTCCTTCTGAAGACAACTCAGCAGATCCTAATTCCAATGGAACTGTTGAAGATTCATGTCGTTCAAGCGAGCTCTCACGAGTGGGGCCATCTGTGGAAGTAACTTCTCCTGAAGACGACTCCGCAGATCCTAAATCCGATGAAACAGTTGAAGATTCAGGTCCTTCAAGTGAGCTCTCACAAGTGGAGCCTGTATCAGATGGCAATGAAGTCCAATCTGTAAAAAGTAAATTCCTTTTCACCCCTCTTTCTCCATCGAATTTCAGCTAACCCTTTTATCTACAATCATCTGTTAACCTCTGCCATTATTTGAATTTAGGGTCGGCCAAATCCAGAAGACACAAAAAGAGCAACATGAAAGATCAAGCCAGCAATGCCAATACATCCAGGAGGATAAGTACCAGGACAAGGGCAAAGGTAGAGTTTTGACAAAACTAGCTCTTTTTGTATGCACTCTCTGCCTTCGTCTAATGGTCATCTACACCACAATTTCATCATACATCTGGGTGTTGGATATTATTTATGGTCTCCTCGTATGCTTATGACAACAACAAAACCATTGTCTGCATCAACCCTTGTATTTGTGTAGCTTGTCAATTCCTTGTCAATTAGTTCTAGGAATGTTAGCCATCACATCGCGTGTCACGGCTTAAACTACAATTAATGATTAGTAAGATTAAGTTGTTGTGTGTCAGTCTGTTTTGTTCTTCAATCTACCTTATATGAATTGCTTCAAACATCCTCATTACAGCAAAACTTGTTGCATCACAGCTCTGCATTATATAACTCGTATAACGTAAGCACTAAAATACGCTTTGGAAAACATAGGAATCAAGTGTTCTACATTGTATATGGTAGAGAGTTGGGGAGAATTGGTACATAAAAGTTACAACAATCCTTATCTATAACCTTTGTATATTTTATGTGCATAACTATACCAAACATTTTTGAACAATTTGGAGTGGATCCCTCTCTCTCTCTCTCTCTCTACTTTTACCAATTTGAGATCAAATATGTAAACTTGAAAGGTATAGGGACCAAAAACGATCATATAGTTTGAACTTGGAAAATTTTCCCGCCTGATGAGACCAGGCTTGTTTTGGTTAGAGCCTGCAGGAGGGTGAGGTTGTGTTAAAGGAAAACTTTTTTTTTAACTTAAACTAAGAATCTTCAGCAAAAATTCTGAAAATGAAGTCTCTGAATCTCCTGGAGTACTGCTTAGGATCCACAGCTGAGATCGAAGTAGGGTCGTACTGGATAGACTTGTATGCATGCTCCAGCTTTTTGCTAATGTCGTAGTCTTGAAGTATGTCGATGATTCCGAACGTCATTATGACGTCGTAGAACTCCCCGGTTGGCTCTCCAACCAGTTGAAGCTCACAATCGTTTCTTCTCACTGTTCTTTCCACTCTTGCTGGCATGTTCATTCCCAGCCTGATTCGTGCCCATCTGCATTCGCCATTTGCATTGTGGAACACATATTTCTAAGTTAGGCCTAGTGAATGTTTTTAGTACTTGTTATAACTAGGTGGCTCATGCTTTGCTCGATCGATGTTCGAACCGAGTTGGACATCAAAGTATTTGATCTAGCTACAACTCTCTAATTCCATTGGGTTTCTTTAAAAGATAAAGAGACCATACTGGACCAGACCAAATCGGATCAAATGTTCCGATTCTGATCTCGACCTTTCCTTCATTTTTATTTTTATTGTTGATGAATTAGTTATGGTAGAGTTCAGGGTTCTTATCTAGAACCGGAAACTTGAATTGCAAGAAAAGTTAGAGAAAACACTTTACTTGGTTGGGTCTAGTAGAAGTTGATCCATGTCTGCTTTAGAAAGTCGAGGGCCTTCTTCTCTTTCAACCTCAGCTGCAGGGAAAAATAAACCCAGAAGTCAAATTTACCAAAGGTAAAAGGGTGAAACTCTTAGGATTTACTTCATTTAGCTGGAGAGGGTAAAAAAATGTGTGTTTTTACCAGGAGTAGGGGGTTCACTCTTAGTTGGAATTATTTCTCGATTAGATGCTACGTCTCTAAAGTGAATACCAACTAGTAGACTGTAATCCATAATCCTCTCCTGCTCAAGAAGCTCGCAGTCTCTATCTACTTGCCTGCAGTAGTTTTCCAACACAGTTTTGGTAAATCAGTAAAAAACCCATCAATGGTTTGTTTACTAGAGATAGAGCTTCCTCTTGAAAAATCATGTAATTTCCTTTTCTTTACCTGCAAAACTCCTGGAACCATGCTTTCTGTAGCTTGAAAATGAAGTTGAGGTCCAGGTCTTTTAGGATGGTGTTGGCGTCGATCTCAGACTCTGGCTTGTCTGTGATTCGACCCAACGAAGAACCCTTTAGGTCGAACCGTCTGTGGATAGCATACTCCGAAACAAATAGGTTCCCCATGATTATGAACCTCACCTAGTTGCCAAGTGACCCCCCAACATATGAACAAAGCAAAAAACTTCAGAAATCATCATCTTATTTGTGAAGTCAGTCACTGAACGAATAGTTGTGTTCAGTGACTGATGCGCGATTATCGTATGCCATGCATATGATTTGGTGATTAAAAGGAAGTGGTAGGCAAAAGAAAGTTTGTTACCTTCCTCTGTGCAGGCCCAGTTAATTTGACACAGTGAAGGCCATAAAACCTAATGACCAAGGTGTTGTCAAAGGCCCTGACATGGTTGTAATAGGCAGCCAGCATCCTTATGAGCACCTGTTCACAACAAAACCACACCACAAACACACTTCATCATCGTTGTCTTGTGAGAGTTCTGAGAAAATGTACAAAGAGAGTAACACTCACTTTGACTTCTGCTTTCTTCATTGTCTTGATCATGTAGCGATCATCGTGCGTCAGGTAGAAGAAGCTGCCACTCTTCCCTGGCGACGAGAGCTCGCGAAGTGCATTATCGCCACAAATCGATAGCATGTAGTCAGCTGCATCAACCTTAAACAGCTTCCTAAGTGACCTATTGTGAAAAACAGGACAACCATTAGGTTCTGCAGTCGTAGCGATTCGCTGCTTACACATTCGTACAGATTCCTATGAATACCTGACGAATTCGTAAGGACTGACCTGAAAACCAAGGGGCAGTAGTCTTTCCATTTGAACTCTGAACAATTGTGTGGAGGGGTGTGCTTGCTTCCTTCTGGAGGAAACCTCGTCCACACTTTCTCCTTTGGGTCGAAAGCTGATGCCTTCAGATCAAGGGATGCTGCTGGACCTGGTCTCCCCACTGAGTGCCTTCAATGGATTCACATTCAGTGTCAGAGTAGTTCTCCAGTTTCGCGCGCGGCGAAAAGCTGTTTTGAAAATACGGGATTACAGAAAAAGGAATTACCTGATTCCCAGCTGTAGATTGAGCATGAGCTCATAGTTCTTGTGCCCTTTACAAATGGCGTCACCCTGCCGCTTAGCAGCTTTGGGTACTCTCATGGGCAGCATCTTATTCAGACTGGCAGCGAAATTGCTTTCCTCCATCTCCATCATGCCCAGCAGCTCCGCCTCCATATCCCTCCTCGCTCCGCTGCCGCTGCCGTCGGCGGACCCCAGGGCGGCTGCCGCGGCGGCGGCAGAGGACGCACCCTGGTCGTCGCCGTCCCACATGTTCATCCTCTCGAACGCCCTCTCGACGCCGACGCTGACCCTGCCGTCGACGGACAGCCGGCGGGCCTTCTCGCTGTGCTTGGACGAGTTCCACACCGCCAGCTTTTTCTGCGACGGCAGGACGGCGACCTTCTCGCAAGGGCAGACCTGGGCGTCGGCCAGGTAGACGTTGTACACGTCCTGCGGGTCCCACTCCAGCTGGCTGCCGGAGTGGGACGCCGCCGCGGAGGGTGACGCCGACGGGTAGTAGCTCCCGTTCTGCTCGGTGGGGTCTTTGCTCCAGTTGCCGACGTAGAAGCTGCCGTCCGGGAAAGTGAACGTGCCGTTGCCCTTTGGGACGCCGTCCTCCCACTGGCCGTCGTAGCGGTTGCCGTTCTCCCACATGAACGTGCCTTTGCCGCAGATGTTGCCGTTCTTCCACTCGCCGACGTAGTAGTTGCTGGTGGTCTTCCATTGGTACTTGCCTTGCCCTTCTTGCAACCCTCGCCGCCAATCCCCTTCGTACCTGTTTTTTATGGGAAAATCACATGAGATTTGGTCTTATGGGTTTGTTTGAGAAATGGGTTCTGATTTCTGAACAATGGGTAGTCATCATATTCATGATTTCACAAACACTTGTTGTCATGTGAAACCCAAATATTTACAATGGTGCATTTTCACTGGTTAGCAAGATGGCTAACTAGGGATTTGATCACTTACAGTTACACCTAATATTGGGAGGGTCATGTCACAATGCAAAATGTTCCCATGATTGACACTTCTCTAGTGTGTTTGATCGGTACTATGATATTAATTGTTATATCGTAGACGATGTTATGTACAGAAGGTAAATGAGAGCGTGATTTCTCTATGCAAAATATTGGGTATATCAATTAATTTTATTCTCTATAAATCGAGTTATAATAGGATGCAAATCAATTTAGCTCAATCAAAATTACCAATCTCCATTAGCAAAATGCTTGATCCCATGCCCATGCTTGAGATTCATGACCCATTGCCCACGATAAATATCTCCGTTCGCCGCCGAATACGTCCCGGTGCCGTCCATATACCCGCTCTTGAACTCCCCTTCGTACGTCGCCCCCGACGGCCAGCTGAACCGGCCGCGGCCCATCGTCTTCCCTTTATACCACTCGCCGACGTACATGCACCCGTCGGTCCACAAGTACTTCCCCCGGCCGTTGGGGAAATTGTCGTACCACTGGCCGGAGTAGTAGTCACCGTTGGGCAACACCTTCTCCGCGTAGTAACACTCCGTTCCTCCTCCGCCGCCGTTCGCGCTGCCGGGCCCCTCGTCGCCGCCGCTGCTACTGCTGCCCTCGTCGCCGTTGCTGGCGGCGGAGGAGGAGGCGGCGTGGTCGTCGTCGGGGATGTGGGCCAGGGAGATGCCGAAGATGCTGTTGGCCCGCTTCTTGGCCGCCTGGGTCTTCCGAATCGTGGCTTCCCATGCCTTGATTACGCCGCTCTGTTCTTTGCTCATGTTTTAGTGACGATTTTTTTAGCGACGGTATTGTTTTGGTTTTCTCGTCGCCTTAGGTCGATGGTGATGGATTCGTCGTCATTTTGGTGGAGAGAGAGGGGAAAAGGGGAGAAAGGAAGAGAAATTGATTGTATTGGTTTGAAATGGGTTTCATTTTTTTTTGGGTTTCTTCGTTTGTTTCTTTTTTTGGTCTTTGGTTTGTGTTTTTGTTTGTGTGAAGGAGAGGGAAAAGAGCTCTTGGAGAGGGGAGAAATGAATCCCTTTTTCTTCTCTTTAGTGCACAATAATTGTGTCCATTTTGACCATTTGTTTGTTTTAGAGTGTTTTTCTCTTTGTACCCTTTCGGTTTTTGCATGGTGAATTTCAATGGTCAACGATTAATGAACATAGTTTAGTTTGCACATAGCTTGGGATGCACCGGCTAGTAGGACCATTAGTTGGTTTGTTTTAGTTCTTGTTGTTGGATAATGTATGTTTGAAACAATGTTTGATGATGCACTTTTACTTTCTTATGAATGATTAAATAGTTGTATTTATTGGGAAAGGCGAGTAATAATCGTGCGTGACATGTGTCATGTCAAGTTGAAATAATCACATATGTAATTTGAACTTTTTTTTGTTGAAGATGACTCGTTGCCCAATCCACATAAGATTTTAATGTATGAGTGTCATTTAGCATAATTGAGGTCATGTTTCAACCCATATAACACATTATCAAATTGATTTTCTCTCTCTCATAGTCATAGTTGTACACCGAAATTAGTAGCGAAGCCAATGTCATACATGCAAAACTTTGCAAGAAGCGTTCTTCATAAAAGTAGCAGAAGTTTTATTCGAAAAGCTGAGAGTGTATATTAACATGAGCCTCTCTTCGATTGTACCCCGAGCACAATAAAGTATCGAGTATCAACCAATGAAGTATCGAGTATGTTCACATGAAGCATGTTCTCAATTTTAAGTGCTGAATTGAAATCATATGGTGCAATTAGTGCCTTGGACCATATTAGCCATGTTGCTCAAAATTAGGTGCAAATTTGATGTTGTACATAGTTGGGATGACTTTATACGAAATTTACTAGGAGAGAGACCTTAATTTCCCCTACTTTTAGTTATTGAAAAGACTAACCGTTGCATATAGTGTTTGTGGATTGGAGCCTTTTATAGACAAAGACAAGTTCAATTTTCTCCAACTTTCTTCTTTTGTGTGTTCCTTTCAACATGAATGTTGTCAAAGGGCCACATTGTTTCATTAAATAAGGGCTACAAGCTAAAGGAGTTGACTTGTATCTTGAACCAATTAGTGAAAGTGAGAAACTTTTCATTAATGTGAAAGTGAGACATTGTGTTGTCAATGGAAGAGCTTTTGTCAAACATAACTACCAATAAATATAAAATTCGGGATATTCAATTGAATTCGAATACAAACTTCTAATCCACAACACGAAATTGTTGCTGACAGATGTCTCATTTCGAAACGTATTAGAATTGACAACAGTGCGATGCGATATAGGCAGTGTTCAAATACGCGACCTTTTGGAATGCGGATGTTCAGGTGAAGATGCATTTTATACGCGACTAAGATCACGTCTTGATAGTCTGGTCAAACGAGAGATCAGCACTAGAACCAAATCTACAGAGAAAATGTCTGTTTGTTTAGTATTACATATCATCGAATGAGTTACAAGTGATTCTTGGCCATCGATCAATAAGCTAAACACATCTCAAGATTTGAACCGATCACTTCAAAATCATTTTTTCAAATAAGGCTGGAGGCATTGGCCGTACGTGTGGGTGGTGGTAGATGTGGCTAAATGGGTGCGTGGAAAAGATGGTGACACTTCATGTTTCCCATCCCTTATATTTATTATTTTTCCTGCTCTGCCAATTTGGAGCTTCTTCTGACAGTTTTTTGTTGGCTCTTTGCGATGCAGGAAATGCCCCCTTTTTTCTTCTGCACCACACAAAACTCGGCCTTTTGTGTAGATAAACGAAATAATACGGGGACATATTTGTTCCGACTCAAAAGTACAGAGGGCCTTTTTATCTAGTCATCGTAGTATGGGGACTGAAAATGCAAATGACATGGAAAAGTAGTAGGTGTGGGGGGGAAATTCGGAATCCAATAGAAAAGGAAGTTTTTGGGAAATTAGAGAGCAGAAGAGAGCCCAAACAAAAACCAAATGGAAACAGAAAAGGGCAGAAGAAGCTGATAGAAAGGAAGTGGACAGTGGGCAGTGAAGAAGGCGGGTGTGGTTCCAGTGCTCCCTCCGCTTTATCCCCTCCAATCCTCTCCCATTTTTCTGTGTTCCTCGTTACCGCCACACGATCCCTCTCCATTCGCATCCTCCCATGGCGTCGCTCTCTCCTTTCCCTCCGCTCATCCACCCTTCTTCCGCCGCCGGCAACGCGACTAGTCGTCTTAATCAGCAAACTCAGCGGAAACTCCCGTTCGTCGATTTCGTCGGGCTGTGCGGTCAATCGCGGCGAGCTGTTAGCCGGCGGAGACTCTCCGCGGCAGCTTCTGGTTCTTCTTTTCCGTCGTCGTCGACGACGACGACGACTTTGTCTCGGCTGGTGAAGAAGAATGGGAAGTCGTCATCGTCGTGGTCCGTTGGAGCCAGCCGCGGAGTCACCGAGAGTAAGGCGGCGACCGCGGCCGCGGCGAGTGGCTCCGTTTCCGCTAGCTCTGATTTGAAACCGCAGGTATTGTCCTCTTCCTCTCATTTGTTCCCCCCCTTTTTAACTTAGGTGCGCGTCGTTCCCGCGCTTTTTGATTCGTTTCTCGTTTGGTTCCAGTTAATTTCGGAGTTTGAAATTGAGTTTCTGATAGTGGCGGGGATTTTCGATTTATAAGAGTCATGAGGCTTTCGTTTTCGCGACGAATTGTTTGCTTTGTTCATTGATTGACATTGATTTTCTTAATAGTCCGAGAGACTCTTTAATTTGCCTCACAGATTCTTGCCAGACAATGCTCTAGGAGCCTGCCAGTGTCTTCTTCTGTTTAGAGTTGTTGAACCTCGAAAGATCAAATTTCTGCTTCTTTGACCAATTTTAACCATGTTTTACTCTTTGTAATTGTTGTACAGACTATTAGCAATGATCGTGCTTCATAAACAAGTAGTGTTTTGAGTTCAGGAAGTCGGTTGCCGGAGGCTAATGTTCGTAGTGTTTGTTCGTCAATGGCGTGTGTCAACCTCTATGTCCGTTAATTGCGAATGTTGATAGAGGTTATGTCCGCTTTGCAGGTGGCGAACTTGAGCGATATATTATCTGAAAGAGGAGCTTGTGGAGTTGGGTTTATTGCTAATTTGGAAAACAAACCATCGAATAAGATAATTAAGGATGCCCTTAATGCTCTTGGATGCATGGAACATCGTGGAGGGTGTGGAGCTGATAATGACTCTGGTGATGGCTCGGGACTCATGACTTCAATTCCATGGGATCTATTCGGCAAATGGGCAGATGAGCAAGGGCTTGCTTCCTTCGATAAATTGCACACTGGTGTTGGCATGGTTTTTCTTCCAAGAGATGAGAACCTTACGGAAGAAGCCAAAAAAGGTCTTTATTGTCAATATATTTTAATACTTAGTGTTTTTGTTTACATTATTAATGCCTCTCTTCACTGTACTTTCGATTGTTTGATCGCTGCTGCCTTTTCTGTCTTGTAGTTGTTGTAAATATTTTTGAACAAGAGGGCCTTGAGGTGCTTGGTTGGAGAGATGTTCCTGTAAATAAATCTGTAGTTGGTTACTATGCCAAAGAAACTATGCCCAATATTCAGCAGGTGTTTGTTAAAGTTGTCAAAGAAGAGAGTATTGGTGACATCGAACGAGAACTTTACATTTGCCGGAAGTTGATTGAGAGGGTGGCTAGCTCAATGAGTTGGGGAAATGAGCTTTACTTCTGCTCTTTGTCCAACCAAACAATTGTGTATAAGGGAATGCTTCGTTCAGCAGTTCTTGGATTATTTTACTCTGACCTCCAGAGTGATATCTACACATCACCATTTGCTATTTATCATCGACGGTTTAGCACAAATACGAGTCCCAGATGGCCTCTGGCCCAACCAATGCGGTTTCTTGGTCATAATGGAGAAATCAATACCATACAGGTTACTAGCTTCTTTATCTTAGCTTATTTCTGGAAACTGGATTTTAGTTAAATAGAGTGTCTTATTCTGTTATATATATCCAGGGTAACTTGAACTGGATGCAATCTCGAGAAAGCTCACTGAAATCTCCTGTTTGGCGAGGCCGTGAAAATGAAATTCGTCCATTTGGTAACCCAAAGGCATCAGACTCAGCTAATCTTGATAGCGCAGCAGAGGTACGGCCTTTACAATTATGTTTATACTCCCATTTGCTATGTGAAGTTGTTGTTGCTTTCACTTGTCCTGTTTGTTTGGCCATTCTGTTTGCTGCACGGATTTGTCTCTTTGTTGTTTTTAAAACTTGTATACAACATTCACTTTGTTGTCCTTAGTTTCCAGATGAAATATATTATATAATCATGACTATTAAAACTTGTCAACATATTTCCTGGAGATCTACACTTTAGCTATCCAAATTCACACCTTTAACATGATTTTTCTTGGGTGTCCTAGAGTAATATATCATGCTAACATACAATATCTATGCATGCAAACTACTGAATATAGTTATTCAGTGAAAAGTCATTTGAGTATTTTTGTCCTATCAGAGTGCGCATATAGATCCGATCAATAGGACTTTTAACTAATAACCATACCTGCGATGGAGTGGAAGCCACAACACATGGGAAAAGCCTACTTGGTAGCCCTGCCTTAGTACTGTAGGCTTGGTAAGTGTTTAATGTGTTATTTAGCAGTCATTCCATACCTCCCCAGTGTCTGACTTGTCTCGCTAATTGATTGTTTCCAGCTCTTAATAAGAAGTGGGCGTACTCCTGAGGAAACTCTAATGATTCTTGTACCTGAGGCATATAAGAATCATCCAACCCTGACAATTAAGTATCCTGAGGTATCTTCTATTCTGCTCTTCCTACGTTTTCTCTGCCCAAAAAGTTGAGTAACAACCAATTTATGACAGTGTTTTCCTGATTATAATCTCAATTCATTGAGTCTTGATTTCATTCAGTAGTTCCATGTTTTCTGCTTATGCTTTTATGCTT